GTCCTCGGCTATAACGGGAATGATCTTGATGCTCACAACGGCCAAGGGTTCACCGCGAAGTTTGAACTATGACGAGTCGACTTCTCCGACGAGCCACACAGTAGCTGATTTATTGTCTACGGTGAGTATACGTGCAAGGTCCTTGTCACTGGAAGGACCCCATTTGGCGTGTTGAGGGACCTTTCGCACGGCATATACACAGGTGTTCTGGTCCTCAAAGTTGGAAAACGCACGAATGCAGCTGTGAAAGGTGGGTGATAAGGTATGCAAGGTAACGTTGGAGAATGAAAGTAACAGCTTACGGTTTCAATGTGTGTGTTAGTTATCGCAATTCAAAACAATGGACTCCTTCGCTCTGCAGGGGACGGAATTAGGTCAGTCATATTTGGTAAATGGATATGGACTCACACACTTGCGGATGGCACCGTATTCACGGCAGGCTGTTTACAATGTTTACAATATGATATCTGCCTTCGCCCCAGTGGGCTTAGGACATGTCTACGACAGGCCTCGACGAACCAAGTATGTATGGAGCAGCGGATCTACGATGGCATGAGCGGGATGTTGGCCGGACTAGCACTCCGCTACCTGGAGTACAGGATCACCGGTGATAAGACCATGTAGGTGGATGGGGGTTACGCCGGAAGAAAGGAGGGGAAAGCATCAACAAAGGACCCTCTGTACCAACCCCTTACATAATCCAACCCGGTTGCCCAGCGGGAACATGAGCGAGCATGAAGTCCGCTGTGAACGGCAGTTGTCCATCCTAGGACAAACGATGATGGTTCATGAATGCGACAGACCGAGTGGTAGAGGAAGTGACGATGAGCTGGTTGGCATGCTGCGGGGATGGATGTGCGATTGGACTGGTGGATGATGGTGAGGGTGTGTCTGGCTGTGTTTGCCCAACGTCAGGAACGCCAACTCCGTACGCTGGATGCCCATCATGGGGCGGGTATAGAGGGTGTTACAACGCTCCTCACTTGTGGCGCGTCTTTTCTTTTTCTTTTCCTTGTTCCCTTTACGTTACCAGACCACGTGATCCAACACGTGACTCATCGGAGTGCAACCTCCGATTCTTTATCCAGATGTCCAGAACCCCTAGTCTAGGGTTACACCGGATCTAACTCCGGACCTTCTTCTTATCGCACATGCAAGACGTGCATGTATGCCTCATCTTTACCTCGTTCTGATACACGACTCGTTATCCCCATTAGTACTGATTATCTCTCACGACCTTACTCAGCTTTCTCATACATATTACTTCCTCGCTGTTACCCTGCTCAGATGTCGTTTCACCTTATCTAGCCAATGAACGATCCCGCATTACTGCGTAGTACTGCGGATACCTTTTGTATAAGTAGATGACCTTGTCGAGCTGGATCCCCATCTCGACCTGGTTACCATTAAACCAGCTCTTCACTTGCCTTCGACTGAAATCGACTGTTAGTAGCAGACAGCTACTACGAGTCATAAGAACGAACTCTGATCGACCTTCAGTGTGAGGACATCGCCAGAAGTGTCACTTGAACGGACTTGTGTCTTAGACTAAGACCTTGTCTCGTGACGACTCGACTTGATGCTCGTGTTTCGCTGCCGCGTAACATTAGGTCGAGATCTTATTACTCTCTGTGACTTCCTAAAGTCTAATAACGAACTACCGACTGGACCGAACCCTGAAGACTAAACGATACACCCGATTCGATTGCTAAAGCGCCGTTTGAGATTACTCTGTAATCGAGGCAGCTGAAGGGATAGACTGATCACTCATCTTCGGAGAGGGGTCTGTCCGAGAGACCAATAGGCCGAGGAGGCTGAGGTAATCACTCGAGCAATCAGCAAATAGGTGTATCAGTTTGAAGGCAGAAGACACTCTACGGGCTTGTTAGCCGACGACGAACGAACCCACTTAGTTAAGGACGGTGTGCAGTCTACGTGTAGACGTAGGCCACACAGGGGAATTTATCCACGCTGGATTTGAACTTTATCAACCCGACTGCTCTTCCCAAGCAATACATCGATCTCCTCCCATCTCAGGCAGAGTGGGACGCACAGAGGAACGTACACGTTTTAAACGGACGACCTTTACTTATCAGACCAGATCAACACATTGATCACCCAAGTGGTGACTACGAAGCAGGCCTACCCCATAACGTTGGAGGGCTCGTACTATCACACATCGCAGACAGCAGCATACCTATCTCTTATCCAGGAGAAAGACCAGACGCCCCTTGGAACCTCCCTGTCCAGGATCCTGTACCCCAACCGATTCTTGCACCAATCATATCTGATTACATACCACCGATGGCTACAGTTACCATGGATGAAGGACGTCACCATGTCAGCCAGAAGGAACTTGGTTTTAGAAAACCCGAGATCTTCAACGGTTCAGACCGTTCGAAGCTTAGGGAATTTATAAACCAATGCAAGAATTACATGGCCAGAAATAGCCATGTCTACCAGGAGGACAATCAGAAGATCGCATTCGTGCTATCGCACATGCAAGGAGGAACAGCAGGATCGTGGGCACAGAGCTTCATAGAAACAGAACTCACCAATGATGACTTCCTTTCTTATGGGAGTTGGAGAGACTTCATTGCGAGTGTGAACAAAGCATTTGGCGATGAAAATATTGAAGAAACCGCTCGTACCTTGCTGCGTAACATCAAGCAAGGAACTCGTACTGCGGACGACTACATTGCCGAATTCCGATCGCTTGAATCCAAGGCGAAATTAGAAGATGCCAGAAATATCGAGTATTTCAAGTGGGGACTTAACGACCCACTCCGACAAAGGATATATGGGATGGAAAGCATGCCCAAGACACTTGACAAGTGGTACGAATATGCCTCGCGGTTTGATAACCAATGGAGATCTGCTCAGATCTTCAAGCGAGGAGCCACTACGACGACACGAGGAAAGGGCCGATCTGTCCATCGTCCCTACTACTCGGCTTCTGCAAAGGATCCAAACGCGATGGATGTTGATCATGTCAATATCTCGCGCTTATCCCCGGACGAGCGACAGAAGAGAATGAAAGAAGGATTATGTTTCCTATGTGGAAAGAAGGGCCATATAGCCAACGACAGACAATTCCACCCCCAGGCTGGAAGTTTCACCCGTGCTAGAACGATACAGCCCGGGTTGGACACAGACACGATCACATGGATCAAGAAGATGCGAGAAGACCTCGCACAGAAGAAGGAGACGTCGAAGGAAGAAACCAGAGAGGAACAGATCGCCTATGTGCGAAACGTCTTCAATGACATGACTGATGAAGAACGAACCCAATTGGGTTTTTGAGACGACGGCCACTAGTAATGCATGGACCGTCGCATCTTACCGTATCTCCCCTCATTATTTGTAACACTAGCGGAAATTCAATCACTGTGAATATTTCGTTGGGAGAGAAGGAAGACGTTACAACAGAAGCCTTGATCGATTCCGGTGCAGCCGAAACGTTCATGAACATTCGTTTTGCGGAAGAAAACAATTTTATCAGATGGGAATTACCGAAACCAATTAAAGTCATGAATGCAGATGGCACACCAAATCAAATGGGTACCATTACTCATTGTACCTGGAAGATGATGAAAATCGGAGGAAGGAAGACACTTACTCGCTTCCTCTTGACCGGCATTGGCAAAGAAAACATACTTCTCGGCATGCCGTGGCTTAAACGCCTCAATCCGATGATCAACTGGGAAACCGGTGACTTTTGGTTTGGTAAAGACGCCAAATGGCCACCGAAACCCACCGTCGAAGATGCACCAGATGAAGAAGTTTCGATTTTCAAGGAAGATGGACTCCCAGAGTTAATCACCACCGAAACTTCCCCTACCTCGTTTGGGCATTCCGAATCTATCAGAGAAATCATGGCCGATAACACTGAGCGTGGCGAGTTACCTGCAGTGCGGAATGATACCGAACCAGATGACCCATCATCAGAACCCCCTATAGATCAGCTCGATGATGACGATCTAGTTATATCCTATATCGCAGGAGAGCCAGTTATTGGGATATTTGAACCTATCAGGAAGGAGTCACCTTTGACGAATGAAGAGACTGAAACTGCAGTCTTCACCATACGAAGAGGCCCCGCCATTGGAAGAATGACACACAGTACTCGATCCCCATTATTCTGTAATGCACAGAATACGGTCTTTTACAAACCATCCGGTAAATCACAAGAATTGGCACAACAGGCACACAAGGAAGCATCAGCTATAGACAAACCCAAAACCATCGAGGAGTTGGTCCCCAACTACCTCCACGATTTGAAGTCCATCTTTGAAAAGAAAGCAGCTGAACGCTTTCCAGAAACCAGGCCTTGGGACCACGCCATTGATTTGAAACCCGATTTTATTCCACATGACTGTAAAGTCTATCCGTTATCGCTCAAAGAACAAGGAGCAATGGATGACTTCCTGGAAGAAAATCTGCGAAAAGGATACATCCGACCGTCGAAATCTCCCATGGCTTCACCATTTTTCTTCGTAGGAAAGAAAGACGGAGCACTACGTCCCTGTCAGGATTACCGATACCTGAATGAAGGGACAGTGAAGAACGCCTATCCTCTTCCGCTCATCTCTGACCTTATGGATCAATTCAAAGGCGCATCGATCTTTACGAAAATGGATTTACGCTCCGGATATAACAATGTCAGAATCAAAGATGGTGACCAATGGAAGGGCGCATTTAAGACAAATCACGGACTTTTTGAACCTATGGTCATGTTCTTTGGACTCTGCAACTCCCCGGCGACTTTCCAAATGATGATGAATGCACTCTTCAAGGACATGATCGATGAGGGATGGATAGTCATTTACATGGATGATATCCTCATCTTCTCAAACGATTTGGAAGAACATCACGTTCAAACCCGACGCGTACTCCAACGACTCAAAGACAACGACTTATTCCTTAAACCGGAAAAGTGTTTCTTTGACGTTAAAGAAGTCGAATTCCTAGGCATGATCATTTGAGAAAACTACATTGGCATGGACCCTATCAAACTTAAAGGAATTGCAGAATGGCCTGAACCAAGCACGGTAAAAGGTGTTCGCTCTTTCCTAGGGTTTGGAAACTTCTATCGGAAGTTTATTGCCAACTTCTCAGATATTGCCAAACCATTGACGAATCTTACGCGCACTGCCGCTGGATCTCCACCTTTTGAATGGACAACAGAATGTCAGACAGCTTTCGACACATTGAAGCAACGATTCAGTACCGCCCCAGTACTGTTACTGCCTGACAAGGCAAAACCCTTTATTGTTGAATCCGACGCTTCCAAGTTTGCTACGGGTGCAGTTTTACACCAAGCCGACATCAATGGAGACCTCCATCCTTGTGCCTACATTTCACAGACGCTCAATCCAGCTGAACGGAACTACGAAATCTACGACCGTGAACTCCTCGGAATCATTCGAGCCCTCACTGAATGGCGCCATTATCTTGAAGGCTCTCCCCATCCCGTCGAAGTTCGCAGTGATCACAAGAACCTCACATACTTCCGTACAGCTCAGAAGTTAAACCGCTGACAAGCACGATGGAGTCTCAAATTATCACAATTTGATCTTCACCTCATCCATGTCCCTGGCACTCAGATGATCCAATCTGATGCGCTCTCTCGTCGTAATGGACTCGATGACAGTGAAAGTGACAATGAAGATCGCATTCTTTTACCCAACGCACTATTCGTGCGATCCATTTCCCCGACACTATTCGACGAAATCAGGAATCACGCAGCAAAAGACCTCATTGTTCACGAAGCCCTCGAAGCAATTGCGCACAAAGGGCCATTCCCCATGAAATCATCGCTTTCCGACTGGGAAGTTCGCGATGGTGTCATCCTCTACAAGGGGAAGATTTACATTCCACCATCTGAAACTCTTCGTCGTGACCTCGTTCGACTACATCACGACTCCCCTGCCATGGGTCACCCTGGAAAGTTCAATACTCTTGAACTGTTATGTCGTGAATTCTGGTGGCCCGGCATGTATACATTTGTCTACAATTATGTTGAAGGCTGTGCCACCTGTCAACAAATGAAACCGAATACTCATCCAACTCGTATTCCTTTGGAACCAATTCCCGCCGACCCACACGCATTACCATTTTCCTGTTGCACCACCGATTTTATTACTGACCTCCCCGTTTCCAACGGTTTTGATTCCATTATGGTCGTAGTAGACCATGACCTTACGAAGGGGGTGATTCTTACGCCCTGCCTCAAAACGATCACAGCCGAAGGAACGGCCAAGATTTTTCATGACAAAGTATACTCGCGATTTGGATTACCCGACCGAATCATCTCGGATAGAGGACCTCAATATGCATCCAAGGTCTTCCAAGAGTTAAATCGACTACTCCAGATCAGATCATCAATGAGCACAGCTTATCACCCTCAGACGGACGGAGAAACAGAGCGAGTCAACCAGGAGCTGGAAATCTATCTTCGACTCTATTGCGGAAACAACCCTGAAACATGGGCCGACCGCCTGCCAGACCTCGAGTTTTGTCATAACACAAGGGAACACTCGGCACAGAAGATGAGCCCATTCCGCATCATGATGGGATATGAACCATGTGGACTCCCTTCCGTATTTCCGACCACGAACATTCCATCGGTTGAATCCAGGCTTGACATGTTGCAGAAGATAAGACTAGAAGCACTAGCCATGCACGAGTTAGCCCAACAACAGATGGCGGACCGAGTCAGACAAGGATCACCGAAGTTTACACTAGGACAGAAGGTCTGGCTAGACTCGAGGAACCTGAAGGTCAATTACGCCTCGCGCAAGATAGCACCAAAGCGTGAGGGGCCATTCGAAATTGTCGAAGTCATCGGACCAGCCAACTATCGTCTCAAACTCCCGAAGACCTGGCGAGTTCATTCCGTATTCCACGCCGCCCTTCTATCTCCTTATCACGAAAATGACATACATGGTCCGAATTATGTGAATCCACCACCTGATGTCATTGATAACGAAGAAGAGTATGAAGTCGAAGCCATCCTGAATCACAAGACGTACCGAGGTCATCTGAGGTACTTAGTCAAGTGGAAAGGATATTCTTCAGCAGAAAACTCATGGGAACCTACCCACAATTTACAGAATGTCAAGCGAATCCTCGATGCATATAAAAGGACCAGGGGAATCCAGTAGAGGAGAAGAAACCCGGAATGACTACCACGACAGTTTTCCTCATCATCTTCCTAATCGTCCTCCACTGCACAACCCTCACTTTTCTTTGGATCATCCACCGAATCCTTATCAGATGACTTGTCGAACACACACTCTTCACGCGAGACAGCCCGCACGCTAACAGCTGGGGTGATCAGAACGATGCCTGGAACTGATCAGGCAGCTCTTATCTCTGTGGGAATACTCTTTATCGTCCAATGGATTTTCATCTATTTGATTATTACCCGAATCCACGACATTCTATTTCACATCACAGATAACCGCGATCCCCTTAACCACCGAAAGGTATAAAAGGAGGAGAAAACGACATATCATCAATGCCCACTTCCGCTATAGACGACCTTGTTCACAATATACTCGCTGAAGTCACCTCCACAATTATGAGCATACCCGCATCGCCTACGCTTGTCAATGGAGTACCCTCTCAAGCACAGACACCCTTTATCCGCACCTCATCACCCTCACCTTCTATCGAACTCAGTCACGCATCGGACGAACAAGAATTTGCCACACGTCTGGTCTCGGCTATCCGTGTTCCTGTCGACTTCACAGATATCCTTGTCGTCTTACGAAATCGCCCGCAAGATCGACAAGCGGTGGTTTCCATGCAACGAGCATTAGAAATGGTCGAGTGGATGCAGATGGCCAGACAAGAGCTCATCGCAGCAGAGGAAAGGACGAGTAGAGCCCGAACCAGAGTCGACCAAGTCTGGTCATTAATGCGCAGTACGGTCACTCGTACAGCACAGGAGATTTGGAGGGAGCATGGGGACGAAGACATCGGACACATCCTCGGATACACCACTAATGGAATACCCGCATCCACTCCTCGCTCGTCGCCAGAACCAATTCCCGTTCGACCTCGCCCTCCTCGTTCGCACGTACCCAGTGGACGATCTCCGTTATCCCAACCATCTTTCTCGACCGCATCCACTTCTTCGCGTCGCAGTCATCCCTACAGGGATGGACGTATACCCGAACAAGGATCACGAACCAGCCAGCGGACATGCTACAGATGTGGAGGAGATCATTATGTCCGCGACTGCCCCCGACGATGATGAAGATCACAATATTTCTTGTGGGACAAGAAACATTAGACGGGAGCTGATGTTACAACGCTCCTCACTTGTGGCGCGTCTTTTCTTTTTCTTTTCCTTGTTCCCTTTACGTTACCAGACCACGTGATCCAACACGTGACTCATCGGAGCGCAACCTCCGATTCTTTATCCAGATGTCCAGAACCCCTAGTCTAGGGTTACACCGGATCTAACTCCAGACCTTCTTCTTATCGCACATGCAAGACGTGCATGTATGCCTCATCTTTACCTCGTTCTGATACACGACTCGTTATCCCCATTAGTACTGATTATCTCTCACGACCTTACTCAGCTTTCTCATACATATTACTTTCTCGCTGTTACCCTGCTCAGATATCGTTTCACCTTATCTAGCCAATGAACGATCCCGCATTATTGCGTAGTACTGCGGATACCTTTTGTATAAGTAGACGACCTTGTCGAGCTGGATCCCCATCTCGACCTGGTTACCATTAAACCAGCTCTTCACTTGCCTTCGACTGAAATCGACTGTTAGTAGCAGACAGCTACTACGAGTCATAAGAACGAACTCTGATCGACCTTCAGTGTGAGGACATCGCCAGAAGTGTCACTTGAACGGACTTGTGTCTTAGACTAAGACCTTGTCTCGTGACGACTCGACTTGACGCTCATGTTTCGCTGCCGCGTAACAGAGGGTTGGATGAGCTATCGGCGACGATAAAATCCCACATTCATCGAGGCCGGGATGACAACATGGTTGTTGTTGTTGTTGTTGTTGTTGTTGTTGTTGTTGTTGTTGTTATTGTTGTTGTTGTTGTTGTTGTTGTTGTTGTTCTGGTCTCCCAAAAAATGTATCAATGATCAATGATAGAAGGGGGTACGTACATAGTTGATACCGCTGACCCCGACGATGCGGCAACAGTATTCCCGCTCGGAGAAAGTTGCACAGCAGAATGTGTGGTTAAAACCCCGGATCTAGCTAAGATTAGCAAGATAGCATATCCGTTGCAAAAAGCACACATATTGATTATCAGCAGAGGCAGCGGAAGTGGGGGAGCAGCACTATCTGAGAAAACCTTTGCAGCTGACTCGGCTACAGTCTCATTGTTCGTACTAGCGAAGATTAGTACATGTGCAGGCATCAATCAATACAGGGGCTCACTGCTCGATGAAGTTGCCAGAATCTGCTGTAGATGTAGGTGATTGTCCAAATAAACATAAGTCGGTGTCTGAAGCCATAATGGGGACATCGGCAATGTGCCTACGATGATCAAAAAGTCAATGAACCAACTGAGAATAGTGGATAGAAACACACTGCTTAAGCGGGCGCTCATCGTCCAACAAATCAGGAGATAAAGCACACTTGTTGCGGGAGCTTCGACGCGAACTTTCGGGTCTGCGAATCGCGAGTGAGAAGACTGTAATGAATGAGAAAGGACAGTGTGGCTCACAAATTCTTTGTCATTTTGTTGGTTGTACGTGTATGGTTGTAAGTAGCGTGAAGGGAAGTGAGGAAGATATCAGTCCTTATATGCATCTACTGCCGTGGATCAGGGGCATCGCTCGCTCGAGACTCGCAGGTGGAGTTTCCGTGAGGGTGGAACAGAAGATAGAGAATGGGTGCAGAGATGCAGACAATCACCCCTAGCTATAGCCATCGGTCCTCCTCCAGTCTTTCATCGGAAATAAACTTTCAAGGAATGCCGGCCGACTTTGTGTCGCGGAAATCTTGAACAGGAAGCAGGAAACCTGAAGTGAATCGGGTAGCCTAAAGACGGAAAGTAAAAAAGCGGATAACCATTCTAAGAGAGAATTACTATATGTGGCACGGGTACAACTTTATGTCAGCAGCCACCATACGTGCACAGACTGATAACCGATTCTTTAGGGAATCGGAACGTGGATACCAGTCGCATTTGAATATCTGACGTTGCTCTCCATCATGCAAAGCTGAAAACAGGTTTGATATGCCTCTTTATTTTGGATTTCTAACAAAATGAGAGATATAGGATGATTGCTTGTGGCAAACTTTTGCCAAGGCCACCGGCATTCAAGTTGGCGCAGTGGATGAAGTTCACTATCTGAGGATAAATAAGTTATACTGTACTATAAGGCTGTAGCGCCGTGCAAGCACAGAAGGACCCGCTACCTATAGGGTGAAGGAGAGGCGCGAGGAGATGAAGACATATATTCAGTGCATTAGAGCATGAGTATAATACAATGAACCTGGTAGGCAAAGCTTACATTTGGACTGGCAGAAGGTACGATAGATGGGTGACTACAAGAGGAAAACATGAATGATACCATCCACCAATTGCAGGGATCATAACAGGACCGGAAGCAGAGAGCTCAGCAACACTCCGGTGGAAAAATTGGTGCTGTCATTGACGTTCGCGACCAATAACAACATTCTGCGCACTGTTGCATCCATTCACCGAAGAATCAAACAGAATTAAGGCAGGAATTCCAAAATAATCGCCCAGAAGTGAGAAGGAAGGCATTTCAGTGCAACAAATATCAGCAAGCAGAGGGTTGGCAATAGATGCGGACGATGCGAGCGATGCACAGAGTCGACGTGGAGGATGCGCGGCGAAAGATTCGGACGCTTAGTAAAGTTTACGAAGCACTTTGACCTTTCAATCTTTTGTATAGTTTAGGGCAGGACCTCCAAAACTGACAGTTTTTGGCGGGGCCCCTGCGTGACAAAAGATCCAGCAAGACCCACTACCAAAAGGTAGCGGGAATTTCGACCAACTGTTCAGTCACGCATCACACAAGCCTCTGAACCAGGCACTGAGTTCAGAAGTCACGCGTCACATGAGTCTCCAAACTCAACACTGGAGGCAAAAGTGGATGTTCTGCCTTGGAACAGTGTCTGAACATCCAAGGAACAGATTACATTTTTGGACATGTCACATGTTCTGAACATGGTAAGGAACATCTAATATGTCTCGCACAATGTTCCATTGGAGAGCATGCTGGAGACATGTTGCATGTACCATTCTGGAACATATAATATGTCTCACACAATGTCTCATTGGAGAATGTCCTGCAGACTTGCTGCATGTTTCATTCAGGAACATTTATCATTTTGCTACTATATTCTGGGCTTGTCTCTTGATGCAATATGCTCTGTATAATAAGGATTTTCCATGGCCAAACACATTACATTTCTGGCTGCCATTAATTTTCAGAACATTGTGAGAAGATGTTAGGTGCTCCTACTCCAAACATATAAGATGTCCTGGGCACCAAGAACATTTGCAGTACATGTATGATACATACTAAAATTTTACTAAAATTTTACATGTACTGCAAATGTTCTTGGTGCCCAGGACATCTTATATGTTTGGAGTAGGAGCACCTAACATCTTCTCACAATGTTCTGAAAATTAATGGCAGCCAGAAATGTAATGTGTTTGGCCATGGAAAATCCTTATTATACAGAGCATATTGCATCAAGAGACAAGCCCAGAATATAGTAGCAAAATGATAAATGTTCCTGAATGAAACATGCAGCAAGTCTGCAGGACATTCTCCAATGAGACATTGTGTGAGACATATTATATGTTCCAGAATGGTACATGCAACATGTCTCCAGCATGCTCTCCAATGGAACATTGTGCGAGACATATTAGATGTTCCTTTCCATGTTCAGAACATGTGACATGTCCAAAAATGTAATCTGTTCCTTGGATGTTCAGATACTGTTCCAAGGCAGAACATCCACTTTTGCCCCCAGTGCAAGCTCAAGGCTAATTCACAGCTTTTCCACGCCTTCTGCAGCGGGTTAGCGCCCGGCGTGAATTGAACTGAACCATTTCAGTCACGGCGGCCTCGGAACCGTGAACTGACTGAACTGCGGGTCACACGTCACTTGGTCGAAATAGTACAGTACACCGGCGGTGACTTCCAAGTTCTGATACAGATAAATCATTCACGAGGTGCGAGACTTCACAGAATGGGCGTCTTAGCGACATGCCCTGTGAACATTCGTAACAAGTCATGTCAGCAGAATGTGAACGATTGAATCATTGAGTGACATCCGCAGTGACATGCTGAGCCATTCCACCATGACTCGGATTGTAGAGACGTGAAGCTGCCGACATCGATGAGCATCAGTCTCCTGTCATTGCACTGACTCTTGAGATTGGAGGTGTGTAAGATCACATCATTCAACTTTGACCCAGCCCTTCATCTCCGAACGCGCGACGGATCCCGATAGTTCCGTCGTTTCTACATGTACCGACTACCGGCGCCGCTGTGAAGAGTTTTGATAGCCTTCTACCGTCTTTCAGGCTAGCATACTCTTTCTTTTTGACCGTGAATCACGAACTTTCTCCGTATCGTTGACTCGCAGTCTCTCACGGAGATGCTTTGCCAGGCGGCGTTCATATATTCGCAGGTAATAATGAAATATTCCGCCGCTTAGCGACCCACTTCAACAAGACTGGCGGTGGAAATACATCGCGGAAGTCGTTTTCAACGGCGTACCGGGGTCCCGTCAATGTCCGTCTTCTTAGTGCTTCCTTCGCGGTAATTAGGACTGCGGGTCTGTGCTTTCCGTCCGTGTTCCAAGTAGATTGGTAACTTGAGATCGATTGGGAGTTGAACAGCACAATGGATGGCGCCCTCGGTCGCTATTGCATCGAAGCGATAATATCTCAAAGGCCAGTGGCCAGTAACTCACCGGTCGCGGTGTTTTATTGAATATTTTGCAGTGGGCATGTCAGTCGAAATAAATGTCATGCGGTAATGGGAATGAGAACAATCTCGTAAACAACATGTTAGACAGATCTAGATGGCGATACGACGGGGACAACGAATCACGACAAAATTCTACAAGACTACACGGCGGCTACAGAATCAATCTCACGAGTACTCAAATCTTCGCAAAATATCAAAACGGTCCCGGGGTTCGGTTGCAATGCACCATTCAGTTCAAAGCCATCCCCTTTTTGCTACATGACGGCCAGCCGAACTCTCGCGCTCGGAAGTCAGGCATGCTGCAGCGCGTTATCGAGAGGCGCAGCCATCTCTTCCGGATTTCCTAACCAGTGGACGACGGAATCTTTTGTGGTAATTATAAACACTGGCATGGGAATGGTCAGTTAACAGCAACCTATCACAGACCACAACATACCTAGCGGGATAGACAGACATTTCCCAGGCTGGAACAGCGCTGTACAGCACTCTCAGTATGGCCGTTAGCTGAAAAAAGAGGGATTCAAAACGTACACTCTACGGCAATATTATTTTTATCGATATAAACTGGATAATTGACGTCGTCCCGTTCAGTGACGAAGTCCCTTACAATTTCCGAATCGGTCGGTGCCTTGTTGAATATCCCTTCGTTATTGAACGTGATGACCCTGACGTCTGGGTATTGTGCGGCAACGTCCGTGAGAATTTTGCATACCGGGTGACACGGCTGCTCAAGAAATTAGATCGGCCTCTGGGAGAGGGCCTGCCGAACAGACTTACCCGACACCAGCTAGAAGACGCATCCATTAGCCTCCGGCAAGCGATCGATAAGTCGGAAAGATAACGTACGTCGCCCAAAACTCGATTACAAGAACTTTTTTGTCCCTCCATCCATCCTTGCTTGGTTGCACACATTCATACGCGTCTGCGTCGATCCAGTCAAGGTCGACCTAAGTCCTTACCGTCACAACTGGACTTGCCCAATTGGTTACAAACACCCACCTTTTTGCCGAGGAGAGGGCTCCTCCACCCAGGACGCAGGAATTCGGGCGGGCCTTTCTTCATCTGCTCCTCAATGCCGGCCCACCCCGGTAGCCTGGCGATCTTCATAAACCGCTCGATCACCACGGGCTCGTGGGCTGCCCTGAATCTGGCTGCGTGTTGTCAGTATGTAGTCCGATGGTCGGAGGCAGCACTAAACGTTAGCTTACTGATAGCAGCGTCCCACCGGGCTGCGGGTTCAAAGACATTATGCGCATGACGGCATCGTGATGCAAGTCGTCAGGAATGTTACAGGAGTCCACGTGCCAAGAGCGCACCTTGGTCCCATTTGTCCCCATAGAGCTCCTGGAAAGGCGCGAAGATATTCGTCTTGAAGTCCTCCATAGCTGCGCGTTCCTCCGGAGACTCATTTCCGTATGACGGTGGCATGAATTACGCAAAGGGAGCCTGCTTCAATTTTGCGCCTGAATCAGTAACAGAGATATAAACAGGAGCGGACTCACGAACAAGACGGGGAAGGGAGGGTTATCGGGTGAATGACCAGTGGGAGTCGACGATTACATGAAGGCTTTATGGCTTGCGGAGACAGTCTGTAACTTCATGAGAGCGTCACAGCCTGAGCGCCACCGAGTTTGATAATGACATGCAGGAATGCATTAAATGGTCTAGAACACGTAATCAATCAAAAATGCTAGAATCGTCCAATTAGCCCTTAGCCCTTCCATCATCAGCACCTTCAGAAGCTGAGAATCACTGAGGGGGATATCAGGAACCATACCTTCAAGATGCGTGTGGCACCAAGGCCGTTCACAATTGTAACTTCCAAAACGGGAAGGTATAAACAACGCCGCGATTTGGGTTCAACCACGCATGCCGACAACTGAACATTCATTGCAAGGCCGCAGTGAACACCTGAAGACAATTTCTCATTGAAACACTTGTTGAAAGACGAAAGAAAGGCAGAATTCCAGGTAAATGGAGTTGATATAGCTGAAGGGAAGAGACACTGGGCATTTGGCACAGTGGTAGCGCGCATGCTTTGCAGGGCTGATTTGCATGAGGTCGAGGGTTCAAACCCCTCAATGTCCACTGAAATACGTCTGTGAGACTTTTTGTGCTGCCCTTTCTGGAGTCAAAACGGGGAGACACTCTTTATAATTTGGAACACGCACGTGTGTCCCAATTGCATTTTGGGTTCGATGTATTATTACACGTACAGACAAAGAAACGGATTTGGGACAATAGACAATTAACTGGCATTTCAGACAATAAGACAGAGGCTCCCGAGGACGGGGGCCGGAAGTCCGATATCCTTTCCACCAGTTCAACTCGGGGAGCCCCAGGGCCAAAAGATGGGCACGGACCTACGGCAATGTGGCATTAGTGGTACTGTCAACTTGAGGGGGTCAAAAAGTCGCGTGAGAGTCCCACCCACGCCCCATTGGGAGAACAAAAAGGACATAGAAATAGCGCACGAAGACTGAAGTACTAACCGCTTATACTCTTGCCACTTAGGGTCGTTCCCATACTTCTCATCGCCGGCTTTCTAGAAAGGAGCGAGGGACGTGGACGCCATCGTGAGCGTCGATGAGTGTCAGCAGTGAATGTACGGACCTCTAGGAGAGGGACTCCTGACACGTTCCGCAGGAGGAACCACGTCAGGAGCGGGCTCACGCCGGCGAGGAGCCAAGCAGAGCGCGGAAAGTACGGCGTGCGCAGCGAACGCGTGGAAAGGAGCCAAATGCCTGTCCATAGTCCTACTTCGCCAATATAGCTGCGAAAGGCAACAGCATGAGCGCCACGCCGTACGAACAGAACGGCACGCACTTTGGGTGACGGCTGATGCCCCACAGCCCGCTCGTGATAAACTTCTCGTCATGTTCTTTTTTATCCTTAGCGCGACGCCAGGCGGCCTTTTGGCGGTCGGCGACTAAGAAACTGGTCAGCGACATGCTCGAATTGTTCGTCGAGGTCACGCGATACCGCGAGGCCCGGCGTCAATGGATATATGCGGTTTTATGAATCGCCAAAACCCTGAAAAGCGGGGAACAGGGAAGGAGAACCTAACTTACTGATCTCGAACAGCCAGGAACCGGCAAAGAAGGCGACCGAGATGTAATCCAAGGGACCAAGAGGGGGATGAGCGGAAGCAGGAAGGGTATTCACCTGCGACAGCATGAATTACAACGGCAGTCCGACCAGGTGGTAAGCATGACGTACGAGGTAGACGGGCAGACCGACAGCGAATACCCAGGTTGCTGCATGCAATATGTCCCGAACAGAATAAATGAGCGCCATTTTCGTTTCGTGTCAGAAAAACTTGGCGAGACGTACCCTGTGCCATCCAGTAGGCCGTGAATTTTGCAGGTTGATACTTAACTTCGTCGAACCTAGAATCACCTCCGGCCTTAATTGCTCTCTGCATTGATGTTCGAGATGAGTACAGTAACTATAGAGAGGTTGAATAACTGCACACCGTGATTAAGAAACTACCGAGGCGGACACTCCACACGACGAGTGCAACATTGAGAAGCATTTGACGGGGTGCTAAGCTGTTCAACTGAGGTATGTTGACAAAGATTTTACCATCCCAGAATCTGGCTTTCACGGAAGGGTAGTACAAAGACACGACAGTGGTGGACAGGAAACCGAGGGCTCCTCCTAAGTCGTAAAACTTCTCATTGGCTTGGGGAACGAAGATGAGGGCTAGCGCTATTACCAGTTCATCAAAAATTCAGGATTCGAGTGATGTCAGCAACGACGACAGACACACCTGCTTGAAGAGCGTATGCACTCGCTGCGGCCGGAAATAAACTGGAGAAGAGCGGCATAGTCGCAGTAAAGGCTATTGAAGACGTCCTCAATGCCTCTTCTTGCAGGAAAACCAAGGCATAATACTCGTATACCCACTTACTATTCTGTCTTCTCTCGCACTTGTCGAGGCTAAAGAGAAAGGTGAACAGGCCAAACGCGCCTCTGACGTACCTCAAGTGAACGCCCACGTGATCGCACTGGGAACTCGCGATGACGTCACCCGGGTCACAGCCACACGATCGGCTTTAACCACCAATTTCTGTCAACATCATGTCCCCGAAAGAGAACGTTCATACAAATCTTCACCCTGAGGCTCCCGTTCTCCAGGCGCCGCAATCGACGATACTGCATCCACCGCCGCAGGACCATCCACACAGAAACCCTACGGCCAAAAAGTCGATACCAGACACCGGGTGGCGCGGCCAGCCTACTATTCCAAGCCAAGATGGTGGCGCGGGTGAGAAGGACTTTGTCAATAAGCCGCCCTACAGTTGGGTGAGCGAGGGTGAAAAGTTCGAGCGCAAATACGTTACGTAAGTGTACTGGCCGTGAGCCAATAGAAAGACGAATATTCACCGAGAAATTTTGAACCCGACGTACAGGGAGTGCTGGTGCGGAAACCTTTCGTTCGAATTCCATGGCAACCCATTGGATGCGAAGTATTGCCATTGCCGTCAGTGCCAGCATCTGCATGGAGCACCATTTCAGTGGGCAGTCATCTTCCCAAAGGTAAGATAAGCCCCGCTACAATGGAGCCGTCAGTTTGATATTGCGGACCCAGACGTCCGTCCGAATGGTGAATAACGTTGACAACAGTTTGCACTTCTTCTCCACGGAAATGATTTCGGGCGGGCACAGTGTACCCTGCAAGGTACGTATGTCTGCACATGCATGTCAGCACCAAAACCAAGGACGCGCATCAAGGTGTCTTGCAACGTTTGTCGCTCCCCAATGTTCGACGAAGGACGAAACACAGTCCTCGCGTATCCTTCCTCCTTCAAATTCCTCCACCAAAAAGTTCCACTTGATTTCCAGCCTACTGCACACATCTTCTACAGCCAGCGGTACGTACCTCTCACATGCCTTGGCAGTTGAGAACCCTTATCTTATCGGGAACTTTGCACTGCACCGCTTGTCATCGCACTAGAGTCATGGAAGTTCCCGATGGCGTGCCAAAGTGGGCAGGTCATAAGGGGGAGAGCGAGCTGGTGCAAGAGCTCACGGAGCAAGAAGGGTGCGTATCGACCTTATTTCGAAGCACCGATGGCTAATGCGCGGTTAATGGTGTTGTAGCACCAAGTCGAAGTACAAGCCTGGGTAAGCGTTAGAGCACAAAGATCGATGCACCATGTTCGGAACAGCGAGAAGGGAAGCAGTAGACATGTGAGCTCGCTATTGTGCTGTACAGATCACAGCGTGTATGAGGCCGAGACCGATGATTCAGAGTACTGTAGCATTTCGACCAACCCGGCCAGTCACAGGTCACAGGTACCTTGGCCGGCCGGTTTTTGACCGGGTGTCACTGGTCACAGCAATGCTGGCCGGGTGTGACCAATGTCTACAAAAACCAATTTTTTGCGGCCTGCGGCGCCAGGGTGTCTGCGGGGTTATATCTTCAGTTTTCTGGTTCTACCTGAGGTCCAACTGACTGGTCAGCCAGTGGTGGTGGGTCACGGCTGCGAGGTCACTTGGCCGGCTTGGCCGGTTTGTCCGTCCTGTCCACCAAGGCTGGCCGCCTGGCCGGATCGAAACTTTGCGGTCACAGGTCACACCCCTGGCCGGGTTGGTCGAAATGCTACAGTAGTTGAAGACTTTGGAGCAATGCCCCACAAGATATCGGAATAAAGGCTTTCTAGATAACAGTCTCATCCACTCAGTCGGAAGACATTTCTACTTACTAGTAGTGAGTTTGACCCAAGCTTGGCCTCGACTCTTTTGCAAGTCCGAAATCACATCGTCCCGGGACGTCGTCCGGTCGGAAATGCGCGAATGTCACATGCCACGTGAGAGAAAAGTGACGTTACGCAAGAGCAAGGCTGTCCCCAGTGTCAATCAAGTAAGTATATCGGTGCATTTCCATCACTGGCACAGCTCGGCACATTGCCCGTATCGGCCCAAATTCTCCTTCACGAGAATTCGCAGAAAACAATGTCTTCTCATCTAAAGCGCTCTGTCTGAGCAGTCCTAATTCCTACCACCGAGCGGCGGACTGCCGCATCTGCAGCTATCTTCACCTGAGGCACCACTCTAGCCATGATTCTGTTACAGTCTGAATGGGAAGACGATTCGCATCTGCAGGAATCGTCGAGGCTCCCGAGGTATGCTACGCTTTCTATGGTTTCAAGTCGCTGGAGATGATTTGGAAGTGTTATTCAGCTATTACGATGCGGTAGCGTCTCGTCTCTTTGTTCAACAGCCTGCATTTGCCGCGAGCTCTCCGGATCTCAGTGCGCATCAGCGCCGTACCTCCAGCGATTTTCCCCCTACTCAAGTCGCCGGGAGCAGCAGTGGGCCTCCCGCGAACCCGTCGTATGTGCCCCACGCTCTTTATACGGGCGCGGTCACTCATGCTCTACTATATATATGATATAGCTCGCCCTTGCCGAGACACTTCAACCCAGTTGTGTATACATTCGCACAGAACTCCTTCAACTCGATGATGCTGTCTGCGGATCCACAGCAGTCCCCACTCTGCTACCACGTATCGGTGCAGATGAACTGCTTCATCCCATCGTCATACATCACTACGGTGCGTAGAGGTAACTCGGAAGATGGGGAGATGGTAGGATCGTTCGAGTACGATAAGCATTTCTTACTTGCCGATTGTTAAACCAGTGACTTATCGGCTGTCGCAGGATGGGGATCTCGCAGAAGAGGAGCACCGTTACAATTGACAACACGGAGAAGCTCGCCGGTATTGTGCTGAGCAAGACAGGCGGGAAGTCGAAGGTATGTGATAACCCGGCATGTGTTACCTATCACTGAACAGTGTGCTCAGCACATATGGCAATGGCGATGGCACACCAACTCACGCCTACATCTCAGCTGGCTCTGCGATAGCCCTGTCAGATACGTGAGTGTGCTACCTCTCGATCCGTTCCTCACTCCCAATACCCGGCCTATTTTCTTGCTTCTACCTCGACTAGTGCTACCTAAGTCACCACGTAGGCACATCGAAGGCGGTCCTCCTCGCATCCTTCACACCCCACTCGTTAACGCCGCGCGCGGACGGCCATCCATCGCCACCCGCCACATTGAAGGTCTTCCCAGAGGGCCAGCGGTACGCTGACCATATCGTGATGTCTGCGCTCATACTAGAACGGAAACGGCTCACACCGGATGGAGATAAGGCGTTGAGGTCATTGTTCAACTAAGCACGGTAGGCCGGGAATGGTGCGTCCTATGTATCCTCGTTCGAGATACAGATGAATGATGAGATTCTTTCCAGGTTATGTTTATCGCACCGGATCCATGGACTTCTTGTACCGCTAGATATCGCAACATGCTATTTCTCTGTCATGGAGCTTATCTGTTGTGGACCACCTCACATCCCAAGACGTGGATCAGACTGGCATTGTGCAAGGCATGTTTCATATTTCTCGCGCTGTCTTTGGCAATGCTTGCGATATTCTGAACTTTCGAACCGGAGGGAATCTTAGGTAAGCGCAGATTGAGCAACCGGAACACAAAGTCAGGCCATATCAACCAATAAGCAATGTGAGGTGTCTGGTTGCAGCGCTCTTTCCTTGTCTGAGCGATGGGCTAATCCTGTTTCACACAAACACCTGTCCATCGCACAGCATATCGCACCACCCTGCGAGCACACGACTTGAAGAGATTACCGGGTTCTCACTTCGTTTCCAGGCCGTAATGGGGGAGCATACTTTCAGAATTCAATGCCTTTGGACTCGGATACTGTTGACTAGTTCTGCCTAGGGCACAGGCAGGTCCTCACATTGATCAATGACGCCGAGATGCGCCGGGGGATCTGTGTCGCGCCCTCGACGGCTGGTTTGTCATAGTGTGACTGCAACTGAGGACATTATTTGGCTAATCCTCCGCGGTAGGCAATTGCTAGCCGTAAGGTGTTCTGCTCTCTGTTGCAATCAAACCTGCACCGATATCGTACCCCAGCAAAATGTTCCGCTTTCCTGGGATTCTTTTGGTACTTCATCATTGTTCAACGCTCATCGCGAGGTTACTGTCTTCAGCCTATGAAATCTTCAGGGTTGATTAATCATTCACGGGATATCGTACAAGCAATAATAGGACCCATCTCCTCTTCAGCCTTACTCACATCCTCCTTTGCCGCCTCAAGCTGGCTCTTGAATAATCCCGTCTGAGCCTTCCACCGCTGAAGTACCAGCGTCGCGACATGCGCTCGGGTCACCACGAGCAGCCTGTTGTGGTATACCCGTATGAAATCGCGGATATAGTCTGCATTCTCCTGGGAAATATGTGATTTGGACGCGTCCTCCTCAAGCTGAAGCGAGACTTGAGGTCGCATTCTCGCACTATCTCTTTGGCACTATCCTTACTGTCGTCGGTTGATCCACCCATGGCTGCATTGAAGAGGAATGTATGCTCATTGATCGACTGTTGGAGGAGCGTGCAGTGGCAACTGCATTGAGATGGTGAGTGCTAATAGCTTGAATGGGAAGGGGTCGATCTTCGGACGTCTGCCGGGATAGCCGTCGGGATGGTCCTAGAAACGGACGTTGGGACACCATCGCGAGGGTAGCCTATGAATGGTTACGCGTGTGTTGGGACAAGTCTAGCGATCTGGAAGGAATGATTCGAGATGATGGGTAGAATGGTGTTGAAATTGTACAAGATAGACAATATTTGGAGACCCAACCTGTAACCATGGTGCTTACATCCAGAGGTGAGTGTCGTACAGCGTCCGCGTTTTCCCCCTGGAGCTGAGCGTACGTTTCCCGATGTCTCCGAGGTAACATCTACTGAGCCGTGCCTCGCTTGGGTAACTCCAGGATCTCTGCGTCTTACAGACTTCTTGGCACACCATCCTCCATTGGGTATACATTTCTCTTCGGGACCTTAGCATGATTACAAAATTCTGGCAGGACAATGTAGGATCCGCATCGCGACTTCTTACAGCCAAACGCGATGTGTACTGTTGGAGCCGGCGTGCAAGGGCACCTCCATGTTACTTGACGGTCATAGGGTAACGCAGATCACACAGCTCCCCCAGATCGTCCATGCATAGCAGGGACAGTACAGTTTGAATGTATCGTGGATGTAGTGGCTAACGTTTGGGTGACAGGAATGCAAGGGATGAAACCGTCGTGCAACCTTCACGGGATTTTCCCGTCTTGTGCACGCGACCACTGATCTAAACACGCTTTGTCTGGTGTGTATATTCCCATTGTTTCAAGTCCCCATTTCGATGCGAGTACTTGCGCGTCACTGTAGTACCAGCCGCTAAGCCTCGACGCGAGACGTTGAATGACGGACTCGCCAGCGAGGTTCAAATCGACTTTGCATTTAGCAGGACCCCACAATGCCATTCATATGTTCAGTGACAGGGTGAATGCGGGATATTACAACGACTCGCGCCAGCTTCGCTCCTTTGCCCCAAGACTCTTAACATGTTTTGTGCGCTTTTAATCTTGGTGCATGGGCTTCCCTACACTGGATGATGGGCTCGCCTCAGCCTTCTATCTTGAACGTCGACGGTTGAGCAGGCAGAATTTGAAGAAACTGATACAGGTAATCATAATTCTCAAATCCATACACTATAATGCTGCTTATACCTACTTAGGAACGAACGTTGACGTTGCATCCTACGCTCGATCACGCATATGATTTGCTGTGAGCAAGGTCACCAGCGTTCTCAGTATCCCGCGTCGTAAACGGTTGAGGGTGATCTAGGATTACGTGTCGTACGGGACGAGCAAGAGGAAAATACTTGAGTGAGCTCAAAACTAATATGCAGAGATCATCGCAATGCTCACTCGCTGTCTGACTTGACGAAGTCATCATTTTCCTCAATGGCACTCGTAAATTCCACGTCATCTTCCTTGCATACGTTGCGACACATTTCCTGCGCCACCTTCAGATTGGCTTCGGCCCTGCGTACGTCGGCCTTAGCAGCGCGCAACTGCCTCTTCATCAATCCAAGCTTAATTTGGAATATCTGCAGGGCTAATACTGCGTCACTTTCGCGTGTGACAGCTTGCATCCAGCGCTGGTGGACGATCGTGAGATTGTATTCCGACTCACTCTGGTCAACATGGCGGAGCTTAGAGAACACAAGGTCAGGTTGTGTCATTGCGTCACGGATTGACACTCACCTCAGCCTGAGAGGCAGTTTGCACAGGAGGCATCGAGCGCACACGCGCCTGCATACTCCCATGTGCCTCCACTTGCGGCCGGTAGAATGACAGTGGGTGCGGTGCATGAACGGTGCGTTCAACGTTGGGCAGCAAGCCAGGTGGATAGCGGTCGTGATCAAACAGCGGTGTAAGGCCACCCTCAGGCACCTGGATGCCTCCGGCAGTGTAACTGATGTGAGGATATGCCGTAACATCTTCGTCGTCAGGTATGTGCCACATTGTGGCACGGGATCGGGGGTTAAGAACGAGGTGGTCGGCAGTCATGGGGTTTAAATAGGGAGACGGCCGAATGATAAGTCCTTCTGTATTGTCCATGTCTGGAAATTATCAAGTCCTAAGATCTTGATCTCCCATCAATTTTTAGGTGTACAGTAGTTGGCATCTGGGGAGGAAATGTGCCACCAATTTGGGTTCGTATCGGAAGAGAGGTTCATCCACTGCCATGAGTCCGGGTTCGTCAGTACGTCTTCGTCGTTCTACATCTCAGCGGTCGGTCGGAAAGCGATATTTTATCTGATTGTTGCTAACGGTACAAGGTGTTTGCTTTTCAGTTCCACAAGTACACCGGAACTCATTCTTTGTCAGGTGAGCAGTCTTGGACTGTTTTACGGCCTATGCCTTGTTCACCGAAAGTCGACTTTGATTGTCTTCCACTTCGTGCAATAATTGTGGCCTTAAGGGCCTCGAATCCTTTCTAACAACCTAATTGTAACCCAGTCCTCGTATAGACATTTCTTTGTTGTCAGTTATAGACGCAAAATAGCCTGAAAGTTTTGAGGAAGAAGAAATTTCAAGCGAATTTCTGATATCAGCCATGTCAGTGAGTCAGCGTTTCAACATCTGACTGCGTCTAAATGGAGCGCTCTCGGCCTAGAAATCGAACCTCAACATCGAGCAAACACGGGAATGCGCGCGGATATTCAGCGAAACTTACCACAATTGTCCTGACTCTGCCCGGTTGGTCAACCAACACTGCGAGTACACTCTGGCGAGATGCACTACCATCCGGCATTTGGGACTACTGACCTCTTTCGCCACCCCAGGTTTAAACCAATACTGAGCTGAACTCGGGTGCAATTTTCAGTTGTATATGATGGAATATCCTCGGATTTACATGCACCATCGGTCCGAACATTGCTTACCTTGTGCAATGTGACACTCACAATGGACAAGACTTTAGAAAGCTCCCACGCATGCTTGCACTCCCCAAGTCTCTTCGGATTTACGCGCTCCGTCGTAGACGACGTGATGGAGCTATTTTTTGGACAAACGGAACAGACAACGCATGAAGTGCTTGTGCTGATGTGACGAACATCGGTGGGAGATATTTACGCTATTGTAAGGGACAACTTGAACCTCCCATCTACCTTGTCTCCTTTTGCTTTCCCTCAGCAATCAGCATATCATTCTCTTCGTCCTTTATGTTGACACCAGCAACACCTTCATACTCGGTCGCAAACTCAAAGCCGCTCACCTTGCAGAAATCGCGGCTCTTGTCCAATATGACTTGCAAATATTCATCGGCCTGGCGCACGCGCTGTCCAGCGGTGCGCAATTGCTTCTTCATCATGACCTGCTGGATTTGGCATCAATGCAACCGCAGGGCCGTGGCTTGCTGGTAAGTGACCCGCCTCCGATTTGCTGTGGTGCGCCTGGACGAGGTCAGTCGCGGAGCACCTGCATCAGGAATACGACTTTGCTCTGGAGGCCTCTGCACTGCATTCCGCGGATGCCCCGGAGTCACGGAGGAACCCCCCGGCTTTCCGGATAAGGGCTTCTCCAGAACGCAATGCAGAGATAACGCTGTCTCAGGCTGAGGCATCATTGGATTTCATAGTGCAACAAATAGAGCATATCTGAATGTATTTGTCGTGGAGATTATTGCGAGACTCATCGTACAAGCAAGGTTGTTGCCGACGCCAGGCAGCATTTACCTAGTGTATTTGTCGTGGAGATTATATGCTGTTTTACTACTCCAAGTCCCATGGGCCATTTCAGGACTGAGGGCCTCATCGGCCATCCGAGAGTGTTCACGAGCCATGGGTTGGATCCTGTTGTGATCTACCTGACAGAGGTCACGCACAGCTTGGGGCTCATGAGCGGGGACATCTTCAACGGAGCATAAAGGAAGGTCCTTGTCCAAAATGCTTTCCACCACGAGGATGGACACTCACAGCTGATGCATCTGTCGCGGGACCGAGCTTGAATGAGTGCGCACTGGACTGGAGTTAGGAGCGGCAATGCGGAGTTCTATGGCGATGAAGAAGAGACAGGTGGAATGTCCTTGAGACGCTTTAAGAGTCGAAGGAGAATGTGCCAGCTACGTACAGGATGCAAAAACACGGGCAGCGTCGGAAGGCGGTCTGTGTTAGACGCCACCAGCGTTTCCGTGTTGACCAGAACCCACGGCGACAGAGACCTTTAAATGTCTGACAGTGCTGCTTGACCGGGCGGAACCGACTCGAGATGGATCTGGATTGGTGGCAAGCCTGCGAAACTCTTACCGAGAGGTAGTCAATTGGTCAGAATCAGAAATACCCAGCTGATGAGCTGAGGGACTATGACAAGTTCTTTTCCTCCCTTTTCAGACCTTTTGTCTTCCCATGTGGGTCGACGGTCGTAAGACGACTACACCTTCCAAAAGCGGTTGCGCGTATAGCCTCCCATCCGGCGCCGCCGCCTCTTCCTTCTCCCTCCAAGGCTGTGGTGATGCAAGTACTGGCATCCTGACATTGAAAATATTTGTCTACGGAAAGAATAATTTTCTCTGCAAGTCCTCTGCTTAATGGGGCACAAGAAAATGACGGCACCGTTTCCACGTCGGTCGTCTTCAACGTTTCAACCTTTACGTCCCTGTCAGAAAGCTCCTTCACCCCTCTCGTCCCAGCTTCGCCACAATGTTACACGGTCTTCCCCTGGGAAAGTTGAACAGTTTTAACGTTCATGGTCCCCATATGGTCCCATCCGTTCAAGACCCATGCGATGTCTCACCAGGAGAAACTCCCGGTCGTTCGCGCACGCCGGAAGCGCTTTCCTCTTCCTCTCCAACTCGTCCAGCTCGGGATCTCGCCCCTCACGTTCGGTCTCCTTTATCCCAAAGAACTCGTGCACGCCTTCGTACATGTCGTCCATCTCGAATTCGCTCGGCACACCGGCGATTACGCAGTCCAACGCGTACGAGATCCGCCCGCCTTTAGACAGGTAGTACATTACCGCGTCCATTTCTACGGGCTGGAGTTCGAAGGAATTGGTCCACGGAAGATCGCCATGGACTTTCCGCAGAATGCGCTCTTGAATCTGCTCTGCTGTTGGGTTGCTCGCGTCCTCGATTTCTTGTATGACCTGGCCTATGGCGCCGAATATGACACGAAATCCGAAGTAGAAGACCACGTCGATGCGGGAGCGGAGACGCGGAGGAATGTACGGCAGCCCTTCATTGGTCAGGATGCTTTGTTCTGTAATCGGCTGCCCGTCTACGAATATGCATTTCTGCATCTCCAGCAAGCTGTCGTAAAGACACTCTGCGCATGCTGTTGAACCAATAAGTGGCCAGAGTAGCATGGAACGAGGATATGCGCACCTTCGAGGGCGTAACGTATTTTCGGAGAGAGCCACCCACCCACGCATTGTCCGCACGTACACCCCCAGCTGTTCTTTTGGACGTACTCGTCGTCGGTTCCCGCGTATTGTCCCATTGCTCTCTTGAGCATGGCCTCGACACGCAATCCGCTGTACGAGTAGCCCAACCATCGCCTGTGTCTGGTCTCTTGAAGCTCTCTAGTCAGCCGCAGCTGGTCCGTGCAGAGCATCAAGGGTGTCCTTAAACGTGCGTTATCCCGCTTTACGAGGTCTTCTTGTACTCCGAGCTCGAGAAGGATATTCGTTGCAATTAAGTTATGGGCTTCAGCTGCACGATGAATGGGTGTAAAGCCTTCGTCGTCTTGCCTCCGGATAGACAGTGGATTCTGCAAGAAAGTGGCGCGGATAATTTGCTCAATATCCTCCTTCGTTGCACAGAAAATCTTGTTGTGAAGAGGATATTTCCTGGCGTACTCTTCCTTCTCTTCAACCTTGTTATCAACAAATAGCTAGGATGAGGTACCACGGAGTAGACGATTTTGTACTGTCGCTCTGACATCCGCTTCCTCGTGGGTGCGTAGGAAACCAGCATCGTTGGAGGATGGAATTTTGCGTGAAGGGTGGCCAATAATTGTGTCACCCCGACTCGTCTGAAGTCGTTCTGATTCACACTATCAGTAATTTTCATATACACGCGTCTATGATATGGGGCGCACCTTGTGATAGAAGGAAGAGAGATTCTTTGTCTCTTCGTCATGTTGGCTCTGATCGTGGAGAGTCGGCCAAGCCAATATAATATCGTCCTTTTGGACATGTTCTGATCTCAACAGGCTTCGTAAAGCCAGAGAACCAAGTCCTCGACCACGCGACTTTGACAAGTTAATGCCTTGAAAAGTGAGCTGAGGAGCGTTACTCACTGCCTCGTCAGGAACGCGCACAGATAAGATGTAGATGAGCATGCCGTCGCTCAACTCGTTCCCCCAGCAACCTGTACCCTTCAATTGCTCATCCTCGACGATCCATGGTCTCACCTCCCCGTACTTGGTGAATAATACTCGCCCCATCATTTCGAGCTCATCGCGGTCCTCCATGTCACTGTCCATAACCTGGTGGAACCGGCCCTCGCATGCGATACGCCGGTCAATTTGTACCGCACGCAGAGAAGCAACCTCTTTGCCTCGAGGGTATCTGACTTTAACATCGATGGTTTTGAAAACAGTGGGATAATCAGTCTTGGCATTCTCGTCTATCTTGACTGTGACTCTGCAGTCGCTGGGACGGATGGAAGGACCCGCGGGGCCAGATGGCCGGCGGGGAGAGGGGCGTGGAGTGGGCATGATGGAGGAAGGAGAAAGAAGACGGGAGCCATTTGAGCAACCTTGCGTCCTATATAGCCTGCTGACCTCACTTGGACGCAGAACGAGGTAACACAAAGCACCGATGTGACGTTTCGATCTTCTTTTCCCACATGGGGTAACCAAATTTCCATATGTGGGACGCTGAGTTTCGCGTCCGTCGTGGAGATCCAGATCTTGTCTGCCCTCGCTCAACAGGGATTATATATTATACTCAAGGGAATCTCAGGCAGAGCGCCTTCACGGCAAGTTCCACCTGCTTCTGGTCTGACGCCTCCCACTGAAGTTTTCTCTCACAAACGCACAACGGACGACCTCACAAAGCTGGACAGCCAATAATGTATGTCCCTACAAATTCACCGACTATGATACACGCTAGCAGGTACACGAGGTCAAACTCACACATCCTCGTCGGGTTCACCTTCTGCGTCCACATCCTCTTCGCCCTCCGCATCCTCATCCCCACCAGCGTCGAGCTGAGTGATATCATCCCCATCAACCTGCAGAGCCTCCTCGGGTGCGTCAGAAACCAGCAGGTCTATCGGTTGTCCAGCCGGAGACAACTTATTCGCCTCTGCTCCCGACTCCTCCATCATCACCGCCGTGTCGTCACTGGGAACGCTGTGCTGGCCTGTCACCGCTGTGAATGGAGTGTCTACATCCTCATACTTCATGTCGTCCTCCGCAGGCGCATCCACAACAGCATCCCCCATCTGAGTCGGTTCCTGCGGTACCTCTTGCTGACGTTCATCCACGTTGTCTGCCATGTTGACGTCCTCGCCATTATCGAGCGGTTCTATCTCGAGCGCAGGAAATTCGCTTGGTCCAGACAACGAGGACAATGATGATGCAGATGGTGGACATGAGCCAGGACTATGTGGTGAGCTGCCGTTCGCAAGCCGTAGAGGTTTGTGTTGACTTCGGGTGCACCTGGAAGGCGTGTCAACATTCTCAGGTGCGTGGCGAACACTACGGCGCAGGGGCAAGGGCGTGGGGAGCGTCTCCATCTCAGACGCAGACTCCACCCGCCGACGCTTGCGGGGAGACACGGATCTTGGCGCCGACGTAGGCCTCTTCGCGTCTTGGGTTGCATTCGATCTCGAGCGCAATTCGCGCATCGGCCGCATCCCGTTGCGCGCAAGCCTAGCAGGGGAGGCGGCGTCCTCCATCGTATGGTCTGCGCTGGATTGACCGTTAATTCTCGTGCCATTGCTCGTCGTGGCTCGGGTAGAGCGCCCCTTCCGCAGAGAAGGAGAGGGTTCTGGGCCTGTCTTCGTTGTGTCCAGCTTAGGGAGGTCATATGACATATCCCGACTTCGCAGGCGTCGATTCGACGCAAACTGCTCCTTGGCCATCTTGAGAGCCAAGGCTCTATCCTGCTCCAGTTGCATCGCATGCGGGGGATCAACACTCGGAGACCGCGCCAAAGGCTTCTCGGTGATCTTTGCAGGAGTGTTCTGGGTACCCGGGGTCACGACGACGACGTTGTCGTCGTCAAACAGCGCGAGCGCCGGCGACCTGGTAGCGTCCATGATGCTCGGTGGATCCACGGACTTCCCGGGTCGAGGGGTTAGCGGCGCATCGAGGCCAGGCGTTGCGTCCCACTCGGCAGCGCCCGTCGCGGTCACCGGGGTTTCAACCACGTCCGCGCTCTCTGTTTCGTTCGCCGGCAGGTGCTCCGGTCGCCGCGTGCGCGTGAGGATCAACGGGCTCCACTTCAGCTTCTCCGGCTTGAGCATTAGGTAGTTCTTAGCCTCCCATCTCGCTAGGTACTGCGCGACCTCCTCCGGGTCCCAATGTATCATATACTCTTTTGGAGGCACGAATGGGCCCTTAATCTTCTCGTCGTCCTGCGTCTGGGTGCGTTGCAGGTGCTTCCGCGCTATCCCATTCTTGCGGCCCTTCGGGAACCTGATGCTCTGACCGGGAAGCGGTCTCATGGGAGTCGCTGCAACGTCAACTCGGATCATGTTGAGGTGCACGAGAGTGGAATGTATATCTTCGATAGTCATCGAAGTGGCGGCGCTGATATCTAGAGGATCACGTTTTAGCAAAAGGAGAAATTTCTAGAAATACAACATGAACAACCTTCCAAGCGGGGGTTCGGCGGTGCCGCGCGAAGATATCGCATAAGGGAAAGTGTCCAGTAATTCCTGTATCCTAGAGCGCCAAGAGCAGAGAGTGGCTTCTCCGGTGAACCAGCCCTTCCCTCCTTCTTCGACAACAGATAGCCTAGACAGCCAAATATTCAGAGCCACAGTAACATAACTGGCATACGACTCACTAAAATCGATGAGCAAATTCCCCCATCCCTGTCGTTGGCGCACGGGCAGCGTCATGATGCAACTGACATTATAGTCTTTGGGGCTCTGCTTCTCCTTGCTGAAGTACCCGACAAAGTGGGCGCCCACCTCGTCTACCTCAGTTATGACGTAGAAGAGGAACGGCTCGACGTCGTAGAAAAGCGACTTGTGATCGAGAAACATCTTGGATAGTAGACACAGGTTCTGGCAGTAAATTTTGTTTTTCCGCCCGTCGACCTCAAAGATGGAAGTCGCGCCGTCGCGATAGATTTCGTCACCGGGCGGGTGCCGCATCTTGCACTTCATCTGAGAGCGAAAAGGGGTATAAGCGAGCAGCAACTAAAGATAGGCTTTGGTTTGCGGCCTACCTGGTGTCGCCCCGCGCCAAATCGACTCTTCATGTACTTGAGGCAGAACTCGCACAACCATAGGCGTCCGTCAGGTATGCTCGCATACTCCTCTGGAAACGGCGCGTCGTACCACGTCTCGATATCGTAGTCACCGAAGCGTATCCGCTGGATTCTCAGGCCGTTCGGAGGTTTCGGCGGTGCCGGACCAGGCGTTGACACACTGGGCGAATGTGACGGCTCGGGTGTGACCCTGGCTATCGGTACTACAGAGATTTGTGTAGCTGAGCGCAATGGTCGGCTGGACGGACCTGCTCCAGCCGTCTCTGGTATGTCCGGCAGGGTTGGCCTAGGAAAGAGCTTTTCCTGCAAGAAATATGAGCAGAATGAAGGACTTGGGAACGCATATACCCACCTCCGCCGTAACCCTACTCCTCTCGAAACGCTGCTTGTCGCCGTTTGTGATGGATGTGCTCGTGGTATCCCGATCTTCAGGGTTCAAGAACTCGTCAAACATGCCAGATTTAGGCTCTTCAGGTTCTTCCTCACGCGCTTTCCCTTTACCCCGGGGTGGAAGGCGCAGTCGGATGACGGGCATGGCCTTGGCAGGAGACCCCGGTGGGACCGGAGAGCTGAGGCGGAGGCGCATGCGCTTGACCGCACGCGGCACAGAGAGCGTCGCGTCAGCCTCGTCTGGCTCGTTGAGCATCAGTCCCTTGCCCTTCCAGCGGCTCTTGCTCTTCTTATGACTCCTCTTCGTGGTCGGCGGATCGTCGTTGTCTACCTCCACGACCACATCTTCGTCGGAGTCGTCCGATTCTGACACGACGATGACTTCGTGTGGAGCCTGACGCGTAGGGTGACCGTGGTCAGGATGGTCGTAGTCGGGTATATGAGAGGTGGATGCTACAGATGCTTGGCGGAGCTGCGGGTCGATAACTTCGTCGACCTCGTCGTAGGGAGGCGATTGGTATTCTGGTGCAGATGCAGATGCATGGACAGGTGGAGGCATGAGAGGAGGACAGAGTGGGCAATGCCATCTTCCCGGGGGTGTTTCTACCAGCGCAGGGTCCAGACAATCCATATGCCAACCTGGGCCAAGCAGGTCAACCATGGATGGTAGAAAAATCGGCATCACACACCTCTATCACAGTAGTCACAGAATACCATACGATTCTGCAGAGAAGTTGAGCAAGAAAAGCGTAAGGTGCTGTGAGAAGTTAAGACATACATCGCCTTCCTTCTCATGGCACACTTCGCAGTTCTTGCATTCCGCGCATTTCCAGTCGTATGAACGCATGACCTCGCCAATATCTGACAAGTCCATGCAACTGGGATGTCCTGCCAAGCGGGTACGCATCAGTAAGGTACAGTATGGGAACACAGTAAAGCCCACCACTGCGGCGACAATCCGCACAAGAAACCATCATCTCTGGCACACCGTCTTTATTTTTTGCATCGTCTCCCTGACAGTATCCACATTCCTCTTCACGGCGAGGCTGCCGCTTCTTCTTGGATGGCCTTAGTGGCGGGGGCGGTGGCTCTTCGACTTGATAATAAGCAGGCGAAGGCTGGGGTGCAAACGGGTCGCCCTGCGGTCCCTGTGAATACTGCCTTGGCGGCGGAAAGGGAAAACGATGAAAGGAGGGATGGGCACGGACGGACTAGTCAACAGTAGTCAGTTGTGATCGGCACCGCGCCTGTAAATGATCTCGCGAGAGCGCGACGCGACGCGTTGCACTCCGCGTGAAGTGCGGCAGACACGTTACTCGGCGCACTCACCTGCACATCCGCGACACCCCCGTTCATGCCCATCAACGCCGGGTCAAATTGCGGCGCATTCAGCGCGGGGTCGATTGGTATGGCATCGCTACCTGCGAAAGGAGTGGTGCGTTCTGCGGACTCTGGATGGGGAAAGCTGAAGCCGTCCGTGTACGGTAGGCTGCTCATCACATGAACTGGCACTGGGCGAACTTGACGCAAGCGGAATGAGAAGCGGTCGCTCGTCGAGGGCGACGGCGACGACGGTGTATGGAGATTGTTTGTGCTTTGTTTGGCGACGTGGGCACTCAGCTCGGACTTTGGAGCTCAGGGTCAAATTTGCAGCGCGGCGGCTTTCACTCTCAGCGCACATGCGGCGACGTTGGCAGACAACGTGCAACTGCTCACGAAAATGCGAGTTCGTCGTGAAGGACAATGCTCGGCGACGAGCGTGGAACGGGGGTGCTGGCCACTGGCACTGGCAGCTCGGCAGAGGCGAGACACATAAGCGGGCCGGCACGTGAGAAGGGACTGGTGGCGGCGGCCTCAGTCGCCGTTGGTTCGATGGGCTGGATAAATGCACTCGTGAACACAGCTCTGCAGCTCGCCGTAACAAGACGTTTCAATCGCCACGCTATCGTCCGTGCGTATCAGGAGAGCGTGAAAGATCCGTAGACACCGTGCACCGTGCCCCCATTTGTGGCGTGGCCGTCGCGGTCCTTTCGCTGCACTTCGAGCCTTCTGTCGCCCGCGGAAAATTCAACCGAGTACGCGAGTTGGCAGCAGCCCTAGTAGAGCAATTTCTGGGGTTCTAAACGGCGCAAAATACCGGGAGAGGGAGGTGTGGTGGCCTGCTTCGTAAGGGTGGCTGAAGGCGTGGCTCATACAACCAAACAACAAATAAGGCTCCGTGGGCAGCGTCTCCGAGTCGCAACTCGTTCTGGGTCAATCACCCCGATAAACATCGTCTCCCTCTCTCTCTCACTTCTACCACCACGTCCTCCACAGCCATTCTGACCATGCAGACAGCGGTGCACCACCTGCAGCCGCAGGTGTTGCCCCAGTATCCTCGCCAATCGCTCAATCGCCCTCTCAACACCAACCCGGCAGCCATCCCTACTCCCCCGATCGCTCCACGCAAGCGCAAGAGGCCACAGCAGTATACCGTCAACTACAGCGAGGTCCAGGAAGTCGATAGCACAGGCCAAGTTCGCGAGGTTATCATCATCGAAGATACCCCGCCTCCTCCCACTGCTTCACCCGCCTCAACGGCGCATACGCAAATCTATTCAGCGTCATATCAACCGCCGGTGTACTCCGCACACCCTAGAACACGGGCCCGTGCTGCTGCAGAGGCGGCGCAGCTGTCGGCCAGCACGTCTTCTGCACTCACTGCCCAGCCAGCGGCGAAGAAGCGCAAACGAGACCCCGCCGACGATGCTGGCACCGTCACGAAGAAGGCGAATGGCCACCTGTCGACCGTCGTAGTCCCACATAAAACACTGGCCAGCGGTAGCGGTATCTTCCCTGAGACTGTACGTCGCTCGGGCTGTGTCATTCACATACTGTCAAATGACGCATCATCTCTCAGGCGTCTAAGGATCAGGTCCCCTGCGACGACAAGGAAGGACACTACATAATCGTGCCCGACGACATGATCTACAAACGCTGTGAGTCTCTATCCGCTCCACGTTGAAGGTCCGTGCGCTGATAGTTGTTTATCAAGATCGTACGGTCCGTCTTTTGGGCCAGGGGACCTTCGGAAAGGTGGTCGAGGCTGTCGACACGCACACGAATACAAGAGTAGCTATCAAGATCATTCGCGCGATACCCAAATACCGCGATGCAAGCAAGATTGAAGTCCGTGTTCTCCAAAAGCTCAAGGAGCGGGATCCCACCAATCGGCAGTAAGTGGCTCGACGGACGACATTCGTTCCCTGGTTGACCGCACCACTTCCTGTAGTAAATGCATCCATCTATTGGAATGGTTTGACCATCGGCATCACATATGTCTGGTATCAGAGTTGCTAGGCATGTGTGTGTATGACTTTCTCAAGGAGAACGAGTTTGCGCCCTTTCCACGTCAACATATACAATCATTTGCTCGGCAATTACTCGGGAGTGTGGCTTGTAGGTTTTCTCGCCCTTTTTTTTGTTTTTTGAAAACTCACCCCCCACCCACTTCTAGTTCTTCATGAATTACGTCTGATCCACACGGATCTGAAGCCGGAAAATATCTTATTGGTTAACAACGACTACCGGATTGTTACGATCCCTGCTGCGACTGGCAAGGTGGGCCGCCACAACACTTTTGTGTCGCGGAATGTTGACCTCCTGTTTCACGTTTGCCAGCGCAATGCCACACCACGGAATAAGCGAATACTAGATTCGACGGAAATCCATTTGATTGACTTCGGATCTGCGACCTTCGAGGACGAATATCACTCCAGTGTCGTGTGCACACGTCATTATCGTGCTCCTGAAATTATTCTCAGTGAGTTAGAACTCCACGCCACGGGTGTCTATTGTGTCTCATCATTTCACACTTGAACAGGTATGGGTTGGTCTTTTCCTTGTGATGCGTTCTCCCTTGGCTGCATCCTAGTCGAGTTCTACACTGGTGTTGCCCTCTTCCAAACACACGACAACCTGGAGCATCTCGCGATGATGGAACAGGTGATGGGTAAAATGCCGGAAAGCTTTGCCAAGAACGCCGAGCGGAATAAGCCGGAGTTCTTCAAGGAGGGCCACAAACTCGACTGGCCGAAACCCAAGGCGTCCAGGCAGAGCAAGAAAGAAGTGCGAGCTTGCCGCAGTTTGCAGGTTTGTGGTACCGCGAAATTTTTTGAATTCTGATCTGACATTGCCAACTTTGCGCAGGATATTATTCCAGGAACTGACCAAATCAACAAGCTGTTCCTCGACCTCGTCAGAAGGTTACTCACATTCGACCCCAGCAAGAGGATATCGGTGAGGGAGGCCCTCAACCACCCGTACTTCAATATCCAAATTCCCAACGAATTGTGACCATCCTTTTTTTCGCTTCTTTTGCGTATCGTCCAGTCGTACGATAAGGACAGGCCTCCTCTGTGACATGTATACTGCCGCGTTACAGTAATGCTTTCAGCTTTCAAATTTCACTGCGGCACCCTTGGCCCCTGCATCCCATTCCAGAACCGCTACGCTACCACGGAAGCTCTACCATGTACAACATGCAACATGCAATAGTGCGCAATATCTTGTTTCCCTTGCATCAAGTCCATCCCGTCTCTGTCACTCCGCCTCTCGTTTTTATCCCCATCTCCACCCTCATCTCCGTATACATCTCCATCTCCATCGGCTTGCATCCATCTTGTTCCTCTACTGTCCACCACATTCCTGCCTAATTCTGTGTCGTGTATCTATCTATGCACAGGGCCCGTATGTCTTAATTTTACTGAAACTATAGAAGCAGTTCGCTTGGCCGCTGTAGACTGGGTACGACGTGCGCGGGTCCGGACGCCTCACGAGGAGGCCCGTGAGCCGTTCGAGGTGAAGTTATCCGTGCAGGAGCGGCACAGTTCGCGTACACGTGAGATCACAGGTGCGTCTCGTTCCTCCGGCCGGTTGACTTATGGTGTATTTCCGTCCTTCGGAGGGCTGAGGGCGCCATTTCTTCTTCCGCAGAATTGGATGCACTAGTTCATGCCCGGAGGCATATTGTCGGAAATGGAGGCAGAGACAGATGTCTGTCCTCGCCTCTTCCCTGTGTTGGTCTACGCGGGTCATCCTACATGGCGTCTAGAGCGCCGCAAGTGTGACCGTTACGGCTCTAAGTATGCTATCGTTCACGGGCTGCTGGACTTTGCGCAGCTCAGATGCCGCTGACTGCCGAAGCACCATGGTGCACGGACCATGTATTTGAATGTCTAAACCGGATGGGCAGGACCGACCTCTCTCGCAGACACCCGAGTCCCCCCTGCTTCGCGGCAGCTACTTCCGTCCGCGCCACCACTATGGAAGATGTGTCAGTACAAGGACCCCGGATTATAGGTGGGGAACCCTGAGTGCCATCCGGACAAATTTTGGGCGAAATCCACGCACAACCCTGATATAATCCAGACAGTTTGGAAGAAATTTTTTGAAAAGCCTGGTGCTGGTGCAGACATTTTGGCCCCATAGAGCCCTCGGCGAGCGCCAAAATGGCGCTTTCAGGAGCCTGATGCCGCCATCCAGACAAGATTTGGGGGGAAATTGGCACTTCACCCTGATTTCATCCAGACACAAAGGTCGATTTTCGGGTTTCGGCGCTTAGACATTTTTGGGCTCGCCGGATCAGGGTTGTTCACCTATAATCCGGGGTCCTTCAGTACAGCTTAGTACAGGCAGGTTCACAACGGCGACATGATAACAGACGCAATATATTGCTCAGCAATATAAAAACCAACGCAAAGATATAATACATAGGCCGGGCGGATCAGTGCTACAAAGGGGGCGAGTTCGATTGCAGGAAAGAAGGAGCACGATGTTGGGAGCCTAAACTAGCTTAGCAAGCGAGATTTCGTTCTTGTTGACGTTGACGGAGAAGTACACGTTCTTCAGGAAGACGTCGCCGAGCTGGAGCACATAGATAAGCAATGGGTGTGCAGCATAAAGAACGAAGATACTCACAAGCCACTCGGTTGCAGTCCCAATCTGGCCCGAGGAGATGCCGGACACACAGTTGCCCTGGAGGTTGTTCACGTCGACAGGCGTGAACAACAAGTCTACCGGGTTAATGGCGAACGATTCGCCGCCGAAACTCAGTGCGATTGTCGTGTTTGATGTGCACGGGATCGTGAATCCACCCTGGCCGTCAGACTGCGCACCGGGGATCGTCTGGTGGACCGCAGTCGCGTCCGCCTCGGGAGCAATGATCAGGGTGGTGCCGGTATCCAAGATGGCCGTGCGGCCGGTGAGGCCGAGGTCCTGTCCGTTCGAGGTAACAGTGGTCATGTTACCCTCCCAGAAGCCCTCCGCATTGACGTTGGCAAAAGTAACGAGCGTGCTAGCATTGAATTTGGTCGTGTCCAACCCACCAAACGTCACCTCGCCGTCGTTGGGGGGCGTAGAGAGTCTGGAGATCTTGAAAGACGTGATGGCCTCGCTGATGAGGCCGGCCTGGGCGAGGGATTCCACAGGAGTCGGGGTCTGCTCCTCAGAGAGGTTCTGCCAAGAGCTGCATCAGTCAACTGTTGGTGACGAGAACTTCTGAAGGTACGTACAGACTTTGCTAGGCCCATGAGACCGTCGAAAGGAATCGTGTCGCTGGAGAAGTCCGTGCTTTCGACGTTCGCCACACCGAACGTGTGGTTGTTGAGCGCAAGTCCGGCCACATTGATGTTGTCGGTAACAATGTCGCCCTGGACCTGACCAGTACCGTATGTGACTTCAAACTGCTTTCCGGTGTCGATGAAAGTGGATGAACTCTGGGACCCGAGGAAGGTATGATTGCCCTAACATTGAGATATTCTGGTTCAGTGATTATCGCGGGCACGCAAATTAGACAACTCACGCAGCCGGTGTTTGTGCCTTCGGTTTGACAGTTCTCAGAGCCTACCCACAGATCTGCAGAGCCAGAATCCATGAGAATCTTGAAGTCTCGGGGAGGTGTTCCCATCTGGATCGTCGCGATATATCCGACGTCGTTTGCTCTTTAAAGGGAGTTAGAGCTACAACAGAAATTCAAACACAAAGACGTACTCGATGCTAAGACCAAGAGAGTTATTCGCAGTTGGATTCTCTGGAGCAGTCAAGCCGCCGTTCTCAGCGGCCTGAACGTCCACTTCCGGGATACCGGCACCACCCTGAGAAGCTGATGCACTGGGCGCGGAAGCAGAAGCACCGGTGCTAAACGGCAACAACGTTAACGGGGCTAAGACGGCTAGAAAAGTATGCTCACGTGGAATTACCCTTCTTATTGGCAGACTTGTTCTTTCCTGTCGCGCTGTCATGAGCTACGATGACATCTTCCGCTTCGACGACCTCAACGGTGGCATGCGATGGAAGGCCACCACGGTTGAAACGCTTGTTATGACGAGAATGCCTCAAGGTCGGTGGGATGTACATGCGCTTGTGGAGTTTCTCCTCGAGTTCGCGGGGAGAAGGCTCCATACGACCAGTCATGCGCGCATAGCGCTTGAGGCCACGATTGATGTGCTGCTGCAAGAACTGCGGACGCGTTGTTCAACGCGTGTACACCACGCCTGGAATTTACAACACTCACTACTTGGGGATGAATGTCAGTACGAGCTTGGTGCACTCGCTTCAACGGAAGCGTAACCAACCGGACCTCGCGTTCCGTAGGCCGTGCCTGTACGAACTCTCCGGAGAGAGACAGGGTCATTGAGAGGGTGGCCAGAAGGGCCGTCAAAGAAAGAACGAGCTGCATGACTGGAGCCTGCCTTGACTTTAAACCTCAACGCGAGAGTACAACAAAAGAAAGGACAGCTAGTGAAGGTCAGCACAGCTGAAGGCCCGGCCTTGGAAGTTGGAGGTGGAAGAGAAGAAGAGATTGTGCCCGTCGAAGCTGGCCGGGTGTTTATATACCACGAGCATGATTGTTGTCTCCGGAAGCGCTTCTTCCGTGCATTGTTACCAGGTGGAATTGGAAAGAATTTTCGCCTCCGTTGCCCAGCTGCGCATGCGCGCGACACACGTGATCCACGCGTTACTACCCTCCGCGGCTCCAACCAATCATAGTCAACAATGGGTTTCTCCAATTGCATCCCACGTACACATACAGCACAATACTCGGTTCGGCACGACAGGCCTGACCATCCAGAGCGTATTGTATCGTCACAGTCAGAGTAAGACACTCACTGACGATCAAAGCCTCGCCTTGGCGAGTGCGTCTTCCACAGCGACGGAATGCCCAGCGACATCTCTCAAGCTCGCCTCCACAACATCTCGGTACAGATCACGCTACACAACGCATTAGCCTGAGACCAACTCGACCAGAACACCGGACAAGCACTCGCCTTAATGACACCCCATGCACCAAATGTTGGGCAGCTGCGAACAGATTCCGCTACTTCCTGGGCTTTCGCCAAGACGGCGTCGGTGTCTCCCTTGACAATGTGATCGACAAGGCCTGCCTGTAGCGCCTCTTGCGGCGTGAAACGATGACCCTCTAACGCGACCTTGCGCAGGACGCGTGGGTCAGACACCTTGGCACGCATGATGGCAGCAAGGGTTAGAGGCCAGCCAGAACCAAAGTGAACCTGCCCAGATATTGTAGTTAATTCCGCAAAATCAGCCAGGACGCATGCTACCTCATTCATGCACAACCAGGCGTTCCTGCTGCTTCCATCTGTCATGACGCGGTAGTCACAGCACAGCGCGAGTGCCATGCCGGCAGCGAAGGTATGTCCGTTAAGGGCGGCAACGACGGGGACTGCAGCGCGTGGAGTTCAGCAGACTTTACGAAGCCATCCGACAGACGACTCACTCGGAAAAGTCAAAACTCTTCGCACCATTGGATTGAAGACGTCTATAACACGGAGTAGTGAAAACCAGACCCGTTAGAAAACAGCTGTCCACTGCGTACGCGGGAAGAACGTTGCAGTAGAAACGGGGTTGCTGTTTACGGCGGCGAAGTCGAGGCCTGACAGGACAATCAGCAGCTGCAAAAACATTATGTCCAACTGAACACCCACCATTGCTGAAGAATTTGTGCTGTGATCTGTTGCCGACAATGATCAAAGCACCCTCCGCGCCCTTCTTGTCCTCCGTCTGCCGTACCGCGCGGAACGCTTCGCGCCAGTGCTTCTCCACCACGTCCAGTGAGGGCATAAGGGCCGTGGTAATGAATTCCTCCGTTAGACGACTGTCCGCGCCATTGTGTAGCTCAATGATCCAGATGGCCGGTGTGGCTTAACACCGCAAGTTAGAATGAATGGATAGGCACTTTCCAAGAAAAACTCACGATGTGTAACGGTGACTACCGACCTGGTTGCGGGCAGCCTGACTGGATAGGACATTATGGTTGAGACTTCTTCCGGAAGGCCTGTCAAGGTAAAATATACATGAGTTCGCGTCCACACCGCTCCTGTGGGGTCACGATCCTTGCTGAGATGGTATCCAGCCGTCAACTCGTCCGCAGAAACTCGCAAAACATCATCCAACCCAACGAAGCACCAAATACCACATCCCAGAAACCCACTCTTAGAGAAAGGCGGAACTCACTCCTCGAGGGTATTTAGAACAGGCTGTAGCTATCACGTAGGGATACCGAGATAGTCGGTGTAAGGGTCGGCGTACCGAGGAGCTCTCCACCAAGGCTTCTTATAGCACCTGCCTTCGGTCAATTCACATGTTTATATTGTGTCCACATGAGCGATAGTCGTGATGCTCGGCGGGTAAGGTGAGCCTCCCGAGTAACAAGCCGGTAGCGCGCAGCCACGTGCCTATCTCGCTCTCCAACTCCGAGGAAATCCACTGGTCCCCTTTCGCACCGCAAAGTATCATGCCAGTTGACGAGGCTAGGGCCGCTGAACTCAAAGGTATGCAATGCTGCCATCTGGAGCACTCCCTTATCGTTCATGCGCCCTGTTAGCTCGCCTGAAAGAGCAGGACGAGATCATCCGCGAGTCCTGGGTCCGCGCAATGGAGGCCAAAATTGTGCGTGACAACATCACCAAGTGCTACCGCATCGAGGGCGTGAACCATGGCGAGAAGTGCAAGGAGCTGGTGGACAGGTATGCTGTGATGCTGAAGGAGAACAGGGTGCGTCTGCTAGTTTGTGTGTTTCGCGGCTTGCGTGACCGTGAAGCATTGCAGGTTCAAGGCTACAAACACATTGATGTATAGTGCCCAAGCCCTTGTGTCCCGAAGAGCAGATACGCCTGCAGGCTGTACATCCCCCTCACTGCAACTCACTGGCTATCAGAAAACAATGTAGAGCGCGCAGATTGACGAAGTGATTGCTTTGTAACACTTCATAAGACCAGTAACCCAGATACGCCATACCCCAGCAATGAAGAGCAGATAATAAGATATCCGTAACAGGTGCACTGCGGTGGGCTGTAGTAAAAACAAGGTGCTACGCATCATATCCAATTTTACATCGGCCTGCAACCCAACCAGCCTACTTATTAGCCTTCCGCTTCTTCCCCTTGGCTGTGCTCATCTCTGTGCCGCTCGTCTCGTCACCACTTGTCGCCGTCCCTGACTTCGACTTCTTTGTCCTGGGCTTCTTCAGATGGTGCTCGGGAATCCACTCTTCCTGATATCCACCGGCGCCGGTCGCAGTAACCGTACCTACAGGTGCACTGACGGAAGGAACGGCACGGCGCTTCTTGGGCTGAGGAACGAAGACGAGGTAGGCATAATACACCAGTGCACTGAGGAGGCCTGCGACGATCAGAAACGTTGACCACCTGCGCGAACGAATCGTGAGGAAGCCGTCGCCAGAACTGCAGAATGAACATACAGCTTGAAGTCGAACCAGGATCCCTCAGGCTCTACAATGGTGACTATGGAATCGTATGCCGTCACGCGGTATACGCGACCCTAGCAAGGGTGACGCAATTGAGTGTGAGGACGGTGGGAAACAACATCGAGGCGTACGTCTGCTGTATGATCCAGCCAGATATTCAGCTTTAGGTCTCCGGGCTGCCAGTGGCTGGTGAATAGTCTGACTCCATGAGTATTCCTGAAATGAATACCTTGAATCTGGGATAAATGAGTAATTGGCTCTGGTATACGAAATGAGAAGGAACTAACTCGCTGTAGAACTGATAGGGGAGTTGTATCTTAGAACCCTCGAGCAGAGCCACGTCGTATGCGAGCGCACTGGTCTTTATCAGTTTATTAGCGGGGTCCAACAGACCACGCCAGAGAAGGTGCTGACATTCTTCACCAACGAATTGGAATCTGGGTTATGGAAGGAGCCCGCGACACTCTTGATTGTCACATTGCGATCCGACAAATTCTCGATATTAATGAATATCTTATTCCTCTCGCCGTTCACGACCTCTGCGGAATTGTTAGATTCACCTGTAATTCCAAAGTTCTGGAAGAATACATACGACCAAATGCATTATCCTCCGGAAATAGAGCAGTAGCCAAGATTGCGGGCTCCGTAAACTCTTCAGCTTATATCACACCTTCAGAATGCAGCGGGTTAGAACTTTGAAATAACGCACACTGAGCAGAAACCAATTGAATGAAAGCGACAGAGCTAATGACATAACCAAACAAACTGTGGAGACGCATCTTGACGAGAAAAAGAGCAAGATGTAGCGTCTGACGGGTGGAGACGTGCCTATGTTATTGCCACGTCCAACTGCCCGATTGGGACATCCGTACGGCCGTGACCAAACGCGACGCGGGCCGCCCCCGGGTTAACATCTCCACCCCCTACGCGATCGTACTACATCTTCTTGTCACGATTAGATGGCCCTTGTCCACTTCGTGTCCAGAGTTGTTCACCTCCGTGGCAATGTTGTTGTTCAAGTTCACGGAAGATGCACGTTACGCATATTTCATGCGATGCAGCCCCACGACCAGGAGATTTGTCCTGGGTTGTCACACAAAACATTGGCCAGAATCTTGATCTCATTCACAGCCTACAGGTCTCATTCACAGCCTATAGGTCTCAATCACAGCCTACAGGTAGCGAGTCGTGCCTAACTTCGAAGGAGCGAATAGTGGAAACTAAGACATTCGCTAGTGTGGGTTCTCATTGCATGTTGCATGCTGAGAATGGACTGGCACCAGGAGAAGCGCTCGTCAAAGCACATTGACTTCGGTGTTCTCTCCAGCCGCATTGCTGTGCCAACGTGACAAGAATTCCTTTCGTCAAGCTTGTGACGAAAGCTGCTCAGCCAGCCCACATCTGCCATAACATGGACTGTGTGATAAATGGAATACGCTCCGATAAAATTCTCGTTGCGATGTAAGCATGTAACGCCGCACCTCTCAGGAGCGGATTCTAGAAGAACAGTAACGTGGAAGTCCCAGAAGACAGAAGATGCGATGCCGGTAACCGAAGGTCCAAACTCTTTTGACGCACCTCTCCAAAGCCCGACAAGAAAAGGATGCTCCTTCTCAATTACTTCTGGGTATGCACAATCAACCTCTGGTTTGTCCGTTAATTGCTTTCAGCCAAAACGTACCATCACACAACCAGTGCAGACTATAGGAGAATAATCAACCTACTTTCCGTTTCAGAAGCTCTTTGGCAACTTCTTCTGGGTCACCAGACGGATCAGGAAGCCAAAACGCCTAGAGAGTGTATTGGGTTGCGTTCAGAGTGTAGCATAAATATAGGCAGACTCACTAGTTCGGCACCAGCGGTACACATCATAGCGAAGCGCGGGTTAAACTTCACGCACCTAGAGGGACCAGGGTGCCCCTCCAAAGCTGCTATGGGCTGCAACCGTAAAGGCGGCGCCTTCGGATCCACAGTACCGCTTTTCGTCGGGAGGCTTGAGACGTCCCACACGGACACCTTCCCATCCAAACTACCGCCGACAATGTACTTGCTGTCTGGTGTCCACGACACCTCTTCTCCGCTATTGCCTCGCACAGGCTCTATGCTTAAAGGGCTGTTCATCTTCCTCCGCTCCAACCCAGTGTGACCCTCCAACTTTGCAAGTAGATGTCCTTCGAATGCATCCATGATGTAGTGTGCGTCGCCAGAACAGCCGACGAGGAGATACTTCCCATTGCTAGAGAAGGAGAGAGAGGTCATGAAGATAGCTCGGGGAGGGAAACTGACAAGGGAGAGCGTCGGGTCTTCTAGGGCGATCGCGAGGAACGGCGCCTTGTCGAAGTTCGCCTGGTCATAGAGCAATATTCGGGAGTAGTGGTTAACACCGACCGCGAAGACAAGGCCAGACGCGTCGTACGCAACGATGGGGGAAGATGGTAGGTTCAGAAGTCCTCTGCAAGTGGGTGTACGTAGATCCCACAGACGTACTGTCTTGTCCAATGAGCCAGACATGAATCCATCATCGACGGGGGACACCTCCAGCGACACGACCTTTTGTTTATGACCCTTGAAGTACTGTAGGTACTTATTGTCGTGTAACGAGTGGTATCGGATAGTGTCGTCCTCTTTCGTGGACGCGTGAATAATGGCAGTGTTTTTGTGTGTGAAGCGAGGCAAATCCACGCCGTACTTTTTAGAGTAGAGGGTCTTCAATGGTCTGAAAAGATCGGTCAGTGAAGCTGACGCCTTTACTCAAATCAGAAAGGAACTCGCTTGCCGGATTTGCAGTTGTATAGTCGAAACGTCTCGTCCTCTGCCGCTGTCATCACCTGGTCTCCTCTGTCATCGAAACTTATTCCGGTTATATGTCTCGGGCCCGCATTTTGCCCCCTCGCTGAGTGATTTCCTGGAGATGGCGGTGTTTGAGGATCTACAGAGTTCTTGAAGATCTTCGCAGGTTTCAGCTTGCTCTGTGACGACACCACATCAGAGTGGATTGAGAAATAATTTGGAAGGACAGTACCATGATAGCGGGGGTCAAACTTAGAGGGGGTGCAGCCGGCATCGCTGCTGCTGCATGACTGCTCGACGCAGTCGGTTGTGCCATTAAATCACTATGATGAAGAGCCGTCTGTAAAGATGTAGTGAGAGGGCGCGGCTCGGAGCGCGGTCACGGTGGCGGTGGCCCGAACAAAGTGAGCACGCGCGGGGTTTGAAATAATTCTCCTCGACACCTCTCGCGCTATGGCCGACCAAGACGAATGCGCCAAACTCTGGAAAGTCAACCGTACAATTCACGAACTCGTTAAGGACAGAGTCAGCTTTGCTTCCTGCTTTTACCATGCTCTGGCGCTCATGAAGTCTGGCCTCGGCTCAGGGCTTTCAAGTGTCCGACGATGAGATCCACATGGACCTGAACACTTTCCGTTCACATTATGCCAACAACTCTGGGAGCGTCGAGTAAGTAATGTAAGGATTTCCACAGACCTGCTATCTCTTACTATGGTCGTACTGTAGCCGTGCGCAGCTGAACTTCTTCACGAACCATCGGAATAATCCAATGACCCAAATTTTCATATATTTCTCGGATGAGAAGAGCGTTGGCGTAAAAACTATGAGAAAGTATGTCTACTCAATCGTTATGTAGTCGGTGAGTGTTACGAGCTTAGAGCTTTCTCTTAGGTTGCTTGGAATCCTGGAGGAGAAGAACATTCAACAGGGTATAATGATTTTTCCCGGGAACATGACACCCTCCGCGCGGAAGGTCAACCAACTCGAGTTTCTTCTTGTGTATTCTGCTTGATATTTCCGTCATAGGTCATAGTAGCAATGGCGTCTCAGTACAGATTGGAAGAGTTCTCAGAAGCTGATTTACTCGTCAACATTACACATCATACACTCGTCCCAAGACACGAAGTGCTCACGCCAGAGGAGAAGAAGGAGCTGCTAGAGAATTAGTATGTCATGCGAGATCCATCCGGATGAAGTGCCGAGCTTGAATTGTTTGATTGCAGTCGCCTCAAAGAAACGCAGCTACCACGTATCCAGCTGGCAGACCCAGTAGCACGTTACTACGGCCTGAGGCGTGGAAATGTCGTGAAAATTACAAGACCAAGTGAAACCAGTGGACGTTATGCCAGCTATCGTATATGCTTCTAGATGTGCATTGTTCCCAGACAATCCAGGCGTCGCCAAGACTTGTCTTGTTCTGTCTTTCCCGCTCTCTTTTTTTCTCTTCTCGATTACTTCTGCCTGTGTTGTTTCTGTGGCGTATCCAGCATTGTATAATCCCCTATGTGATCGCTAATCTCATCCTTGGGATAATTGACTTCGCGACGTCATGTCAGTCGGATGTCCATACATCGCTTCCTTGACGATTGCTCGGCGCCCAGAGACGCAGGGAAGACGTGGTGAGTGTTGTTTTCTTCTGGCATGCAATTGTGAACCTATGTTCATGCGGCCTAGAATATGCTGCAATTCTGTCGTATGCAGGTGATATTCCTGAGCTGGGAGTACACAGAAAGTCGTGACAGAAGTGCGGAAGGAACGCATCGATCTCCGCAGGATCTCGTTTCGCGGTATGTGTTTGACATCGGAATGTTCGCGTGACATGAGACCAGGTTGCACTTGCCGCAACAACGGTCTCGTTCAGTGCTTAGGCTTGAGGTTGTCCTTCGCTGGCTGTCTGGAGGGGCGGCCCAACGTAAGGCCGACCATATGCCCTACGCAGTGGCTCTTACATTCAACGTCCGCCATCGAGACTTCCTTGGAGATGGAAACCCTCGGTAGTGATCCATCAACAGAAGAGAATATACGACAGTACAAGGCTCGATACAGTCTCAACAATAACTCGGGGCATATAGGAAGCTTCGCAGCCGCTCGACTGTTCCAGCCTTACCGTCTGGACGTTTCTCCTATTCCTGTGTCTTCGTCCATGAAGCGCGACGGATACGGGTGTCACTTTTGCATTGTATGCGCAGGCTTTCAGGAGGTCTGGCACGACACACCCCGGCAAACCTGTGGTTACCGCTGCATTCTCGCTCCCGCTCATCGTACTGTTGTAGGAGGATATCGAGGCAGGGTTGCATTACGCCCATGTATGTCGTGAAAGTTTCTTGCACTTCTCATCATCTAATATGCTAGCTTTGCTCTTGGGTGGTCTTCTCCACATCCGATCTGTCGGTCTGTGCAGTCGTTTACTCCAAGCGTCATCCATGATCGTCTCCTCAATCCGTGGCGGCGAACCTTCGGCTCTCGCCTGGTAGGCCCATCGTGTTACTCATAGGCTAAAGACCGATTCTCGTAGGGAGCGCCGTCGATGAAGTGGCTATTCCTTAGTCGTTAGTGCTTCTGCTGGTTATGGCTCAGGGCAATGATCAAATTGTACGTGCATCCCAGGTGCCATGCCAGTGCTGAAACTGAGTGGTGCACGTTGTAATTTATTCGTGGGAGCGTCGTTGCTTGTTCAACTTTCCCTGTCAGCAAAGTGATCTCGACCTTTATCGGTGCCTCTCGCGTATGGCCAATGTTCATCGCGGACCGGGTGCTTGGTTAGCAACCTCGTATGGGTGAATGTTCGTGAGCACCGCCGACGTTTTGTGAGTCATGCTTCACCGCTCGATTCACCTTGAGTTCTCCGTCACATAAAAGGGTTTATTGTTGTGATGCGTAATAAGGTTCGGAAGATATCTGGTGGGGCCTGTGGTGTCGGGCGCGAATCCACTGGTTGGGCGCGCTTCGCGTCTCTCCCTTCTCTCAGTCAGTCGTGCCTTTGGCAAGGATCCTGTGCCTGTCCTCATCTGTGCAACTTCTTTACTAATACATCAACGTTATACTTCTGTTCGCGGATTGATCAGACTGATTGGCGCTGATACTCATAGATTCAAGATGCCACTGCACCGGCTACCATGCAGATGGTTGGACACTCTGCCGTCTCTGCCGCCTGCATAGGCTGATATCGCGACCGATGACGAATAGGGCACGCGTCTCAAGTGCTGGACAAAGATGCAGACCGCCGTGAAGCGAGATTTCTCATGCATGTCACGTTCGGTTTCTCTTGGTCGACAGTGGATTGCAGAGTGCTGTCGCAACCTATGAACCATTCCATATAACTCTTGGCTCGTCAAGTGATCGTAATGGTGCAATGGCTTTTCTGCTTGGTCGCCTTGGTGCGGCATTCTGGTTCGATGTCGTCAAGCAGTGAGCACGCTTGTCCATCATGATGTAGCTGTGGGATTCCGGCATACTGTCTTACCTGATCACATAAAAGAGAACGGAGCAGACGATAGTTTCATCCAGCGTAATGAGCGTGACCAGCTATAACTCCAATCTGCTCCCGACGGGTGTTCGATAATTTCACACAGAGCGTCGACGACTACTACCATTGGCCACCGAAGGATAACGGTACCAGGGTTTAGTGTCGCGCCGAGTGTCATATTCTTAGTGAGATTCCTGAGTTGCAATGGAGATTCGGAACCAAGCATTCTGACCGTGCCTGGTAAGGCAGTGTAATGTGCAGTTGGTACTGTAAATTACCAAGAAAGAAGAAAAAAAGTGAGGCAAAGAGTTCACATCCATTTGTTGGCATACTCTGCCTTCTGCTAAGTGCTGATTTGGGTGAACTTATTGTCGCACTTCGATCTTCTTTCTTGCAATCGGGGATCTCCCATCTCAGTCTCGGCGATTAGCGCCGTCACACTGATCATCTTTCAGTGTGGTTCCGCCATCCGGTGAGCTCTCTACGCCGGTTCAGAACGGAGCTATCGCTATCCCTGCAGCTCCCTTTCGGCACTCACAGCACCAGAGAGGAGCTTGTTTCCGTCAATGTTCCCGTCGCACAAGATATCGGACTATGTAACTGGCAACATACCCGGGACGTGACGTTTCCGCGCCACTAACACTAACCGTCAACTACGGAGTTGAAGCACTGAAGAGTCTCAAGTTCATACCGATGTTGCGCTGCCAACGGAGGAAAATCAGATTGACCAGAACGGACTTGTAATCGCCTTATTGTTTTCAGCTCAATGATAGCCGTAACATCTTAGTGAGTCAGGACTCTCCACTGCAGCTTCAACAGAAATTTCAGTCACTCGCCGCAGTTGATTCGCTCTCACTGTCGAATGATATTCCTCGTACTTCAACGTCACACATGTGACAATGATGCCCAGTGTTCTGTGACGTCGTTGTACCTCCGTTTTGCTCAGCTAGTCTGCCGAAAATCCTGTCGATTGACGCCGTTGTCTCCGAATAACCCGATTCTCACGAAGATATATTTCCAGCCTGTGTAAGTTTGCCACTAAACCCTGTTATAGTTGCGAGTCCCGTCCCACCACATGACAATATCAAAACCGCTTCAGCAGCCACAGCCCGAGGTATGTAGTAAATTCCGCCATCCGGTTCTGGTTTAGCGTTGATTATCTGTGGTCAAACTAATGGATTGTTCCTGGCTTCGTGCAGAATCCACTAAATTGTTTTCGGGAAGGGACACCTACGATGCTCCATTCCGTTATGCGATCTAGCAACGGATCTATCGCAGGGTCGTACCCCGGATTCTTAGGTGCGCTGGACCGCATATCGAATTTTGCGACACTCTTGCGGGGGCCATCGAGTCAGTTGTGAGAAGAGCCACAGTATAAAAGATGATTGGTACGAGATAGAACGACATAGCCAGGTTCTGTACCCGACATGCCTTCAGTCTCTCAGCAATTCGTCCTCCCAGATCTTCTCGCTGTCTGCCCTTTCCAAGGGTCGACTAACCCTCATTATACCAAGGCTGCTGCCGAATCATCAGGGTGGATCAACAGTTATAATCTGTTCAGCGACAGAAAGCGCGCCTTCTTCATTCAAGGAAGCAACGAATTGCTCGTCTCACACACCTATCCCTATGCTGGTTACGAACAATTCCGTACCTGCTGCGACTTTGTCAATCTCCTCTTCGTCGTCGACGAGGTGAGCGACGACCAGGACGGCAAGGACGCTAGACAGACTGGAAACATCTACCTCAACGCCATGCGCGATTCCAAGTGGGACGACGGATCGTCACTGGCAAAGATGACCAAGGAGTACGTCTTCTCATGCTTCCAATTCAGCTTCTACTGACACGCGAATTGTAGGTTTAGAGCGCGCCTATTGCAGCATGCCGGCCCAGGCTGTCTTCGCAGATTCTTGAAGCACTGTGAGGATTATGTGGAGGCGGTGGGGAGAGAGGCGGAGTTCAGAGAGCGTGGACAAGTCCTCGACATGGCTTCGTTCGAAACTCTGCGTCGAGAGAACAGCGCTATCCGTCTTTGTTTCGGCCTGTTCGAGTATGTTCTCGGTGTGGATCTTCCCGACCACGTTTTTGAAGACCCTATATTCATGACCCTTTATTGGGCGGCTGCGGATATGGTTTGCTGGTCGAATGTCAGTCGGACTCCTCGCCTTCTCCTGTCGTTGATCTTTAATGTCTTCCGTTTCTCAGGATGTCTATTCCTACAATATGGAGCAGGCCAAAGGCCACAGCGGGAACAACATCGTCACCGTCCTCATGCGTCAGAAGAACGTCGATCTTCAGACTGCGTCTGACGAAGTGGGCGATCACTTCAAGAAGCTGATCGATCGCTTTGTTGCCACGAAGCAGCAACTGCCCTCCTGGGGAGCGATGATCGACACAGCCGTCGCAGATTATGTGAAGGCGATGGAGCACTGGGTCATTGGAAATCTTATTTGGAGCTTCAGCACTCAACGCTACTTCGGCGTTGAACATGATACGATAAAGCGCACCCTTCTTGTTACCCTTCGACCCCGCGACGAGGATGAGGATGAGGATGAGGAAGAGGACTGATCCGTGCGTCTTTCATATAATGTCTATTAATTTACTCATTAAAATCAACAGGTGCCCCCATTTGTTGGAATATTGATGACATACTAAGCCTTTGGATTCCGATGTACAATTGCTCGCCTAAGCGCAATTTATCTGCCTGTTCTATTGCATCGCCGTCGTGTTGCGTTGTGTATCCCCAGATCTTTTCTTTGATTGATATATAAAGATGATGCCAATAAAAAATGATAGTGTGATCGCCGGCATCTCATCGGAGCTAAGAGTCGCTTCGTTCAAAGCTTCTACCTTCCATCTTCAGAATATGGGAGGTAATCTCCGCGAAACTTCTGTTTAAAAATATACGAAGGCGAACTCGCTCTCTTAGCTGACAATAATCCGTCTAATCGAAGCAGGACAGTGTTTGCAGACTCTACCAAGCTAAGATCTATGTCACATGTATACAATCAATTGGGGGGCGAACTATTCGCCTTTTTACTTCCACTGCATCTTCGACGCCAAGAAATCTTTAGTAAATACAAGTCCAAAAGCCGTTATGCAGGATGTGGGTTGGGTTACTCTGAGGAGTTAAGTCTAGGACCTAATGCTCTGATGATGAGAAAGTCCAAGGCATAATAGGCAGATAAACAGATGTGTAACAATCATCTCGATACGGCGATGTGACGAGGAGGGAGACGCGAGAGACGCAAGCGTCGCAGTCTGACTTTTGTACGGCTTCCGTGCGCATTCACTCTGCTACTTTGTCGACTTAGGCAGGAGGGGGACTCGAGGGCCTGGTGGTCGTATGCTCTCTGTGCATGCGCAGCAGGCGGTCCAGAGCCTCCTTCTGGCCGACAGCAAGCTCGCCAGACTGGATGCCCGAAGAATACACACGCAGAAGCGAGTCGACGTCGTCCATCGATTGCGTGCGGACATCTGCGAGCTCCTTGATCTTGGCAGTCGCATCCTTGATCTACAGGCACACAAGATCAGTTTCGGTTTCCAGTACGAGAGCGCTACTGTGGTGTACCTCATCGTCTGTGAGCTTCAAGCCGAGCTGCTCTACACGGCTCTTGACGGCGTTCCACCCCGTCAGACGGTGTCCGATGGACACGTAGCGCGTCAGGCCGAAGTCCTCAGGCTTCAAGATCTCGTACGTGGACGGGTTGTTGAGGATGGCCTTGGCGTGGATACCGGCCTTGTGCGTGAACGCGCAGTATCCTCTACAGCACGACCATCAGCACCGCTTCCTTGACAGAAATGAGGCATAAGACATACGTGACGGGGTTCATGAAAGGCACGTTGACCTCGACGGCCTCGGCGACCAGATTTTCGATCTCCCGGAGCATTGGCAAGTTGTACTTGGACTTGACGTACTCCGGATTTGCGGCGTAGAGGCAAGCAACAAGACCACCGAGAGGCGTGATACCCACGCGCTCTCCGATGCCGAGGACGGAAGTGTCGACGTGGGTCACACCAGCCTCGAGCGCTGTGTAAGCATTCGCAATCGCTAGAGAAAACATGGCAGTGAGTATGATACCTCGCGAGATTTATTATGGACGACTGTACGTACCCATGCCGGTGTCGTTATGCAGATGAATTTCGATGTCGCACTTGACAACTCCGCGTAATGTGCGGACAAGATCGTATACTTGGCGAGGGTTTGCGCAACCAACTGTATCTGCAATGCCAACACGGTTCACACCAATCTTATCAACAGTCTGGTAAATTGAGAGCAGGTCGACGAGGTCCGATCGGAAAGAATCCTCCGAAGAGAAGCGGACTTCAATACCTGCGGATCGCCGTCAGTATAACGTGAAAAGTTAGAAGACGATGCAGAGGCACATACCCTTACTCTTAACAAACTCGATCACTTCGATGGCAGTCTTGGTGATGTACGCCATGTCCTTTCCGTGTGAGAATTCACGCAAGAAAGACGATGTGCCAATAACGACGTCGACACCATCCACACCTGTGAACTGTAGACTGAGCTGTGATGGGATACGGTGTTCAGAGTCCACCAACCAGTCTCGACTGCTATCCGCGCATCGTCCATATGACAACGGATGTGTGTGAGGATCTTGCACTTCAAGCCGAGCTTGCAAATCGCTTCACAGTCTGCACAAATATGATAAAACATGTGGTAAAAGCATGAATGCTACCCTACACACCTCTGCGAGACTGCTCAGACGCGGCTGGGCTGGTGAGTTCGATGTATTCCACACCAAAAGCGTCAAGAGCCTTCGCAATGGCGATTTTGGTCTTGGTATCGAAGAAGGCGTTAGCGAACTGCTCTCCCTCTGTTCAGGTTAGGCGCAGACGTGTCAATCGCCCATCAAAGGTGATACCAGCAGAGCGCTGACCTCGCAAAGTGCTCTCAATAATCTTGAAATTCGAGACGTTGCTGAGGAAGTCGGATGCCCGAGGAGCATACGGGTTCCGCCGTTGTAACTCTTGAGCCCTGGCATTGATGCTATTGGCATGGCCATTCGCACCGTTCGTCTTCACGGAAGATGCGTGGACGGCCGTGCCATTGGTACCGTTCGAGAGGTCAACTGCAACCATCTGAGACGGATCATTTGGAAGAGAATCGCCGTTGAGGTGAGGGCACATTTTTTTGGAGAAGGAGCGCGTGGGAGGGAGAAGAAGGGGTCAAGAAAACACTGGAGGGACAATCTACGACGAAAATTGGACCTTTTGAGCACTCCACAACCTGCAACTTGAGTCAGAGCGTTAGGTCACGTGCACAGAAACCTCATGGCAGCTTTCGGCGTCTGTCATTGGTCCGTCAAAGCCACACCCCATTGGCCTCCCTACTTAGTGCTCATAGTACTCATCAAGCAACGATGATTGAATGTTTTGAATCTCTACTTCGAACGCTCTTGTACCGTAATGTCACGGGCGCCCTGGATGGTAATAAACAGCGAGTTCTCACTTTGGGCTTTTGCTCTCGGTGGTCAGAGACTTCTTCCAGCCTCGGTTCGGCATCGAGTTCGTGCTAGATTTTCAACCGGATGTGTACACTCATGAGTCAGAACCTTGACTCTACAATAAAGGGTAAGTTGTGCAACTTTTCACACCTTCAAGACTTTTAACGACCGCGCCATGTGGTGTTATGGATTAGCTCCTGCAGCATGCCGTCGGAAACCCACCGCAGTGGCACTTTGGACAACGCACTCTTTAGGCTATTTATGTTGCGGGGACGTATAAGCCATCTAGAAATTGTGAATGTCCTCGCACATATGGACGATATGTGAAAAGGTCCAGAACAATTTCTGACCCCGTGCAGTGGCCTATACGCATATTCGGAGCGCTCGTTACCGTTCGCCAATTGCCATTACAATAACCTCTTCCGGTTCATGACGATTCTGGTAAACCATCGGTACATTCGTTAGCATCGGAAACTTACAGTATTTGCAGTAGTTATAACAGTCTGACGCGCTTTCAATCACTGACATTGCCAACTTTAGGTGACTATGGATGACACCGCTCGGGTGCTGTTACAACTTCATTATTGCGCCATTTTTTGGGTTGCAGAGGAGATGGAGCTCTTGATTGTTCGCTGTCTTCATGTGAACAACCATGGTACCGGCTACTACGGGTGAACATGTCATCGCGACGTAGCGACGGCACATCACTGGCACCTCTTTCCCCTGGACGATCAGTCAAGCGTTAATGGGATGAAGTTCCTGGCCCTGGACCAATACACCCGATCAGAAGGAGCGAGCAAGATCGGCCCATTTCCTCGCCGGACACAGGGAGACACAGGGATGACAGAAACAGTCCTCTTCCATGAAGTACCGGAGCTTGTCGTCGAACAATCATGCCATTTTTGACATGGCGGCCGCAAGTGCTCGTAGCTTGGTGCTGACATGGAATGGTATGAGCCCTGGATTTCTTCAGCGCCCCTACGTCGGCCGGACCCATGATATCTCGCCTGGCGCTCCATCTGGGGTGCCAGGTGTGGTCCGGTGGTTCCTGCCTGTCATTGACATGGCACCGAAGGTCGATGTATGTGGCAGAATATGTGGTCTACTACCACATAGTTGACCGTCGCTAGCCCATTGTATATTTCTGATCGTCGGTCTTTTGCGTGCACTCTATTTGTGTATGTCGGCCCTTGCTAAACCCAAGATCTCCGGATCTCAGCGTCTCCGCCATGCCGTACAGTACGTTGCTTGAGGTATCATCAATACACTGTTACTGACATCGTACCATATTCCTTCGCGGAGCTCACAGCTGCACCATCTATCTAACGGCCCGCTTGTTACTGACGCTCGGGTAAATCCGTTGCGCTGACCGGTCGCGCAGTTTGTGAGTACTGCCCCCGAAGCCGGATACAGTATACACCAACTGCCAATCAACTCAACAGAACTTCAACCACGTGATCTGTAGGCTATGACGTATGTCTGCTTTTCTGTGCTGTCGGGAGTTATAAGTTACCGATAGACAAGGACGTTTCCCAGAAAAGACATTGACCCACTACTCTCCTACGTTCACGCCGGTTCACATCGTTGGCGCTGACCATGTCATCTTCGGCGAGGAAGGTATATGAGACGCCGTGGTTATCCTACCGCCGTCACGGTCGGATGTAGAGGCAAGAACCAACTTGGACGAGCCTGCTGGTGATGCTGGGAATTGTCAGTGTGGCGGAGATAAGCATCCGTCACCGATGGCAGAAACAGTTAAAACTGCGGTCTATCTGCAGTTCATCCTCACTCTCGACAACCCTGTTTCGGTCTCACTCCTTCGACAACTTCACCAACCGCGTTTTTGAAATGTTTTCCCTACCAAAGCAGTTCATACTCCCCGATCTCATCAGTCCCTGCCCATTCAAGGGCGGCGCGTTCAGTCCCCACTATACTAGAGCATCGGCTGCTTCCCGAGCTTGGGTTGGCAGTTACACTCTTGTCGCGGAAGAGAAACGTCACGTCTACCTCAATAGTGGAAGTGCGGTACTTGCCGCCCATGCCTACCATTACGCGGCATACGAGCAATTCCGGACGATCTGCGATTTCATCAGTGTTTTGTTCACGCTCGACGAAATCAGCGACGAGCAGAACGGAGCGGACGCGCGCACTACGATGAACGTCTTCCTAGAGGTTCTTACTGATCCTAACTGGGACGATGGCACTCAGTTAGCGAAATTTTGCAGGGAGTATGTCTTTTATTTTTTCTACGATGTTCTAGTATGAACTCATCAAGCGCCACAGCTTCAGAGCAAGGTTTTCCTCTACCTGTGGTCCCGCCTGCTATGGCCGCTTCCTGAAGCTTTGCAAGGGCTACATTGATGCTGTCATCGTCGAAGCAGAGCTGAGAGAAAGGGAGGAGGTACTCGATTTACAGTCGTACTTACCGCTCCGCAGGGCGAACAGTGCGGTACCCTTCTGTTTCGGGCTGTTCGACTACGCACTCGGTATCGACCTTCCGGACGAAGCATACGAGCACCCTATCTTCAAGCGCATGCTCACCGCAGCAATCGACATGGTGTGCTGGTCAAACGTGAGAGCGCTTCGAAGATTGCTGAAATATATTTTTTGTTTACGGTTAACTTTTCAGGATCTTTACTCCTACAACATGGAGCAGGCCATGGGCCACACTGGCAACAACATTTTAACCGTCCTCATGAAGCAAGAGAATATTGACCTGCAGGCGGCCGCAGACTATGTCGGAGAGCACTTCGGGATTTTGGTGGAGGAATTCGTCGCCGACAAGACACGCTTGCCTTCATTCGGTCCACATATTGATACTATGGTTGCGAAGCATATAATGGCTATGGAAACCTGGGCCATCGGCAACCTCGAGTGGAGCTTCGAAGTTCCCCGCTACTTTGGCCCCGATTACGAGGAGGTCAAGCGCACTCGTGTTGTCACGCTGTACCCCAAGAAGAATTAAGTAAGATACTTATCTTACTGCCATGCACTTATGGATGCTGATTGCGTTCTCAGGCGAGTTCCTAGATCATCTTCTATGCGCTCCCGTGTTAGACTTTATAAGTAACTCACCATGGAATAAACCCAGAGCTCGTTGTGGTTTATCGCGGAGTAACTTTCCATCTCACCCTCACAGTATTACCTATTCCATATGTCCTTGTCACGGACATACCCGCGTTTCCGACACGAGTCTCATGTCTAACGTGTTTGACTGTAGAAACTTTTTCTTGAAAGTGTATACTCCTTGATCATCTACATACATGCAACACTAATGTAGCTGCTAGAGTTTAGACCGAATTCCACACCTCGTCCCTTTTAATCCCAACACCTTGCAGCAGGCCGAGGATGCGAAAACCCCGAAAATGGGTATTTCTCGACCTCGGAGAATACCTCTTGGCGGGATGGAACCTCCAAGATGACTCGCGGAGGTCCTACACCGACACGATGAGTTTGCCACACCGCTGGAAAGTGTCCAATGCATGCTACCATCGCGTGATATCTGCTTCCGCCTCCCCGAACAGGCTTGTCTTTTTGATCTCGAACCCTTCCAATGGCTCCTCCGCCACGGCCGTACCTGCGCTTGTCCGGTAGTATTCCGGAAACTCGCGTTTCAAGAATCGCATGATGTGGCCGTTAATAAGCTCAAACTCCAGCAAGAAGCCGTCATGCCCCTCCGGCGAAGGGATAATCACCAACTCCGCCTCGGGTATATGCTCCGCAATCTCGCGCTGCTCAGACGGTGTGAACAGCCCGTCCGTCTGTATGCCGATGACGAGCGCCCGTCGAGGTAGGGTAGACAATACTCGAGCGAGAGCATGCGATTCGTCTTCGTTGGGAAGCAGCCGATCCCGTGACACGTCGTGTGTATCCATTTTGCGGGTAATGTGAATGTAACAATTTGCATCGAAGCGTGAAATGAATTTCTCTCCTTGGTACCGCAGATATGATTGTGCCGAGAATACTGGCGGTCGTGGAGGTGGAGTTAGGGAGCGAGATGACAGCGGGGTCCCGATTGGTGATGAAACGGAGCTGTCTAATGCTCCGCGTATCTTCGTGTTGCGGGACCCGTCGTTGTGTGCTGCCAGTGCGTCATCAGCAGGGGACATAGTTGGAGAGCGTGGGGGAGTTGGAATGGCAGACTTTTGTGGTTTGCGTCCAAATCGGCTTTCGAATGAATCACGCGAGCGATAGGTCAACAATGCGGCCATTCTAGCCGCAGCTAGACCAGACGCAGGCTGTGACTTGTAATACCCATCTTCATACGTCGGGTCACTGTAGATACTTTGGCGCTGTGCTTCGCCCCAGCTAATGCACCACGCTGAGTGTCTCGCGGACGTTGCGATGGGTATAATGTGCCGGACGTAGCCTGGTGGGGTACATAACGGCCACTCGAGAATCTCCATTCCTCCCATAGAGCCGCCAATGGCAACCGCTACCGACGTAACGCCCAGCTCGTCAAGCACCAGCTTCTGCACGCTGTATTTTATCGTGAGAAAAGGCATCAAATGAATTGCACGGATAGTACGATACCGGACATCATCTCGGATAGTAGTTGCAGGGAATTCTGGACCATACGACCTCCCTGTCTCAGGGTTGACGGTAACAGGAGACGCAGAACCGTAAGGTGAGCCCATAACGTTCCCACAAAAAATAAAGAAGCGGTTGGAGTCAAAGGCTTTGCCATGACCCATGAGCGGGCCCCACCTGCAATGTTTTATATCATCAGAATGAGGGTCTGGAGGAGCACTATGCTCACCAGTCCTCAACATCTGCGCTACCGGTGAATGCGTGACAGATAATCATCACGTTATCCTTAGCCTCGTTCAGTGTTCCCCATGTTTTGTACGCGATAGGCACTTGGTTAAGAACCCTGCCAGATTCCAACGTGAAGGAGGGCACAACATGTATGTTTTGGTCTATCAATGCAGCAAACGGCGAGGACATAGCTAGCGACCGGCTTGTCCAGGTGAGGTACCAACAGCGAAAGAGCGAGTTTCGAAAACAATAGAGCTAACGGTCAGTGAATGCACGAAGGTCATAAATAAATGCTCGAGGGGGGTCGCTTTTGGGAGTGACGGTATGGCGGTAGACTCGGCTAGATCAATGACTCTCTCAAGGAGATGGCGGTCCGAGTCGAGTGTTCGGATTCGATTGGCGCCTAAGGGGCGCCTCCATCACGTCAGGACCCCCCGCAATCCTCCACGAGCTCCGATCCCGCCGGGACCCATTTTCGGGGGTCGCGAGAGGCCCAATTTCGGGGATTTCGCCCCGAACTTTGCGGCCCGCCGGTCATTTTCGGGGAAATATGGGATCGAACCTCATATCCGGCAGAAAAACAGTTCAGAAATACTCTTGAGGCTCTTTATCGTTCTTCGGGCACCTCAGAGTAATATTAGTTCGTGTACAGACTCAGCAAGAAGAACTGTAGGTAGTATGTATATTAGGTTCTAGTTTTTTTGACCGAGGCAGTCTCGGTCCCTTCCTCATGATCGTTGTCTCCCCCTCGTTTGCGGCGCGCCGCAGCCTCAAGCTTGAATAATTCCGCGACCTTCGAGTTCAGCCGGGTCTTGATGTGGCCAATCTCTTTCACCCGATGGTCCAAGGCAGCACTGGGCTGCAGTACTTACTTCGAGTCTATGTTTGTGACTGGAGGGCTGTCGTGGGACTGGCCATTGCAAAAACTCGGAGACTTACAATCTCGCGCAGGGCTTTAGAGCCTCCAGTATATGGGGGGGAGGTTGCATGTGGTCGAGTATCAAGGTCGGCAGGGTGTCATTCTGAGATGGAGGTGTCCTGTCACACTTCGCAACGATGTACACTCGCAAAAGAGCGAAAATTACTATTTCTGTATATTCGGATATATATTGATTGCAGTCGGGACTGTCGCTCATCGCTCGGTGTGAGAAAGAGTGGCAGGCGATGGTTTTACGCTGTACGAGACGCCATCAAGGCGGGCCAACCCCGGCAAACCGGTCGCGATTCTCTCCCTTTTCGGGGATTTTAGTATCGGACATTCAGCCGGACGGGCAGTTTCGGGGAACTTTGGCACATAACTTGGGCCGACTTTTGGGCCAATTTCGGGGGTCCAAGATCGGAGTTTCCGCCTGCGACGGGCCCAAATTCGGGGATTCAGGCATCGGAGCTCGTGGAGGATTGCGGGGGGTCCTATCACGTCCGGCGCAACGGCATCACGGTGCGTTAATCTTTGTAGCCCGACGCCCTACATCTCACCGGCGCACAGCGGTGTCGTGCTCTACTTCTCAATACTGACGGTTGGGCGTAAGGTTCAGAGCGACGAACATCTTAATGGCGCATGCCAGTACTTGCAGCCTGCTCGGCATTGTTGATAACGGACTAACATGGTTCGCGTGCGTCGCCTAGGCACTGCGATACGAAAGCTAGAAAGAGCTGCTTTTTGATGTTCAAGTCGTGAGCTACGTCCACTCGGTGAATAGTGAGTACTGTGTCCATTAAAATATGCCGGAAGAATGTAATCTGAAGCATACAATTGCTCTGATTAGCAACTATCGAACTCGAGCGGGAGATAAACTGTGTTCGCCTACACCATAGAACCGCTTTGTGAGCTGCGAGCAAGAGAACGATTCACCCGGTCTACAGTGCCGTTCAGCTGATAAGAGTTTGTCATGGTAAGTGATGAGTTTGTAGTTGCATGTAATTTGACAGCTCATCTTGTTGTCCACTAAGACCGAAAATGGCCTAGTGGTCCAATTCTAACGGTGAGCCCTCGAAGTGATGGTTCGCGCGTTCTACGGGGCGGAGAACTTTGCACGATTGTTACACGTACTAGGTCATATAGCGTGAAGTTCGGTATGCGAGATCGTGTGGTGAGTCCTAATTGAATTCGTTTATCAACGCGAGAACTTTTGAGACTTATCCATACTCCAAGCATCGACTGATATTTTGTGTTGGAGGCGAACGTGCAATTCTTCTGCGGTCATCTCGTGCAATATGAAGTTGCGGTGTGTGGTGAGTCTCTAACTTTCGTTCGTCATCGCTAAGATGTGTGAAAGGCAAATGCTGACGCACCTTACAGAACCAAGGTCTCGCATATATCGTAGCGAAACCAGCGAGTATTCTTTGGCCAGCCAGTGGATCTCTGCATAGATGGCCGGTAGAAAGTTCTTCATAAGTCGGCCAGCTTCGTTGAGGCAACCATTCTTCTGTCTGGTAGCGCGCACAACGAGTTGGTCAGTGGGATGAACCTACTGTGGCGTCGTCTCCATTTCCACTCTATTGTCTCTGCGGTGAAACCTCAATTGTATGATAGTCTTTCAAGCTCGAATAGCTTGACATACCCCAGCAGAACAACGATGGAAACTCTGTACTTCGGCCTTGGGAGCTCTTCGTTTCGGGTGGCGATTTCATGAGGCTGCAAGACATTCGTTGGGAGCATACGGGCTCTCTCGATATTGGGACTTGGATCGGTGGCGTACTGGTATTTTTGTTGCCAAGACGATTCTTAGTTTGCGTTTTAGAGGTATCGACGCTGGTTGTTTCTTGTCTGTCGCGGTCACGTGGTGTCGGCCAAGCACCGCTAAAACAAGGTGTTCTACATTTGTTCTCGCTTTCTCTTTCAACCACCTCCCCACACCTGTCTCAACAGCTGTTTCCGCTTATAACACTATTTCAATATGCCTTTCACCACTGCTAGCCCTGCGGAGATTCCCCGCCCTCATTCAATCGACTTCAAATCATCCTACGTGGAGGCAACCAATGCAGACTCTTCGTTTGACGAACCGGAGGATCTGCGTTTGTCACACTTTGAGAACGAGTGGTACGCCGAAACCTCTGAGGCTTATATCATCGGCCCTATGCCCACCGCACAATTTCTCGACTTCCTACCGTTGAAGAACAAGGCGCGGATGCCGACAGCGCAAGGCGCATTCAACCATCTAGACGAGTGGGACATGGCATCTGGATTGGTGCGTATTTTCTCGCACACTTGGTTCCTCAGCTCACGCTTAAACTATCTGTTCATTTTATCTCCAGCGCCACTCCATCAGTAGCCACAACCGCTGCCCAGGATTTGTATTTCAGTATAACAACCCCGACGACGAAGAAGACGAGCCCGCGCTTATCATGAAGATGAGCAGCGATGACGACGACATTCGTGGAGAATACTATGAGCTCTTCATCGACGTGCAGAAGGACGAACAGGGAGATTTTCTCCGTGACCCTCCGCCAGGCGTGGACCGCGCCCGCCATAGCTTCCTCCGCACCCTCGGCCACATCCACAAATCCAAACGCGAAAAGGCACGACAGAAATTCGGCAGGAATGTTCGCTGGGCTACTGATGCGCTGGTGAACCAACACCGCCTACTTTACTTCTCCGTGGCGATCCATGGAACCTCAGCACGACTCCTTCGATGGGACCCTAGTGGGCTGGTTGCATCAGAAGCATTCAACCTTCATGAGAAGCCAGAGATTTTGTGCGAGTTCCTCTGGAGATTCGCCCACGCATCTACAGTCGAGAGAGGTTACGACCCGACGGTCGAGCCAGCGTCTAAATATGAGGAGTACCGCTTCAAGACCGTGCTCTCTTACTATCTTTGCGAGCAATTGGGTCTTTCCCTCAGAAATAACTCGCTCGACAGCCTCTCCGACAGCGAACGTATTATTCTCCAAAATTCCATCGACAAGCACTACGAGCCTGGGCACGTGGCTGCTGTCAGCATCGTTGAAAAGGTGGATAAAGCTGGTGTGCGTCAACTCAAGCGCTGCTTGGTGTGCAGGCCAGTCTCCACGTACGCCTCTATGCGGAGAGGCTGTATGCGTGGATTCTGGGGAGTCGTCGATCGCGCCATCGTCTTTCTCAAGGACACATGGCGTGAATGGTCACTCACCGACCAATGTGAAGGAGACGTGCTCGAGGAACTTCACAAAGCAGGTGTGAGGCATATTCCTCAGGTGAGGTGCCACGGAGATGTACCCGAGAAGGTATTATACGGAGATATCCCCACGCAGTTTTCTGGGATGGCCACCTTCCAGCGGACAACGCGAAGTAGGAGCAACGCGTTGATGAACACACCAGGTAAGCTCGTCTCGTCGAATTTATTGAATTTGAAAGTTAACTATGCCTTCCTCTAGCGTTTCAACGAACTCAGACTGATAGATATCGAACGGCGGAGTGGTTATGCCGCAGCGACCGCCAAATACTGGTACGCTCGCGCGTTCACTACCGACTGATACTTACCACGGTCGGCCTTCCGTTGCAAGACATACGGGGTACAGAGGAACTCCTCCACGCAACTTATGATATATATGAAAGTGCGTACATTTCGAGTTTTATCGTTTGGTTTTCATTTATCTTTTACCATCTCCACAACAGGTATCATCGACGCAAGGGACAAGGCGAAGGTGTTCCACCGTGATATCAGCATAGGCAATGTCTTGTTTGTCAAGGAGCCCGGTGAAGACATTCGCCATGGGTACCTCATCGACTGGGAGCTATCGTCCCATATCGGAGACGATGGGCTATCCGAGAGTGACTGGACAGTCGTAAGCATTATGACATGCCTCGTTTGCCATCCATCACTAACTCGTCGCTTCCATGTCCACAGGGCACCCAAGCTTTCATGTCTCACCGTCTTGATACAGGGAACGGCAGGCTGCGACACGCCATCGAAGACGACATGGAGTCTCTGCTCTACGTTGTCCTGTATTGTGGCCTGCACTGGCTTCCTCACGAGCTCAATGCAGACAAGGCAGTCCAGGCGATCTTTTACAACCGTGAGGTGGTCTCCCGCAATGAGCGCGGCCAGAGGGAACTCCGCTCGATGCAGCCAGGAGAGGGTAAATTGCAAAATATGAAGAATCGGAAGTACGTCGACCCATCCCGGTTTGCTAAGCCATTCGGGGTTTGGCTAGAGACTTCGATGAACTACAATCACCCTCGTGAGGAAGAGTACTCGTCCGCATCAAATTCCGTCTCCGCGCGCGAAAATGGTGATTGCTCCGATGCTGCAGTTTCTCCAAATCCCTCTGAGGGTAACTGGGATGGCCCGACACTGTGGAAAACATACTGGGAGCAGTACAAAGCCAACGAATACTTGCCCAAGAACGACAGGAAGCCTCATTTCGACAAATACGACGAATCAGAGGCTAAGCCGAAGGATGTGACGAGGACTGTCGTGCACCGAGCGGGGATGCCGCCGAACAAACGGAAGACCCGTCACCAGCGCGAGCCAGCGGACGGTAATCTAATGCATAGGGACACAGAACCGGCGAATGGCAGGCCAGCGAAACGTGCGAGGGTATCAGCAAGGTAGACGCTATCTGGCTCGAGGCGTCCCGTCGATGTTCAGCCCCAACTTTCTGGACGCGGACGCGTTCCACGACGCAGAGCTAAAAATATCGGGAGCCAGTAATCACGGCAACGGCGAACGTATGCGATCGGAAGCAATCACCAAATATTGCTGTCCCTATTCAGTAAGTGTATGTTACATGCCTCTTTCACATTGCGCAATATCAGCTAATAACTCCTCTTACCAGTGTAAGGGCGACTCGTCGCATCCGCCCTCTCAAGATCACTTCATACGTGTGAGGAATTGACCACTTCGACCGGCCCTAGCTCCATCGTACTGGAGCTCTTCTATGACTCGTGGGACAGGCCTATTGGACGTCCGTCGCGTTGGGGGGATATGATCAGGCTCCTAAAACCAGCCATCGCTATAGCATTCTCGCTCCTTTATCATATGTTTTGAGAGATCATGTGATATATATAGTTTATGAGACTTACCCGATTGAGCGAGAAAATAGCCGAACAAGAGGGTGCCCACAGGAAGCATTACCACTTTTATCCATTGGAAATAACCTGGCAAAAAGCATGGAAATCAATAATATATTTTCAGAGGAAAAACCTCGAGAAAAAAGTGAGAAAAGAACAAAACATTCTCACGGTTTTTCCCTTGGAAATAAGTTGCCTACCATATCAGGCAACTGGACATGCCAGGACATGCCAAAACCCGGACAAAACTACCATATTTGGCGACCAACTTATTTCCAGTGGAAAAACTGCGGAAATGCTTTGTTCTTTTACACATTTTTTCCTCATGTTTTTCCCGCAGTATAACTTTGTTGATTTCCACGCATTTTTCCAAGTTATTTCCTCGGGAAAAAAGGAGTTATGCGTCCTGTGAGGAGGAGAACACTATAGGACGGCTGGCCTATAACTATAATGTCAACCGAGGTTTCGCCGTACAGTGAGAAGCGCCGGATAAGCGCCCACCCCCCCGCCAGCGGTGAAACCTCGGTTGACATTATAGGCCAGCCGTCCTATACACAGGACGCATAACCCCTTTTTTCCCGAGGAAATAACCTGGAAAAATGTGTGGAAATCAATAAAGTTATACTGCAGGTAAAACATGAGGAAAAAACGTGTAAAAGAACAGAGCATTTCCGCAGTTTTTCCACTGGAAATAAGTTGGTTGCCAAATATAGTAATTTTGTCCGGGTTTTGGCATGTCCTGGCATGTCCAGTTTCCTGATATGGTAGGCAACTTATTTCCAAGGGAAAAATCGTGAGAATGTTTTGTTCTTTTCTCACTTTTTTCTCGAGGTTTTTCCTCTGAAAATATATTATTGATTTCCATGCTTTTTGCCAGGTTATTTCCAATGGATAAAAGTGGTAATGCTTCCTGTGATAGTGTTCTCCTCCTCTTGTTCGGCTATTTTCTCGCTCAATCGGGTAAGTCTCATAAAATATATATATCACATGATCTCTCAAAACATATGATAAAGGAGAACACTATAGCGACGGCTGGTTTTAGGAGCCTGGGATATCACAGTGACTGGATCCGAATTTGGAACTTCGAACCCTTTTTTGCTTCGTGTCGTGTCGTGTATGTAAGCGAATGGTGGTTTTGATCGTACCTAGAGAGACTGGCGATTGTTTCTTACAGACCTCATTGACGAAGATGAGTTCGTGCACTGAGGACGCACATCGAGCCTTCGCGCCTTACAGTTGTGGATATCCTATTAGATAACTTGTAGTACTTTCTGCTTGAACTTTGCAGTCATGAGGCCTTGAGGAGTCAACGATGAAAACGAGAACAGGATTTTCTGATTGGCCCTCCCTACATCACGTGGTCGTGTCACCCAGCGCGTCAACAAACTTGTCGCCAACGTACCCGGCGACGTGCACATCACTCCTCGTCGCCATCGTCTCCGACCTCGTCGTCGCTGCCCTTGCGGAGCTCGACGCCATCCTCCTGTCTGACGCACCTATAATTCTTCGGTTCTGATCACGACTGCACAACCGGTTCAAACCGCAAGCAGTGTGGCCGGTGGCCTTCCAGCCAATCCCATTGTAGCGTCATCCGACCCTAGGCCTCGTTGCTCGGCCGTTCGAACTCACAACAATACCCCTTTATTCGTCTCCTCCTACCGCGCTCTTTTCAGATCTCCTATTGTTCACCTCTGTCTTGTCTGCTTGCTGGCCTTGCAGTTGAACATTGACCGCCATCATAACGACTATGACACTTGATCCGAAAGTGGAGCCACACCCGATGCTGTCGCTCTCGCGAGCGGTTGGAAACATTATTGTTTGCGGAGCCAAGACGACCAGCCAGGGTATCGCGAAGACGGAAGTCTCCGACCGCGCAAAGATGCGTATGCAGCGTCAGAAGGCGATCGAAGAGGAACAACATATGGAGGATCTTGAGGCGCTCAAATTGACTACTGTACGTTCGTCTAGATTTTCTTGTCTAAATTTTCTTGTGCATCCACAGTTCTGACACTGCGTGGGATGCGGACAGGATCAACGGCGAATGTTGCTCAGCCCGTTCACGTCTGTCAAGGTGGAATTCAGCGATCTCGACGGCCTCTCGTGGTCGGACCCTGCCGCACAGCGTCTCCTCGAGCAGTGGGTGAGTATGGCTTGTACACTCGTTCGGTATCTGCAAGAACACTGCTGACACTGCGGGATCGCTCAGTATGAGGCTCGAATAACTACCTCCATAGCCCCTCCGGAGGAATTGGATTGGGGTGTTCCGTTGCACCGTTGCCCCCCGAAGCCCAGGTTCCAGACACCGCCCCGCACTCGTCGCTCACTGGATGTGGACGAAGAGTCCTTCGAGCTCATTGAAGACACGATTCGTGTTTCGAAGGTGAACCGTCCCCCGATAAGCATCGTCACAGAACTCGCCGAGAACGATGTCACCGGTAGCGCGAACGACTGCATGGACATCGAATCTCTAAACGCCGCAGTAACACCTTCATCTGCCATCTCCCTCACCCCATTACCGACCCCCGTTCCCCCAACGACAGTCGAGCAGACCGCCTGCCCAGCATCTCTGCTCCTCCCCGTCAAATCCCTTGCGCCGGCCGTCGACTCGCCTGCCCCGAAAAAGATCAGGCTCACGAAGCGCATTCCCGCGGGCTCGCGCTCGCCCAACTCCCGGCGCGTCATCACTCTGCCCACGCGGATTCCGCAACCGCTCGCCCGCGACAGCGTCGTGAACACCGGGGCAGGTATGCGCGTCGTCTCTGCGGGTACACGTAATTTGCCCCGCGTTGCGGACTGCCGCGCTCTCAGGAGAGGGCCGACGCTTCTCTCTGCGCGAACGGGCGCTGGCCCGCCGCTCGCCGCAGAAGTCACGAAAGCTGCCGTCCCGGCGTCGCCGCGGTGTTGCTGAGCGCCGTGTATTAGTTACCGAGGATCGTGTACTTTTACTGGGGAGATCTAAATGTTGTGAACGTCTTGGATATCTGTACCATTGATATGAAACGTTATCTCGATGTGTAGTACTACTGTACTTATGTATTTGCTTTGCCCTCAGCTCTCGGTCTGAACTGGGAGGACGGAACGGCGTGAGTCTCACTTGACTGCTCTAGCGAAATGAGGTCGCGTATTCGTTTCTACCTCCGAGGCGTTCGCGTTCTCTGAGAAACTTCAATTCCCAAATGCCTTTCTGTGGTAGTAACACGAGTATGCCCCGCGGCGCACAGCGGAACGACTACTAGTATGCATCGATTCGAGAAGTACTGTACCGGACATTTTCGAGCAAGCGGTACGTGCTCACATACATATATCAGATGTACATATGACTGAGCTCAGGAGAAAGCATACGACGCGCTCACCGATATATAACTACCCTCTGTAGTCACGTGACGAGACTTCGGACTTCGCAGCACACATACTAGAACCCTCATCACAGCTACAGCATCCTAGCAAAAGCACAGTGCAGCAGGTTGTTCAATACATCAAATAACGTGCGTGACGGTCATCACCAAAGTAGAGTGCGTATCCATGGTATTGTCCGCGAAGTTCAGTTGAGAAATGAATGCCACTGTCATACTTGAGTACGAGGCAGTTGGCATAGAAAGCTCGCTGCTGCAGATGTTGCTTGAACCGAACACCCTGTTACAAAAGAATGGTGGGGACACAGATTAATACGGATCTGTTAGTATTCCATCAGACATAGAGTTCACCAAATTACTACACCTTCGGTATGAATCCGCTATCTAGATCGCGGTAGAATAACTGCAAAACTGAAAGGCACAGCAGAGTGCCGGAAGAATATGAATAAAGTGATTCTTACCATGTTATATGTCGTGTTCAACATATCGAGGAGATCGGACTGAACCAGGGACGGTACAGACCGGGATCGCTGCTGTGTACGATGCCGCTGCCTGCTGGAACATGTGAGAGATGTAACGGAGAGCGACGAATAAGAATCTGATGCTAGTAGATGACATCTACAGCGGGACTTGCGAAGGGGACGGTTGAAAGACCAATATTGAAGCGACAGCCGGATGCCTGGCGGAATGTTGAGCATAAGGAAATAGAGACGATATAACCTATAATACTTACACGGCTGCAGTTGAACATAGGCTGCGGAGACGGAAACGAGAGTATGAATCTGCTTTCCTTCCTTTCCCGACACTTCAAAAGCAACGTAGTTTGGTCAAGTAGAGAGACTAGAGTCTGTAAAATATCATTGCGCGGCCAGCTTTGGCTGCGAGAGAGATGCCGATAATAAGAGACAATAACAAGACCGTTAGAGAAGTACAAGACATATAGGTAGAGGGTATAAAGAACGCAGCTGAGTAAAACGTTCCCCACTGCATTTACACGGACTCAAAGACTCTTGCGTTCCCGAAATGTGCTTCAAAGGTCGTCCAGTTGTCCGCCTCCATCGGTGAGGCACATTCGAGGAAAAGGGCGCCAGCCGTAAAAGACATGCACGGCAACGTGCGTGGCCTGGAACGGACCAGACGATGGCGTACACAGCGAGCGCATGTACTATGCTGTTTGACAGCTCACTTGATCTGCGTTCGCAGAGCATAGCCCAGACAGTCGACAATGTACTGATGCTGTGAGTCGAGCGCGCGTCAAGTACCCAGAAAAGTGGGGATCGCCATTGGCAGGAAGAATTTGAAAGTGTCGTAGGACGCCAAGGTCTATCCCGCCGCCCTCTTTAGCCGTTTCACTGGCCTACCGTTCGCTGGTGCGTCGTTGGCCCGTCCGTCGTCAGTCGGTCCTCGGCGTTGCGGTGCCTTCCGTTTGTTGGGATGGATCCCGGGACGGTGAGAGATTGCCTTCACTGCAGACTTGGGCCTCATCGACGAGCTATCCTGCTTACGAATCCTGTCGTCCTCCGGCAGTTTACGGTCCAAGAATTCCTTCCAGTAATCGTTCCACGGCTCGGGCGTGTCCCACTGCGTCGCCGCATTTGCATCCCGGGGGTGATTGAGGTCCATCGAGTGCGACAGCCAATCCTTGAGATCCGCGTTGAAGTTCGGGAGGTCGATGTAGGTCCGATTCTCCTTGATGTCCAGCTTGCCTTTGCCCGGCTCCATCGTCTGGAATGTCGTGTGTGTCACCCCAGGTACATCCCCCGCGTGGACCTCCTTGCGGTTGTGGAACATAGCCTGAACGACTTGCCTCGTGTCCTTGGAGTGCGCAGGATGCTGAAGCCAGTGGAGGCCACAGTGCGCGACGACATACAGGAGTGCCTCCATGTCGTCCTGTAACATGTGCCTCCGCTGGCTTCGCGCCTCGAGACGCTGCGACAGGAACATGCGCGTGCCCTGTCGGGATGACTTCAGCAAGCAGCGGTGGTAAGAAACGAAGAGCGATGCATACCACGATATACTTGTCCGTCGCCTGCCCGTCCTCCTGTACCTTCGACGAGAGCTCCCAGTCGATCAGATAACCTATCCGATGGTCCTGATATGGCTGCCGATAAAGCATGATGTTGCCCGCGCTGATGTCTCGGTGGATCCTCCGTGCCTTGTCGTGCGCAGCGATCAGCGCTAGGTTAATAGATAAATCTTTATGAGCCGGCAGAATGTGCAAAAAATGGCGATAGGCTTACCTTGGAACGCGTCGTGCGTCGCGTTGAGCAGCTCCTTCGTGCCTCGCAGTGTCTGAAGTGGGAAGCCGACTTCCTTGAGGATCAGACGGTGGTGGACCCGCGGGTGCACCACAATCCGAGCGCCGCCATAACATAGCCATTCGGCCTCCCGGTGTAAGTCCGTCTCAGTGCATTGGAATGCTGGAGGATACAGATGAGTTCAAGCTCAGATTCAGTGAACCGTGACGAATAGACACTCACACGGCTGTTGGCCTGCCTTGCTCCGAGTCGTCCTCTCGAAGTTCGCCATGGCCGAGAACCGCGTGAGCATGCCGTCACAGTACATCACCTTCGGAACATCTCCATCGTGCTCCACATGCGGGATGTTCTTGACTTTGTGCGCTTCAAGCTCCCTCAGTATGCGGCCTTCGGGCTCATGGACGTACTGCCGCCAGGTGTCCTTCAAGAAAACAACCCTGCCTTCCATCACCGCCCAGTACCCGCGCATCGCACCCCGCCTCATCGAGAAGTTCGTAGCGATCGGCCTCGACACGAGACACCGCTTGAGCCTCCCGTCCTCCGCACAGATGGTCAGCGCCGCGACGCGCCCCGCCTCATAATGCAGCGCCACGGTCTTCTCATGAAGCGCACACTGCGCCTCGTACTCCGCCCGCACCTCATCCTTGACCTCCCCCTCCGGAACGTCCACCAGCTTCAGGTCCAGCTGTTCCCGGACGTGGCATGAAACCAGCTGCCGGAACAGACACTCCTCGCCGCTCGACGCGCGCTCCACCGTCGGGTCGTAGCCGCGCTCGACGGTGGACGCGTGCGCGAACCTCCACAGGAACTCGCACAGCGCCTCGGGCTTCTCCCGGAGGCTGAACGACTCCGACGCGACGAGCCCGCTCATGTCCCAGCGCAGCAGGCGCGCGCGCAGCCCGTGGATCGACACCGAGAAGTAGTGCAGCCGGTGTTGGTGCATCAGCGCGTCGGTGGCCCAGCGGACGTTCCGCCCCAGGGCTTGCCGCGCCTTCGCCCGGTGCGTCTTCTCCGCGTCGGGCTGCGACAGGACGAACTTGTGGCGCGCGCGGTCGGCGAACGGCTTCGGGTCGCGGAAGAAATCGCCCTGGTCGCCGCTTTGCACGTCAATGAACAGCTCCCCTGCGTACTTCGCCGCTGCCTCGTTGTCCGACCCGATCGAGTCCTTCGGGACGCAGATCAGAGCGGGCTTGACCGACGTCAAGTCCAGGGCGTTGTGTTTAAACTCGAACCCTGGGCAGCGGTCGTAGTCCCTGATGGCCGCCAACTGTGGCCACGCGCACGTCAACACCAACCAGGCCACGGCGAACAGGGCCTTCTCACTCACCAGCTGGGAAGCTCCATCAGGCTCGTCGACGTCGTTGAACGCTCCCTGCGTCGACGGCCTGCGTGCCGTGTGCTTCGCAGGGAGGAAGTCGAGGAATTCCTCGATGGGCATAGGCCCGAGGATGAACCCCTCCGCTTTCTCCGCGTGGAGTTCGTTGTCATCATCTGAACGACGCGGATTTTCGGGCTCGGCGTTCTCTTCGCCCGCCAAGGGTGTCCAGTCGGAGGTGCCGCTGTGTGGAGTGGGTGGCAAGGAGAGGTCGGCTTCGGCCGGTAAGGTGGACGGGCTGGGAGCGCAAGATCTGGAGCTGGACATCGTTGATGTTGTTGATAGATGAGTAAACGGTGGTAGAAATGCGGATGTGGTAGCGGTGGTGGTGGTGGTGGTGGTGGTGGAAGAAGAAACTGAACGGACGCAGCCACTTGCTTGCGCTTTTAACCTGCGTGTGGCACACACCACGTGACCGCGTTTGTGCACAGAACGCGGAGTACGACCTATCCTGGTACACGCCCACTGTGTTACCCATGGTTCTCTAGCTGGCAAAGGGAGAACTGCGCCGATACATAAGGTTAGACAACACCAGCATCAGAGGCGACGCTCACCTCTACCGTACTACGCCACCAAAGAGTAGCCCAATTGGGTCGGCTGATGAATCTCGCAGGTCAACTCGTCCGTCTGCTGACCAGCGTCATCGATATCCGCGGAGTCCTCATACCACGCGGTCGATGCAGACTCACATCCAGAAGAATAGAAACTCAGTCGAGAAGACAGGAGAACGCGCTTTGATACCCACCGCGGTGGCGACTGTCGAAGTGCTGCGCGAGATTCTGCGGCGGGTGAAGAAATGAGATCACCAGACCGTATGCTTCTCGTGTCTCGAAGAAAGCAAGCTGATCGATAACAGCAACACTGCCATCACCGCAGTAGGCAAGAACATCAATATTCAATCGTCGCCAGGATCAGAAGTCCCCGCGGGTCAGCGTACGGCAGCCTGCAGGCAATGACATCGTGGGTGAACCAGTCGTCGACCAGCATTTTCCGAAAGAGTTTCCCACGAAGTGCGTAGAGACAGGATCTGCGCCGCGGTCTCGTAGAGAATCCCGCAATAGTCCGCAAAGAACGCGTTGTGGAGTTGGGATGAGGCCGTAGCAGATCCTCGCTGGCCAGTTCGAAGAGCGCGTTTTTTTTGCAGCAAAACGCGAGCAGGGTACGCGTGAATCAGCGTATCACCTTTGGGTTGTTCAAATTTGAGGATTATCAAGCGAGCGGTGATATTTGCAGGCAATTCAGGTGTTTCTACGAGATCAGAAGCTCTAGCGCAGTTTTGTAAGGTTCGGCAGCACAATCAAGGAAAGGGACATGAGAACGCGTGGAAGGAAGACCAGTGTGTTTTTTGGGAGACGTTCCGGCCTGAGCCTGCGAACACCGTCAGAAATGGACGACCAGAGATTGGGCAGGCCAATGAATAGCAATATCATCGCGGCGTAGTCTTCAGAGTTCTGACCCGCGTAAAAAGGATGGGATTAGCTTGGCGTGAGGAACGCCGCTGCAATTCTGCAAAGGATGAGACTTGCAGAACAGTCGGTAGGAGGACGCACCACGACGTCTTGATCCCACTGAAGGCCGGATGACAAACTCTTGTAGACGCTGTCTGAGCGTGTTTAATTCGGACTGCGAGCGCTTTGTAGCTCACGCGAACGGTAAAAGATTGAGTGAAGAAAGCCACACACAGTGACTGGGCGACGACACTCACGTCATAAACAATAAGACGAGTCTTTAGACGACCGAGTACACGACCAACACGCTCAAGAAGCTTGATATTTGCGGGCCAATATTCGTGGAGGACTTTGAGCGCAAACAACTGGACAAAAAACGGGTGCTTTAGCGTTCACGGCATTGACTTGGAAATGTCACTCCCCCTCCAAGAATTATTTCTGGACGACCGACGACCGCGGATCCTCACGTCAGAAGCAGCTGCAGAAAAGGATTTTTTCCGCATGGTCTCAGGCTGATTTGTGTAGCGGCGGCGGCGGTCGAAGACTCGGAGGGTGATAGACGTGGTTAGGCTGCTACAGATCCTGCACCCACAGAGAACGCGAGAACGGGCGAGACGCGAGAGAAGTGATGGATGTGGTCCAACACGTGTCCTCTCGCGACAAGGAAACGGCGCGCCCGGCGCAGGCGTTGGACCGCGCTGCCTGCAGTCCAGCGCCGAGGCGGACGCTGCCCGCCGCCCGCCGTGCGCCTCCGCCTTGCAAGACCCGCCGCGGAGGGACAATGCTCGCATCGGGCAGCGACGTCAAGGAGCGGGCTGGAGGCGGGCCAGCGGGGCTGTGCAGTGATTTTGTACGGCGCCTTCCCCCATGCGGCTCTCACCGCCTCGATAATTTTGTTGCGAGTCGCGGCGGAGTCGTACCCATGCTTGTGCGCGGCTTCGGCTCGCGCCGCTTGAAGTATCGCGATGGGCTTGTTGCGCGCGTTTCAGCTAAATTCAGAACGTTAGACGTTTCTCGTTGAAACTCACCTCCCGGTTCTTGTTTCTGGCGCAACGTTTTAGTGCGGGACAAATAAACCTAACCCAAATGTAGATGCTCGGGCTCGCTGGAGATCCGGCGGCAATCCAGCGACACCGGCTACTTCTCAGAGCCTCAGGTCAAGTCAGTACAGACAGCTTGCCATATTCGGCCTAGGACTGTTTGTTCGCACTAAAACACGAACAGAAATCGGGAGGTGAGTTTCAACGAGAATGTTCTGAATTTAGCTGTTACATGGGAATCTTTATCTGAATGCCCGCGCGTTGTTTCTGAGCCTGGCGGAGCGTCTTGTTTAGAACCAGAAGCAATGGGCTGAGTATTTGAGCTAGAACTCTGCATGAACTTCGAGGTGTCTTGGAGGAGACCATCCAAGTCTTGAAACAGCTGAAGGACGCGTGTAGACATAGAAGGAATTTATTGCGAGAAATAACAAGGTGTACGTGATAGTACACGATGCCCAGCGCGGCAGTGAGAGAGCTGGTCGACGCGGGCAATGCGCCTCCCATGCATTTTTCGCACTCCGCCGGCGAAGCCCAGAGGCACCTGAACGGCTGGTCAATACGAGACTACTGTCATCCGTCTCACCGCAGCTAATCTCATCCGTTTCACCGTTTTACTTAAGTTGAAGCTTTGAAGTTCTGCGACAGGCGAGCCCCTTCCGGGTCTGCCACGCCAATGTCTTGCAACTTCTTGAGAGACTCGCGAACCTTCTTATCGGTTACCCTAGCTCTACCTGTCGCGTGGGCATTCTTTCGTCGAAGTACTCATCGTCTACAGCAAATACCAAAACATCATGAACGGGTTCTGATCATAGGAGCTTCCAGTGGTATAGGACGAGAACTGGCATTGCGGTATGCTTCGAGGGGTGCACGACTCTGCATTGTTTCCCGACGAGAAGAGATACAGAAAGTTGTCACGGAGTGTATTGCCCTCGCTCCAGTCAGACCGGCGGAAAATTGGCCTCATCCTGGAGGAGCAAGCATTTACGGTATGCAGGCTGATATATCAGACACGGGGGATATGGTTCGGCTAAGGGAGAAAGTGGAGTCTGGTATGTCATTTGCATCATTATGAACAATATGTCAAATTGCTCATGGCACATTCCAGAATGGCAAGGCGTAGACACAGTTATTGTCTGTGCGGGTGTCTCTGCGTTACTTCCTCTGATGGAGGTGGCAGGACTGAAGGGAAACGGCAGCAAGTTTGATCCACCACAGGCGGATGTGGAAGGCATACAACGAACCGTTGATGTTGCTAATGCAGCTGCAAGAGTCAACTACATTGGGCCGCTCATTTCAGCAGTTACATTTGTGAGTTATTGGGCAATATTCCAGGAAGTTGCACGCTGAGATATCTCTAGCTGCCTATTCTTCAGTCCAGTTCCGTCTCTCCTTCCATCGTCCTGATCTCGTCATTGGGCGCCATCATTCCGGCCCCGACGCGCTCCATCTATGGGTCCACTAAATCCGCTTCTCTCATGCTCTATCAAGCGCTTTCTATCGAACATTCCGCTGTCACATTCACTCTCTGTATTCCAACAACGGTGGAGGGCAACTTTCGTGCATCTGCTGTGGACGGCGGTAGTGTGCGCGAGGCCGATCCGAACACCCATGGTCTGAAGATACAGGACGTTGCCAGGCGGTGTATCCAAGCTGTGGACGCTAGGGAGAAGTATATCTTTATGCCTTGGTGGTACAGCAGACTGGGCCACCTAATGTACTGGTGGTTCCCAGCTTTCGTCGAGAAGCAAGCACGAAAAAAATATGCATTCACTGTATAGTATGATACCATTGACTGTTGGAAAGTGATATGTATTCAATAGGTAGAGGGTGTACTAATGTACCGTTGCACCCACAAAAAGGTGAACTCTTTCCATCGCGCGTAGAATGGGCGACACGTCAGATTGCAAAGTGATTGCTGGTTTCAACGCAGTAGTGACTAGCAAAAGTCGCTCACGGTGGCATGATCAAACAACTCTCCTCTCGCATCTCGTCTCATCGTGTATGCCTTGGCAGTTCAGATCGCAATACGGCATTGCGCACTTCTTACACTTGTACTTTCCCCAGAACCCACACACCGAGCAGAACAGTTGAGGCGGCTGGAGGGGTGGCGGAGCGACGGCAGTGAGGTATGTTGGGACACCTGGAGGGTAATTTGCTATCCCCTGCGGTGGAAAATATGCAGGCAAATCAAGTCAGTGCATACGAAGAACTAGATAGTGTGCTTACAGACTCGTCCAGAAGGACCGCCAGATTTTTCTTGTACAGCACGGCCGTCCTGACATTCATACTCGACTTCTTTGGTTTCTTCTTCCCATCCCATTGCCGCTTGTCTGAGACGGTCCTTCTGGCGCGGCCTTTGGCAGAACGTCCCCCTGCACCACCGTCTTCATCTTCCCCGAGGCCGTGGAACAGAGCATCGGACGGTTCCGTGTAGTTCGAACGCTGAGGAGGGGAGGCAACATAACTTTGGTTACTGGAAGCAAGGAGAACACGAACATACCTCGAGTTCATCAAGGTGCCTTTTGGTCCGCTTAGCAACTAGTTCAGGATCCAGTTGCGCAGAAGAGGACGCAGCTTGGGTTTGGCGAGTGGCTGTCTGACAAGACGCAGGGACTGAAGTCAACCAATTCTTTCGATGATCCTTGTAAAGGTGTACGTACGTTGTCTTCGAGGAGCCATAGTCTGATACCGTCTCTATGGGGCTAAGTAGGGAGGGGCACACCGTACAATCTCGATCGGTAATCGAGGATGTCGTACCCAATAGGGCAGGTACTGTGGATGATTCAGATGACATGCCCTCATACCCTCACAGTAATGCATAGCAAAATCCGGGCACCAACGTCATACGTTACGAGATCTTGAGATAGTCAACTGTACATGTACGTCTCAAATACTGTACATTGTAGTTGAATACACCGTACAGCTGTACCTACAGTTGATGATCTACACAAAGCCCCACCTGCCTCGAGCTTCAGCCCATGTCGGCAGCTGGTCAATACCAATGGTAGTGAACTGTTCTCGCAGTGGTAGACTATCCCTTCTATCAGTGTCTGAATCCGCATCCTCATAGGGAGTGTCTGGTGGCGTCACAGGCCCACCGTAGCTCTCCGGCTCATGGTTGTATGGAGAGAGGATGCCCAGTCCCGACCCTCCCACAGCAGTGAGGTAAGACTGAAATTTCTTGGCCTCGAGGGCAGAAACAAGAGCTTGAAGATGAGAATCGTGGAAGTCTATTGACAGAAAATGATAGGGAGAAGAGATATCAGTGATTGAGGAGACACGCACCATCTGGAACGAGGGTGACAGCGCACCCCCCTCCGCCTGCACCAGTTAGTTTCGTGCTCAACCTGTACGGTTCAGCACCCGTTGATGTCCTGATAGATTCTAAAGACTCGTGCGAGACTCCGAGAGAGACCAGGTGGGCATGGTTCTCGTCAATGAGAGCCTGGAACACCCACCAACGTCTTGTCAGATGTCCGATCACAGGCGATCAACTAGGTATGGCAACTTACAGAAAGCGCGGAGAGCAACGACCCTCTGGATAGCTCTGGATCAGCCAATGCTCGCCGTGCCTCGTCACTGATGGTCTGGATATCGTCTAAAATCTTGTTCACGATCTCCGGTTGCTGTGAGAGACGTAGAAACGCTGAACAACACGAAGTAGCAGGACACAATAAAAGTCACCTCGAGTTTCTTCGCGGCTACACCAGCAACAAGTTGCTTCGTGTTACGAGGGACTCCGGAATCCACCAATAAGAATCGCAATGACTTAAACCTGCTCAACAACATCAGCGTGTTTAATGAGACCTCAAAGCGAACACCACGAAACAAGAGGATCACTCACCCTTGAATCGGATCCATGCCACTCTTCTTTCCAAAGCCGGGCCGTGTGTATGCCAAGGCACCTCCATACACCGCGACTGAGTTATCCACTCCACTTGGATTCCCGTGCAGCACCTTCTCTGCAACAAAGGCCCATCTGTTTACCTCCTCTGCAGTGGCAGGAGGAATGGCGCGACGTCCATGGTGTGAGACATGCAGATGACCAGGATCACCTGGTGCTCCTGGCTGTCGAGTACGGGGCGGAAGTGGAGGCATGGTGATTCGATGGTTCAACAGAAGGAGGGCCGTCGCGACACACACGGAATAAGAAGCAGAGGACCCGAGACCAGCGCCAATAGGGAGGGTGGAACGAACAACGAAGTTTAATGCTGGCCTTCAACGCAGCAGATCCATCAGTCTGGTAGGTACTAAACTGGGTACTACGACTTACCTCTCGTCACCATGCGCCAGCATCATGTATAGATACAAGAATGCTTGCGCTGCCCCATGCGCCTTCGGAGGCATCTCATCTGCAAGCGGAAGTGCCCTTGTGTTGATTGCGTCTACCAGCTTCTGATCCAGAACCTCCGGATGCTGTTTCCCAGGAAGAACAAGAGACACAGCATCCCACGGGAGATCATCTAAATCCCATTCCTTGTAGTAGTTTCCAATATCCATCAGATGTAGAGATAGCTTGTTATCATGGCGTGGTGAGGCAACACCATAACAGCGCAAGTCAACTGAGGCTGCGATCGCCGTCTACAAGTGTCACAGATGAGTCTATACCCTTACTGTTTTAGTGGTGCGGAAGGGACACCTACCACACCGTGTACGACGGCATGTTCTCCGAACAGGATAACCTTTCCAGGTGCACTCACGAACCACTCCCTGTCTTCTCGGTCTCCGATCTCCCTTCGCGGCTCTCCAAGGGCAAGCTTTTCCACCGCTCTGCTGATGGGGTTCGGTATGCGTATGAAATCATTGGCAGCATATGTTATAGCACCAGCTTCTAGAAGGGCATGCTGCAAGTCGTCGAGAAGATCCGCGGGATCTTCGATGCCGACGCAAAGGCGTATGAGGTCCTCAGGGAGTCCACGAGCAGCGCGAGTAGCCGGGTCAATGGAGGCATGGCTACAAGAATTTTGGCGTCAGATGAGAAAGAGGTATGAAACGTAGAACGCACGACATGGCACAGGGCATACTGATCAGGCTGTTCACGCAGCCAAAGCTGACGCTGATGCCCCACAAGCGGGTGGATCCAACAATGCGCTCGCTCATCTCCTTATCTCCTGTTTCAAAGGAAAGAACTGCACCGTAGCCTTCGAGTAATCACAAACTCTTCAATAGGGGCACAAGGTAGACACAAGATGAAATACACACCATCCGCGATACGATCGTGGATCTCTTTCCCGGGATGGCTTGGTAAACCCGGATAGTGAGTGACAAAGCCCAGGCGGGAAAGGAGCTGGGCAACAAGCATAGCTGAAGACTGCTGACGATCCATACGAACGGCCAGCGTCTTCGTACCGCGGAGTAGGAGGAACGAATCAAACGGCGTAAGAGCATTACCGACTGCATTGATAGTGAAAGCCATTTGCTACGCATGCTGTTAATAGATTGTTCGGGGCAAAACAAGTGTCCGAGCGCACCTTGGCCAAATCATCTCTGTTGCAAGTAATAACACCGGCCATCAAATCGTGATGTCCACTAAGGTACTTCGTCGCACTATCGTAGACGATATCTGCACCATGCTCCAATGGTCTCTGCAGGTACGGGCTCATCATAGTATTGTCCACCACAATTATGGCATCCTCGCAGTTCTCCTTCACCATCGCGCTGATTCTGGCAATGTCTACTACTTTCAAAAGTGGATTCGTCGGGGTCTCCAGAAGAACCATGGCTGTCTTCCCGGGGTTCAAGTGCGGGAGCACCGACTCCGGATCAGTTGTGTCCACATGATGCACGGTAACACCCATATGGGTCCGCAAGTAGGTCAGCAGGCGGTTGGTGCCGCCGTACAGATCGTCACCAGCGATAACTTCGTTTCCGGGCTTGAGAATGCGTGTGATGATATCCAGGGCTGCCATTCCAGACGATACAGCGAAGGCATGCTCGGCGGAGGATATTTTAGCGATGTGGTGTTCTGTGTTCAGAGAGAACGGCTCGTCAGTACTGATATTGAACGATCTTTTAAGAACAAGAAGGCCAGTTCATTGGTGCCCTAGGCATCGAGCTAAACCCTACACTCCAGTGGAATGCGTCTCATGACTGCATGCCGCCAGCCCGCAAATCCTGACATGCACATTTGTTCCACAGCATTTTCCGACTGACTCTCTCAATGCACCAGCATACTCTGCAGTTCAACATGCGACTCAGATGAGTGAAACTCGCCTAAATGAGTTCTTGTGGGATTTCCACTCCTGGAGTAGTCATACTGCCCTCCGACGCCTTTGAAGGTAGCGGTCTGATAGATGGGTATACTAGAGCTCCCATGCTGGTCTTTATGTTCCGAGTCGGGGGTCTCTACTGTCGCGCATAGCGTGGAGAAGCGGTATGGCTGGCGCGGTCGAAGGAGAGAAGGAGACTCGGGTTCTGGGGTGGGAAGATCGTAGATCGGCTGCTTCGATGCAGTCATGGCCAGAGATTAAGCAACGAGGCGAAGAAACGACACCGAGCACAGAAAATTGGGTCTTATATGCGGCTAAGACGACTTTTCAGAGTATCAGGCCAGCTTTAGATAAACCGAACAGCTGAGGAGTGAATCTCGCCATGCTCCTCCGCGGGGTAGTCGTACTGTATATCACGTGGCTCGTACAGCCATTGGTGCCAATTATCGCGCCATCTTCGTCACTTCCAATATTGCCATAGCAGCAAACGGTACATGTCAGATGTGTTCAGTAATTCACGGTACATAATAACGAAGGACCAACTGGAATAACGTTATATGCGGATAAAGAGGGCTAGGACGATACAGTGAGGAGATTATGGGCGGCGGTAATAGTTTACAACGCCCCACTGGCAGAACTCGAAAGATATTGTCCGTGAGGATGTGCATGATGAATGAAATCAAGAATGAGTGGGTGAACGACGAGCGCACGATAGCGTGAAGATCTTGAGGAGTACAGATATGTAGGAAAAAGCGATGCGGCATGAAATGTGTACTTGTATGATCATGAAATGCCAAGTTTATGGAACATTACATCCAAAGTTTTGAATGCGACCGGTTTTACAAGACTGAAAGGATTCTGTCAAAACGTGCGCGGAAAATAATGAGCTGAATACGCACTAGCCGTCCACTCCGGCGTCGAATGCTCGGCGCTTGTCATCTAGCGAAGACATTCCAGTCAGCGCCAGTATTCGAGCGGGTTTCGAGTGGCTGAGGGTATTTTGCTGCATGTCTTCGCGAGACAATCGTGCAGATTCGATATCTCGCATCCGAGTAGTCGCACCAATACCTGCGGTACCAAATAAGAGATGGGTTTGATTTCACGGAAATGATCTTACCGTCAAGGACCGGCATGGACAGGTCAACAAGGACAACGCTGGACAAGGAAAGGAGGTCTAGGCGATGCACTTGGTATTTCAAACACACTTACTCAAATTGTCCTCCTGATTCGAAGACGTTGACGCCCTCCTGTCCATCTACTGCTTCTCTGCAGTGATAACCCTGCATTGGGTGAGAACCAGCAAGCCAACAAGGATGCCGAATTTACCTTGCTGGTAAGCCACTTGACGCTTCAAAGGTTATCATCATCAACGTCAACCCGAACCGAGTATGAGAAAGGAACAGAGCTCACAGCAGATTCCGTAGGATGCTGTTGTCTTCCACAACCAAAACTCGGACCAAACCATTAGACGCAACTGTGCCTACGGAAGACTTAAGCAGAGTCCCTCCTGTGCCGACAGAAATAGTTCGCCGAACTGGACTCTCAGGGCCAGATAACGACTCCGCAGGCTCTGGCTCCAACTCGTCCTGATCCGAGGTGGAAGTCACTCGTGAATAACTAGACAACGGATGCGCTGTCACGGCACGAGGACCCAAAGAAGGTCGTCCAGATGCAGTACCAGATGCAGCAAGCTTCAGACCGCGCTCTTCCGAAAAACGACGGGCGAATGCGCTGGGATGGGTGCCACTCTCGCCGAGTTCGAACGTTCCAGGAGGCAGTGAAGGAGAAGACTGGCTTTGATGTAGCAGAGTTGACTTGGAACGTGACTCCCTTCCAATATTCAGAACATGTAGACACAGCCTAAGCACAGAGCATATCCGACCAGGTCCAACAGGCTTGTATATTACCCGTGCGAATCCACCAATAGCTTCGTAATCGTTGACGATTGACATGAGTCGCAAGTCACCGCGGAAAGATGAGAAAATGATGAACGGTCGGCTAGCATCCCTGTTCGTGATTGCTTGAGTCACTGGAGTGATATCCTCGTTCACAATAACAATCTCTCCTCGGTCAGATCCATCTGCAAGCTGGATACCCCATCGTGAAATGAGATATGTTGACACGACGTCGCGTAACAGCTGGACTCCTCTGTGTGGATCGTCAAAGCCCAGTAACGAAATCCTGGGCCGCTGGAGATGGTCGTAGAGCTTCGCAAATTCGGCATCGCTGGAGGAGACTTCCTCGTCTTCTATCGCTTCTGCGGTAAAAGTGATCTTGATTTCCGTTCCAACGCCTTCTGTACTCCATACGTCAACTTTGCCATTGACACCTGGAGAGCACACGATGCTATTGACAATAGCCAGGCCCAAACCCGTTCCCGTCTGTAGAGGATTCTCTTGCGAGAACGGGTGAAAGAGTTGGTTCTGTGGGACACAATGAGGAACACAGTAAGATGGAAGATGGAGTCGTAGTTACTTTGAGGAAACTCTGGCTGATGCCCTGAAATGCAATGTCAATCTCACACGAGAACCGATAAAAACCGCTGCCCAGGCGTACCTTCCCAGTGTCAATAACAGAGAGCTCTATCCTGACCTTGTTCCTAGGGCCATCAGGAAACTGTCGGAGCATTACGTGAACGTAGCCGTCCTTTGTGAAACAGTAACAGTCAGTACTACAAACCACGGCGCAACCAATGGGCATACGGAAGTAAACTTGAGGCTGTTCCCAAACACGTTCATCAACACCCTGCGTATGCCGGCCTTCTCGCACCGCAAGGTCCAACCCTGCATAGATGTTCAGTAGATGAATATTTATAACGCACACGATACTGGGTACAACACACATTCTCGCTGTGTCCCACATCTACGACAGTCTCCACATGCTTCTCGGGTGCCGGAAGTGCAACGGCGAGCTTCTGATCTTGCATCGGGGGTGAATAAACACTGCCAATCTCGGAGGTGAACATCCTAGCGCGGTGCCCGATCCAGCATCCTTCCGTAGCTTCTTCGACTAACTGCATGAGATCAACCCTACCATTCAAATGAGCGCACGGCAACCTGATCAATAAATAATTAAGCTCACTTGCTGAGGTGTATCACGTTTTCGACGCCACCAGATTTCGCGTTACCGCTCAGCTTGGTGAAGTCTAGCACGTGGTTCACTGTCTCCACCAAGGACGTCCCGCACGCTTGTACTGTTTGCAAAAAGGATGCCTGGCTGTGGCCTAACCGCGTCTCCGATAGCAACTCGGCAGAGGCCAGAATCTAGGTACGTCATGACTCAATATTCGGAGAAGAAATGCGCATGATGGACCCACTCCATGCAGAGGTGTCCGCAACTCATGCGAGATGCTGGGTTGACAAGCGTTCAAAAACCCGTGTTTCATACTAGGGAGAACGGACACACTTGGAGATGAACAGACTCTTCGCCTTGTCCGCAAGGATCATCCTACGCTTGAGCACGGCGGACAGGATGATGACGCCTGTATCACTGTCGAGGAAGCTACCACCATTGAGTCCAAAAAGACGTACCTATTGCTCGAAGATACGACAGTTCGTGGCCCTCCAACTGCACAAACAAGTGTTACATCAGTTCTACCGAAATAGGATCAGACGTTCTCACGAAAGGTGTCGTGCGTTCCCCCGTGCTGTATGCGCACAGCAGCGCGAACGGCCGCTTGTCGACGTTAAATATAGGGACAGCTGTAAGAGGAACAGCTTAAATCCGAGCCTACACGTTCTGCACACACAGGAAAGCTTACTGAGTGCGTACTGGATGCGCGTCGGTAGGAACGGACGGAGTGTCGCCGGGACGACGCCCTCACAGATCTTGCCATCAGGGTTTTTCTCAAAAAACTCCGCTAGCCGCGTATACTCCTGGCTACTAAGCAACTTGGTCGTTGCCCCCGCGTGCGCATCGGCGTCGTGCAGCGTAATAGACATGGTGCATTCCGCGCCCATTGTCTCCACTACGTCAACATGAGACACATCTAGGACGATGGCTCCTTCGACATCTAACGTCCTCTTGACTAGCTTCGCGGCACGCTCGTACACTTGTTCCATGGAGGTGCCGACGGACAAGCTCATAACCTTCTCGTTGTCGACTTCCTTGTCTACTTCGAGGCACTCTCGCGTAAATTGTTCCATCTGTGATCATAGTCTCATGAGACACTCCTGGGATAAAGAATGATAACCCACCGAGTTCTGTATTCGATCTCGTATACGAAGCTGGATCTGCACCAATAATCGACTAAAAAGAATACCAGAGTGATGACAGGCGTAAAACATACCTTATCACGCCACAGCTCCAGTTCTCGCATAGCAATTTGCTACGAAAAATATGAACACGAAATCTTGCACTCAACCGAGTCCAACGTACCGCAAACTCCTTCAACGTATGTCGCTGACGGGGACTGAACTCGCGACGAGGGGTATCATCGATGATGGAGAGACTGCCGTGACTTTTCAGACACACTCTTCTGACAAAACAGATTTACACGCACGTGCCGATGTTGAAGCCGTCTTGGGTGCGAAGTGGACAGCCCGCGTAGAACCGTATGTGTGGGTGACCAGTGACGAACGGCTGAGAATACCGAGTTACTGGATATTACCTAGTTGAGCTATGCAACACAACTCACGTTTTTTGCGAAACGCCAATCGTCCCGAGCATCGAGGACAACGGTGGGCTCATCGTCCCTAACCAAGCTCGTAAGCCTCGGCCCAAGGATCAATATCTCTACTCTACTGACCGTTGTAAGATCGCATGGGCATCAAACGAGCGTATCCTTGGAATAATGGAGGTACCAATGCCAGCTAATTTGTGACACGGTCAAAGGTCCGCGTCGTTAGGTCACGAGAAGAAACCGACTGACACTCAGATTTGAGGAATCTGCAATACGTTCCACATTAACGGATTTTCACGTCATTTAAGACGACTCACTCATCAGTCCCGTCAACGAGTGCTATAGTGACAATTTTCGGATTGAAGACCAGTTTCACAAGGTGCGCTATCCGATCGAAGTTCATGTCGCGGCCCGTGTTCCATATGTTGAATCTTCATCGACATGACAGATACGTAAGAAAGCTTCACGGAGATAGCTCTCTGAGAGGACCCACTTGTAAAGCGCTCTTCTGCGTTCCAACTCATCGGGCGGGTTCGGGGGCGCCAGAAAACCCAGCTCACAGAACATATTCTCCTCCTTCGCCGCTCTGCCCAAGAGTGTCGGCACGGACGACTCCGATAGCGGGCGAGCCGACCGCAACCGGCGCTCGTACAGCGACGACGTGGGCAGCGGTGCGGACGTCTGCCGCGTCAGGCATATCTTGCGCGGGAGGGCAGGGACCGTCGCTGGCTCACGGTCGAACAACGGGGGCGCCGATGTCCGTCGCTCCGGCTCCACACGCCCCAGCATATTCTCCGCCCTGGACGGTTCCGCGTTCCCAAAGTAATCGACATCCGGCCGATCGACAACAACCCGCACGGGAGCAGTGGCGGGCGGGACGAGTGAGCCAGCTACGGGCAGCGTCGCAGTCTTTACCTCTGCTGAAGGTTCCTCTGCGGGTACGGGTGGGCTCGCCTCGATAGTTGGAAGCGCCCTGCGGTCGTCGACGTCCTGGGTGCCCTGCCAGAAGCTGCTCAACCGGGTCTTGCGGGAGACGCCGGGCGTGTTGGGTAGCGAGTCCGGATATATATCGGGTGGATGGGATCCCGGTATTGTAGCAGTCACCCCCCGCATCGGGTCGGTCAGTTCGTGCTCCGGCGACGGGAGCGCGAGAGGGGCCACGGAGACGCGTGCAGCGGCCCACCGAATGGCCGCAGCCGCGGTTGTCGCGTCAGTAGAGGGAATGCTGAAGGGCCGATTCGACTCTGGCGACATGGATTGTGAGTTTGCCGAGGAGCGCAGATCAGTGAAGGAATTGCGTAGACGGTGAGGAAAGGGAGGCAAGTTTAGTGGGATGTTGGGCTGCCTCTCGAGCTTACCTACCTCCGTGCCTGGGACAAAGGGTGAGGGCAGCGATATGGTCATGACAGCGGGGTCGAGGCCTGGAGGCGGACCAAGGTCGACGGCGAAGGACGAGCCGCACGTCGACATGGGCGTCTGCCAAACCTCGGACTCCATCACGGGAGAGTCGAATATCGTCTCGGACTGATCAGCAAGAGTGTCGTCTGACACGGCGTGGGACGGGCGGGCGAGGTTGGGCGGCTGGAGATGGGATCGGGGCGGATGCGGGGTGCGGAGCGGGTCCCACCTACCGAGCGCGTACGCGTTGACGAAGGTCGCCCAGTCATAGTCGACGTCGACGTCCTGCGGTTCGGGCACGGTCATGCTCTGGGACAGCTGCTCGTCCGCGGGAGACAGGTCAAACGGCGAGGGGAGCACGTCTGCTGTCGGTCGCGGAGGGTGAGTTGCAACGGACGTAGAGGGACACGGAAGGACTCGCCTGAGCTGGAGAGGCGCGATGGCTCTGCACGGAGGCTGGCTACGGCAGCGTGGGGCCATCGATTCGTGTGCTGCATGGACGCCTCCCCATCGTCGGATATAATGCTGGCGGAGCCCGCGGTCGAGGCGGGTGTTCCGGAGGTGGTGGAGAGGCCAGAGCTAGCGTGAGCGGACGGGAGACGGATGAGCTTCTCCTCCGCCGAGGAGGCGGTCGAAGGCCGTCTCGGGGGACGTGTACCTTTCTGGGGGAGGGTGAGGCGCGGGAGAACGATATGCGGTGCGGCGTGTGCGGCGTGTGCAGAGAGCACGAGGGGGGTGTCGCTCGCGAGAGAGGAGAGAGAGCGGGAGAGCGGGTCAGACTGCAGACGGGGCAGCTCGGATAGATTGTCCATGAATCGGCCTGCACGATGGGCACGGCGTGATCAACAGCTAGACGTCGCGCACGAGTTCAACAATGAGCAGGTTGGACGAAGAGAGATGGATAGAGGAGAAGGACATCTGTAAACAGGGCCGTGGAGTACTATGTACTGCACCTGGTCTGCAGGCAATGCGGCCTTGATCCAGGCTCTCCAGGACGTCACTAGTACTTCCAAACTCCGACACACTCCTCTCCCATTCGGGTTTCCTAGTAATCAATAATTCGCTATTTACGAAGATCTACACATCCCCGAATACAAGCATCGCCCACATATACACCGGTAGCACGACATTGTCGTTCTGCATCGAGAACGCTTCCAGCGCGCCTGACAAGATCGTCACCACCGCGTACCGCAGTACCTGCAAAGAAGCGGCGAGTGAGTCAGCCCGTTCCACTCCACAGGTCGGCTGCCGACGTACCGAAAAGTTCTCCGTGTACCCACATACCCGCAGAAGCCACGCACACGCGACTATCGACGCCGCGAACGCAGCGCTCCCTTCCACCGTCTTCGGGCATGTCGCCAGCCAGCGATGCAGACCGAGTCGTTTGCCTACGATGGAAGCCTGCCGCCAAGCATCAGCAGCAATCGCATGAAAAGAGCACAAACGTATTTACCAATGCGTCCCCCACGCCCAATACCAGGATCCCGGTATATTGGAGTAACTGCGATCGTCTACAGGTGACGTCAGCACGGTCAATGGACAAGTCGGCGCGAAGCTCACCCCTCGAACCACACCGAGCTCGCACACCCGACCAGCAGGTAAAAGTGGCTCAGGATCGCCGTACCGCTGTCCTTCTGGTCCAGGAACTCGTTCATGAACAGGTGCACCGATGCGCCGAACGGGTACAGCGCATAGTAGCGCACGTACTCCGCGAACACGAACAGCGCGAACGCCGCGCTGAACGACAAGTGCATGAAGGCCGGCTGTAAATTCAGTGCCGTGAGCGCGCGCGACGATCACTCCATCAGGTACGCACGTCGACCGCCACCCCGGGCAGAAACATCACTACCGCGAGCGCGTGAAAGAACTTGCGCCGCGCGTTCAGCTTCAGCAGCGGCACGTGCTTGTCCGCCGCGTCCATCAGGTCTGTCCCGAAGTTCGACATGTTCGCCCCATTGGGCAGGTTCGGGAAGCTCAGCCCCAGTGGCCCAGCCGACTCCACCGTCGGCGTCGGCGGGGCGCTCAGATCGCTGAGCTCCCCCGCGTTGCTCGCCCCGCGTCCAGTATCCAGCGAACTATGGTGTGCGAGTAGAAATTCCCCCGTGCTGCTCATGACGTTCCGGGGCCGATACCGTCGCGACCGCGCCAGTTGCCTGTTCCATCCAGCGACACTAACACTCACCAACGCCGCCCAGTACGCCAGCAACGCGGGCCGACTCCACTTCTTTCTGCCTTCGAGGACCCAGAAGAGAACCCATAGCCAGGGATCGCGATTTCCCAGGCACCATCGCGTCCACAAGCCTAGCAGTCCACCGACGATGAGCACGGTCCCGAGGTAGAAACTCAACGCGAGCAACCGGCGGTGTTGCTGCTTTTGCTCCGGATATCGCAGGCGGCGCACGGGGCGCTGCGCGATGTGGCGGGAGAGATAGAGGAGCGGAGAGAGGAGGAAGCCCACGAGGAGCGATCCGGGTATCAGCGCAATCTGGAAGAGCAGGAGCGGGGTCGGGAGCCGGTACGTCTTAATGAACGGAGTGGTGATCGGCCATATCTACAACGGCATTAGAACTCCGAGAATCGAACTCAAAAAGAGGACACACTCGGGCGATGGTAATATTCATCATCTCCATGAACAACACCGTTGCACCGAAGCAGATGAGGCCCAGCTCTCCGAGGGTGAGCCCGTGGTGCGCGACGCGGAGCGAGACGTACAGAGAAAACTGGAAGAACATCGAGCTTACGACGACCTCGAGATAAGTCATATCTGCAACCAAACCCAATCTCAGTGATGCACTACGACGCTCAAAGTGGTAAAGCCTACTCTGCCATATCCCTAATTTCATCTCCGACAGCGCGATGCGCACACATAGGATCCACAAGGTCACTGAGCACGTAAAGAGGGTATACAAATACGTCCTCAGGCTCTCCCTTCGGGGAACAGAGCTTACCTCGCCGTCAGGCACTTGTACCTTGCGCCGGTGACGCGCCTCGGTCATCCACGACGCGCACACATGGACAAAAAGGATAGTCGAGCAGAACGTCGCCTGACTGACCACGCTCCGGCGAGAGAGGATGAGAGCGTCTAGGGAGGAGAGAGGATGCTCGGGATGGTGCAAGAGCTTCGGCGGTTCTATGCGCCACATCGGCGGAAGCGGGTCTGTGGGAGGAGAGGTGGAAGCAGCTTGTAGTGACAAGTACAACAGTGCAGACGCAACAAGCGGCCCAATCGACACCGCAGTGATCATACCATCGTCAGCCGAATCTCTGCAGGAAGACACGCGTTGGTACGATTCGACAACCGCGGATGGTATGGTGACGCACCGATAGTTTTTCGGCACGGTCATCCATATAAACCCAAATGGTCCGGTCTTGAATGCATTATTAACTAAAGCGGCTGCTTGGCGCCTGCTCTCACGGTCCGTTAGACGAGGAGATGCAGGCCGCTCGGCCTGAGGAGAAGTAGCTACAGTACCAGAAGATGGTGTTACTTTTACCCATGAGACCCGAGTTAACAAATAATAAATAAGTGATGCGATTGTGAGTAGTGCAAGTTCTGCAGCCAGACGTGAGAGACAAAGGACGTTGACTACGACGCTGTCGTACCTATTGATATCCACATGTCGGGAGAGAGCGCGTCGCCCGCGCGACTCTCAATCTTGACCGAGGCATATGCCAGGGAACCCATGAGGAGGAAATTCTCGAGTAATTGACGGACGTCCACCGATGCTCTCCATTGCGTTGTAGAAAATGGAAGTCGTATATTGATGCACAACGTGCTGGGTAGTAGTGTGCGAAGCTGAGAGATGTTGACAGAGTTATGTTTAGGACGAGAGAAAAGTGATGGTGACGCCGTCCGATGCGGAAGGGTATGGCCGTTCGCACCAGCGCCAGTTGGAGGCAGCATCGCCGGAGAACGTGAACGAGTGAATGTCCTGCGCCCGTGCAGCTTGACCGCGCTGCTCGGGCTCGAGCCGCGGCGCGGGGGTATAGGACGAGCACTCGGTGATCGCTTAGAGGGCAGTCCAGCACTATCGATATATCTCTTGCCGTTCACGATAAAACTCGGAGAGACAGGCCTGCCTCGCAACTCTTGACGGCCATCGTCCGTGTCGTCGTCGTCCGTGCTCGTGTCAGACTCGGAACTGCAGCAATTCACGTCATGCTAACGAGGCACGAATATAACGGGAACGCGCTTACCCAGAGGACCCCGCCTGGTAGCTTGAGCTCCACTCCTGTTGAGATTTGGATGCTAGCAAAGGCGTACCTGACTGGCGCCGGGCGGTAACCTGGGCTTTTCTGGAGGCATCACTGCGCCCGGGAGCCTGTTTGGCTGAAGGCGGTGGTGACGGGGAGGAAGGTGAGCGAGGCAGCGTGATAGGCGTTATTAGAAGAATGGCAACTTGGCATGGGAACCACCTCTCGGTGATTGCGCAGAGAGTAGTCTGCTATGCAGGGGTCGCACGCAGCCTAGTATTGTGCGTACTGGATATCCTGAGGTTAAAGCAGAGTATCAGTCGAGTCTGCTTATTTCCAGGAGATGTCTGGCAGACAACCCTTTTTGAGTGGTGAGGACAGGATTACAACGTCTGGTACTGGCGCCCTTAAACTGAGCGTAGTATTAGCACGATTTCGTTCGGAAAATGCCGAACCGCAATGTTGCAGAAAATAATTTGCTCGTTGTTCCTGACTTCCGTGCAGCAACGGCAGAGCAGGCACTGGGTGCATCATTCAATAAGCTGCTCACATTTATTGTGAATTCATTGTAAACATAGAGTCTTCAGTAATCTGAGACAGCCTATGCTAAAAATATTTGAAACATATCATGAAGTAGACATAACTTTCCAATAAGTTTGTTATTCCTACAATAACTTGTGGATAAGTCACTTAGAAGCAGAAGCACTTATCCTTAACTTATTCACTCTATCTTTCAAATAAATTCTTGCCAGATCGGAAATTGCATCCAGGAGGTGCTCTGCACGGCTTCGGGGGGACCTTCCCTGCGGAAGAGCCATCGGCAACAAGAAGGCCACAAGGAAAACCCAACTTTTTCTTGGGGACTTATTTAGACTTTTCGGTCTGGTAACTCTTACTTAAGGCCATAAGTGTTCAAATAAGTTTCAATAAGTCCAATTTCAGACACTCAGGGAATATGGCTTAAGCCTTTTCACAAGGCGCATTCCACCTTTTTTCCTGGGGAAAAACCTGGGGAAAACGACAAAGTAAGTCTCCGGGAAATATCAGGGAAAAAATGTGAGAAAACAATAGTGTAAATCCTGGGGAAAAACCATGACCCAGAAAAAGCAACAGATTTCTTGGAGAAAAAACCTTTGTTTCCAAATCGGGATTTCTGCAACATCAGGAAAAGTCAACTCTTGGTTAGCTCCCTTATTGCCTTGATTAAGGAGGTCTGCCTCCTTATTTGGCCAATTAAGGTGAATAAGGAAGAATAATAATGAGGATCTCCTTAAAATTTCCTCGATCAAGGGAATAATTTGGGTAAGCAAGAGTTGACTTTTGCTGATGAAGAGGTATGCGGTCCGAGAAATCTTTGCTTTTCTGGGTCACGGTTTTTCCCCAGGATTTACACTATTGTTTTCTCACAGTTTTTCCTGGATATTTCCCGGAGACTTATTTTGTCGTTTTCCCCAGGTTTTTCCCCAGGAAAAAAGGTGGAATGCGCCTTGTGTTTTGTCCTTACGTCCTTAAATAAGGACCGTAAGTCCATTTAAGTCAGTTAAGTGCCCTCTTAAGAAAAAGAAAATACACTCGGAAATTTGACTCATGAGGCTGCACTGACCGATATCGATATATAGCTAGGACTGACCATGCATGACAGCAAATCAGGTGTCGACGTTGTCACACTGTCTCTCTTAACCTGCGATTTTCTTTTTCTTTTTCTATTATCCCAGACTAAGTGAGTGGTGCACGTGACACCAGACTATGATGCGGCTCCGGAAGACTCGGAAATACTTACAGTCTGCGCTGTTTCTGCTTACTGAGTTCACGCACCAACGAGATCGATTGCAGAGAGATTCTCTTCATTTCGTGTATAATCAGCGTTGAGTGGCATCTTCCATGCAAACAGGCTCAGTCTGAATGGGCAAACGAGCGGGATCGCGGCATGGTACCACGTGGCGTGCGCACGATCAGGCGACGCGTCGCGTCGCGCGCTCATTCTCCAACTCACTCTTCTTCCTCTTTCTTGGAAATTCGCTCTCTCTCACGGGCTATGAGTGGCACAGGACGCGTCGTTTATCTCGAGGACCTCGATGCTTCCGACGCTGTCTTCAAAAAGACAGAGAAGCAGGACAGCCCCAAGGCGGAGGTCGGTTCTACCGACGCCGCTGTCACGGTGGCCACTAAAGTCACCATCGGCGAAGCCAAGTCCTCCGCCCCAGCGACCTTGAAGCGACAGCTCACTCTCATGGACATGTTCTCCACTGCCTCGGCCACCGCGGGCCCCGCTTCAAAGAAGATTAAACTCGCCAGCTCAAGCACCGCCTCTAGCGTCGGCTCCATGTCCAACTCAAGCTCCGGCTCGGCCAAATCCCTCAACTCCATTCCGTTCTCACTGTCCGCGTACCAGGACACGCTGTCAGATGAAGAAAAGACCCTTCTTTCTCTCGAATGTGAGACACTGGGCAAGAGCTGGCAAGTAACCTTTCCACCCTCCGCGTCACCCGTGCCCCACCGCGTGGGCTTATCGGTCTTCATAGGTTGAAGATGCTCAAGGACGAGATCAGAAAGCCCTACTTCCTCCAGCTTAAGCGATTCCTTTCCGACGCGGGCGTCAAGGGCCCAAATGACAGTGCCAAGTCATTGAAAGTATACCCCGCCCGTGAGTTCTGCGGCGCCTAACGACGTCACAAAATTAAACCTTCCCAGCGAGAAACATCTATTCCTGGTCCAACTTGACACCTCTGGGTCGCGTAAAGGTTGTCATCATTGGCCAAGATCCCTATCACGGCCCTGGTCAAGCGCACGGTACGGCGAATACCTAACTTCAGACTTCCTGAAACCACACTCAATCTCCATAGGGCTCTGCTTCTCAGTTCCCCAGGGAGTCGGTATACCTCCTTCTCTGCGAAACGTGAGTCATCCTGCCTCCTCGCACCCTTCTCGACGAGCATGCGCGCTGATGCCCTTGCGTCGTAAAGATCTATACAGAAATCAGGTCCGAGTATCCTGAGTTTGAGCCTCCCAAGCATGGGTGAGCGTGTTCCCTTCTATTGCCGACAACAGCGCCACTGACGGACGCGTGCCCGCCCCTGCACAGGAATCTCACGGCGTGGGCGGAGAACGGTGTCCTTCTACTGAACACCTGCCTGACGGTCAAGGCCGGCGAGGCGGGGTCTCACTCCAATAAGGGCTGGGAGGAATTCACAGACCGAGTGGTCGACGTCGTAGACAGATACGGCGGCGCTAATCTCTCGTCTGGCACGGGCGGGCGCGGTCGAGGCATCGTCTTTCTGGCCTGGGGGGCCTGGGCCGCGAAACGAGTAGCGAAGCTGGATAAGGTAGGCCCGGATCCTCTCGGAACACCCTGTAGACGCCGCTGCTGATGTCGTTTCGCACTTTCTGCAGAAGAGACACCTCATTTTGAGCAGCGCGGTGAGTGCCTGCACCCCCGTCCGTTCCAGTACCGGCCCTGAGTGATGGATGCATACTGACCGTGCACATATTCTCGCAGCACCCATCGCCTTTGAGCGCCAGCAGAGGTTTCTTTGGCAACGGCCACTTCAAGAAAGCAAACAAATGGCTCGAAGAAAAATACGGGTCAGAGGGTCGCGTGGACTGGTGCAAACTATGAGTGGACAAGACACGACACGATCAACTTAATTTATTTAATGTCCGGATCTCTCGAAGCTTTATGTACGTTCTCTGTCACTACACTCGCTTGCAGCGCTGATTGCATCGCGCCACCCAGCCCCGCGTCGCTACCCCAGATCACTCCAGCTCGCTTTCGCCCACGGACGACGTGCGTGGGGGTCTTAGAATGTACGCTCAGTCTCTCGGAAGGGTGTCTCGGTCATTTCGGGGCTTCGCCGCAGTGGGTGCCGTGCTCGACCCTTCTTTTCCACCGCACGGAGTCGATAGTGAGTATAATAGACTGAAACGACCGCTGCTTCCGCGCCTAGAGCACCTTATTCATGTATGATACCAGCGCTGCCGAGCGTTTATTTAGAGTCCCTTTGAATGTCGATAGCACTGCTGACTCCGGTTGACCGTACGAGAGCTCGTAATGCATGCATCATTACGCGAGAAATGCCCTGCGACGGACGGAGATGAGATTCTCACATGTCGACGTCTTCCCGTTGCCACAGGCGAGGCAAATCCCGGGGCGCGCATTCGTCCATGGGAGCAGCCGCATCGGTACATTCGTTGTAACTCGTATTCTTCTGCGTACAGACTGAGGCGACAGTATTATCGGCGCTACGGGCACAACTCGGAGTTGTCGCTCCTGAGTGTATTGCGGGGATTATATAGACCCGAAGTACTGAGACGTTAGTAGATAGCAGCTGTACAGGTGCGGGGATAGCGGCTGCAGCACGGGACCGGACTTTGAGTAGCGATACAACATGTCTCCAAGATACGACGGTCCTTCGATAACTGGTGGATGACAACAAAATGCGACGGACAGAAATATACTTGTTCAAAAATCAGTGCATCCGATCATTTTTGCGCGCGTCGTAGACGGAATTTGGCGCATTCGACTGCGGCAACATGGAGGGCGACGGCAGGCGTATTGGCGGAGGCGGCGCCTGCCGCATCTGCGGCAGCATGTTCCGATACCCCTGGGGCTCGGTAATCGATCGTCTGTGTGTGTATGATAGAGGCGATGGAATTGATAGACTCCCGCCCTGCGGGGCCATAGCGGACGACACGGGGGGTAGATGTGGGGACTGCGAATGCATCGGGGGGGCATGAGGAGGAAATGCAGCTTGCGAATACGGAAACGTCCGCCGCTCATCGCGCACGGTGGTGAAATGTGAGGAGTAAGTTTCGGTGCCCATGGGCCTATCTGCTGTATGCGGGTAATTTTGGGTGACAGATTGCAGATACATCTCCGGGAATGTCTGTCTGGACGTGGAAGGCGGGTAGGAGGACGAGGCAGACACGACCGAGGGCATAGCGTACCCGGAGGACGTCGACGTCGACGCTTCCGGCTGGTCTTTCTCCATAAACATGGACTCCGGCCAGTTCGCGGACTCCAATGTGGGCACAACAGACTGGTTGGCCTGTGCGAGGGTAGCACCGACCACGGTCGGAGAAAGCGACTGTGTTCTAGTGTCGGAGGCGGAGGATGGTGAGTCGGTGCGGGTGTTGGAGATGGTAGGAGATATATGCGGCAGCGCGGAGATGGGTGGCAGGGACGAGGTGGACGATTGCGACGTTTGAAGGCCGGGGATATGGGATTTCGGTTTGTCCTTTCCGGTAGGACCTTTGCCCAACGGAGCCCTGTTCGCCGGCGGGAGGTTGAGAGCAGCTCGCAATGCATTATTCTCATCCTCCAGCTCAGCCACTCTCTGTTCCAATGCCTGTAGAAAGAAGGGGTGAGCGGTTGGGTGGCGTCGGAGGAAAAATTTGCGGAACGGAAGGCTGACCTCGAGATGGGCAGCGCGACGAGCGCGGAACGCTCTCTGGACATCGCGTGCGCGGTTTGGAGGGAGATTGTCGTTCCGTTTGCGACCGCGTTTGGACGACATGAACAGGGAGAGGGCGGAGACAGCTGGAGATGGAGAGAAAGAAAGAAAGAGAGGGATGAAGGGAGTTGCTATGAAGAATGCATGTGACATATAGACGCGCCGCGACAAGCAGGTATCGAATCTGTTGTTTGGCGCGTCGATCAAGAGTACGCGGTGCAGCCTGGCCACGACCCGGTCTCGGACGCACCTTCTCACCGTCAGTTTGCCGTCAGCTCTCTCCCGACGCTGGGACACTGCCTCCTCTCTCTCCCGACTCCTCTGTCGCCACCTTCTCTCCTTCCCCCCTTCCATCTCTACCACGCTCGCAAATTTCTCCTCACGGATCCATCCACCGAACTTCCTCTTTCTTACTTCCTGGTCCCACCATGTGACGTCCCGAATCGAGGTGCCGCCGGCTTCTTTTCTGCCTAGCTCGCTCGAGATCCCTCGTTCATCGTCCCGGACCACGCTCGGCGCACCTCTTCCCGACACCGCCCTCTCCGCAGCGTCCCCGCGCATCCTCCGCGGGCTGCCCGGCACGTCCGGTTCATGCTCCCAGTCGTCTCCAGGCACCGGCCGGATGTGAACAGTCCCCGCCGAACTTTATTTAGCTTCCCCTGCAAGTGTGATTCTGTCAGCTCACGCTCAGCTATCTCATTTCTGTTCGGAAATCGCCTCCAAATTCCCTCGTCCACGTCGAACCCAGCGCAGTCGCTGCGCAAACCGATTCCACCTCACTTCTTTCCTTCTTGCGTCTCCGCGCGCCAACTCACGTACAGCCCTCATTCACCACGGTCATCGCATTCCTGTGGGTTTCCAGATAAGCTTCTTGGCGATGCCGTGCCTGCCATTGTGCATCGTGCCTGAGATCCGCGCGTAAGCGATCTTATCTAATCTCATTGTACCAAGTTGGTTCATTCACTTGAGCCGCACAATACATAATTTATGTAACAGTCGCCGTTGGCAATACCATAGGGTCTCCAACGTAGCCGCTACAGAACACGTTCAGCTCGCATGGACACCAGCGGATCAGCAAAAGATCCGTGCGATGTGCTGCTGCTCGGTGCACGCGTGGCGGGGATCTCAGGGTACGCGTACGGTCGCCATTCAGTACGGTTGCCAAAAAAGCCTACATGCCTCGCATATCCAATTCACGTCAAAAATCGACGCCTCGAGCGAAAGACACCACTCCTTGCACCACGGTGCACCGCGCGGGATTCCACCTGCGGGAGAGACCGTGAACGAGGGTGCTGCTGGTTTACGAGAGCCCTTCACGTTGTTGATGCCGTTGCCCGGCCTAGCCCTCCACCGGTACGTGCTCCTCCGTTCTGCATGGTCATTACTCCCGTCATCGATGGATAAAAACAACAGGTAAAGTATAACACGCTCTACATAGAAATACAGCTACGGATGTTATGGAGATGGTATCATGATTGGGCCGCTCTTGCGGCCGCCCGCGCTTCTTTCCTCGCGGTCGCAAGGTCCTTGTCCCGCTTCGCGAACAATTTGTGTCGAGGCGCAACCTCCCTGGCGAGTTTCTTGTTCGCCGACTTGTTCTGCTCGACGTATGACATGTGCTGTGCACCGCTCAGAGCGGTGAGAGAGCCCGAGGTCCGCTGCACCGCGGGGAATTTGGTGGGTAAGCCAAAGTCCTTCGACGTGACGGTGCCCGCAAGGTCGCCCTCGCCTGCACGAATATCCGATCCCAGGTCAGCCTCACTCTCGTTGGCAAGCAGCACCGATGACAAGAGTTCGATCTGCTCGTCCCGCGACTTGTAGACGAGGTCCGGGAGGTTTTCCAGGCCGTCAAGGTGTGTGATCACCTTAAAGGCGTAACCCTGATCGATCAGAAATTGCTGCCGCTTCGTACTGTAAAACATCTCTTGCGTGTCCTTCGACACTAGCGAGTAGAAGAAAGCGTTGAAGCCCTCATCATTACGTCGTTTGGCACGGAGGATACGCCCTGCAGCAGCAAGGTGAGTGTGTACCACCGCTAGGAAAAATATTGCGGATTGCATACCCAGCCTCTGTGCCTCCTGCCTACGAGAGCCGAAATGGGAGGATATTTGGATCAAGCAGGTAGCTTCTGGCAGATCAATTGACGTGTCTCCAACCTGCACGAAGCCGTAAATGGCATGCGAAATATTACGGGAAAAAGAGGATCACCTTCGACAGGAAGATGGTGTTCACGTCAGGGCTGTGTTGGAACCACTGGAGAATACGCATGCGCTCCACCTGACCAGTGCCGCCGTGGATGTACAGCTTCCCAAGCTTCTTTGCATACGCCTTGAATGAATTAGTGAGAGACCGGACGAGTTGGATCCGAAATAACCGTACCTCCAGTGCGAACACATTGTCGGAGAATACAATGATCTTATCCCCACGGTCTTCGTGGTACTTGATCAGAAACTGGCATGCCTGGAATTTGCGCGGGTTCATGCAGTACAGCAGCATCCGCTTGCGCGACTGCTCGCGCAGGTATTCACGATAGAACTCTGGGGTCATTGGGCACCATACCTCGGCGCACTAGTCGGAGACGCCATCAGGCGAGGCACCGTCTGGGGAACAAGGATCAACATACCTGCACGTTGGCGATATGCCCCTTCGCCGCGAGATCCATCCAGTTCGCCTCGTACAGCTTCGGGCCTATCATGTAATTAAGGTCCGCAATCTTGTCATCCTCACGGACTAGTGTGGCTAGAGGGCAATTTTATCGCATCGCAATCGCCGCCAGCATACTAGAAGTCACTTACCTGTCAGCCCTAGCTTCGAATGCGCCTTAACGGTGGTAACGACTCGACGGAACATAGCGGCAGGAACAACGTGGACTTCGTCAAGAAGGATGAAGCCCCACTCCCTCGAAGTCAGGAATTCCATCATCTTCTTGGACTCGTGTGACCTGTTGTGAGTATTCGCCACCATAGAATAGGTCGATACGACGATGCCACTGTCTCCAGCGAACTGAATCCGAATTTCAGACGTCGACGATGATTGAACGGGCCGCTTTATGCCTTACCTTCTCCTTCTGATCCGCCGTGAACACTGCAATCTGGCGGTCTGTTACATTTGACCATTGCATAAATTGTTGTTTCCATTGCATGACCGACACTCTGTCAGATGATGAAATGTCGAGAATATATCGGTTGGCACAACGACATCTTTGATCCGGAGTACTCACGAAGAGGTGCAAAGAACGAGACATGACTTCTTAATTGTACACGCGGCGGTGATACCCACGAGCGTCTTGCCTGCGCCGCAAGGGAGTACAATAATACCGGAACGTGCACGTCTGGAAGAACTTCAGTAGTAAACCCCCCTTAGCTTCGGTGAGGCTCACCCGTTACCAAACATCTTGCTCAAGCTAGTCTCTTGGTAGGGTCGGATGACGGTCGAGGGCTTAAGGTCAATATCAAGGTTGGCATTTACGGTGTCATTCCGGAAGTCGTACTCCTCGAGCATGGGATATTCGAGCTCATTGCACCGCTTCTTGACGTCCTAAAAGAGGGATGTGATAGAAAAATCAGGCACAGCGGCAATTCAAACCAACTCACATCAATCTTGGCGTCGTCGATCTCAAAGGCATGGACATTGTCATCGTCCTCATCCACCTCATCTAAATCGATATACCACACATTAGCGACATACCAATAACCGGGCACCAAACTGGCCACTTACCACCGTCGACACCCACAACCGAAGTGAAAAGCTCTGCATCTGCCGTGTTAGATGGGCCAGCGGTGGGTCCACCCTTGCCATTAGCAGCTTCTTCTTTCCTTTTCTCTGCCTCTTTAGTTCCTGGAATGACAAGGTTACCCCTAACAGGAGCTTTTGAGGTGGTAAAGGTTGCGGCTTTAATGCTGTTGTCCGTCGGCTGAGTGTGGACGCGAGCCTCTCGTATGATCTTATCCTTGAGGAGCACCTGCAGAGTCTCGGGATGACTCGATTCCACGTAATACTTATTGTGTTTCAACACAAGCTTGACTTTTCCGTACGACAACGTACGCTCGCGAATGAACGACACTATACTCTCGGGCACAGGAACCTTTTGCGCCATGAGATTTCGCAAGAAATGTGCCACACCAATCACTGACCTTCGATAGACGGTTTAGAACCTTTCCATGAACTCATTAATCAGTGATTCACACTAAATGAACAAAGGCGCAAGGCGCACGAACTTCTATTATATCTTCCGTCTGCAGACCGACAGATACAGCGGCATAGAGGGAGTACGACGTGAGCTTGTACTCGTGTATGAACGCGGGTCTGGTGATATTCATCCAGCGGTATATCTACGTAGCCAAGTCGACATACATACCTGCTAACAGGCTCGCTGATCGCGACAAGGAAGTCCTGTGCTTGTTCAGCTATTGGGGAGAAGGCTTCAAGGATGATATGCCCATCTTCCGGACTGATCCAGAGTGGGCGCGAGGCATGGTCAGGCTTCAGGTGGAGCCACGAGAAATCTTGGTCCATAAAGAGGTGAGACACTAGATTATCCTGCTGCCGACGATGTGCGCTGAGTGTAGAGCCATCCTGCACGTCTATAGTCTCCTTTGCTCTCCGTGCCTGCGCAAGCTTACGCGTCAACGCGCTGAAGTTTATGGTAGCGCCGCGAGGAACTAGGGATGTGTCTGCGTAAGACTGCTGGTCTGTGGAGTCGTCATCGTCGACGTTGATGTATTCCTCGTTATCTGCAGTCTTCTTCGATCGTTTAGAGGAATACGAGGATTCTGCAGAACCTGAATATGAAAGTTGGAAATGTTCCAAGGTCTTGAGTCAGCATCATCAACCCTGGACGTACCTTCTGCTGCCCGTTTAGCCATAGAACACTACCCGAGATCAAAATAGATACGACAGTGAACACGCTTGAGCCAGAAAGGACTGAAAGTCACCACAAAGCTGATGGAGACGGAGGTTTGTGGAAGTAGACTTGACTGAGTCGCAATTCGTGCCGCCACAAAGAGCCTACGCTTCAAGCGGAGCAGCATGCGGAGTTTGAATCTGACAAAATTCAAGATTTGTCATCAACTCTGCTTTTCGCACGACATCCTTCTTGCCTCCGACCTCTTTCTTGTTTTCGTAAAAATGTGGAGACCCGCGACCCGCGAAGTGAGTGGTACGAACGAAAGTGAGTACTCCTTGGGAGATTTTTGTCATACGATTGCTGATCCATGTATAACAGCGCCTCTGGGTAATCGTCGTCGCTTCGGTCCTGCCCCAGTGGAGGAGACCGCACCACCGCAGCTTGCACAGCCATCTCCTTCAGCTTATCCTCGCCCCACTCCGCAAAATGACAGAGATTCCAGTAGACATGACCGCGGAGAGTCTCCTGTTAATACTAACGCATCAGGTAAGTACAGAGTTGCAACGCAGGACTGACCCTAGGGTCTGCTTCACCCATCCTCTTGCTGCAGATTGTTCAGAGTGACACATCTCGCTTGCATATATCCACAACTTGCACTCATTTACTGACGCTGACCATATACTAACGTCTATTCTTTGTAACTCTTGTGACATTCCATCTAGCTGATCCAAATGCACCCCGCAAACGCCGCAGTCGTTGGGGCGATGCGAAGACCGATATCCCCGGGTTGCCTACCGCTATCTCTGCCAACGGTGTATCTCAAGCTCACCTCGACAACTATGCGATCCACCTTCGCTTGGAGGAGATCAATCGCAAGTTGAGGTTGAATGATTACGTTCCTCCAGAGCGTGAACGGTGAGCACACTTGTACGCTGCTTCGAGTCATTCTCATTCGTTGTCATCGCAGTTCTCCATCTCCCCCTCCCACATATGATGCACACGGTCGCCGTACGAACACCCGGGAAGTACGTTACCGCAAGAAGCTAGAGGATGAACGTATCAAGCTCGTCGATCGTGCTATGAAAAATGATCCTAACTTCCGTCCTCCTGTTGAATATCACCAGCAAAAGCGCTCGCAGCGTCCATCTGAGAAGGTTTACATTCCTGTCAAAGAGTTCCCCGAGATTAACTTCTTCGGTTTGCTCGTTGGTCCTCGTGGCAACAGTCTGAAGAAGATGGAGAGAGATAGCGGCGCAAAGATTAGTATCAGAGGGAAAGGAAGTGTAAAGGAAGGCAAGGCCAGACCTGAACAGTACGCAGAAGACGCCGAGGAAGATCTTCACTGCCTTGTCACTGCTGACACCGACGACAAGGTTACTCTTTGCGTGAAGCTGATCAACAAGGTTATCGAAACGGTCCGTTACTTCGTTGTCCTGGTAACATGTCGGTCCTGATGCTAACTTCGATCTAGGCTGCGTCCACTCCGGAGGGTCAGAATGACCACAAGCGCAATCAGCTCCGCGAACTGGCTGCTTTGAACGGAACCCTACGCGATGACGAGAATCAGATCTGCCAGAACTGCGGTGGTGTCGGTCATCGCAAGTATGACTGTCCGGAGCAACGCAACTTCACTGCCAACATCATCTGCCGCGTATGTGGAAGCGCTGGACATATGGCCCGTGATTGCACTGTCAACAGGGACCCCAATGCTGTCCATGCTCCACCGCCTCCGATGTTGAAGGGCGGTTTCGACTCGGAGTACGCGAGCCTCATGGCAGAGCTTGGAGAGGGAGGCAAGGGGCTAGGGGGAGATAGCGGGAAGACACCCTGGGCAGGATCTGCAGGACATGACATCACTGCGGGCGGTTCGAACATTCCCCCTTGGCGCCGTCCTGAAGTATGGCAAAGCAGCAGCGTACCCGCTAACCCGCAGAACAACGGTTACCGTCCGCCGCAAGCCCCCTATGGCGGCTATGGAGGCGCAGCGGGAGGTTATGGACCCAATTCCCAGCAGTGGGGAGCTCAGCCCGGCTATAGTCAGGGTAACGCTTACTATCAACAGCCGCAGGATTACTCCTCCGCCAACTACGCTCAGTACTATCAAAACCAGTATTCTCAGCAGCAGAGCGGTACCCCATCTCATTAATCCGAATTCACACCGTAGCGCTCAATGAACTCACGTCCGTGCAAGCCCTCCAGTTTTTCTCACCCAGCAGCTCATCACAGCGCCGATGCCGTCTTCTCTTCCGTTCACACTCACGTTGCCGCAGCAAAGATTAACAGACTTACTTCTGATCAGGACTCGAGACTGAACGGCTTTGTTTCCAGCAGCAGCTGACTGTCAACATTCTCTTCGGTATGACTGGCAGCCTCGTTTCTTCCTTACGTTCTCATACACGATGTAGCTCACGCCCTGACCGTATCATAATCGATTATTTATGATTGCGAACTGCCCTCATGTCTAATACGTGTGGGAGATAGGCTACGAAGTGGTCTTCTTTCTTTTCTTCCGCTTCCTCGTCTCTATGCGTTCACCATAATCTGTCGATTTTCTCTTTGTACCTGCTGTGTGGAGTTGTCCACCGTGTTCGTGACTTCCCCTCACGAACACGCTCACAAAAAAACCATTCGTGGCATCCTCACCCGGGGAACATCGTATCAGCGAACTAGCGAGTGCTATGCGGAAGATCAGTCCCGTTCTTGTACAGGCGGCAAATGCGTGAGGGGTACCTGGATGATCCATTTCTTCTGGCAGCCCTCGCCTCTTCCAGAGCGGTAGGACTGCACCAGGTGATGCCAGTTGGAACTGCCCCTTTACCGCCTCTTCCGACGTCAAAGCCCGACTAACAACGTGTTCGTTTTCTACGGCATGCACGCTGCAAGTGGAATAAACAATTCTGGTAACGGACGGGACTGAAGTGCAACTCAAAGATCAATGAATGCCGACGAGGACGTGAGACGAATGGATTCTAACATTTCATGGCGTGTTTAATCATCGATAGTTGGAAAGCAGCAAGTTTGTTTAGACGCTCTATGTCTCCACTTCGCTCGGATCCTGGTAAATGTAAGTCATTGAACAGTAAAGAACTCGGCTACCTTGAACCCACCTGCCTCTAGAAGATGGTCAAGTCGGTTCACAATACCGGAACCACTACACGATGGGTCAAGGAGACTGGGACGATATCAGTATCATCGGAAGATAAAAGGGTAGAGTTTTACATGTGCGTGACTGTATCGAACTTCCGGTCTTCCGGGGTTATCGACAAGAAGTCCGCATTGATGGCTTCAACATTGGTGCAATGCGCCTTCGACAACATCGCCGTCAGGGTGGAGAACCGTTTCCGATCACGTTCAAACGCAAAGAGCTACGGGGCAGTCCACAGATATTACTACGATTTTGCAGGGAGAACGCAATAGTTCTTACCTTCCCTCTGTTCCCCATGAGCGCACAAAGATGGGAGGTTTTATTACCCGGGGCAGCGGTAGCATCGATCACTACACTATCATCGCTGATAGGTGGTGCCAATACATAGGCTGGGAAACACGACGCTTTGTCCTGGAGAATGATCTTGCCTTCGCGATACAATGGATCATTGACAAACTGCATTTGCGCAGGGAACGCAAGAAGGTCGGGTATATGCTCGTCCTGAGAGAACCCTTTGCTGAAGACGGCGGTAACAATACGAGTTCGGATGAAGTTTGAGGACAGCTTACTCTGAATCGAAAGGTCCACTTAAAACGAATCCACGGGAAATGAAAGTCTTGATTGCTTCCTTCGTCGTCCAGCGTGCGGTGTTAACACGGACGTAACGAGGAATCAACACTGGTGCGTTAACATGAGGTTAGGTGAATTAGTGACACCGAACTTGGCCGTACATGCCCTCGAATCATCTGTTTGTGCCAACTCGGTTGTTGACTTGACACCCCTTTTAATCTTGATTCTTTGGAATTCGCTGCGTAGCCTTGTCTTGTGCCGCAAGACTGCCTGTTTCACTGGTCCATCACCAGCTTGGATTCCGCCCGACAGCAGGAGGTCATGAACGAGCACTAACGCGAAATTCTTTGAGGTAATTTTGTGCTCCTCCTTGAGAAGCCTCGCCGCATCTATGGCGTCCGATAGAACCGCTTTGTCTGCCGCAGACGATCAATGCAGTTCGCAGTCTTTAACTGAGCCTTACATTTCAGGGTCTCTATGATCAGAGCAGTAGTTCGTTTCCTGTCCTTTTCAGGTAACGTTGCAATAACGCCTTTGATAGACCCTTGTTTCGCATCGAGCTTGTCCAGCACCGTCGCAGCGTCGAAGTAGAAATTCATAATATAGTGCTACTACACCCATGATGATGATCAGCCTGCACAGACAGAACTGAGAGTGAAATGGAGATGTACAGATGTTCTCGTAACAACTCATTCAGGTCAACCCCAACGGCCCAAATCAGCCAACGGTGGATGGCAGGTTACTCGTATGCTATTTCCGCGACCTATACATTAGGGCGGTAAATTAGTCCCAGTTCTGACACGAGGAAGTACAGAGGAGTTCAGATCGAAGATGGTCGTCACACATGGAAAAATTTCCAATCGGACAATGTAGATAAGTTTTGGTGAAAACATCATGACGAAAGTAGCAAAAAGTATGTGGACACAACTGGCCACTCACACGATTTGGTGCGCCTTGCGCTGACACGCCTCAATGACACGAATAGAAAGGAGGTAGGTAGCAGTTCGCCTGAATCAGTGAAACTGAAATTGAACTGAAACTTGAGATTTTCATGTAGCGCTCAGGCACGTGCTCCAAACGCGTGAGCAACAGACTGACAGCGAATTCTCTCTTGTCTCGCACACCGAGACGTAAAAAAGTGAGTGCGATTGTTGCTTGCAACATGATCTATGTATGCTGATTGCATTTCGTGGTAGTGCCAGTAGAAACGGAACTATACGACCTTCTAGGGGTGCATCCAGAAGCTACCGAAGGTAACATAGCTTTTCTCGACGCGTGGCTAAAGTGCTAATGCGTTCGTGCTGAAGATGAGATCAAGAAGGCCTATCGAAAGAAGGTGAAGCAATCCGTTGTGCCACGTTCCACATATCTTTGACATCTGCTCAGGCGAGAGAACACCATCCGGTACGTCGTAATCTCATGATACCTTTGGCATCTGTTGATGTATTCCTCGCCGACGCAAAGGACAAAGTACGTGTAATGTCCCCCAGGACCAGTTCTTTTCCGCTAATCACTCATTCTTATAGAACCCAGATGATCCAATGGCGGGCGAGAAGTTCCAGGAAATGGCCGCTGCGTTTGTGCTCCACCTCGGTCTCTTAGACACCACCCTAACATGCAGCATTCTTCCACAGCTACGAGATTCTAAGCTCAATAGAGACACGAGAAACCTACGATAGATTCGGCATGGATGGAGTGTCAGGGAGGGGTGCTCATGGAGCCGGAGGAATGGACGCTGCAGACCTCTTCGCCGAACTGTTTGGCCACGGGATGCAATTCGGTTTCGACTTTGGCCCAGGTTCGCGCCCCAGACGGACGAAGGGCGAAGACACCGTCATCACTCACGAAGTTACCTTGGAGGATCTCTACAATGGGAAGTCAGTCAGGATGAGCCTAGAGAAAGAGGTAGTGTGCGGCGTGTGCAAGGGGTGAGTGCAGCATTCACACAGCTGCGTAAAGACTTCATGAAGTTGAGATTACAGATCAGGCGCGCGGGGTTCAGCGAAACCGAAGACTTGCGTGAAGTGTGAAGGTAGAGGATGGAATATGGTACAATCACAGGTAAAGTATCGCATTGCTCCTACACATTTATTGTCTTATTGTTTATTCAGATGGGTCCATCACGCATGGGTTTATCTAGAGCGGTGTGTACGGGATGTGATGGACGTGGAGAGAAGCTACGAGAGAAGGATCGGTATGCAACAATATCTCGTTTGAAGACCGCTTCCTGATTGTATCCAGCTGTAAGAAGTGCAAGGGGACCAAGACGATCAAAGAGAAAACGCGGCAGGAAATTTTCATCGAGCGGGGGATGGCTGATCGACAAAGAGTCGTCCTCGCCGGTGCTGGCGACGAAGAGGTATTAGAATCATGCTTCTTTGATTTCGCCATCTGACTCAGTTGTGAAGCCAGGGGTCCCTCCCGGTGATGTCATTTTTATGCTGAAAGCTCACCGCCATGACTCTTTTGAACGTACCGGCAACGACCTGCTTACGACAGTACACGTAACATTGTCCGAAGCACTACTTGGATTTTCGCGTATCCTCATCACACATCTTGATGGTCGTGGAGTTCACGTCTCCAGCCCACCTGGGAAGATCATCAAACCCGGTGATAGCATAGTGCTGCGGGGTGAAGGCATGCCTGTATACAAAAATCCAGATCAGAAGGGAAATCTGTATGTCGTTCTTGAAGTCGACATGCCCGATGAGACATGGATCAAAGCCGTCGATAAGGCAGTACGTAGTCAGCCCTTGCCTCCGGAGTGCTAACTTACAGCCATCGCAGGCGTTGGGGGCGCTGCTGCCGCCCAAGAAGTCCGAGATGGATCCCAAGCCTTCGGTCGTTGACGAGGTGCCGTTTGAAGAGGGTGACATTGTGGACGTGCGTGCAACGTCTTCTTCCACCAGTTCCCACTTCTTTGACCAGACTTTCGGTCAACAGTTTGGCGAGGGGGATGAGGATGGTTGGGAAGATGATGACGACGACGATGACCACCTCGGGCAGGATCCTGAATGTGCACACCAATGATGTCGGTAGTTCCTTTCGTTAATTGTATTCTGGTTATAGTGCTTTCTAGTCTACATTTGTATCTGTTAATGCATTCACCGCTCTATCTTGCCTTCCACCTGTGTGCAAATGTAGTGTCGGTCAAAATCTCTGTGCTCCGCCGTGACAATCACTGTCAGACCAAAGTGACTGCGCACTCTGCCGAAGAACATGTCAAGGACGACAGGCCAAAGGCAAGGCATATAAGTGCCGCCCTTGCGGTGACTGCGCTGAACGTCGTCCTCAGTTCCTGTACACCCTGGTAACGCACTTCAGATGCTTCACAATAGTCGCGGGGCGACGCACCCATAGCTCCCATTCTGTGCGTTGCGACAACCACCAATGGCTCTTAATAGGTATGTCTACACAAGCAGAATAAGAGACTACATAAAGATGGCCCCCGATACGCTATCAACAGGTTTGCGGAGTATCAGGGCGGCTTTCGGGGACGACAAGATAATCATCATGTCATGGGAGTGCTACGAGACCGTAGAGAATGGCTCGACGTGCGATAATGTGAGTGCGAGATATTGTTCTTGTGCAGGAATGGCACGACTGAGCGAGTGTTCAGTGTGATACAGATAGTTCTGGATGGCGTCTGGCCAATGAAGCGAGACATTCGCAAGAGTATCCTCCTTGAGCCGTATTACCAGGTGTAGGAGTACCTGTGAGTGAGAATCTCTTTCATTTTCACAGAAGAAATAGGCCAATACGCGTTACTTCATTTGCACATGAAGTTGCACGGAAAACATATGTAAGATATAAATCCGACGAGACTTCGCCATTGCGAACTCGCCGGATTTGGATATGAAATGTGCGTAATCAAAACACGCCCCACGTGATTTAAAATATCGTAAGTGGTCTGACTTTCGGTCTGCATATAAGCCTCGCCGGAACACTCACATCCAGTGTCGCCGTCGCTGTCATCGCCGTTGTAGGCGTGATATACCCTGTTCCCCTCTAGATTCCCGCAGCTGCCCCAGAGCAAACGCCATGGATCTGGTGCTCCAAGTCGCTGACGACCTTGTCCTAGACAAAGTTTGGGCTACTCTTCTACCTGTGACCGCATTTACAGCATCCTACGGCGAGGCTGCACTAGTCAACGCGTCCTCACACATTCCTATTGTCTCTACAGATTCCACAACATGGTCGCATCTGATATCATACATTCCTCATCCACCGCTGCCTGTTGAACTCGTGTCTTCGTCGCTCTGCTCATCATCCCTTTCGTCCGCATGGCCTCGCGAATACATGCCGCGGCAACTTATCTCCTTGTTCGTGCTCACTCTCATCGGCGTCCACTTCCTGTATTTCAGCGCCGCGTGGTTGTCGTATCTCTTCGTGTTTAACCGCGAGATGATGAAGCATCCAAAATTCCTGAAGGACCAAATCAAGCTCGAGATTCAAATGAGCCTCAAGGCGTTCCCAGCTATGACCCTTTTTACAATGCCATGGTTCGAGGGGGAAGTATTGGGATACTCGAAGCTCTACGATAACGTAGAGGACTACGGATGGCCTTACTTTTTCGCATCGATATTCTTGTGAGTTACGTTCATACGTCTTTATCGCGTTCACTGATCTGTTCACCCAGTTTCCTCGTGTTCACGGACTTCTGCATTTACTGGGTCCACCGCTGGGAACACCATCCTATCTGCTACAAGTGGCTGCACAAGCCTCATCACAAGTGGATCAGTAAGTCTTCCCTTCGTCATCCGTGATCCGGAGGTACTGAACTGCCATATCAGTCCCCACCCCGTTTGCGTCTCACGCCTTCCATCCTCTCGACGGTTATTTCCAGTCGATCCCCTACCACCTTTTTGTCTTTCTATTCCCTCTGCAGCGGTTGTTATACCTCGGTCTCTTCGTTTTCGTGAACTGCTGGTCGATCTCGGTGAGTTTTTCTCAGGGTTTATTTGGTTTTCTGAAATTCTGAGTTTCGCGCAATATTCCAGATCCATGATTCGGACATGATCACCGGTCATCCCCTGGAAAAAGTCATTAACGGCCCAGCCCACCATACATTGCATCATATGTACTTCACCGTTAACTACGGTCAGGTAAGTTACTGAGAGCCTTTCAACGGGATCTTGTGATTACTCACTGCCAAAATTTTCGTAGTACTTCACCCTTGCTGACCGGTTAGGCCGTTCCTACCGCCAGCCCGAGTCGCAGTTGGATCCTCTGCTCGAAGTCAAGGCTAGCGAGGAGAAGAAGCAAAAGGCGAAGAATGAGTGATGTAATATTTGAGATTATTATTGTGGATTATCTGTGAGGATTGTTAGAGCTGTTTAGTTCCCCTACGATCATTGACATAATGAAGGCGTGCTGTATCTAGCGTGACGTGCGAGTGTGAAGACAGAAGGGCGAAGTCGCGTGGCAGTCAATGCCTCGGCTATCGGCATCTTGAGATCCATGCCGCGGCACCTGAGACGCTCTCACACTGTTGAGAGAGTTGCCACAGTCATACAATGCTGAGTAGGCTGAGAGTTCAGATAAGACCAGCCCTATGTAAAACGTGGTTCGCTACTTTCTCCTGGGTCAAGTCAGTATGCATGTTTACTCTACTGCTACCCGCCACGATCACTAATGTCTCCAGCAAGATCACTTGGGGGAAACCCCTTATTAGGCATTATTGTTCTGGCCAATTTCGTCGCGACGGCGCACACGGACCCACATGGATCCATCAGCAGCACTAGCCCGCTTCTTGCTATGCGAAAGGCACACGCGACGTCCGAGCGCCTGTGTCTTTCGACTTCCTCGCCGCCTCGTTGCATCTGTCCTTTGTTCAGAATTGGGTTCGGATGTATGTGAAACAACTTCACGCAACTTATTAAGGCGACTGGTCCCTTTGCATCTGCAGACCCTAGAGGTCCCGTCACCACAACTATTCCTGTCGTCTATTGTGACTCTGCCATCAGTCTCACTTTTGACGATGTCTTCACCTCTTCGGGTTCATATACCCACTCTGTCATTTCCGATCGCGTCGAGCTTCGTCAGCTCGCCTTCAAGTTCGATAGCCGATGACGCTACCTTACACAGCTTTACTTGTCCTATTCATCATTCACAAGGCGCAAACTGCCATGTTAGTGCGTACATTTGAATATCTACATTGCACGCTGTAGACAATGCGTTTTGTATCTAGGCATTCCCTCGTTGCCCGACCATGTATCCGGCCGTAAGACGTGGCGCAGGTTCGTCAAGCTTCACTGGCACCACAAGTCTTATCCAAAGGCGCGTTCGTACAACGACGATGTTGCCAGCTGCGTCATACCGTTCGTAGCAACGTCTTCAGCGCCATCCATCGTCTCATCGCGGTGCAAGTCGCTGCCGGAACCTCCCACGAACGATGGTATCCCCATGACACCACCAGCCACGGCCGCCTCATCCTGTTTTTCGGGAATCACGCTCGTGAATTCCGGAGATAGAGAATCCTGCTTATCCGACCACTGTGCATCGAAGCGGGGGGCGCCAGTCGGGTTTCATTGCTGTGACGCATCCACGCCGAAAATTTATGACCCCACCTCACGCTGCTTTCGCAAATGTTCTCCTACTCCCATGCCCTCCTCTCCCTCCAACTCTCCACCTCTCTCCCCTCTACTCGACCTCTGCCCCGCTTATATCTCGAGCCCACCAACACTCGCCCCGATCCCTCATTTCGCTCTCGATATCCCAGGATTGTACGAAGAAGTGAATGCCACTCCCGACCCGCCTGGTGGTTTGGACCTTGGTCGTATTACCGCAGATGCTGCGCGTCAGGCCAGGATGCGCCGGCGCAAGTTCCGACTCGCGTACACTGCATCGCCGCACCTCCCGTGCGAGTATCCCGATGGGGATGAAATTCCGTTGGTGGTCGCGCGCCCATGATAAACTGGGGTGTGCGACAACCAGGAAATGAATATACTGCCCAGCCAGCTGTGTATGTGTTGCTCCTGTATGAGGAACATGATATTGGGGACGGGAACCAGGAGCTCGTACGTGGGACTCTTGTATTCATCCGGAGTTTGATCTCCACTGTTCATAACGGTGCTTCCTGTCTTTCCCCGCCAAGCGATGTGAACGACTGCCAAGGCGAAATGATACCGCGGAATCCAGCATCCACTGGCCGCCAGACAGTCCGAGAACAAGCACAGAATGCGGACAGGGACAATACAACTACGGAGTGAAGTTCAAGCAAAGGCATTTTCATGAATTTCTGTGAGGGCAGTGCAACAGAGGAAAAAGACATTGACACAACGTAACCTGACATTCGAATGTGCAAGATGATGATACATCTAATACAGCATGTTCCAGGGAGCCCAGCTCTACCGTGGCTTGGTCGGCTTCCTCTTCACCTCGTCGTCCTTGCATGCGTGTAGCATCAATTTGTTAGGCTGTCCCGTAGTCATGCCTGAGTGGCCCTTTGACCAGTCGTACGACACCGCGTATGCGAATATTGTACCCGTACGGTTGAAGCCCGTGGTTGGAATCGGGCCTGGAGCGGGGTCAAATGCTAGATACCACGGACGTCATTAGCACACGCGGACAGCGTCCGAGTGGAATGGACATACATTTGAGCCGCGTACGTGCGTCCTTGTCCCAGTAGTTAATGGTTCCGTCAGAACCTGGAAGGTGTGAGCCAATCCCGTGTTGTACGAGATGCCAATACAACATACCACAGGTAGAAAAGGTTCCGTGTATTGGGTGGAACGAGATGTCGTTCACAGCATATACAAGAGACTGATCCTTTTGGGTTGCCGACTGATCACGACGATGACACTTGAATGAAAAGTTGTTCCTGCGGCCACAATTGAGAGTGAGTGGTGATCACAGAAGGCGTACTGCGCACGATGAATCTTTATCGTCGACATATCTGCAATCAATCATGAGAATAGAAATCTCAGAAACAAAGCAGGTGACGCACTGGATGGCGACACGTCCTTCCACGCTGCCGACGGCAAAACCGTTCGCTTGCGGGAAACACGAGACCACACGCGTTTGCCACTTGAGCGGCGACGTAATGGTCTGTACCGTGTCCAAGTGTCAGATGTGTATGAGACGCTGACTCGCGAACATGCGACTCACTTTGAATACGGTGTTAGGGTTGGAGAGGTTAAATATCTGGATGTGGCGTTCCGCCGTGCCAACGACCATGAGAGGGTAAACAACATCTAGAGTATAGCAGCGCTCGGGTAATTGAACCGTCGCCACGGGATTAGGGGTGCGCAAGTCCCAGTACTGTGGCGGCCTAAGTGAGATATTAAACCGTGGTTAAAACGTGTCCCGACACACACCTTCAATGTTTTGTCCCAGCTGCCTGTGACTAGCACGGGTAACGACGTATCAACCCACTTCACGCACTTGATCGGCCCCTCGTGTTGTGCAACTTGCTGAGATTGACCAGTGGTCACATCAAACATTCTAGCGGCATTGTCAGCTCCGCCTGAGAGAATCTTCGTCCCATCCTAATATATAAAGCGTGGTATGTTGGCTAGCAGTGGCACAGACAATAACAGTCGTACCTTGTTCCAGCACACGCTCAATACAGGACCCTGGTGTCCATACATGGCCTTCCCCTGCGTCTGGCCATTCTGTCCCACTTCATAGATCCGTACCTGCACCAGCATTCAGTAGCCAGCTATAACACGCGAATGAACACGCACGTTATTATCCCAACTCCCAACAGCAAGATAATCCGCCACAGGAGAGAAAGCCAAGGATGAAATAGAGTCGCCCGGAGGGTCAGTAACCTCGATATCTTTCTCGGGAGGAGGAGGAGCAGTGGAGGTCGACGGAGTAGTACCGAAGAAAGACATGATTTACAAAGAGGTAGCAGGAGTCGCCTGTGAGCAGCGGTGGTGGTGGTAGTACTAGTTCGTTATAGAAGGCCTCAAGCGCTCAAGCTCAAGCTCAAGGTCGTGACTCAAAACGGACACCCACGTGGTACGGCACCGTCGATAACGTAAACTCATGTTGCCTTCAATTCCAAACTGTCTTGTCTTTTGACCGATCATGGCGAGAGCAACAGAAAAACGCATATACCTCACCCGGCATGCGCAAGCTGCGCACAAGTAAGCAGATCCGATTGTGTGGGATTGCAGCATTTACTGAGGCTTTTATAGTGTTTCCTCGGACTACTCTAGTGTGTATCGAAGATTCAAACCCATCCATGTTCGGGCCGCGCAGCTACTGACACTTTTTACAGTTCCCGATGCTCCCTTGACGGCTCTTGGCAGAGCGCAAGCTGCATCTCTACATGCATACACAGAGAATATCATACACACTACTGCGGAACTCCTCGTAACGAGCGGCCTGCGCCGTACGCTGTCCACCACGGTCATCGGCTATGCTGCACTGCGGAGGAGATTAGAGGCAGAGGGCAAGAACGTCATTGTCTTGCCCCAGCTGCAAGAAGTGAGTTACCCATTGGTATTTGTGAATGGCTCGCGAAGGGAAGGTTTTTCTCCCAATCGCGATCACTAACCCATGGAACAGTGCAACGATCTGCCTTGTGATACCGGGTCGGTGAGTATGCTATATTAGGTGACCAGCTGGAGACTTTTACCTGTCTATGCTGTAGCCTCGCCAAGTGCTTGAAGCCGATCCAGAATATGCGGGTCTTGACCTCAGCCTGCTGATACCTGATTGGACGTCAAAACGCGGATTCTACGCATGCGACGCAGCTTCTCTTAAGGCGCGTGCTCGTTGGGCTCGCCAGTGGCTGCGGTCGCGTCCCGAGCGCGATATCGTCGTTGTCGGACATGGCGACTGCTTGCGATACATCACGCAAGGCCAGAACTCCACTTCGCCGTGGGCTAATGTGGAGGTGCGGGAGTACACCTTCGCGGTAGATGAAGAGGACGACGTAGAGGGTGATGCGTGGCTCACGCCGGTAAAGAAGTTAGTTCAGGAGGAACCCACCTCATCTTCGCAAGCCCTCAGAAACTAGATTAGGCCACGCTCGCTGGAAAGGTAGAGGCTGAGTAGCTTTTGTTTAGAGCATACCGATATATATTAAATACCTATAAGCGCGAACACGACGATTTAGCTTGCTACTGGCCCTCGCACAATTTCCGCTGCTGACGAACCTCCGCACGAAGTGCGGCGAAGATCACCCTTGAGAGTGTGTCGCGCAAACAACATATACAAGGCACCATAGGCCTGCTGCTGCAGGTACGTACACATCCTGCGTCCATAAACATATAGCGGTCCAGCCCAACTCTACAGTATAGTGGTATACTAATGTTCATTGCAATCAAAGCTCTCGCAGCCTCAACCCAATATTCGCCGCTATCGCAGCCACCAAGAACAGGGACAGCATCGTCGGGCCGTACTTGTCGTAGTACATGCCTGAGGCGCGATGCTTCCGCAACCTGTACGCGCGATACACGAAAATCACAGCAGAATACGCGATCGAGATGAGCGCGACCAGAGTGAAGAGGCCAGCGCTGATCAGGCCAACGGTATCGTCCGGTGGGATGAAATTCAGTAGCGTCGTCGCGATCGTGCCGATGATGATTGCAAAGTGCAGCCATTTCTTCCACGGAAGTCAAGCTTTGCGAGCACTAACATCAGCGAATAGGCTCACCAGGAATGTACGCTCTGCAGCGAAATACACCTTCGGCTCAATGCGAACGGGCACAGCTATGCGCTTCCCAGGCGGCGCATGCAAACTGCGATCCAGCACCCGTTCGTCCCCCCACGCCGCAGCGCTCGACGGGCCCTCCTGCTGGTCCGCCTCCTCCTCCTCCTCCTCGTCGACGGCCTCTTCCACGTGCTCCTTCTTCTGCCGTTCAGCATCCTGCCGAAGGCGGTCGCGCAGTTCCTCGTCGAACGCGGACGACGGCGCGAGCGGATCGATCGACAACACGCGCGACGCGGTGCCGTTCGCGACCCCTACCTTACCCGAAGCTCTGCGGGATTTCAGGAACGGCGTGCGCTCATCCGCCTCCGCCTCCTCGTCTTCACCTTCTGACTCCACATCTCCGTCATGCCCCGCATCCTCATCCGCATGCGCGTCGTGAGACTTGGCGCTGGGGGTTCGCTGAGGTTCCTCTTGTCGCTCCTTCAGCGCCTTCTCGCGGAATGCAGCTGCAGCGGCGACCGCATCCTGGGAGAGGCCCGTGCGCTTGTCCTCGTCTTTAGCTACAAGGATGCGAAGTAACGTCAAGCTGACAAGATAGATCGTTCTTGGTGAAAGAGCTCCCACCTGGCGCCATGTCCATCTCCTCATCCTCCTCGCCTTCTGAGACAGGCTCGGCGTAGTGCTGGTGCGCATGATCGGGCGTGGCGATGCCGGATGACCCTTGCCTGTCCGAAGTGCCCCTGGACGACGTAACAGTCGGACGCTCGATCGCGAGGGTGCCAGTGTCGGGCTTCAGGATGTCAGTATCCACTAGTAAGAATGAAACAGACTGAGCAGGTGCACACGCAAGAACCATTCTGCAGACTGACTCTGTGGAAGCCAGAAGGGTACGAGATCCACACGGTTGGGTAAAAGGGTCGCGCAGCCGTGAATGAATTTACTACCCACAGACGGTCAGAATGTAAGTTAGACTGCTACGTCTCGTACATACCTGAACTACGGTCAACGAGTAGTGGATGAGCCAAATAACTCGGCTGCAGAATACAAAATGCTACACATACCTTGGGCACAGCTTCGACCAGATGGGACGAGACTAGTTCCGTAACCCACTGAGGAGGCTCTTGCCCATACTGAGTCTGCAGCTTCACCTCCAGTACGCCATACCTAACGTCATGGTTGCTGCTATCAGCTTTGCACTTGAGACATTGAACCCACGTACTTGAACAGCTCCTTGTCGTCAACAGCAACCTGCTCAAATGGATGGTCAATACCGATATCCGTCCTGCGCCAGTTGTCCCCGGAGCGAACACGGCCATCCCAATTGTCCTCGCGTATCATTGTGAGCTCTGTGTCCAGCGATATGCGCACGCGCGCATCCCCGGGGAGTTGGAAGGCCGTGCGGTTGTAGAAAGTGCGCATCACTGTGCAAGTCAACCGAACGACACATGCTGCAAAAAGCACCTCGCAACTTACCAGGCCTTAGCTGCTTCGTCAGAATAGAATACTGCACTTCGTTTGCGAGTTGGATCATGGAGTCCACCTCCTGCTGGCTCTTCTTCCCCTTGGCCACAAGCTGCTCGAACTCAGCATCCATAGTATACTCCCCACACAGGAAGGCGTTGACGAGGTGTTCTTTAATTGGGAATCGCGCCTTCACAGACTTTTCGCCGGTCCAGTCCTCGCGGTGTGTCTTGCGCTCGACAAAGATCTAAGATAGTCTGTCAGTATTACGTAGAGCCTACGGGTTGCAGAAAAGAACGAAATAAGGGGACCACACGTACGGTTTTGACGTCTGTGTTTCCGTACCATCTTAGTCGTATAGCTTCCGCACCTTCGGTCTTCTCCAACCGACCAAGATAGAGCTCCAAATCCTCGTTGTCAAAATAAATGGAGGTAATCGCTGGTAGAAATATGATTCAATAGTCTTGCAGCATGTCAGGCTGAACAGTAGCTACCGGCATCTTTGGGGTCGAACTCCCTGTCGGCATTGAATACTGAGGAAGTTGTGTGAAAGGACTGTCGTGCGCGAATAGTTCGATACGCCTACCTAGTACAGGAAGATGTCGCAAAATAGCTAGTTTCAAGTGCACGAGATTATCCGGATGCACCTGGTCATAGAAAGTCTGCTAGGCTCAACGGTCCGCGGGTATGTAAAACTTACCCAATACTTCGTTGTCTGCCGCACAAACGCGCTCTGGCTTCCCCCAGCACTAGCGTCACCCTGGACAGGATGGCCTCTAGTACGAACAAGATCATACAGTTTCGAGAGCTTGACTATGAGGCTGTCCCAGTTGTACTTGTAAAAAGGGCGCTTCTCCAGATACTCTTGGATGAATGTCGGCTTCAATGGGCGACCGGTTTGTTTCTGAAAGAATTATCAGCGTTGCATACCGTCGTCATGATGTGCTCTTGGGACATACATCATGTTTCTGCACAGCGAGAAGTATGAATAGTAATGTCAGTTAAGTGGAAGATACATGCTGCACCATGATACCTTCAAGATCTTCATAAACCCCGTGATGTTGAGCTTGGTATACAACGCAAGGTCATGAACATCCGCGACGAGAGTCGCAACTTCCTCCTCTAATGCAAGGAATTGGTCGTCTGCAGCATCTATGGACATTGCGTCGTCCTCATCTAGGTCATCATCGTCTGAGCCGGCATCCTGTGTGACATGGTGCCTATGCTGAGCCTCCGCATCGGTGGCTTCGCTCGCAGTTGGCTCGTGCCCGTTAACATAATCTGAGGTGACAAGGCGCTTTACCGCTTTCTCCGCGTCTTTGATGCGACTCGAGAGCTCTTGTGTCTGTTGCATAAGATAAAATTAGGAGTTACGGAGGAATGATACGGCAGTGCAAACCTTCGCTTTCTGGAAGTCATGGATCTTGTCCAGCTCCCTCTCAAGCATGGCAGTAAACTCGAGTTCGTCAACATCGTTCCAGTTGCGAGAGGTCGTTCGATCCTACGCAAATATGGGGGTATATATATTAATTGATGATACTGCAAAGGAGCAACGAAGGCGGCGCGCGCACCTTCAGCTCGCGCTTCAGCGAATTGTAGTTGATATAGAATGGCCTCCACTCGTTGTACAAGTCATTCTGGGGAGTGAAGAGGGTCATAGTAGTTCACATGCGGAACATAGAGGAAGACGCACGCTGATCTTCCTTCCGAACTTCATAGACGTAGACAAAAATAATGGTAGAGACGGAGAGAAGGGCAGGAAAGGGCAAGGAAGGGGTATGGGACTGAAACTGCCAATGCCAATGCCAAGTAGAACGTGCGCCGCTTAGATCAGATGAAGCGCCCGTCATTATCTCCAGAGTTATCTCCCCGGTAATGTTGAGTCCGCGGCGCTGACGTCTGGATCAGGTTCGTCAAAACATTTTGACTCGTGAACCTCATCCACACCGACCGGAGCTCGAGCTCGAGCTCGACCTCGCTGAAGGTAATGGGTGTCAGCGGAGACTCTCCTTCCATGCCAGCTGCTGTGCAGAATGGAAACCACACCGACGATGTCGTGCGCACAAAAATTCTGCTCTTGGGGTTGCGGAGGTGCGTTAGGAGCACACGACCAGTCTTCATTCTGTATCTTGAAGCTGACAGTTTGGCGCAAATGAAGGAGCGGAAAGACATCTATCACACAGGTCATCTTCGAGGATTTACCGCCGAAGCAGGCGTTCTACCTTGAGAGGACCACCCGCATAACGAAACACACGTTCGAGTGCGCATGATCCCTACTCATGTATCTGTGCTCTGCCGACCAGTCGAAACCAGCACGGTCATTCCCCTGGAGATATGGGACTGTCCAGGAGACATTAGTTTGGAGATGCTAGGCGCATCGTTGTCGCAGTTTGCTTCATTGATCTTTGTCATTGACATACAGGTGAATCTTTGTGCTACTAGCAGCCTTTCGAAGCTGAAGTCGATGTATTGTGAAGGACCTACTTCAACAACCTGTGGCGAGACTCGTAGACTTCGTCGTCGCAGCGTATCACGAAAATCAGAATCTAAATTTGGAGGTCTTTGTGCACAAGGCAGACGTATTATCGGACGAGTACAAACTTGGTGAGTGCGTACATATTTTCTTTTGTGCCGTCTAACACGACACACAGATAACTTCCGAGAAATCCAACAGCGCGTTATAGACGAACTGCTGTACATCTCGCCCGACTACGAACAGATGCCCATGAACTTCTATCTAACGTCTATCTATGATCACTCCCTCCATGACGCCTTCTCCCGTGTACTGCATAAGTCGATCGAATCGTTGCCGTATTTGGAAGATCTGCTCAACGTATTCTGCGCTGTCAGTGTCTTCCTATTGACAAAATTCCAGACTGACCTCCCTTCACAGAACTCCCAATCTTCTAAAGCATTCCTTTTTGATATTAGGTCACGGCTATATGTCGCAACAGACGCTTCCCCCGTCGACCCTCCCACTCACAACCTCTGCAATGACTACCTGCAAATGCTCAACGCTTTCGGGCCACTGTACAAGTTCGTCTCCTTCAAAGGCCCAGTTATCTTTCTTACGTCATATATTTCTCGCCAGATCTGTATCTGCGAGTCCCGCACGCCATCGGATACCATCACCGCCCTCGACAGGCCACTCGCCAGCATCATCCTCCCCCTCCTCACCCCGCGCCGCGCCGCGCCAATACCCCGCCTCGAACGGCGCGTCAACATCGTCCTCTGCATCTGCCCTCCTGCCCGCGTCCTCCCTCTTTACCTCATCGGCCTCGGCATCCCAACCGTCCAGCCACGCCCCATCCATCCGGCGGCACACGAAACCGCTCTTCTATCCGAGCGCGTCCACGTCGCTCTCCCCTTCCTCCGCCGGCGCGGGCACGACGCTCACGTACCATCTCATCACGCCGCAGCTAGGGCTGCTGGCGCTGATACCTACCACCGTCTTTGAGATGCGCCACGGGCTGGTGGAGTACAATGTCGTGTTCTTCCGGGAGGGCGTGCAGGAGATATGCGAGGTCGAGGAGGACGTACGCAAGGTGGGTGATCGGTGAATTCTAAAGTACTGTCGCTGCTCTGTACGGATTACTCGGGGTTGGAGAAGAAGTATTCGAGTGTCTCTTGAAGGTTTTGCACTCACGCGTATTTATTCATTGACTTTACGATCGAGCATCAGGCACGGTACAAGACCTTGATAGAGAATATCAAGACCTGATTTCACCTGCAGCGGCGCATACGGTCAGATATTGTCCCAAGACATCTTGAAATAGCACGAACGAGTGGATTCGTCGTGCACGAGACTCTTCGATAAATTTGATTAGCACCATTTGCGTTGTCCATGGTATTTTGGTTGTTATCAAACTGCCTCCACGACGTACCATCGCCCAAAGTCGGCAGGCGCAGGCTGTAGTCCCACCGGCGCTTGAATTCAGCTTCAATGGTTGCACCAATACCACCAAAGTACTTAGTAACTGCATAACCTACGCCGGTTTCTTTATCAATCATGCAGCCAATTCTGTAACCATGAACGATATCGGTCAGCAACTTCTATCATGATGGATGTTGTACAATACAACTTCAGGAACAAGTGCGCTTTAGCAAGCAAGCAGGTCCTCGTCAGCGAACAGCTACGGTTTCTCCGCGGTGTCGACTTCACCGGGGAGATGTTTGACTTGTTCTTTGACACAGATGATAATCAGTCTAAATGGGCGATGGTTCGGGGAAGGAAATCCGAATTCTCAGTACCATCGCCCTTTGCCTTACGACAGGAGTAGCGCCGTCGCCGCTGTATTCGACAAACAAGGTGCCCTGTCGCTTGTTTTGGCGATGGTCCTTCAAACTCAGAGGATTATGCAGCCATTCGACGCTTCCTAGCCCTCCTGGTTGATCCCACCGTTCAGTACGGTGCAACTCGTGGTGGAGCACTGTAATCTGGAATTGGACAAGCAGATCCGCGACTTGCATGCTCACATCTCACAAGAGGAATTTGATGAAGCTCTGGAGGTTTATCAGCCGCAATTCTTTGAACTGGAGGTGCCGGTATTCGGAAGGCACGGCGACGACTGCCGAACGAGGCTCTTTGGAGACGCGACCGTCATCCGCACCTTGCAGTTTTCTGTTCGCCAAATTCGCCAGCAATCTGCGGCGACCATCGACTCCGACACACCTCCATCGGACAAGGCGTCTGTCGTCTGTGAACTCACATGCCAGTGTCCCTTCCTCCTTTCTTCTCGGTTCCTCGCAGAGCTTATCAAGAGACCCTCATTCCAAGAAAAAAGCGAACGGTGCAAACGGCTCTTGAGAAAGATGGGATATGGGTATCGATACTGTGTTCAAGAGTTCATGAAGGTGATGAAACAACATTACAGTGGTGTTCGCGTTCCATTTCCTTGGGTCGACAGTCCACACTGCGGGTCTGTGGAGCATCCATTATCTCTTTGCGACTCTCCTCTAGGGGGGTATTCAACATGTCGTACTGCGGAGTTGAATGCAGACGAAAAGGAGCTTCTTTTCCAACAATTTCGGTCTGCGCTGACTAGAGCGCCACAGTCCTCCCGCACCTTCACGCCGAAACGAAGCTGGCTCTTTTTCTCGACCCTCCCCGTTATACTAACCACATTCCATTCGTCCCGGATGATGGGATGCAGCAGGACACCCTGTCTCTGTCACAGGTGGTGACTGGGCGAATATCACGAACGTTCCAGTACAACTGTGGCACTGCCGCGGAAGTCGTGGAGAGGCCTTGTACCGACCGGGTACTTCCAGGGTCTTCATTTAATGGAGACGATGCCGACTCTCCAAGAAATACTGCGGGATGCTGGACAACGCTGTCGTCGAACTCACGCGAAAGCGAAAGCAAGACCGAGCACAGTTCCATGCAACTCGGACGACGATGGGCATCTGCCATTGTTGACCCGGACGGCAGCAGAATCATATCCACACCGCCAAATCTCTACTGTAATTCAGGTATGATTTATCGATCATACGCATACCGGCGAGACGCTAAGCGCGCCGGGGCGCCAGCGCTACCGTAGACGTATAGACGTATAGATGTGTAGATGTACGCATGTATATAGTACCAGTCAACCAGCCGTTTACTCGATCCTTCTAATGCCGGAACAGCTACGCGACCACGTAGATGTGACAACGAATGCGGGATGCGAGACGCGGGATACGAGGGCGCACGCACCAAAAGCCGCGTCCGAGAGAGACCGCGCCACGAAGAGTTCAGAGCGCGCCGCCCGGCGTGCCCGCGCACAACACGGGCGGCGCATCCGGCTGCGGCTCGAGCATCAACTGCGCGACAATCATGTGAGCGAGAATGGAAGACGGAAGACGGAAGACGACGGAACGGGAACGGAGGAGGGGCTAAAGGGGAGGAGGGGGGGAGGGGAAAAACGCACCTTGACAGTCTGCACGGTGGTGTACGCCGCGGCGGCGGTGCCGAAGACCATAAGCGCAACGTCCGCCGCCTTCTGCGCGCGCGTGCGCGCACACGCCCTGTAATGCAGCATCGCGGGGTACACATAGCACAGCGGCACGCTACCCCCGCCACCCACCATCAGCCCCGAAAACACGCCGCAGCAGGAGGGGGGGAAGCAAACGCACCAGGCGAAGCTCCCGACGAACGAGACGAACTTGTCGAGGTCGGACGCGCCGGCGTAGCTGAGCGCGGCGCAGAGCGCGACGACCGCCGCGCGGAACGCGTTCTTGGCCCACTTGACGCGCGCGTCCGCCTTGCCGCTGTGCCGGAAGAGCCCGTTCTCCATGATGCGCACCGCGGGGAAGAGCTGCAGCGGGACGGAGAGCATGATCGCGAGCGAGTACAGGAACTGCACCTGGGGGGGCGTCAGCACGCGGAGGGAGGAGAGATAAGGAGGGGGGGGGACGCACCGCTTGTGTGAGCTTGCTCGACGCGTCGAGGTTCACGATCACCACCGTCTGCACGTCGGCGCCGAAGGTGAGGTACGACATCACGCCCGCGCCGCAGAACATCACTTCGGCCCGCAGAGGCACAGAAGCACAGAATACAGAATCAGCGCCTACACACGCAAAGCGAGAGCAGGAGAAGGGGGCGCACCCATGAGGAAGAGCATCACGCCGGTAAGCACCGCCGGGAACTTGCGCGGCTCGCGCATGGCGTCCGTGATCGGGATGACCTGCGCGTTCCGTCAACAACCAGCAGCTCGCGAGCGCACAACCGACACAGCGACAGCGACACTCACCAGCCCGATGCCCTCGAACGAGAACACCGCAGTCCTACCACGCGCACCCAATCAGGTCCCTTCACACACGCACTCGGCAGAAAAACACACACCCGATGAGCAGCGGCCAGTCCTTGGGGTTGAACAGCGCGACCTGCGCGGGGCCGCGCTGCGCGACGATGCGCGCCTCCGAGCCGAAGATGTACACCAGCCCGGCGAGGATGAACACGTCCGCGACAAGCGCCGTCGTGCTCAGCCGCGCCAGGTTCCGCACCAGCACCAGCGGCACGAACACCACCAGCTGCACCACGATGAAGTACTCGATCCCCAGCTCCTGCGCGCAGTGCGTGATCGCCAGCACGAACGCCTGCGCGCGGGTCAGCGATCGCAACGGGCGCGACGGGCAGGAGGGGGGCACGCACCTGGAAGTTCTCCGAGACGAAGATGATGTACGCGGAGACGAAACCGAGCTGGGAGACGACGATCGAGCCCAGGATCGCGTACCGCATCCACGGGCCGTACAGCGTCCCCCCCATGTCTGCGCGCATTCCAACATAAGCAGGGCCACTGAGCGCGCGAGAGGTGATACGCACCGCCGAAGCTCCCAGAGATGACGAACTTGGTCTTGACGAGGAGCAGGAACGAGTACAGAGAGATGAGCGCGATGAAGATCAGGACGCCACTCGAGAACAGGATGCCACCATTGAAAAAGCTGGATAGCGTCGTCAGCGACGTCACCGCGAAGCCCACAACTCGCTTAGACACGTACGCCTTGCCCAGGAACAAGATACCGGTCCCAACGAAAGACTTGAGGAGCTGCAGAGTGGGTGCGATCAGACCGCTTCCGCGTCGAGAAATATGGGGGGGAACACACCATGAGCACGGCCTGCGTGACCGTGGCATCGCCATGGGGCCCGATGCTCCCACGCCGTCTCCGCGACTTGGATAACGAGCGCGAGTGCGCCGAGCGCGGCAGCAGCGGTGACCGCTCGCCCGCCTTCTGTCGCTCGTCGTCCGGGGGAATGCCGATCCGCACCGACGGCGCTGGCAGAAGCGCGTCATGAGGCTCGAGGCAGGTGGCGCCGAGAGAGACGGGCGTCTCCAGCCGCGCTTCCTCGTCCTCGTCCTCGTCCTCCTGCTCCTCGTCCTCTTCGCCCTCCTCGATCTCTTCGAGGTCCTCTCCGGCCTGCGAGCGCGATGTGAGAAAATGTACCGATGGATGACAGGTAAGATAAGACTCACAAAGTGGCCGAAGAGGTAGAGGAACTCGATAAAGTTGCGCGGGATGGCGGAGTGCTCCCCTGGGTCGTGACCGTGGGTGAGCAGGTAGTTCCTGCGGAAGCCGCCCGGCTCGTGGATGTGGGCGAACGCTGGATGTGGGGGGGATGCGGTGGAGCCTGCAAAGGACGCGGCGCGGGGGCGGGCGGCTTGGCGGCGCTTGTTTGCATGCCACTTGTATATGCTGTGGCTGCAGCCGCGGAAGCGGGGGAGTCAGCAAGATGGAGCGGGAGGGATAAGATCGTCACGGTGAGACTCACGTTACGTCGGCGCCGGGGGCGTGGTACGGAACGGGGAAGGGCTCGGTGTCGTCTCCCCGCATACGGATCTGGGAGACGGAGGAGCGCTTGGAGAGCCTGCCGGGCGTGTCGGAGCCAGCGCTGATGGAAGCGGGGGGAGAGGCCTGGGCACGCTCTTCCCAGGAGACGAGATGCCTGCGAAGGATGCGGGCCTTGTCCTCGTCTGTGAGTTCGTCGAGTGCGCTGAGGTCGATACCAGTTCCGTTTGCACTGGTGGGAGTGTCGGAGAGCGGGCGACGGGCGCTGATACCGCCCACGCTCGAGGAGGGCTCACTGGCGAGTGCTATCTGCAGCGGAGAGCTTCCGAAGGTGTTGGGGGTGCCGATTGGGGTGCTGCGCCTGGGAGGGATGTTGGGAGGGGGCGGGGTGCCTGCATACTGAGCGCGGAGGACACGCAGGCTGGGAGAGCTGGGGAATGGTACTGGAAGGGCGGGCGACGGCGGACGGCGTGGACTGGGGCCGATGTCGAGAGGCTTGGACGGTCGTGGATCCATGGGCAGAAGGGGAGAGAGCGTCACCGCAAGAGTCTCGAGACTTGGGATGCCCGAAAGGGTAGCGCCTCGGGTCGGGTATCTGAGATCTGGCGAGTCAAATTCCCCGCGTTGATGACGTACTGCTGTCCTCTTGCAGCGCCAGCAGCTAGCAGCAGTTCCAGCTCTTCAAAGACGAGGAGCTCGAGAAAGACCACAGGCTCTCCTATCGTATCTTCTTCCCTCGCCGGCGCCGCTCTTCCCGGTCACTGCAGATTCCCCCATCCTCTGGGGGACTGGGGAATCAGCCGGCTCTCACCGGATCGGACCCCAGAACGTTTTTTGACTCCAGTCCGACCAAGACTGGGAAGAGGCCTGCTAGATAAGATGACGGTCGCCGTCGCGCTGTCAGAGCGCATACAACGCGTGTTCACCTCGGGGGCGCGTGCTGGGGCCCTCATTATGAATTATACACACCCGCTGTCAGGTAAGATGCAGGAACACACGAGCCCTCGTCCTCTTATGCCTGCTTTTCCCTCTCCAGCAGTCTCCAGTTCTCCACGCTCCCTACTTTCTCCCCATGTCCTCCAGGGTGAAGCGCAAGCCCGCCCCCGCCTTTCCCTACTCTCCGCGCTACCCTCATCCTGACCCACAGGACCCCTTCGCGCCCCTCAAGGTCCTCCGCGACCGCGCCCAGTCCAGCCATGCCCTCCGCGGAATGCCCTCCTACGATTCCTCCCTCTACAGCTCCCAGCCCTACCTCCTCTCCCCCAGCCCCGACATCCCTGGCTCGCCGTTCGACCTGACTTACAACCCCCACCCTCCAGAGTACTACGACCACCCTCCGCCCAGCCGCCCATGGAACGACTCGCGCTCAAACGGGTACAATTCCGACTCCTCCGCCCGCCTCGCGCGTCCCCCGCGCCCAAGAGCACGCCCGCGCGGGGACTCCAAGATGTACTTTGCAGACGTGGACCTCCCGTCCCAGCCGACGGAGCAGCAATACCACTACCGCAGACGCTCCCAGTCCGTCTTTGTCCTCCCCCGGACCGACCCAGTCTTGGCCCAGTCGCCCGCACCCCCGGTACTGGTAGAAGCTGAGCTGGAGTCGCCGCCCCAGCCACCGCCGAGCGCGCCCCCGGAGAACCAATACACCTACCACGACCGCCAGTCCCACGGCTACATCTACAGCGAGGGGGGCGCCGACCTCGAGCTGCAGGTCCTCAGCCACATGCACTCCACATCCTCCATGCACACGCGCGCACCCGCCGCCAACCCCGCCAACGCGCACGCGCAGTCTCTGCACTCTGTCCCGACTCCGCCCATGACCCCAGACGATTCCCTCAGCCTGAGCAGCACCAGCCTGCGCGAGCGCTCCACCTCGCACTCCCCCCGCCCCGCCCTCCTCAACGTCGTCCCCGCCAGCGCCGACACCGGGCCCCCGACCGAGCAGGAGAGCACACAGGCAGAGGCAGAGACAGAGGCGGAGACCCCGTCCAACATCCACAGCGCCGACTTCCCCATCCTCGCCCCGCTCCCGGCCGCAGACGCAGAATCTGCGCCGAGCCCCCCTGCGCGCCGCGGCCGGACGCCCAGCGCGGCCAGGCGCGAGAGCCTCCCGCTCCGGCTGCGCAAGACGTCGTTCAACATCCCCCCCGCGCCCGTGCGCGCACGCACCGAGTCCGCCGCGCCGCGCGTCGTCGTCCACAAACCGTCCGCCGCAGCCGGGGAGAGCAACGGCAGCGTCGGCCGGCTCACGCGCTTCGTGCTCCCCCGCGCGCAGAAGAGCCTCAGCCACATGAGCCTCGGCCTCACCCCGCTCCCGAACGTCAGCGGCTCCTCCGCGGCGCCCAGCGCGAACGCGAGCACCTCGACGCTCGCTGCGCCCGCAGCTGACAGGCGCGAGGAGGGCCAGAGGCCCGAGCGCGAAAACGCGCCCCGGCGTGCGGCGTCCGTCCCCGCGCTGCACCCCGCGGGGGACCCGGGCTTGCTCCGCCCCGCCGCCCAGATGCGGCAGTCGTTGTTCATCAGGCCGCCCGCACCCATCGTCGCTCCTCGCGAGGAGCCAACTCCGGAGCTCGAGGACGACGAGGACGGCCAGAGCCAGAGCGAGGACGAGGACGAGGACGTTCAGGCGTTCACTGCACAGACGACCTTCATCCGCCCCCTGTCGCCCTCCTTCTCGTCGACGGCCGTAAGCAGCGCGCGCACGGCCGAGTTCCCCATCCTGCATCCCCCGCCCCCGTCCCCGCCGCCCGCGCACACCCACCGGCCGCTGTCGGAACTGACCCCGCCCGCTCCGCTCCCGCTCTGCCCGCCGAACCAGTACTCGGACTGCCCGACGCCGCTCCCGCTCCCGCCTATCCCTCGCGAGCCGGACCCGGACCCGGAACCCTTGTTTCCCCTCGAGGACTTCCCGCCGGCGCGCACCGACTCGGAGACGCCCGTTCTCCTGGCCCCACCCCGCGAGCGCCAGAAGGAGAAGGATCTGGGCGCGGACGACAAGGAGAAGAGGCGGGAGTCTCTGGCTGGGTATTTGCCTGTGGCGCAGCTCCGGCCGCTGTCGCAAGTGCGTGTCGAGCCGCAGCAGGCGCAGGCGCAGCCGCTGAATGTCGGGCGTGCGCGGCAGTCGGCGGCGCTGGGACACCCGCTTATGCAGCCTCTGCCTGAGGGCCGCGTGCAGCCCGTGCAGCCGGATGTGCGTTCTCAGCTCCAGCCGGTCGTGCCCCCGCAGACTCAACGGTCTGATGCGCGCTCGCGGACTCCACCGGTGCAGGCGCCGTTTCGCTCTCATACCCCGCCCGTGCAGTTGCCCTATCGCGCACACTCTCCCGAGGCACAGGTGCCGCGCTCGCACGTGCAGCCCGAGCAGGCGCCCCATCGCACACACACGCCGCCCGTGCAGGCGCCTCGCGTGCACGCTCAGCCCGAGAGGGCGCCGCGTCGTACTCACACGCCTCCCGTGCAGGTATCCTATCGCTCGCACACACCCCCTGCGCAGGTGGCGCACCGGGATACGACTCCCGTCCAGGAACCACGTCGCTCGCACAGTCCTCCCGCGGAGGAGCCATATCGCTCACAGTCACCCCCGCCGGAGGCACAGTACCGCTCCAGATCTCCCGTCCCTCCAGCCCCATTCCGCTCCCAGCCCCAGCCTCCCGCTCGGGCGCAGTCTCCCCCGCCCCAGCCTCCCGCTCGGGCACAGTCTCCGCCTCCCGCACAACCCCAGTTCCACGCACCACCTCCTCAGGTCCAAGCCCCACCGCGCGCACACACGGATCCAGGACGGGCAGTGTCAGACGTCCACAACCCCCCTCTGTCGCACGGGCATGCGGGGAGCCGCAACCAGCGCGGGGAGCGGCCGCTTCGAACGGGCGCGATGGCGCATTCGGCGCAGGGATCGACGCGTCGGCACAACACGGCGCCGTCCACGCCGGTCCCGCACACCGCGAGCACGATGACGCTCTCGCCCGCGCCGACCGCGTACTCGCACGCGTACCCGCCCTCGCGCACGACCGCGCCGACGTCGGTCAGCTCGCACTCGCAGCCGTGGGCTGCTGCGCGGGGGCGCCGGAACGGCGGCGGCCGCCTCACGGCGTTCCCGGTCCCCAAGTTTGACGAGTACGCGATGCCGACGCGCGAGCAGCTGAGCCAGGCCGCGTCGCTCTACGTCGTTGCGCAGAACGGGCTGCGCGTGCAGTTTGGGGAGCTGTTCAGGGAGAGGAAGCTCATCGTGTGCTTCATCCGGCATTTCTGGTAATTTGCGCCTTCCTTCTGTTGTGTTTTTATTTCTTTTTTTTGCGGTCGGCGCTTACGATGTTGATACGACAGGTGCGCGATGTGCCAGGATTACATGTACGCCGTGTCGAGAAAGGTGGACCCTGAGGTCCTCAAGCTCGCTGGGATTGACTTTGTCTTCATCGGCGTCGGGTCCTCGGCCATGATCAAGTCTTACCGACGTACGCTTGCTTTCGCTCGCGTATGCTCTCTCAGCTCATGATGTCACCGCAGAGATCTTCCGCACGCCCTTTGCCATGTACACCGATCCGACGCTGCGGCTACACACGGCGCTGGGTATGACGCGCCGGACTACCGATGCGGGCCCGGAGACGGAGAGAGGGGGCTACGTCAGGCACGGCACCATCGGCGGGATCGCCATGGTCGTGCGGAACGCGCTCAGGGTGGGCATGCCCGTATGGGAGAAGGGCGGGGACGTCGCCCAGTTGGGCGGCGAGTTCGTGTTCGGGCCCGGGTAAGCGATCCGTGCACCTGCGCGACGTTCCGCGCGCTCATCGATCGTATATCGCAGGTTGGCGTGCGCGTACTCCCACCGGATGGCGTACACGCGCTCGCACGCGCCCGTCGTCGACGTACTGGCTGCCGCCGGGATCCGCACGGTCATAACGAGCCCTGGCGAGGGAGGCCCTTCGGTGCTCTACCCGGACGACGGAGAGATCTGGATGAACGCGCGGCGCGGGAGTGTGTCGCGAATCCAGACGAAGCACGAGAAGCGAGAAGGAGGTGAGCATTGGAGCCCGGACGAGCAGTGTAACATGCCGTATCTGAGCGACACCGGGAGCGTTGTGGGCTGCTGGGGTTCGTCTGTGAGTAAAGTAGAATCGAACCAGAGCCCCAGGGACAACGTGCCCCGCGAATACTCGGAGTTGCGCCGTGATTACTCACTGCCATCAGAGACGCGCAAAGAGTACTCGGAGCCACCCAGAGGCTGTCGGGTGAAGAAGCCGAGGCGTAGTTTCGTCGTCGCGAATCCGGACCAGAGTCACCGCGACGACCTGCCGCCGACACCGGTCGAAGAAGAGGTAGGTTATGACGAGCGCGGCTGGGAGAGCGACGGCGCCGCCAGCCTGGCGTACCTAGAGGAGTCGCAGGCTGGACGGACTCCGCAGATGCAGTATTGGCTAAAACAGGACTCTTTATCGCACTCGTTTGGAAGGACTTGAGGGAACTACCCTCCCTTGGACTCTTATGTATCGCTGAAAAGCCATCTGCGATGGCTTAGATGGCCTGCTTAACTTTGTGGGCTGCTCGGGGCTGTACGTTATATTATGTAGTTGGCAACCCAATTGTATTACTGTTATCGACCGATGATTGTGACCGTCATATATGTCTGTAGGAATCGTGCACGTTTGAACTGTGTAGTGCGGGGGTTTCCTTGTGACCCGGGGTGGAAGAGGAGCGCGCCTTGGAGGCAGAGATACCTGCGGCTCATCATCCCAAGTCAGCGGGACACGACCGATAATTCTCCGCCGTCACCCTCGGAGTTCCGCGGACAGCCTCCGCTTTCAGCATGAACGCTATTCAACGCCAGCGAACGCCACATTTCGGCGATCACCAGCACGCCGTACGTTCTCGCTACTGCTATGATGTCCCGCACGAAATCTGCTCGTCATTGGTAACATCACGGAGATATCTGACATCTCACTCTGTCGGGAAGATAAGCCGCCTGAATGAGTGGCTGTCTCGGCATGTGAAGCATCGCAACGCAAAGCACCGCGAAATCCATCTATATATGGAAGTACCTTTGTGCCCCAAACACATGGAGACGCTGCAGCAACGCTATCTGATGGATGCCGCCGGATATGGCCAGCAGATTCAATTCAGTATCGAGATCTCCCATTGTTCCTTGCCTCGTGGTTTGCGTTTGCTAGCCGGTGATTCTTGCAAATCTCAAATTTTATCTGGCTCAAGTGTTCTTCTCGGCATGCTACGGTTGGTCCTCCATATAAATAACCGCCCAGGTAGCTCACCTCTTTCCTCCATCGCCTCTCACTTCTCTTCCCCCACGCATCTCAGCCTTGGTGGCTCGGCCTACATATAAAACTCTGGGTGACCGTGCTCTTCCCTCTATCACTATTTCCTTCTCTTCCCTAGCATTGTCAAGCCAGCTTCCTCCCGCCGTTTTACGTTGAACAGCAAAGGTATTTTTTTTTCACCATCGTCTGTCACTTTCCTATACTTAACGACGCGCACACCACAGGCCACTCAAGTGGGATATCGTCAAGACCCTTTTGAACATCGGACTAGGCTGGCTATACATTGACAATTGGTCTATCGTGGCTGGGCGACACAACGATGCGACCTCTTCGTCGTTGACTACCCTCGGCTTTGGCTCTGAGAAGAGTGGCTACTATTGTGGCCACATCAACATTGTGCTCTTCGACGGCGACATTAAGACTAACGGTACGCGTCGACGAGTCTCTATGTTACATGTGGCAACGACGGTGAGTTACTCTTCGGCGGCGACTCCAACGTTCAGCCTCCCTCTGTCAACAAGTGGTGGCATCAACGACTGGACTTTGGTTCATCTGTGGTAGCACTGGTCCTTCCCATTTTTCGGCGACATCTAGCTTTTAGGCAACACTGAGCTGACTGGCGGGTATGTGAGCTTCGGAGACGTTCTTTCCTTATTATTCCTTCTCTTTATATGACTCTTGTCGACAATCGCGTGGACCGACCCCCCCGAGGACTGGCGCGGACCTCTACGTGGTCCTCGGGACGAGTACCCCGTCGCCCTCGTGCGGCGGGCGAAACCAACTCGCGTCAAGCTGCCAGCTTTCCCGAAGCCAAGGTACGTCCTTCGGTTTGATTACCTATCGCTTGTCTGCGCTTTCACTAACAATCCTTTGTAGGATCGCTCGGATCATCGCCATCCCGGGTGCAAGGCGGATGCAAACTGTTCCTCAATGTCGGCGACTAGACCCCGTAAACCCTTCTGAAGGGCGAGATCAGCAGAGAGCCGGTGTGCAATGTTTTGGGCATTTTTCTGCCCTCTGCACCAGACGGCTTTCTGTGACAGATCGACAGGCCGCTTTTCGTTCGGTGTTGGCTGCAGGCGAGTACAACACTGTTCGTCAGCATCGGCGACTAGCGCATCCTGTAAAGCCTTGTTAAGGGCGAGATCGACGAAGTACCGGCGTGCAGCGATGATGATGCACAACGGTTTTCGTGATTGGTCAACAGGTCGCTTTTCGTTTGTTTGTTGTCTGCAGTCGAGTGCGCGCTGTCGAGGCTGGCTTAGGCGACTAGTGCAACCCCTGAAAACTCTTCTGAAGGGCGAGATCGGCGGAGAGCCAGTGCTTGACTGTGCAATGGTTTGGGCATTTTTTTGCCTTCTGCACATCACCACAGCTTTCCGTGACTCGTCGGCAGGTCGCTTTTCGTTTGATGTTGGGTGCAGGCTTGCGCCGCCTTGCAGTTGCCTTTAATGTGAGACAAGGTGAAGTTTGTGGCCGACTCCATCTCCTTGTGCGGTGACCAACGATGCTCTGCAGATCGTTGGATACTCGTGAAGAGAGTAGTTGCAACAAGTCTGCCATTACGCTCTTCATCAAACACATTGCAATACCAGGAACCTTCAGGTGAGTCATTTTTTTCCCGAGGGCGGGCAGCTCTTGTGATGCAGACGCTGTCCGGGCGCGGACCTTTACGTGGTCCTCGGGATAAGTACCTCGTCGCCTTCAGGTGGCGAGGGAAACCAACTCGCGCCGAAGTCGAGGTTTGCTTCTAGTTCTATCTATAGTTTGTTGCTAACCGTTCATTAGCGTTTCAGACATTCGGATGATCATTTCCCTCGCCTGTGGAAACATGAATTGTGCTCGAGGCACGTTCTTCCCCCTTTTCTTGGTTCACCGACCGATGGTCGACCTTCCAGCCCAAGGATGGCCATTGTCATCCCTATCGCATGGTAGGTGCAAACTATCAGCCAACATCGCGGGGTAAGCGTACGCACTGCACTCTTCGCAATGGTGACCAGCGGAACGACCCGGTGTGGTCCGTTGATGGCAGGTTCGCCTCCGCACACTGTAGAGCTCTGCGTGTCTGGTCGGCAGGCTGCTTGTTTCTCGGTGTTGGCTGTCAGGTTGCACTTACCTTGCGGTTGTCTTCAAGAGGAGAGGTTCGCTGGAGGATACCTTGTGGCTCGATCAAGGTATGTGCTCCTTTTCTTAGCTAACCATTGTCTGGAGCTGCATATTGTTGGTTCATGCTTCCAGGTAAGTTCCTTTTCTCTTGTCTGGGCTACGCTTGCTAGCTCTGGGGTCTGTGTTCTTTGGTGACTCCGTGCTGGGGCCGTTCGCGCACACTGGTTGTGGTGTTTGTGCAGATAAGTCGGTTGCGGCTATCTCTGATCAACTTGGGCGACATAGTGCCGCGGCTCTGCTTTGTGCGAAGGTAAGTCAATCATGGTTGGCTCAAATCTACTCTGGCGATACGGCTCTTGAGCACCGCGCTCGAGTCTTCGACGACTACCTTGAGGCAACCCTAGGCGATGGTTTACTGCTGCTTTGCTGTTTCGTTAATCGTCTGTAATGTCTGGCTTTTTTGACTTGTTCTCGGCTGTCTAGCTCTTAGACTGGTTACTGTTACATGCCGGTGAGCGCTGTGACACGATATCATAACTTGTTTCGTTTGATTTCCCTTAGAACGATACCACAAATCCGACACCACACCATGTTCGGTGATCACTTGTTTTACTTTCTTTGTGTAGTGAGCATTCTTTTTGTGAGTTTCGGCGAGTTTCTGCAGCATTTATCCGCATTCACCGCGGCATGTTCATTGAACGTAGATGTAAGGGCACGTTATATCTAAGACTACGAATCGGTAACTCATTTTCTTTGGTGAGCCTTCCCTTGTCTTGAGTTGGGCAACATGCTGCCTCCTTCTCCGTTCACACTGATTAAATATAGAATCGCGACAAGACCGCCATAAACGGAACATCAAACATCGCTCAATGACAAGTGCCTCCAGGTGAGTCCATTTTCCCCCGAGGACGGGCAGTGCTTGTGATGCAGGCTCTGTCCGGGCGCGGACCTTTACGTGGTCCTCGGGATAAGTACCCTGTTGCTTCCTGGCGGCGGGGGAAACTAACTCGCGCCGAACATCAGGTAATTTTTCTTCCAAATCTCGTCTTCTGACATAATTACTCTTTACCGCTGCATTAGATGCGGGGGCGGCCCGTAACAGCTGCGCTTGCTGGTCATCTTCCCAAAAATGCCGTTCGACGGTGGCGACAAAGGAACTGTGAGTCTGATACAACTTTGCCATCTGTATTTCTGCCTAAATTCCTTTGCGAGGCTGCAACTGATGCTTGTGCTGCTATTCAGTGCTTTAGATGCTATCAGCATTGTTATTTTACACTTGCTCGCTCACAGTCGACTGCCAACGGGCGACGCCACTTTCACTGTTCTGGCGACTGACTATCGCGCTCGACCCTGCGGGGAGATGGGCAACATTTCTTCATCCGCATTTTCTTCGATAACGGTGACAATTGCACTAACCTATTTCCGCGGCGATGTTTCCTTTATCTTCCGCCGTTGGCAACATTGGCTGTGATAGTTCAGGTTTCCCTCGGTGTTCTCTCGAATCGTCTCTGGAATTCGTGGCTGCTGCTGACTCTCCTCACACTCGGCTATCGCTGCATTTCTCTCCTCGCTCCCAGTGTCTTGGCTCGTGTCTTGTATCTGTTCCGAACTCTTTTCACTATTGTATTTGTTTCGACCGACGATCATGTTGTTTGCCCCTTTTGTACCCGAGAACGGTGATGTCTGTAAGCAGATGTCCTCCGGGTGCGGGCCTCTACGTGGCTCTCGGACGAGTACCTTGTTGCTTCGGCTCAAGGGAAACCAACTCGCGCCAAAATTGGGTATATGTTTTTTGTTCAACCCACTGTCATGCACTGACCTTCCTTGGATTTTAAAGGCTGGGAAGCTGTGGAATGGTCAATTAAATCAACCTATGATTGGCTATTGTGCCCCTGACTCTGCTCGCTCACTAGGCTGAGCTCGGGGACTCCGGCAACTGTCGACCACTGCATTGACTTCCCTGGCGACACGACCTCTGCTTCGACTGCTTTTCTGTCGCCAGCTTGGTCTCTTCGTGTATCTATGCCGGGATGGATTTTGGCTCGTTTGTGGCGACACTGTATCTGGGCTCTTCAACTTGTGGTAAATTCGTTACAGTTCTGGCGACATGACCAGACTGTGTAAGTATGCGTTGTGGAACAGCTCCGTTGTGTCTGCTGGCATTCCCCGGATCGTGTTGCATGTCGAGTTCTCTTCCTTCCTTCGCCCGGCGACGTCTTGGGTGCCCATTCTATCTGGCTTGGGGCGCTGTGGATTCGACAGTTCTCTTCTGTTGAGCTCGGCGATAGTCTATGGATGAAAACTCACAATTCAAGACTGGTGCCTCAAGGAACGAATCAAGGACAGTGTAAGTCTGTGCCAACGCTGTAACCTGTATCCTGAAAACCAGTCCCCCAAGTTCCGCGGTATTTTTCGCCTATGGGTTTGATTTTCTCCCGTCTGTGTATTATTTGTCTTCTTTGTCTCTTGTTTCTCCGGCTATGATGTTGCGTCGCCCCCATCCTGTACTCGAGGGGGGGCAGAGCCTTGACCGACCGTCTGGGCGTGGACCTTTTCATGGTCTTCTGGATAAGTACCTCATCGTGAGGGAAGCTGACTTGCGCCACAGTTTGGGTCAATCTTCTTTGGTTTATGTTTGAATATACGCATCACACTGTATCCCTGCTGTATGTGCAAATTACAGCGACTTTTTGTGCATTCGTGACAATTGAATCACCGCTAATGAGGTCGCGTCGTCATTGCTATGTATCCGTTCATCCTCGTAAAATCAAAGTATGTGACATCTGGGTGTATTCTCAGCGGGCGCATTCGACCTTGCATCCTCATGGAAGCACCGTCAATAACTGTTGAAATGACTGGTAACCGTGTACAGACCGTGTAGTCTGAATCGTGATGGGGCAAGGACCTTCATTAACGACCTCTGGACGTCTTCCAAGCCTCGACCCAATCCACGAGTCGCCGAGCCATGTCTTCACCTTCCTTCTTCCGCATGCCAGTCTCGCCGACCAGCCTCTTGCGCTCCTTCGCGGTGCGCCCCCGCAACCAAGCTTCCTCGATGGCGTCCGCCCACTCGCCCACCTCGTACAAGGAACGTGAAAGCTCAACACCAACTCCTTCCTTGTCGAGGAGAAGGCGCAGGCCGTGCTCCTCGATGAAGAGCGGGCGGGGGACTGTGTGTCGCACGTGAAGTGCTCTGATCAGTCGCGAGAGTAGATCTCGTTGAATGAACATACCGAAAACGAAGGGCGTGCACGCGTCTACGCACTCAGAAACGGTGCCGTATCCCTACAGTCAGATTTCCGCGTGCCGTCAGTAGAATACGAATAGATATGAGACGACTGACAAGCTTTCCCAGTAGCACGTCCGCGACGGCAGTCAAGTCGGGCATGTACACGTCCTTGGGCGCAACGAAGAAGTTCTCAGGGAGCTCGTCACCGTCCTCGGTCCCCCACTCTTTGGACACGCCGCACACGATAGCGATCCAGGATTCGTCCGGTAGCAGGCGGGGCATGAGGCCGTCCTCGATTGCACCATTTAAAGACGTGGTGTCTGTGCCATCACCGTTCGTTGCAGAGTTACTGGGAAGCACCGGAGAGGGAGGTATTGTGACTGTAGTGAATATGGGAATAGATACAGGGATCGGCGAAGTAGGGACTGTGGCCGGAGGCGCGCCCGCAATGTTCAGCTGCGATAGCGGCTGGAGACGGCCACTGATCCGACGAACGACAGAAGGCCGCGCATCACCAGTCTCTCTATTTGGGCTGCAAGGAGGGCGCTCCGAGCTGACGGAACGAAGGGCATTCTTCAGAGCTTGTGCGTGTCCTTCTGGACGCCGAGATGCTGGGATATCAGATTTTGTGAAGGCTCCCTCGAAGGCTGTCGTCGAGGTGGAGGCGGAGGATGGAGTCACTACACCGGATGGAGTGCGGCTATGAGAGACGGGTTTGTGAAAGACTTGGCCGCCGAACGAAACGATGAGAATCTTCGTGTGGTTCGGATCGTGCAGGCGTGGTGGTACACGGATTGACTCGAGGAGGCGGCTGCGACCTGCGGACGAATAGATTGAGGAGTCCGGAGACCGCACCAGGAGCGGTGCAGAGACGACGGTGCGAGAGATCGCATTGCCTGGGGTCAAACTCGAATAGAGGGAATACTCTGAAGGATGATTCATTAGGTGAGCTTGCACATCGGAGGTGAATGTGCGAGATCCCGAATCAACCCACTCCACAGACGGAAGATGGGGATGGACCGCGAACGATGGTATAGGGATAGCTCCGGGGAGGCGTAGAAGGAGATCAGCACAACGATACCCGGAGTGGAGTTGATCCACCAGAGGAGCTAATTTATCCAGAAGAATTGGGACATCTGGTTCAGAGTCTTCTTGGCTTTGTGGAGATTGCGGTTGCAGAGTATTCACAACCAGACTACTTGTTGCCTCAACAAATGATGTGGAAAGATAACTGTAGACTGAATCAAAAGAGAAGTTGGTCACCAATACGGAAGGTAAACCAGCTTGATTAGCAGCGAGGCTGATAACTTAGTTAGATCGATTCTGGGATCTCTCACACAGACGTACCACCCAAGAAAGGCTGCGTCGCTCAATACACAATCTGCATCGATACTAAGAAGCCACCTGGACTCTTCGAGTAATTTACCGTCCTTCTGCTGCAGGAAGGATTCTAAAACATCTACGCTTTTTCGGCGGTCTACACGGTAGCTGAAGGAGTCAGTGAGTTCATGAATGAATGCTTCATGACGTGCACTCACGCTAGCGGTTGTACGATAACAGGGTCTATTTCGGCATAACGATACAAGGCTTCAAGTCCACGGATAGTCAGCTCATATTGATGCTCATGTCATGCACGTGCTTACCTCCTTTAGCTATACTTGCAGAAAATACATGTTTTGGCGCTGAAGAGACGATATGGATAACTGGCGGAGGATCCAGACAGAGCAAGTGACATGCGAACGCGGATACACGCGTAGCGTGGCCATAGCCTGAATGCGATATTCAACATTAAGTCAATGACGTCAAGTGCCAATTCACACACCATGTCCGGAGCAGTAGTATGCAAGAGTCAATACATTATGTTCATTGGACCGTGACATGATGCAAGCGCACACAACTCTGTTTCTGGGCCAAGGCAAAGAAATGGATTCTCGGAATAGCTCAGTTGACGACTCCAGAACTCTCTGAAAAGTGTCTTTCCAGTGAAGTGTTGTGGGGGCACGAAGTATACACGACAAGAAAGAGTTGCCGATGGTGAGCGGTCGTGTTGGTCGCTCTCTGCAGAAAGTTGAAAGTGAGACACGCACACGTGACCGAGAAAAGTGGCGCTTATTCCTTGCTTATTTCCGACCCGACTCCGTCAAGTGTTCGACGTCAACGCGATATTGATACTTCTTGACAAATCTACAAGTACAAATGTTTCCTACATCCTTCGTAAATTGTATCATGCATCTGACTTGGTTTGTGGTGCCGGCGAAGTCTTGCAACCAGCTGCTCAGAGAGACCATTGCATCCTCGGATGATCGGTTACAAGTTACTCGCCTGGAATCATGTGTCTCCACCCCAGCAACTGCTCCGCCTTCGAACAATCAAAAAATCCCTTCCCAACAGCGATCGTCTTCCCCGCCTTAATCGGAACATCCGCCCAATATTTCTCTTTTAGCACCGTCGGGTGTTCGTCCGCCGCGGCGTCCGGAGCAGCGATGAAAAAACGCTCGTGCCCGGTCCACCGCCCGCTTTCGTCCACCACCGCGAGGAGGAACGCGTCCGCTGCGGCATCCTCCTGGACGTACCCCCACAGGTCGTTCTTGCGCCGCATCGGGTCCCCGCGCAACGCTGCGACGCGATTAGGGACGGACCAGCTGAGGCGCAGGCTTGCGACGCGCATGAATGGGTAGCGCCGCGTGATCGTGTCCGCCTGGAGCTCGCAAATGCTGTCCGATGCAACGGGTGTGTGAGATGCGGGAGGACGGGAGATGGCGGGCGCGGACGTTACACTTTGGACAGGCCGTACGGCTCGTCTGGCCGACAGGGGTGGTCTTCGTCCAGCGGCAAATAATCAAGCTTTGGCCCGAGGCTATAGACAAGGGCGATCACGTTGACGGAGGAGGCTTGCGCAACGCGTTTGATGCCGTGCTGCGATACCAGCATCTGTTAGAAATCTCTTCACGGTCAATTGGACACTCACTTCTGCAGCCGAGCGCAGCACGTTCCATGTGATGACGACATTGCTAGTATAGGTGAAAGCAGTCAATTCTTGAGTTCTATCTTAAGCGTCCGCTGCTATGCGCACCTGTTGTGAGTGTCTGCAATGAAGTCCCTTGGGTTCGGGATTGAAGCGAGCTGGACCACGCCCTCGCATCCTTGGAAGACTTCAAATGTTTCGTTGTAATTGCGCAGGTCGGCCTGGACAAACTTGAAGGCCGGGTGCTCCAGATGCTCGAGTGGCACTTTGACATCCTGAATCGGTGCAGAGTCGATGCCCACAACGGAATGGCCCTGCTTTAGAGCGGCGAGCACGACACGCCGGCCAACGTACCCGTGGCAGCCAGTCACTGCTAGCTTCATGATCGCGGTGCGGTGCGCGGACAGGCGAGATGACAGGAAGATGATACAGAGGAGCTTCAGGCTGAGGGCCCCTTGTGAATTGATAAGACCACTTGGCAAGTCCATCATGAGATCATCGTTGCGGGAGTCCGGTCTCCGGTGTGCAGAAAGGGACGACAGAATATAATTGAGAAGCAGCCAACGTCGTTCTCCGCCCAGTGTACCGGGACCGAACGACGGATAGGTGTGTGCAGAAGACTCAGGCAGGAAAGCGCATGCTGATTTGAACTAATGGTTCTGAGGTTCTGGCTTCTACCGTGGTGAGGCTTGCAGCATGCACCAAGACAGACGGAGAATATCAGCCTGAGGTGTGTCCGAAGTTTCTGCGACCTGGACCAAGGTGGTCACGATGGCCGCTCGAGGCGACAGTGATGTTCGAAGAGTCAAACATGTTTGACCTGCAGGGACGTCGTCTGCTAAGTCCCAGAAGATGCACTCCCAATTCCAGAGGGGCGAAAAGTGTACGCGGCACAGCGCTGAGCGTCAGTAAGGTGAGCGTCGCCTCCGCGACGCGACTCGGGTATTGCCGTGATATTCAATTTCACCCACTTCGAGACGACTCAGACGCGCCTGTGGCAACCCTTTTTTTCTCGCTAAAGCGACATCTACAGTAGCCATGGCCACTTCTGACTGGCTCGGCCAGCTGGCAGCTCTTCAACAGCGCATCGACAACTTTGCTTTTGGCAAGGATGAAGAAGATGCAGGCGCCCCAGACGACGGCGGCGCCGCAAATTTCGTGCAGCTTCTGCGCGAGGTCTGCGCCGTAGTACGCAAGGCAGAAGCCAGCAATGCTCTTGACATCGATGCCGTCGTCGAGAAAGCATACAACATTCTCAATTCTGCCGTCTCCACTGCGTACGGGGAGGCTGATTTGTTCGATTTCTTGCCGTCATTTGCTCACGACGACGAAGCGGCTCCGCTAGTGAAGGACACGTTCGAGATGCCATTTGGTATGCTCATTCGGTTCCACTCGATGCGCACTGATCGATGAAATTGACCCTCCCCAGGGCAAGGTCTGATGGACAGTTTCATGAGTTTCTTTGCAAAGTACATTAAGAAAGGCGACTCCAATCCTCGAGGGAAGCCCTCACCCTTTCCAGGTCCTGGCCGGTGGGAGAAGTCCGCGCAACCTCATCCCAACACCACTCGTCTGTCCCGATTCCGCACCGGCATCACCGTCTCCGTCACGGAGGCGACGCCCCTCGCGAACCTGATCTATCAGGCGCGCTGCGAGGTCACGGACGACAACATCTGCCTACCCTGCCGTATCGCGGTATCCCAGGGGGGATCGTGCCTGGCGGTAGTCGCCGCGGGCGGGTGGAAGAATCGCGACCCGGTCTTGCACTATTACCACCTTGGAGACGACGTGGACTCCGCGCCATCGGTGACGATCGAGCCGGGCTTCGCGGAGACCGCGTACGCTCTGGCGATGGATGAAGCACGACAGCTCATATTCGTCGCGGACAGTGACCGGGTCAAGTCGTTCTCATGGCAGGACAAAGGCAAGCTTGTGCACACCCTGCGGAGCGACAGTCACAGCGGTCCAATCGCCGTCCTGCCCAACGGACGCATCGTGCGCGCGGGCAAGGGCAGCGCGCTCGTGTGGGACATCGACAAGCTCCAGCGCCACGCGGATGGCAAGCGGGTTGGCAAGGGGAAGCTCAATATCGACGACGTCGGGCGCGACAATGACAACGACGAGGTAGAGCGCTCTACGGGCAGCAAGCCGCACGCGAAGATCCAGTTCGCGGAGGAGTCCTATGTACCCTCGGTGTGGCATCTGCATCAGCCTACCGGGCACATGCTGTGTGGCGAGAGTGGAAGGAAGGACGACACGTACGGCTGCGTTGCGCTCGATCTGGAGCACGGAGGGAAGCCCGTCTCACGGTACCTCGGGCACGGTGGGGACGTCGAGGACTTCTCCACGAGCGAGGGCGATGCAAACCTTTTCGCGACGGCGGCCGACGACGGCTATGCACGCCTCTTCGACATGCGCCGCCCCTTGCCAGTTCTGACCCTCGACTCTGGCAAGCAGTCGGAGTTCTGTTCCAGCGTCGCTTTCGTACACCCCGATGGCGTTCCTAGTGCGCGCTCTTATTCTTTCCTTGTCCTTCTCTCACATCGCTGACACAATTCACTGGCCATGTGTTTAACCCTCAGCCGTCTTCACGGGCGGTGAGACGAGCCAGCAGATCAAGATGTGGGACGTGCGCGCCCGGGCGGTCGTCTACGAGCTTGGAACGGGGAATAACGAAGTCAGGTCTATGGCGTGGGACGCGGCGCACTCCACCCTCTTTGCCGCAACGGAGTGCGACTACGTCGACCGCCTAGGGTACCACCACGAGTATCGTCGCGCGCGGATTCCACGGTGGGCGGAGGAGCCTGCGTGGCGGGGCGAGGAAGATGAAGATGGTAAAGCCAAGGACGAAGATACTGACATGGACGAAGATAGTGAGGACGAGGATGAGGAGGAAGAAGACGAGGACGAGAATGATGACGAGGAACGCTGCTGGCCGGCCAAGGCGTTCCATGGAGAAGATTACTACGGATATGCGTTCGATGCTGGGGAGCACAGGCTCTGTGAGATTCACTTTCCATTTGTTTATTATATTTGGCTGGCTGAATTGTGCCTGCGAACAGATCGCTATGCCTTCAAAACCAACGCGGATCCAAAGCAGCTCCCCGTATATGGCCAGGCCACATTGGAGGGCATGAACTCGTACTGGTAGAGGTTGAACATGTTCCACCGTGACTGCACACGCTGTATAACAGATTCTCATGCTTGTCGTGATCTACTCGGTTGATCTCGAGAAATCGATGGTGTCTGTCCGCAACGCCTACCTCCTGCTTTGACGTTGGACATAGTAAGCCTCTATGTAGGTATATTACCAGCAAGGGGTCCCAGTTAGGGCATGATACTGATTGATTGTGGAGTCAAATAAACCTCAGTTCTGTGGCATTCGCGCTCAAGAAAGCTGTAAATACACTACAAAGGATGCCTATGAAGTGGCTGAAAAGAGGGATCAAAGTGGAGGGAGATTATAGGCAGGCGCAGTGTAGAGGGATGCACCGACAGAACGGTCAGGCATAGGAGTGATTGAGTAGTGAACAGCGTGCGTGATGGTAAGCCACAGAGAAGACTCGATGATACTCGTAAGGCACCCAAACAAACGAAAGATTTGATGGTTGTGCTTTCATATGAAAATGACAGCGTAGCGTTGGGTCCTGTTTTCTTGAGCGAGATCATACGTTATCATGAAACTGAAATTATATGAGAAAGATATCAAACTATGTCAAAGAGACCCATACATGGATGCAATTGGGCGGCTCCAGTCCATCCTCTGCTCAGGAGGCGTCGACGTCCATGCATGAAAGATATCAAGCCAATAGTGAAGCCCACTGCGCGGCGGCTTCACATCCAGATCGAGACCGACATCCATGCTTGTGACAGCAAGGAACCCGTCAGGATCCATCACGGCAGGCAATTCGCCCGCGTACAAGTACCGCTTGCGCCAAGTGCAGTTACCGCTTCTTGTCGCGGACATCAAAAACACAGACTCTTCCGAGTGGCACACCACGGTTGGAGAGGCCGCATCTGCAGTCAAGCGGTGCAAAGAACACCTCATATGAACTGTTGCGCGCCGAAGAATCATACCAGCGCACACGGACCATCTGTGGTGTGTGGAAGGTATTCGACCTTGCGTCGTACTGGCAAAGGGGGGGGTATTCTGACAAACAGTTGAGCAAACCTCCTCCAAATGCAGAGACAGATATGGTAAACTAACCGGCCAGAGCTATAACTGGTACGCCATTTGACACTTCTGCATAGGACTCTATCAGATCCGCTGGGAGGATACCATCATGCAAGTGTTCAAGCTTTCGGCGAGCCTACATGTGACGTCGTATTTCGAAAAGGTCCGGAAGTATCGTAAAATTGCACGCACTGTCACCTTCGCAACACTCAAAATTTCCGCACATTTAATCAGATCCAGATAACCCTCCCGGTCAAGCTGCACAATAACCTCGGAGAAGCCGGAGCCTGGTAGTGGCCCGTAGTCGTACATGCGGATGGCGGCATGCCTGCGACAACTCTGGAATAAGCCATCGCAGCGCGATGGGCTCTAATCACCTACTTGTAGGGGAAAACCCACGTTTCGGGCTGACTATTGTGGCAAGTGCACTGCAGCACATATGTGTGGTTGCATCCCGATTATCGGCGACAGACTGATATGTTGCTGGATCGACGTACTATACTCTGTCATGGTCAGGCCTAGGGTGAAGGGGGAACTTCAAGCTGAACCAGACTATGAACCCAAGAACATAGTCCGGTTCAGCTTAAAGTACTACTCTCGGATCGAGCTGTGATGGGAGACGATCCCTATTTTGAGGGCCAGCGGTGGGCATGAATGACGTCATGCGCAAGGATATCCCAAGTCATGTGATATCACACCGCGCAGACGCCGTTGCAAACCATCATCACAACAGCGAGCACGGGTATGGATGAAGAACAGACAAGGCAGCTGCTCTCTCCGACACCAGAACATCTTGCCTCTGTCAGAGTCTTTCCACTAATCCCCGGTATCAAAAAGGATGTCGTCGTGAGTTCAGCGCTCTTCATCCGATTTCTTGAAACTGACCCGAATGCTCTGCAGAAAAATATCGGTGCATTGAGTTTCATTTCCTTCTTTGTATTTCTCTGTGTGCTCAGATGATGGGACAGATACTGCCTTGAGCTGGGAGTACGTACCCAGTCGATGTTTCACATGGATTGTTTCATACTGACACAACCTTATATACGTAGTCAACTCACAGCCTCCGACATCAACTTCGCCATTGTGAGACCTCTGGTATTCAAGTATGCGAAACCAGACAATATGGCGGTCGTGTACGCGTGTTTTGTGGTGCGCTCTCACTTCTTGTCCGAAGCTGCAGAGAATATCGCCTACTCCGGCGTAATGCACTCCAGGGCGAGCCTCTGCGAGATCCTGGCCATGAAACTCTTGGGAACATTTGCGTCGAATCGATTGCGTCTAGTTGCTGTTCTCACAGCAGGCTGGAGCCCCCTTGCCGGCGCCCCACCAGATATCATTAACGAGGTCCGAGAGATCGTTGGTGACGACGAGACGTTTGACCCACAATGCGCCCTTGAGGTTTGCCAAGACAGATTTGGTATATGCTGCACATATTGAACACCGTGCGCTCGCTTCGACAGATGGCTATTGCGACAGGTGCAAAAGCGTTCTTATCCTCCCCCGTCGTTCAAACCGTAGTGAATGACCTCTACGCGGGACGGGTTGTGTTCTCGATGCGCTCAAGTCATTCTGTCCTCGCGGATAACTACAAGCCTCGCGCCATTGAGGTGTATGACTGCCGGAAAGCTCCCTTCCTCGATCACTACAGACTGCGAGTGCCAAAATACGGAGCCATCCTGGATTTCATCAACTTTGCACTGCTGTTAACTTCTTTCCTACTGTGTCTATCCAGTGTGTGCTCCGTATCTGTGTGGTTCGCAGAGTGTGACCTATGTCTAAGGCAGAAACTTGAATAAGATGAACCCTTTTGAGATCATATTCGTGATTTTTGCCACCGCGTTCACACTGGCAGAGTACACCTCATCGAAGGAACATGGCTGGGGTAGTAAGTGAAGCTTCTATCCTTCGACGCGCAAGACACTGAAGTCCAATTTTAGTCTACATAGCGAATGTATCCAGAAAGCATTTATCCCACAGAAAGCTGATGTTCACATCTGTTCGTTAGATGTGGAATGTTTTTGATACATCCTTCATCATCATCTTTTTCACGTACCTTGCGCTGAGGATCAAAGGTCTCATTTGTCACGACCGTGAGTTGCTGTTCGATGTCACTCCAATGACGCTGAAAGCCATGCTCTTTGTAGTTAATTCTTCAGATCTTGCATTTGACATACTGGCATGCGGCGCATGCATTTTATTTCCGCGGTACAATTTGCTGCGAGCTCCTGAGATGCTCGATTCACCATGTTGCTCATATTGATTTTAGGCTTGCCTTCTTCGCAGTATCGAACAACGTCGTCGTACTGTCAGTCTTTAATACATATATCCAATGCGGTTCTGCTGACCGAATTGAAGTGCACTGCGAGCCATGATAGCCGATTTCGTGTTCTTTATTGGAATCGCTGCGATTTGCTTCTCTGGCCTCCTTTTCACCCTTCATAGCTTAGGTATGTCCTGATTCCGATTTTCCTGGTAACTAGCAATCGGGACGCCAACTCGGATAATTTTTGAGCCTCCGGGACATGGACTGTCAAGAAGATCGCTTGGCTTATGGTTCAGATCTGGTTTGGAAACACCTACCTCAGCTTTGCGCAGGCAGAGAGTTTCCACCCGTTCTTCGGTCCCATCCTCATGACCGGTTTCGCGGCGCTGTCAAACACGCTGTTACTAACCAGTGAGTGCGCCACAATCGCGCTATCGTGCTATTGATTTGACTGAGTAGTGGAATTCGTTCAGTTCTCATTTCCATATTGTCAAATACTTTCGCCAGGATAGATACCGTGAGTTGTATTCATACGGAGCTCGATGCATCACGAACTGACCTGCCTTTCAGAATGCCAAACAAGAGGTAAATGGTTTTGCTGAACTTGCAAGCACTAGGTAGCTCATCCAGGGGCTTCCTGCGTAGTATCTGTTCCAATATGCGCTCTCTACCATTGAGGGGTATGCAGCTCACCTTCGTGTCTGAAGTCTCTGATCTTAAAACATCATGCACAGCGTCAAGTCGGATGCGCTCTTCAGTTACCAACCGCCGTTTAACCTCCTTGCCTTCATCATTCTCCGGCCTCTGAGCTTTGTGCTCTCTCCCCGTGCCTTGCATTCGGCGAACGTGTTCTTGATAAAGTTGACTGTGCGTTTTCTCGCACTCGGAACATCCGTGGATCCCTTACGAAATTTCTTTACAGTCTTTCCCTACTCTGATTGTCATCGGAGTGTACGAACGATTTCTGGCAGAAGGGCAGAAATGGAGAGAGAGCCGGACCGACGCGGTGCACAATCTCTACGCTAATCTCACACGGAGGATGAAGAACATACCTCTTCTGGACCTGCTTGGGAGCAGCTCGACAGAAATTTACGACGCCATTTTCGACGTGGATTTGCCGCAGGACGATGTCGACGACCTGTTCGAAGAGCGTGACGACGACGTTGCGACCCCCTTACTCTCCTTCCCCTCGCGCGAGAGTCTGCATGTGCCAAACTCGTCGCCGCCGCCCTCCAGCAGGCAGGAGCCACTACGCAGGCGACACGCGAGCCTGCCACACGAGCAGATAAACAGGGGCGGAAGCAGACATGGCGCACCTTCCCCGAGCCTCTCGCCTCGCCCGAGGAAGGCGACGCTCCCGGGACCGCTATTGACGTCCACTTCGGGGGAGATCCAAACTGGCGGGCCACGGAGTCCGCTAAGCAGATTGTACCTGGGTGCACGGGATACGGAGCGAGTGACATCTCCGTCGTCCGTCGCGGAGGCGAGCATAAAGAAGGTGGAAGCGCTGCTCGATGACGTCCGCCATCTGCCCGTTAACCGGCTGAAGGACGAAATGAAGGAACTACAGGTAAGTGTTCTAACGTATCAGGCCGTGCCGTTCGCATGGGAAAGACACCTCTCACCTTTCATCCAGGATCGGCAGGCCCGCATCGAGAACCTGCTGTTGATGCTCACGAGAGGAATGCGCAACGACACCGGGCAGCATTCAACCATCAGACAGGAGACGATGTAACTCATGGCCTGCTTGGTGGCACAACTACACCTTGTTCTCATTGATGTATTATGTGTGACTATTGGCAATGTTTCTGCACATCGTTACCCTTGCAACGGACATTGTGCGGCCCGACCCAAGCCCGACCTTTGTCCGACGTCCCATAAGTGGCACGCTGAGCAAAGTGCCATGGAAGGCGAAGAACAATGTCCCATACGGAGCGCGCGTCCAGAGAGATTTTCTAGTCAAGTGTCAAGCTAGTCGAATTTTAAGACCGAAGACCGTCAATGCCGTCAATGTCGTCCTCGTAATGTAATTACAGTATTAGTATTCCTTGTATGATACAGCTGGGTTACTACACGAAGCCCGCGCCAGCAAGCCGAAGGGAAGGTGAGGCGCCAACAGACGCCAAGAGATGCGACGATGCGATGAGGGATACATGGATGCGACAGCGTATGACAAAGTCCACCGATCAGAGAAACAAATGCGATGATACCAGAATGGGGGAAAACAGACGAAATCGAAGCAGAAAACATGACGCAGGGAAAATTGCTACCGTGATCCGCGCGTTGATACGGCAGGATCCGGGCTGCCCGAGCGCGAATGAGGGGTACTATGCCCAGGTCTGTCACCCTCTCCCGATAGCGTGTTAACGTGCGAGCGTTCGACGATTGACTCCGTTGGCTGCACAGAGTTAGTAGCTGATAGCATGACGGGCTCAGGTTCGGTGTCGATTGTGTGACCGGCGGTGATGATAGGCTCGTTGTGCGGATAGTATGAAATTCGTTTAGTCTTCGAGTAGTCGTACACCGTAAACCTGTTATCATCCAGTTCAATCAACGAAGGCGCACGACAAATGACCAAACGTACTGTTCTACTAGTTGTCGCATCTCGGGCTTCATCTTCTCGAGGTTGGGATGGGCTTTTCGTCGCGAATGCGTGAGCGGCCTCTCCACCATCAAAAACTCGTCCAACTCGTGTGAGACGTCAAAATTGAGCTTGTTCATCTACACCATTACATGTAAATCAATCGCGCCAAGAAACAGAGGAAGAAAGCATGGTACGTACATCGATTGAAAATGGTGGTTGGCATTCCTTGTTTTCCAAACTCTCCCAGTCGATGGAGGCAAACCAAGGATGCGAATGAATGTCGGCGATCCCTTGACGCAGACTCTTGCACCCTAGTCGAGTCCTTGGATTCCGATCAAGTAACTGAGGTGCATACAATGACCATTAGCTTGGAGATAGCACGACAGAGTGGGATATGCTCACCTGCATAATCACATCTTGACCTTCCGGGCTGCAATATTGGTCCGCGATTGAAGGTAATTTAATTGGATCCTTCATGATCGAGCTTTTCATCTTCTCGTGTGTGCGCCCGTCGAATGGGCGACGTCTGAAGAGAAGTTCCCAAATCACAACACCCATACTCCACCAGTCGATCCACCAGGTGTAGCCTTTGCGTCCAACAATCTCGGGAGCCATGTACGCCATGCTACCTGCTACGCTGGTGTGGAGCCGGCGCTCAGAGTAATGGATGGCTACATTGAAGTCAGTGATGTGTACGTGACCCATCGCGTCCAGCAGTATGTTGTCGGGCTTGATGTCGCTAAAACAAAGTACTCGGACCTGAGGGTAGAAACGGTGTAAGGACGTACGACTCACCGATGAATGATGCGCTGTCTATGAAGATAAGCCAGCGCAGAGGAAAGTTCTGCTGTCCAGAATTGCACAACGTTCTCCGGGATGCGGCCTAAGCGCTCCAAATGAACTGCAATCGTTCCCGTCACGAGAATGTACGACACGGGGATATCATGGGCACGTACATCTCAAATCCCCACCAAGCATAAGATCCAATACGAAGAAGCAGTTTTCGTCGTCCTGGAAGGCGTATCGCAAGTTGACAACAAATGGGTGGTCAATCTGGATATTGTTAGTATGCAGAATGTATACGCTCGACATGTGTGCGCACCTCTTCCAGCAAACGACGTTCTTGTATGATGTTCGCGACCGCCTTCTGCTTTAGGCACCTGGCCTTATCTATGTACTTCAAGGCGTACAGCTGCTTCGTCTGCTTGTGTTCAACAATTCTCACCTGGAATTCTATGATGTTCAGATATAACTATAGACCCCTCGGATATACGCACCTTGCCAAAGGCACCGCGCCCCACTGCTCGATTCAAATCAAAGTGATACAGATCCACCTCACCATCGAAATCGACGGGTGGAGAACAGCAGCACAAGACACCACCCATAAGACGAAAAGGAATGACAAGAGCGAACGGGGAGGACAGAACAACTTATGGTCTGCGAAAACAAGAGGTTCCAAAGCAAGCAACGCAACGGCGTCATATAAGGACATTGTTCACTTTGGCGCCCACGCCACGAGGCCCGGAAGAATCTCTCCGATAATTGCTCGATCCAACCGCGCTCCGCGACGTTTCTCTTCTCCCGCACTTATTCATTGTCTCAAACAAACACAGCAACGAGTTATTTTCCTCTGCGAAGCACCCACCGGTGTGCTCTTCTGACCGGAATCAGGACAAAGAGACTGTCACATCCTGGGAATTGGAGACATTTCGCCCGGGACAGCAGACGGGCAGGTCCACCATCACTAGTTCCAACATATCAATCACTGCTGTTGAATCGCAACATCATGCCCGTTGCTTTGTCTAAGATCCCCACCCTTCGCGAGCTATATGGCACTTCTGCCATCAAGAGTGCCAAGAGCTCAGAACTCGTGTTCCCGCCCAAGGAGTCGTTGCTCGATCGGGTGTCATTGTAGTGAGTATCATATGTCAACAAATCACTCTTGGCGTGTATCAGGTTTTAGCTGCCCTGTGTAACATGAGTTCAGTCAGGGGGACATTACCAGGTTGGAAGTGGCATCTATCGTGAATGCTGCCAACCGAAGTCTATTAGGTGCGTGATCACTCCCTCCGTTAATAGTTCGACTGTCTCAGCTGGACTGACTGGACCCCCAGGAGGTGGAGGCGGTTAGTAGTATTAACCCCCGCCCGGTCGTTCAAGCGCTTAATGCCAATCACAGTGGACGGAGCCATCCATGCTGCCGCGGGTCCAGAACTTCTGGAAGAATGTACGTGCTTTAGCAGTTATTGACCTGAGCGGTTTGTCTCCAAACCAACGGAGATAGGTCGAACACTTGACGGTTGTGATACTGGCGACGCCAAGATCACCAAGGGATACGATTTGCCGTCGTGCGTGTAGCTTTCTCTGCGAGATATCCGTCTTCGACGTGCCTACCAGGAAATTTGTGATCCATACAGTGGGGCCAATATACTCATCAGCGAACACGGATGTCAAGGCTAAGCAGCTCAAGTCGTGCTATCAAAGAAGTTTGCAATTGGTAGTGGATAGGTCGCTGAAGCATATCGTCCGTTTACCGCAAAGACTTGAATGCACAGTCGCAAGCTCATGGGAGATATTTCAGGCATTTCCTTCCATCTCGACGGGAATATACGGCTATCCTGTCGAAGATGCTACGCACATTGCATTGAAAGTGGTTCGCGAATTCCTTGATTCTCTCAGTGGAGACGGGGTGGGTTTTCTCATCCCATTACACGCTCTGGTCACCGAACCACTGCCTTTGACAGCTTGATCGAGTTATATTCGTAGTCTGGAGCGACGCCGACAAAATAGTATACGAGTAGGGGCTCCACCATTCACTCTTATCATAGTGCATTGACGCAACTTTGTCCTAGGAATCTCATCCCTCTGTACTTCCCGCTTACAGCTGAGGAGAGCGCTCTGCAGGTACAAGGGGGATAGACAGCGGTTTGTTAAGAGGCTGAAGTAGAATGCTTCGACGTAAGAGGTTTTATTACGAATTGTAATATTATTGTGACGGATTCGGATCCCCGATTTCTGCGTCGGTGGTGGTCGGTATCGTAGAGGCGGTTTCGCAACGCTCTTCTCAGGGGCGTGAGGCTCTACAGACACCAAGGTAGAGAGCAAAGTGTGAACGTGTGAACAAACAGCAAGGAGAGTAGGTGGGGTAGAATTGGGTTGAAGATTATGGAACTAGGGAAGCGCCGACTGGCGTCGGCCTTGACCTTGCTTGCCGAGTGGTAATGCATTTGTTAGATATGCATGCAGTCTAGACAATTTGAAGGGTATTAGTAAACAATAATCACCCCCCAACAGAGTGGTTTAGGTTGTACAAGATCGGAGGGGAAGTTCACAATTCAATTTCAGTACTTCAGATCTCAGACGTCAGAGCCATCATTAAGTGAATGGGTGATGAACACCACAGATTCACTTCTAGTGAATTTTCTTTGTAGACTACATGCTGTGACAGGGAAAAAGCTGAATTAACGGCGGAAAAAAACCTGGGTCCGATAGTTGTAGTTAAGTGTTGAATGGACAAGTACAAGCATACAGCAACCGGGCTGACATCAGGAAAACCCCACTTTTCCTTAAAGACCTTTCGCTCTGAAAACCCTTATTTAAGGCTATAAGTTCTCAAATAAGTCTCAATAAGTTGGATTTCAGGCACTTAATGTAATATGGCTTATGCCCTTTTTGTCCTTATTTCCTTAAATAAGAACTATAAGTCTGTTTAAGGCAGTTAAATGTTCTCTTAAGAGAAAGTTGGGTTTTCCTGATGGATTTTCGAAAGAGAACGGACAACTGGATAATGTTTGTTACTGATTGAATAAGCAACGCCGCGCAACAGATTGTACACGACGCTCGCCGATGGTTCTATATATTCAACAACTTGAACAGACTGTACAGGGTTAACGATGTGACGACAGTGGGAGTCGAACATAAAGGCCTTAACCGGAGACACTCGGGAGAGAAGTCGGGCAGGTACGGGGCACGGAAAAGTGGTGCAATTAAGGGGGGCGAGGAGACCTTGGCAAGCAAGGTGATGAAATTAGCATAAGGTGCAGAGCCAACAGACGATCTAGATTCTATGCAGCCTAGTATTATGACAGACTCGGAGGAGACAGAACAGAGCGCTGAGACCCGGTTTTTGGCGCTGCCACGTGGATCCCTTGCACATGTAGTTTGCAAGAAAGTTAATCATCGTCTCGAGACATCCTGCGGGAGTCACGGACCTCTTCTCGCAAGAGGCGGGCACGTTAAGATTGCACACACGCGCTGACCTCCAGCTACTAAACACTGATGGATACATAGCTCTACCGGACTTCGACGGATACAAGTTCGGAATACATAGGCACGTTTTTCACTATCCTCGTTGGACAGTATTGCATATATAAGATACCCGGAAGGTGTGCAGCATTCGAAGATGATTACCTAGCTTGCAGTACAGTTCGATGCCGTCGACAGTCTGCCTTCCAGAGCCAGTGCACACGGTTCGCCGCTCCTCTCGGCCTAGTGCGTACTGTGGTTCGTGTGCCCAAACTCAACAGGTCGCCACGCGCTACGCACTCTAGATTATTATCTGACACTGATCGGTAACCTCACGAATGATACTTGGGCTCTATCGTGGGGATGGGGCGGCCGACACACTAGATCGCTGCCCAGGCATCAAGCTGGTTTGTGTTTCTCCGACAAACCTGCTCTCGGGACGTTCGAGTAGCCATGGGCCAATGGGTGTACTGGCATACTACTTTTCTGGGTCACGTTCCCGCAAAATGGGCGCATGATGAAAGATCCGGGAACAACTTCAGTGGAAGCTGTCCAGCCGTCTCCATATGCAGATCCTGCCAGTGCGTCAAAGGTGACCCGTCTTCTACTTCACCTCCCATTTCTCAGAAGTAAATCGTTCACATGGTCTGGCTGAAGCGCCCGTAAATTGGATACTCTGGCTCTGGCGGCCCGGACTTCCCGCCATTCTCTCAACCTGGCTTTAGAATCGGCCACTCAGAGACGCGACTTTGGCTTCGCGGTTTGGTCTCGGTGGCCTTGTGATCTAGATCTCAGCATCTCTGTTGTATTTTGGAATCCGGAACCGTGATGGACAGCATAAATCGGCGTGTAGTTCCCATTCCCTGTTCCTGGCTATCTCTGACCAGTTGCTATACAAATACTCTCTACTGCGAAGGCGCTATCTTGAAGACGGACTTCACCTCTCTCCAAGATGGGTCTCGTATACAACATCTTCATAGCAGCATTCTGCTCGATCGGTGCGTTTGCTACAAAGTGTCCGATGGTCGATACCCTGACAAGCTGCCTCGAAATCTAGGTGCCTTTCTATTCGGGTAAGCTCAGATCTCTTCTGTTACCTCCTCCGCGTACTTCTCTTGTCGTTTTTCTTGCATCGTAGATATGACAGGTTAGTGCAACAGCAATTCGTGATGTAACGATCCTAAACGTTGGCCTTGCCCGGTTCCCGACAATTAGCGGCATCATCTCTTCTGTTATTACATTTCCTCCATTCAAAAACTTCGTGAATGATCCGCGCAATTATGCTAGCTTGTCGGGGGCGGTGGTGTCTACATTTACGGGTGAGCGGTTGGTTGCGCACATCCAAATATTCTTGTTGGTTCATATGTCGTAGGCGGCTGCTTCTTCGGTGCTGCTATTGCAGGATGGTATGCTTATCATAATCACTATTTAACGGGTCTGACAAATATGTCGATAGGTCAAATGACAAGATTGGTCGCAAGCGGTCGATTCAAGTGTGTTTTCCACTGACTTGCAGTGGCCGCCGTTTGCTGTGCGACGAGAGTAACATACTTATATTTTGCAGCTCGGTTGTACGCTGGCGCTTTGGGGATGTGCAATGCAATCCGGAGCCAACAATTTTGCTTGCATGCTGATCGGGCGTATCATCGCTGGTTTAGCGATTGGGTATGTGGTTTACCACAACGTATCGAGTGTCGCATGAGCACTGAAAACATGGTGCAGTGTTCTGTCAATGACCGTGCCTCTGTACAATGTGTCTATGCCAGTCATCTTCTCAGTGACACGGCGCTGATGTCTATGCATTGTAGACAGAAATTGCGCCCCCCAAAATACGTGGTCTTATAGTGGGACTGGCGCAGCAAATGATTGGCATCGGGTTTATCGTTGCTAACTGGGTGAGTTACTTGCCGAACATGGATAGCGTAGCGCCTCTAGCTCTTATCTATCAGGTTGGTTACGGGTGTCAATTCATTAACTCGAACACCTCATGGCGGCTTCCTCTTGGTCTCCAGGTAATTCGTCCTGCTACGCATCTCGTTCATTATGTATATTCATACTTGTTTAGCTTATTCCTGCATTCCTCCTTTTGGTCGGAACCCAGTTCCTCCCCTTCTCTCCAGTATGCAGTATTCCGTCAGCCGGTCAGTAAGTGTACTAACCCTACTGTCATCCAGCGTTGGCTCCTCGAGCAAGGTCGTGACGAGGAGGCACTTGCGGTAGTCAGGAAGTTGCACGGCGGCAACACGCCCGAAGCGAGGGAGAAGGCGGAGCGTGAGTTTTTAGAGATGCAAATGACTATAAAGGCCGAGATGACGGTTAAGTCGAGGAACATCGGCGACCTATGGGCTACGCCTGGGATGCTGAAGCGCACACTTGTTGCGGTTGGCGTCCAAGTTTTTGGTCAATTCTCTGGGATCAACGGCAAGCCCGACTGTAATATTCAAGTTGTACTTTGACTGACATTTTTGCTAGTTATCAATTACTTCGGTCCTTCGATGTATACTGCTTTGGGACTCACGCATGGCCAATCATTGCTAGTGCAGGGTATCTACGGCGCCGTCGGCCCCATCGCGAATTTCTTGTGAGCTCATTTTTGGCACGACAGAGATTGGCAAGCTTGACCTTTTCCCAGCTTCATCACGCTTTTAATCGATAGCGTTGGGAGGAAGAAACCACTAATGTTCGGCGCGGGCAGCTTCGTGGTCACCTACTCAGTTCTTACCGCCATTGTCGCGTCGTTCCCTCCAAGCGAATCAACTAACCATCCTGCTCAATGTGCTGGTATCGCGATGATATTCATGACTAGTATTTTTTTCTCCTTAAGCTTCGGACCAGTCAGCTGGGTGCTTGCATCAGAAGTGCGTACTGTACGGTGGTACATTTTCAATTCGCTTATCTATGGCGTTCAGGTGTTCCCTACCAGAAATCGCTCTGTGGGAACTAGCGTTGCAACTTGTGCCAACTGGGCATTCAATGTGTTATTCTCCCAGGTATTCCACTTTTCCAAATAAATGAGAGGGGCAATGCTGACAACGTGCCTTTGAACAGGTGTCGAATTTGGCCATCAGCAATATCGGATGGAAGTATTATCTTGTCTTCATATGCTTAAATTTTGTAGATTTCATTATTATCGCTTTCTTCTTTCCCGAGACGAAGGGTCAGTCATCAATTCACTACGTCATGCAGCTCAGGCTATTGATACGCAGTTTCTGTTCAGGCAAGTCACTGGAAGAGATGGCACAAGTCTTTGGCGACGAAGTGGTAATGCAGGAAATACCTCACGAGCCTCGCGAGAAAATGGTTGACGACGCGAAGCACGAAGCATGATGGTCTCTCGGTGGACAGTCTGACGCCGCTTTTACTTATGTGCCTTCTTGTCTTAAATGTCATTACACGTTCAATTTGGCTTGTGAAGCTTTCCGTCGATATCGAACATCGCAAACCGGGCTTCTAAGTGCCTATAGCAAAACGGATCTTTGACAATTTTAAACGGTCAAATACTCTCTCAGAGTTTATTAATTGGCCGATCGTGATCTGGTGGGGGATTGTTTGATCTTGTTAGGATCCAAAGCCACCGCCTTCCAATTTGGGAGCCTCTCATCAAGTACCCATCCAATATTGCCAAATGACTACCACAGGAATTCAGGCGCGCAGTAGGTCGCTAGAGAGCTTTCCTATCGAGGTGAATATCTCGCTCGACCACTATTGCCGGATATTCTCACAGTTGTGTTTCAGCTGTTGTACGAGATCCAATACTACGCACTCTCATCTTCCCTTCCCCTCACCTCTAAGCACTTCTATGCCGTATTCAAATCCGCTCCTTCATCTTTCCATGCGCAATATCTCGTTGGTCGCTACTTCCATTCCGAACGTACCACCGCTCGACGTACGACCGGGTTGTTTACCACCGTCCTCAGATATCCCATATGTAGCCAAGAAGTGCTAGAAGCCGTAGTTCGTTCCAAATTCGACGAGGTGTCATACCCAAGGGGGCGAAAAGGGGTGGTCATTGAACTGCCTCGGAGGCTTTTCCGCACACTAGCCCCGCGGACACTAGGTGGCCAAGGGAAGCCAAATCACAGCAACTGGTCAGAAAACGATACTCCACTTCCCTTCCTTCGCTACCTGTACGACCACCCACGTCTTCCTCCACCATTCATCGATTCATATGACGGGTATGCGCTTACAAAAGCCGTATATGCTGGCTTCATACCTTTGGTGCGCTTCCTTCTTGCTCATGGCGCGTCACCCGCCTACAAGGACGGGATCGCCGTGATGGTTGCTATTCGGCGGAAGGACCTTGCACTTGTTCGCATGCTTGTGGAACGCGACCATCGGGGTGTCAACGAGCAGAGAACATCCTGCACGGGCAAAGGGAAGAGGAGAAAGCTTGGGGACAGAGTGCGAGTGAATCCACAGATGCTGAAAGCGGCAGTAAAGTGCGACGCGAGAGATATCGTGGAATACCTGATGAGGGAGAAGGGCTGCATCCCAGATATGCAGACTGTGCTGCTGATGGGTAGTAGGTAACCTAACACCCGTGGTTCATCTATAACTGGCTCGTTGAGAGGTAATTTCTCAAAATCCTCGGAGACTTAACCTCCTTGACTCTACGGAAAACTAAATGCAGAAAATATCTTGATGATAGTACAATAAGAAAACAAGTCGTAACGATGGAGAGATGATGCTGTGTCAGAGTCTATACACCTACGATGCTACACATGCGATGATGGTCGATGACAAATCCAAAGATACAACGATGGGCTGCTGGATGATATGCTCCTCACGAGACAATATACACCGATAGAAACAACATTCTTAGATTTCGTTGATATCCACTTCGCCTTCGTCCCCAAATTCGAAGGTGCACTCGCCCTCCTCGTCGCCGAACGTCTCCGTCTCGTTGATCTTGGCATTCTCAGGAAGCTCGCCATATGCTTTCACTACAGACAGGATGCCAGCACAAGACATGTGAAGTACCGGAAGCGTCCGTTAGAACCGCACTCAAACATGATAGATAGCACGTACAGCTTCGAGCCTCATCAGCAGTGTACTTGACAATCACATCGGCCTTGTCATCTTGGAAATCTCGAAGAGATAGAAGAATGATGTCCCCTTGGTTGATCCAGACCTACAATCCGCGAGCAGATGAAGAGAAATCTGTCAATCGCCACTCCGGGTAGGACGGAAGAAAAACGCACCTTTTTCCTCATCTTGCCCCGAATATGCGCCAGTCGCTTCTCGCCGTCGAAACATTGCGCCTCCAGACGTCCATTACCAAGCATCTTTGTCACTTGAGCATACTCCTGTCCATCTTCCCGGAAGACAAGTTCGCGCTTGTCGTCGTCGTTCTCATTCTTTCCACGTCTCCGGTTCTTGCCTCCCTAGATGCCAAGGTTTAGCCTAAATCTTCCCAGTATTTTCGTTGCTTGATTCACTAACCTTTCCCTTGTTCTACGATGCCATTCTCCGTCAGTTTCACTACATCGCAAGTGAGGACCATTACTCACCTTCGGCATATTGGATCAGTGAAAAGCCGTAAATCTGGGCTCCTGGTTGTATATGTGAACGAAAGGCGACGAAAAGAACGAATACAGATAGTCGTAGGTATCCGATGTGATTGTTGAGTCAAACGTGTGCGGCAGCGGTGCATCTGCAAGCATGTATCTTTCGCACGGTGTGACCGCAACGTCACGGCTGTCACAAAGTGACCCGAGGTCACGTCTCCCGGAGTGCATCCTACCACCACGCGCATCATTACACCCCCGCCCAAATTGTTCATTCTTTCAACTCACTTTCACCCAAAACATTGAAATGGAACACGAAATAGACTCTTGGATCGCACAGCTGAGCCAGTGCAAGCAGCTTGCCGAGGCGGATGTGAAACGACTTTGCGACAAGGTGCGTCTCCTCGGTTTGATCCCGATAAGGTGGTGGCAGCTCCTCCGCACCGCTGAGAATTATGTATGATGTGCATACTGCTGACCGTTGGCCGTGGTGTGTTGACAGACGCGGGAAATTTTGATGGAAGAATCGAACGTGCAGCCGGTCAGATGCCCAGTCACTGTTTGTGGCGATATTCACGGTCAATTTGTACGTTCTCGTCAATGATATCGATTGGAAACTGACATGCTCTCACCACATCCGGTTGTGCTTCTACATGCGTTGTAGCATGACCTGTCTGAACTGTTTCGCATCGGTGGTAACTCACCGGACACAAACTACCTCTTCATGGGTGACTATGTTGATCGAGGATACTACTCCGTCGAGACAGTTACTCTTCTCGTTGCATTGAAGCTTCGCTACCGGGATCGTGTTACCATCCTCCGTGGAAATCATGAGTCCCGGCAGATCACGCAAGTGTACGGGTTCTACGACGAGTGCTTGCGGAAGTACGGAAATGCGAACGTGTGGAGGTTTTTCACGGATTTGTTCGATTACCTACCTCTGACAGCTCTCATCGAGAACCAAGTGAGTGCCATATTCCGTTATGCTTCCATACGTACCCTTATCACATCACCCTGTCACACTACCATTCCTCCTAGATCTTCTGTCTTCATGGCGGTCTCTCTCCTTCTATCGACACTCTCGACCATGTCCGTGGAATAGATCGAGTGCAGGAAGTGCCTCATGAAGGCCCAATGTGCGACCTACTGTGGTCCGACCCCGACGATCGATGTGGGTGGGGGATCTCGCCACGGGGTGCAGGGTATACGTTCGGGCAGGACATCAGCGAGGCATTCAATCATAACAATGGCCTGACTCTGGTTGCGCGGGCGCACCAGCTGGTCATGGAGGGTGAGTGTACGCATCCGGGTGGTCCCGCCTCAAGACTGACCCAGCCGTACAGGTTACAACTGGGGGCAGGATAGAAATGTAGTCACGATCTTCTCGGCGCCAAACTACTGCTACCGCTGCGGTAACCAAGCCGCAATCATGGAGATTGACGAAAAATTATCATACAGCTTGTGCGTATTGCGCCTTCACATTTTCCTGAGATCCGAGCAGTTAACATCTATTGGTCTCGACCAGCTTACAATTCGATCCAGCACCGCGTGCAGGCGAGCCACTCGTTTCGCGGCGCGTACCGGACTATTTCCTGGTGAGTGCACCGTTATTGTTTATATGCACAACTCAGACCACTGTTCATCCTGTAGTAGTGATTCGTACGTCCCTCCATATAGCGGTGGTCCGTATCCTGTCTCTCTGTGTCCATATAGTACAACACATCATCCTGTGTAGCTCATTCAGATGACCAAGATACCTGTTTTGCCCTTGTAATTCTGTTCAAGCAAGCATCGTGGACTTGTAGAGAATTCATAGTACATAATAGCAGGGTCGATCTCGCATTGTATTGCCTGGCGGGCGTTAGGCGGTTGAAGACAAGCTTGAGTCCGATGCTGTAAACAACCTCTTCCTACCAATCCTACCTGGCGCATAGCGCTGTCAACTGGGCGATGAGTCATACGGAGATGAGTATCATCGTCTCTTCTGGGATCGGAGAAGTTTCCCTGAGCGTTGAACGTTAACGTTGAGTACGAAACCTACTGTCAGTACTGACATGTCAGTGCTGATGTCACCCTTGAATGATACGGACACTGACGAGTACTTAATAGACCTCACTGGGCTCAATGATTAATGTTGCATAACTTCACGACAGATGAAAACATACGACGTCTACAGCATCAGCATGGAGTATCGTCTGCAAGTCGCTGCGAAGCGATCGGCCTAGTCCATACATTGTGCGCAACAGCCCTCACGCTCTGCCAAGTCTAGATATTGTGGACACAACGCAGATGAAAAGTCATCGTTGTGAACACCAGTAATATGCATGGGCATGTACCACGGGGAAGTCGCCGGACACTACTAGCACGACATCATTTTATCCATGTTGAGGACTCGACCCAAACTCGTCCTCCCTTTGCGTCGAGTCCGGAGTAAACATGGTAGCGGATTTCAGATGATATGTAGGCCTCTGCGTGTTCGAATAATGTATGTTCCGGCGCTTACAGAAGATTGTGGGACCACAGCTATCCTGGTTCCTCCCCCGTAGTGCAATAGTGAGCCCAGCATTGTTATGTTCGACTCCTATCGAGCTTCTGTGCAGCAGCTAGGCTGAAACCTCCTGTAAGGAACACGCCCGACGTTTGTCCGACGTACGATGGTCAGCGGACCTGTTCAGGGACGTGCTGTACTGTACTGTAAGGGGATTAAAATTGAGATCATTATAGAGCATTCGAAACACCTGTAATTTCCTCGCTTCAAAGGCTCGCAGCTTCCATGAGAACCCGGAACCGCACACCATTGCGGCTAAAGCGTTGATCGCCAATGTTCGTACGTTCTCTAACCTGTAAGAGAGCAACTCGGCAATATTATGGATGTCCAAGTAATGTTTCACTGTACTGGAGAAGTGGTAGTTGGTCTGAATTTCTGCGGATTGAAGCCGCCTCGGTCCATTGCTGTCATAGCGAGCATGATGGACTCATTCCCTTTTCACGGCAGTGCCAGCCTGTTCGAGAACGAAAAAGTTGTGAAATGGCGCGCCGCATCGCGTCGCCGTACGCTACGTAAAGTAGACCGTGTCACGAGCACGTGGGCGCACGCGTCGATAATATTGTCGGATCATCCTCTTGGCTATGATCCACATCTGAGTTCACTGCTCTCTGGTTGCGACCACTTCTGGTGCTTGTATCCAAGATTTTTCTCGTTGCTCACCACGATGTCAATTACGCATGCAGAGACAATCTACACACCGCTACCTCCGCCTAACATTTCCTCCAAAACCGTCAAAGAACCACCGGAATTGAGCCTCACCTCAGATCACCAAAGGTTGTTCGATGAAGTACTTGCACACTATTCCAATGAAAAATATACAATTCCTGCTGTGGAAGATGGGAAGCTACGCGAGGAGGAGAAATTCTGGCTGGTAGGTGAACTGTGATGTTCTTGTGAGGAATGTGCAGAAATGCAGTGCGATCGTGGTCCTCACCAAATGGATCCGGCGTACTCGAGATTATGGACTTGCGCGGCCTGTTCAATTGCTTTCTGCAGCCAGTGGAATTTATTCATACGGGCAATCATTCGCATACATTAATTTAGGTCTCCGTGTGACCATGTTAGCTGATGTCCGTTGAAGTCCTACGAATGTCTACTCAGGTGAATTATGCTTCTCCTCCACCACAGAGGCATATTCATAGCTACTTTCTCGTACGCTCACAGATACTTGCGTGCAACCAAATGGCACAGCGCGCATGGCGTTATCAAGCGTATAGACGCAACGCTCAAATGGCGCCGTGAGTATGGTGTATACGACCTTATCACTGCCTCGTACGTGGAGCCGGAGGTGCGTTTTCGCGACGGATTTCGTGGTCGATATATTCTGTTGGGTCTTACCAGTCTTGTAGGCAGTGACAGGCAAGATGGTTCTGTTCGGGTACGACATCGACGGCCGCCCTGCACTATACCTGCGCCCCAGTAAGCAGAATACCTCTGAAAGCATCCGCCAGCTACATCTGGTCGTGTGGTTACTTGAGCGTACTGTGGATCTTATGGGCCCAGGAGTCGAGTACGCCGTCCCATACTTGTCCAATATCTGACCTAATATCTATCTACAGGACCATTGCACTCATGGTCGACTTCGCTGACCGGTCGCGATCACCGTCTTTCGGCCAGTCTCATGCAGTGCGCCTTACTGTGCTCCTTATATTTCGACACATCCACTCACTGGTATACGTCATGTAGACACTCAACATCCTTCAGGACCATTGTAAGTCGTGCCCAGTTCCAATAGCTTACCTTTTCTAAGGGTTCCGCGTCCTCAGATCCCGAGCGCCTCGGCCGCGCGCTGATTACGAACGTCCCGTTCCTACTGAACGCCTTCTTCAAGATCATCACGCCGTTTGTCGACCCTGTCACGCGGCCGAAGATGCGCTTCAATCCGCAATGCGTCAGCGAGGGCCTGTTCGAGGCTCCTCAGCTTCTTCGCGAATGGGGCGGTGACTGCGTGTTCGAGTACGAGCACGAGCAGTACTGGCCTGTGCTCGTCCAGCTGTGCGCGGAGCGCAGGGCGAAGATGAGGGAGGGCTGGCGCGCGCGCGGCGCCACCGTCGGCGTCAGGGAGTGGGATATTAAGGTAGCGGTGTTCGGCGAGGGCCTTCAGGATACCCCGAATGGCGACGTGCAGGTAACGGAGAGGGTCGAAATCGCTGCGAATGGACATGTTGCGAAGGCCCCAGACGAGAAGGTCGCCGTTAGAGAGATTGAGGCCGAGAAGGTCCAGGAAGTTCAGTGAGGACACGGACACTTGGTCGTTCGCGATATATCCGTATTTACAGGGCGGCGTGCGTCCATCTTTCTAGCATAGAGTACTCACTTAGATATTGGAGTACGACTAACAGGTTTTCGAGGTGCAGGATCGGGTTAGACGCTCGGGCTGATCTTGAGATTATGCTATTTATTGTTAACCTTCTAGATGATACAGGACTAATCTTCCGCCTCCCCAGCAACGATGACATCGTCTGTGAGCGAAGGAAATCGTGAGAAGAGGACAGTTAAGAGAGTTTCGAGATGCTCACCGATTTTGAGGACTGCTCGTACCAACTGTAGGAATAGCGTCTATCAGCACGGCGTGCGAACCTCGGTGTTGAATACGCACCTGTGTAGCCAGTAGGTATTGCTGTCGTTTCGAGATTAGCGGGTCGTACACATTCTGCTTCTTCATATCTACACGTGTACTGCAATTAATTCCGCGTTTGCGAGCGGATCGTATACCGACGCACCGTTCTCGCCCTTGCCAAGACAGTCAATTCCCAGTGTCGAGTTGCCCTCCTTCACCTGCCGACTCTTCACCTCAGCGAGGGTCTGGATGGGAGATAGGCCGCTGTTCTCCGCAAGTGCGAGAGGAATGGAGTCGAGGGCAGATGCAAATGCGCGCATGGCGTATTGCTCGATGGAAGGTATCTGCAAAATGTGAGTATCGCTTCGAAAAAAAAGAAGAGAATAGAAGACGATGTATTACCTCGTCCGCAGCCTTTCCCACCGCCAGCGAGCAACTGATGTCCGCGGCGCCTCCGCCATACACTATCCGGTTGTCCACGACTATATTCCGGACGGCACAAAGCGCGTCGTGGAGAGAACGTTTTGCCTCGTCAACGATCTGTGCACAATAGGTTTCAGAGATTGAGTTATGCACGCTCAATCATGTGACGCACCATCTTGTTGCTTCCCCGCACGAAGACTGTTACTGTACGTGCATTCGCGCATTGTTCGATCACGAGCATCTTGTCGCGCGTGGTACCGAAGGAGACCTCGCGCACGACGCCCGCCTTGCCCAACTTCTCTGGGGAGAGGTCTTCGAACCGGGGCACGATGCGTCCGTTGGTCGCAATGGCGATGAGCTGCGTAACGTGAGGGACATGTCTCGCATTGCACATTGGCACAGAAACTCACCTCAATCTCCGGGCCGCCAACCCACCGCACGGCAGGAAGATCGTTTTGCATCAACAGGTGGTTCGCCTCATCATCGAAGCCCCACTGGCAGATGACCAGATTCGCGCCAGTGTCCTTGACGAGTTTAATCATGTCTTCGAACTTGGCCTTCTCGTACGCGCGGAGGTTGTTGTACTCCTCCACACTCGTGATGTCGAGTTTGTGCTTCGTCTTCGGGCGTGGAGGTTCGAACGGGCACGTGAGGATGGCGATCTTCGCGTCGTGTACGCTGTGCGGCATCTGCGGGTGCGACATGTCCTTGTCGATCAGCACGCCGCGGATCAGCGCCGTGTCGGCGAGGGAGCCTCCAACTTTGCCGTCGACCTTGATCATGTCGAACGGCACGTCCTTACGCTCGAAGTCCGTGACAGCGAGCACAGCTTCGACAGCGATTTCGGCGAACTTCTGGTGCTCCTTCGAGACACTGAACGATGTTTTAGGGCGTGTCGAGAGCATCCGTAAGGCACTCACATTTTGCTGCCAAGCGCCGTCATGGCGGTTTTGTAGAGGTTGGATGTGTCGGAGAGTGAGAACTCAACGCGGTCAGAAATACGATCCAGGTGCTCGACCGCAACGACACACGCCCGGTCGAAGCCATCTGCGATTCGGATCGGGTGGATTCCACGGTCGAGTAGAGCTTCGCTTTGCTCCAATAATGCACCAGCAAGGACTGGGAACGGAATGAGGTATATGACAAGATCCGGTGTAACTAAACACTCACCGACAACGCCTGTCGTGCCATCACCAATCTCGTCATCCTGACTCTTCGATAGTTGCACGAGCAGCTTCGCGATCTGGTGCTCCACCTCCATCTGGCTGAGGATTGTTGCACCATCATTTGTCACAGTGATGTCGCCATCTGGAGAAATGAGGATTTTATCGAGACCTGGAGACCACGAAGACCGTGAATCTGATCAGCCAGGAGCAATAATGGAGGAGGGTATTTGTGCGGACCTCGAGGTCCGAGCGATGTCCGAATGATGTTTGCTACTGTTCTTGCAGCAAGGATGTGCGACTACGGACGTTTTCTCCTGTAAGACACGGGAATACAGGTCCTAAGTGTGACATGCCTTAATTGCCTCAATGCCATGACTGCGAGTCTTCTTGGCTTGCTCGCGGAGGATAATGAACGGACGACCGTACTGCGGACATATTTATCAGCAGTGCCTCAAAAATACGGAAGAAATGCGCACCTCGTCAGTCGCATACATGGCCTGTGGTTCACTCATGGCTGGAACGAGCTAAGACGCGTTCAGTAACTGCAGTTTGTGTGACCGAGAAAGGCAAAGAACAAGCGCGTGACATGCTGTCACTTTCGTAGTCACCTTGGAACAAATCACAAGTTCACAACCGATGATTCAAATAGTCAGTCACAGCTGCTGCAGTGCTCCGGCCACACAGTAAAAGTTTACATGAGAAGCACCGAGCAATGTGCACTCCTCATGCCCTACGGCCAGTGTTCACTCTCAGTGTTTACCCGAAGCGATTGTTAAGGATTGTCAAGATATTTACTCCGTCGGAGGTTCCAAGACACTGTGTTCATAGGCAGGAATTACAAGAGGCCGTTAGCTCGAAGCACAATTCCAAGCGTAAAGGTAAGCTCTCCTCGGCAATTTGAACGGGGGCGTAGATTATCTGGATAAAGAAATTGTAGAGATCTTGGTAACGAAATGTGGGGATGGGTAACGGATATGGGGGGCCGATGTCGAGAATACACTTAGGACCTGCAAAGAGTGTCTGTATGATCGTAAGAAATGCTGATAGACGGACGCCGGAGGCGTTAGCGGCACTCAGTACTCAATGGCTAAGCATTCTTCGTTACTACGTCAATAGATATTATCATATTCTGGGACTTACAGAAAGAGTCCAGGATCCTGTACATGCATGTACCAGTGGTTTAAATCGAAACGAATAGCTGAATATGATTGACATTTTCACATTGAGGAGCACCACCCTCTAGATGAAAACATTTCCACACTAACATATGAACTTCAAGTTCAACAATGGAAGCTGGAACGATCAACGCTATTGTGGAGAAGCTCAGATGCGGTCTAGTGGCGACACGTCAAACGACAGTGTCCTCAACCTCAAGGCTGCTGCCCCGCGCGACCTGACGCGACGCGCCAACTTGAAAGTCCGCGACTGTCACGTGCCTCAGCTATCCCGATTTGCTTCTCGGGTGACTTTCTCGACGGCTTGCTCTCACGACCGACAAGCCCTAGCTCTCCAGCGTCACCTTCCAACGGTTTACCCGGCCTCTGGGACGCGATGCCAATCACGAACGCACCGGTCGTAAATAAGGCGACGCGGTTGCGCGTACTCGCGCTGTACAAGGAGCTGCACAGGCTCGGACGGGATTACCCTGATCCCTCGTGCGTGTCCTCGCGCGGTCGAATTCGTGTGCTCATTCGTGCGTCGCAGATACAATTTTCACGGGAAGCTGCGCGGGCTGTTTGAGAGTGCGTACTGTCTTTTCTTGTCAGTCTCTTCTCAGCAGCTTGGTTGGTGGTGTTGAGTCTGATCTCTGTCGCGAAGAGTTGTGATGCCTATATGCGCTATGTTCTTTCGTCCTCACTCATTGCTCTCAACAGAGAACAGAAATTTACAAAATCCAGAAGATATTGAACGCGCGATTAAGCTTGGAGAATATATTAGAAACGGTGCATCGCCCTCATTCTTCCTCCGCCAGAACGGGCCAAGCTGACAAGCGCCGCTCTTGGCAGAGACACTTGCACTCTACTCCCTCCGCAAATACCGACATCTCAAGCGCATGTATCCTGACTCCCCGGTCTCACCTTCCGATCTGCCTGCGTAGTAGGCGCACCCATCCATATATCCCAAACTGACACCCCCACTGGATCCATGCGACGCCTATTGCGACTATACAGTGCTGCATGTGTGCGACTTGTGTGCGTTGCTGCATAATTGTATGCGCATCATGTTGCTGTACGCGTGCTTCTTGGCAACTCCGATCTTCCGACATTCCGCCAGGATATCTCTATATATGTGCTCTTATATGTCAGCCAGTCTCTCACAGGTAGCGGCACGCCGCCCTTGGTTGCCGAATCACCACCTCCACATTATGTTCCAATAGCGCCTACCGATACGACGGTACACCGGTGGGGCGCACTGATTTGGATGGGATCGATCTTGACTCTGCCCCTCTTCTGTTCAATTTCTTGTGGATCTCCCTCTCCCTTTCAATAATGCTATCACATCCACGCATGCCGACATACCCAGACCCCAAGCCATGATTGTCTCACCCCCAATGCAGACCTCGGAACAATTCACTGTCAAAGCAAGGACGTCCCTGCATCATCGCAGCCGAAATGGGATCCGATACCACACCCCATCAGGACCGAGTCTCTCCTCCACACGACATCTCCTCCAATGTGCGTACTCGTGCACTGCCCCCCGCGAAATTAATCGGTATCACAAAACATCTGTATCAGTATACTAGCCCATTGCGAGATACACCAGGTGATTTCTGCATGTCGCTGTACGTTCCATTCGGAGTTCTGCTGGCCACGCACTTTGGGTGCAACGTTAAACTGCCGTTGTTGGCGCTCGCCCTGTTGTCGGGATATATCGATCGCGTGGCTTTTGGATGGGTCTCAAGCCAGTGCAGACGAAACTCACTCAGCGATTACAGGCGCAGATGAAGAACATGCAGAATGAAAGCTATGCAGTACAACGGATTGCTCGGTACATGTACAATAGGGAAGCATGTTGCGCGAGGAACTTGCGGATGGGTGCGTAAGGTGTAAATCAATCGGGCCTTTTCCCTATCTCAGCGGTCAAGACAACTCGGGTGCCTGCCTAGTGCTTACTTCCTGGTCTGCTTCTGCTCGTACTCGTACTCGCGCTCGATGGTCTCGTGGGCAGGCGCACCCTTGAGGGGGCCAGAGATCTCGTCGCGCTCGTACGTGGCCTCGCGGGACTCGATGGTACCCTCACCGTTGCTGAGCAGCTCCGTTTTGGAGGAGGCAGAGGACGTGTGCTCTGAATGGTGCCGGTTGCGAATGTGTTCGATCGTGCGCTGCTCCAATTCGGAGGTAGGGATCTCTGAGCGGTCCGCCTACGAGGTGAGTGTCAGCAAACAAATTGGAGCACTACAGGAGATGATGAACAGACCTTGACGGCGGCTTCTGATGCGCTGGCAAGGTACTCGTTCCAGCCTGGTGCATTTTCCACTGTGGTAGATGTCTTGTGCTGGCTCTTGGAGAGGTTGCGCTGCTTCTCGAGCTCCAGAACCTAAGAGTTGTCAGCCTCGCTGCGTGGGTGGGTCAGCGTGGAAAGGTACAGACCTCTGGATCGTTATCGTTCGTTGTGCTGGAGTAGGAGCGAGGCGTGCACACTGCGACAGCGGGCCTTCGAGCTGCAGCTGCACTGCGTTTGAGAGTGGTACGGGCGGTGAGGGAGAGCATGGCGGGCGGTGGTATATGGTGGTGGTGGTGGTGTCGGTGGAGGAGACCAAGCGGCAGCGGTCGGGATATGTAGCGGACAGGAAAGGCCTAGCGTGTGCGGACAGGGGTGTGGTCACTGGGCTCCCAAATCCTTCGACGAAATGGGCACGGCGTCATCATGTTCTGCCCCTGACGTCACCTCGTCTATTATGTAAGCTTCCTTTTTCTTCACCCCATATCTCGACTGATTCATGATGGAATTCAGTCGTTCCGTGCCCGTGCAAATATTGAGCGAGTGGCCGAAGTACTCGGTGGCGGTGGTGGTCTTCTCGTCGGCAACATCCGCGTCGATCTATGATGTGAATCGGCGTGACCGTGAGCATGTTAGCGGATGCTTTTGTCACCCGTCACACCGTCACACCCGCTTGTTTTCGTCGGAGCCCAAGTTGAGTTCAAGCAACTATCTTTCTTGAACCATCCCCACTAACTCTCCGGCTGTCGCGCCTTTAGCGACAGCGGCCACTCGCTCTCTTCTCCAAGGTATCTTTTGCCCGCTATTCGCGCCCGTCAATTTCTCAGCAGTTACATTACTGTTCCTTTCGTTGTGGCCTTGTTCTTTTCTTTTGCGGGGGTCACTGACTCTCTCGGTGGCCTCGATTAATCACGCCTCGACTCAAGGTGAGGCACTCGTTTGGTCATTATTGTCTATAACTGACGGTTTTTAATAACTTCCTCCCCGTCTTTCAGTTTTGGCCATTTTAACCCTTGTTTGTCAACAAATTTCTTCTCCACGCTTTCACTAGCCCCTACTGACAACCCTCTCACCGAAGGCACGACTTTTTTTGCCCGCTAACTCGCTGCGACTGATATTTTATCACTTCACTCACCCTGTGGTTTAACTTTCACTCCCGGTTCAAACTTCAACATAGGTCACATGCTCTTCATCGATTCTCCCGAACAGCATGTTCGACAGCCCGTCGAAGCTGATCAAGCTCGTGAGACCTTTTCTCCTGAGATGTCCTGCACATCGCGCTGAACAGGCTCGCGCCAGTAGATGAATGTCGCGCCGTATTTCAGGCACTCTCTGTCTCAAGATCCAAGCTGGAACTGCAGAAGATGCCCGCAGAAATTTTAGATGCGATTATAAAACTAGTCGGGGCAGAATCTGCACGACGGCTTTGCTCCCTTTGTCGCGCTTTCCGACAGATATCATTCCCTTACATACACACGGTTCGATATCCTATTCTTTTTTCACATCACGTAACTGAGTAATTCATCTGCAGAGCCGCAAACTCACAATATTGCGAATTCCCAATCTTCATTCTCTCGACTGGCATCTCATGAGATCGAATGAGATCATTAAGCACCTAACTATCGCGCGACAGAAATTCATGGAGAACATGATGTTCATTACCCGCCCCGATGTCATCCTGCGCATCCGGCGGCTGGAGCTCGCGACCGCGAACGATGTATGCTATCGTGGCCTACTAAAGTTGGCCCAAGTTCGGGATGTGGATACCGTCTTCAGTGTTTACTGCCGTCCTGTTGTGCAGGGCATCAACAACCTTCTCGCAGGTGCAAGACATCTCACGACACTTTGTTTTACCAGGATAGAGATCTCATCCGCGATTGTCGCCGTCATGGCCGATATGCCTGCACTCTATACGCTGGAAATCTTGTACTGCGATTATAAACTTCCCTCTGCTGATGGCGATTCCGACAAGGTCCCCTCTGTCCGAAATCTTACGTTGCGTGGCAAGCCGAACGAGCGCACCCTGCACCCGCTCGCATTTCTCCCGAATGTGCTTGTGCTTGTGCTTGCAGGCGAACCTCTTTATAGTCCCATTTGCCTGCCTTCAGATTCCTTCCGCGAGTGCTACAACCCGTTCTCCACCCTCGAGCGCATCATTATACAGTTCCCAGAGCACGATGAGACTCTCAGAATATACGATTGGATGTGCGATGCAATCAGGAAGTTCGATGGGCTCCGCCTGACCCATTTTAAGGCGCTGATGCAGTCTCCGTTAGATTATCTTGACACCGAGAAGTTCGTTTTCGCCCTTCAGTTCGCACCGCTGCGCACCCTTGTCCTTGACGGCCTTTGGCACATACCGGAAGATCTCTTCATAGAGCTGGCGGACTGCCCTCAGCTCGAGCAGCTCACGCTCACGTACGCGCACTACAATGACACATCACGCGCGGCAACTGTGTGGCCCGAGCCGATGTCACAATACGCCGAATGGCTCGCGTACCTTCCTGCGCTACGGGACTTTGCATGGAACTACCTTGTGGACCCGCTCGCGCGCAGCGGGACGCGGGAATATTGGAACGAGGTGGGGTACCCCGTCGTCCCCGACGGGCGGCTCCCGGATCTGCGCTTCCGGGACTGGTCGGTCCTCGCGCGCATATTTGTGGCGTACTGTCCTGATCTGCACTCACTGGAGTTCTTGTCGGAGCGGACAGCCATCTTGGCGTTTACGATGGGCCCTGGGAGGGATGTGGACGGGCGGGTCACGGTCGTGTCGCATGACTTGCCGTGGAATGGCTCGAAGCGGCAGGAGGAGATGAATCCCAACGACGACGTTGTGAACACCAAGAATGCGTGGGTAGTTGGGCTTGATGAATGAGTGCCAGGGCGGAGGCTATGAGTATGTATTTTCTTTATCGGAGGGCTGGTCCCTACCGTGAACGGATTCGAGGTTTGGATGATACCGGTTGTGTAGAACTCATGTGCTCCATTTATCTATAGCTCTATAGATTCGCTGCTTTGTATCTCGCTATTGTTGTCAACGCGTTCCTTCGAGTTTTAGTTGGCCTGACTGGATGAAGCTCAACTGGCATTTCGACTTCATTCAAGAGCCCTCTGCCATCGTACCCCTGCTGATAGGTTAGAGTTCCCTGGGTAATTACGGCGGTGAGATACGCGCAAAAGAAGTGCTTGCGACGAAGTGCTGAAGAGGGCGATGATTCTGCAGGGGAGCCTGAGGTGACCGCACGCCGCAGCGTCGCGTCGTGCGTCTGGTTGGCGAGAGACATATCTGGACGCGTCTGTCACGCGTCCGCCACGTCACGCTTCTCGGAACGTGCACGAGCACTCTCCTCATGACCACACCCTTCCTCGTTTGTCTGCTAAGCTCTCTCTCGTAGATGCCTGCTAACTCATGCAAGGCAAAGCGGCATTTTTCCCACTAGCATACGCTTTCTATTTCTACTTCTCTGATCATTCTCCGTCTCTCTACAGTCTACCCATCAATCCACTTTTTTCTCTATTCAGTTCTCAGTTTGCGACCCACATCGTCAATCACCATAAACCATTGTATCCGTTCACATTTACCGAACTTCATGGATTCGGAAGACGAAAGAGAGCTCCAAGAGGAAGACAGGCAGAACAGCCAAGGACACTTCACTGGTACATTTCTGCATCCCGCAAAAATGGGCTCCATCTGTTTACTTACCACCGTTCCTCTCTACGTGCCACAGCTCCGAAAGAGCGCATACCCATCAGACTGTATGCAGATCTCGAGGACAGGATGAGGCGCTCCGTGTTCAAAGTCCAGTCCCACGCAGTCCACCTAGGGCCCGAAAGTTCGAAAGACATGCTCGAGAAGTTCGCCGATCTGCGGAGTACGCTGCGCGTTAGCCGATTTTTTCAGGCTGTCCAGGGGTTCCACCAGGTTCGTCTTGTTATCCCAACACTTCTCATCCGCGGGCTGGCACACGCGCTGAGATTGCCTTTGCTCGTAGGGCTCGCTCGATCTCACAGGTCGGAATCCACGTCGGTATAACTCGCTTATACGGCGCATGGACGCTTTTTTGGTAGACGTAGCCACCCTGCAGAAATACACCACGAAACACGAACTGCATGTCAACGACGACGACGGCCACCCTGTCGTCGCCATCGCGTACATCATCAATCCACCTATGGTACTCGACCAATTCCGCACCAAATGGAGGGTAGCGCTGTATGACCTGCAAAGCATCTTCCAGCAAGCCGGCGAGTATGCTTCCGTGTTGCATAATACGAGCAACCTTGACAAACGTTGTTCTCGTAGCTGCGCATAGCGTGATGATTGCGCAGTACCCCCAGCCGAAGTTCCAAGAGCGGTGGTTACTAGACCTTCCCACAGAGCTACTCCACTACATCATGGAGTTCGCTCGCATAGAGGATGCTCGCCGGCTTGGATCAGTCTGTCGCACACTCCGTGCCATATCCTTTTCCCACATATATCAGGTTTGGGGAGACGTCCTTCATATATGTGCACGATGGCTGACTTGCTCTCTGCCTAGAGGCGCAACCTCGCGCTATGGATCGAACCGACGTACGTTGATGAAAGTGGAATGCGAATCACCGGCGACAGACGCGACGGATACATCAAGGAGTATCTCCACAAGGTGCGGAAGCGGTTCCTCGCGGAAGTCGCATTTCTTCTGGAACACCGCGAGATCTTAGGGCGTATCCGGCGCCTGGAGCTTTCGCCCGCAACTTCCAACCCGAACGCCAACTACTACTTCGACAGAGCCGGGCTATATCACCATCTAATCGACCATAAAGAGTATTTCGCACCGATCCTGCGCGGTGTGGATGACATCCTTGCAGGTGCGCCACAGGTCAAAAGTCTGCGACTGAGTGACATGGAAATTACGCCTTCGATGGTTGCATCGATGGCAGCCATGTCCTCGCTGCACACGCTTGAGCTTATCTCCTGCGAATATATACATCCAGCATCGGAGGATGAGGACGGTGGCACATCGGCGCACCTGGTGCTCAGCTCCGTCCACAATGCGTCGTTCTTCGTCGGCGAGCGGATCAACGCCACGCTGCATGCGCTTGCGCTCCTGCCGAACGTGCGCATGCTCGCGCTCGTCGGCGACGCAGAGGAGTTCCACGTCGGACTACCCAATGCCGCGTTCCGCACCGCGCACAACCCGTTCCGGACTGCGGAGCGCGTCGTCCTGCAGTTCCCCGCGTATGGCGACTTCCCGAAGCTGCGCAAGTGGCTGCTCGCAGCCGCAGAAGAGCCTGGGGGGCTGCGCCTCACACACCTGAAGCTGCAGATGTACGACAGCCTCGAAATCGAGGAAGCGCTCCTGCTGATCGGTGCGCTGCGTGGGGCGCCACTGAGTACCCTCGTATTGGACGGGATGGAGGATGTGTCCGAGGAGCTCTTCGACGCTATCGCGGACTCCTTTCCGCGTCTAGAGGCGCTCACGCTCACGTACATGCACAACCGGCAGCGCAGGGCGTGCACGCCGAGCGTGTGGCCCGAGCCGACATGGGCGTACGCTCGCCGCCTTGCACGTTTTCCCGCGCTGCGCCACTTTGCGTGGAACTTCTGTATCACGCCGCTCGCAGTGAGAGCGCCGTGGGACTTGCTACGCGCCGAGGCTGGGTATCCGGATCCAGACTCAAACTCTGACGCCGACCCCAATACTGCGGACGCGCCGGACGAGGACTACGTCTTTACTGATTGGAGATGTCTGGCGCGCCTGTTCATGGCACACTGCCCGACGCTGCGCTCGCTGGAGTTTTTGTCGCACCGGGAGGCAAAGCTCGCGTTCACGATTGGGCCCCAGAGAGACGCGGACGGGAGGATTGTGGTGGAGGCACACGAGCCGTTCTGCCACATATCGACGCGTCAGGACGAGATCAATCCTGAGTTGGACGTGGATCTCGGGACGAATGCTTGGGCGGTAGGGCCGGCGGCATGAGTGTGGAAGGTGTGCGTGCGCATCATCACGATGTCGGTGAGTCGGGCGCCCTTCTCTATTGGTCTTTCTAGCTGATGAGCAGGCCAGGACTGCTGGACATTTGCCACCTTGGGAGGTGTAGGAGGGACTCAAAGTAAGGTTGACCTCATCCGTACCCATTCAATTTGACATTCGCATCAAAATACATTTTGAGGCATACAAAAACGAACTCCACTTCAACGTTCGCACAACTCTCATTTCGACAATGATGAAAATTAGGACGTGTTCCTTTCGAAATTTCATCGTTCCCTAACTTACCCTCTGATGAGGTGTAGGAATGTTTTCAGATTTTGAACATGAAGTCACGCTCGGCTTTTTCCGTTGGATGAGTATGGCTTGGAATGATTGGGGTCCGTCAGGCATCCTTTAGGGTTTTATGGGGTCCCGATCGGTGAAGGGGATCTGAGATCTGCACTTTGGTCCGCCCTGCCGCTGAGTTCGGTTAGGATGCTATCCCACTTGCATGAGCAGCACAAGGCCAGAACAAGACACCGTCGAACGACACTCGAAGTGCCGAGGCCACTATCGTGCGGGCTGCGACAAAAAATGGTTGGCCTTTTACCTCCGCCGCGGGACAGCTCCCGGAGCGCCCATGCGGCATCAGCAGCCCATATAGCGCGAGGCACCAGCCTTGGCGGCATTTTGTTTCACCTCCACGACAACGCGAGGAGCAGCGATCTTCGACGCTCTTTCTCCTTCCCCTCATGAATAGCAGCACAGCTTGGTTCCTTGATACCACTCGTATTGCTAGCTGAATAACAATGTCCTGCTGCCCAGAGAGCAGGACGCCGGCGTATTTGCGCGTCGCATCGTTGGCGATTGCGATGTACGAGTGAGTAGATCTTTGTCCTCGGATGAGTGTCGCCTCTTAAGATTACAATGTGCGTCGGTACAGTTGGTTATGGACGCTTCCTGTGGAATATCGGATATATCGCGAGCAATCCTCCATTTTCAACTTGAGGTGTGTCTTCGCCTGTATCGGTCAGTGGCTCACTGGAGATTGACCGTAAGTTGGTCGAGGACAGCCGGCCTTGTATTTTCTTCATCTTGATACGGTTCGCATCTGTGTCATTGTTTCAACCTGCCCTGTACAAATTTGCTACAGGTACGTTAGCATCGTAACGATGGTGGCGAACAACGTCGGATTCTTCCGACACGACATACCCCCGTCCGTCTGTTCACATTATCTGTACTTTGCGCCTATCATGAAGTGTAAGTGGCCTTCTGGATCCTGCTGTTTCCTCGATCATGATCGCCGATGCGACAGCAACGCAAATTCTCGTTACTCAAGGTATACTCTTCCTTCGGACATGGGCAATCAGCAGACGATCGCAGTGGGTATTCTGGACGCTCGCTATACTGTTTTCTGTTTCTATCCCTGTGAGCGAACTCCATACTTCTACACCAGCGCTTTCTCAGATTCGATGGTTCTGGTAGGTGGAATACTTCGTGAGCGTCTACAAGCGCGTCCGTACGTCTTTCGCACCATTGCAGCAGCAATGGGCCTGAAAACCGATCATTATAGCCGTTCAAAGCGACTGCGGAAACTGTACGTCCGCAAACCAAGACGGCTACCGGGTCGCATGGGTGTTCTATATGATCTGCATGGTGTACGACACGACGTGCACGGCGATTGTAACGAGCTACCTCTGGTTCGAGTCTCTGAATACGAACAACGGCCAACGCCTCGCCCGCCTCCTCCTCAGGGAAGGCCTCATATACTTCGTGTTCCTCACCGGTACGCCTGTGGCCGCTGATGTTCTCCACCTGCTTGAACCGTGTTTTTCTCGATAGTGGTGAATATCCTGAACCTGATAGTGTACCACACTGCGAAAACAAACGCCCAGTCCGCCGCGTACGTACCCCTCCCTTTCTGCCACTGACCTACTCGCGCTGATCGAACTATGGACGAACCGCACAGCGCATCTCTGGGCTACGCTATTACCTGGATTATGGCTCAGCGCATCCTCATCCAGCTGCACGAAATGCGAAGGAGCGCGCAACTCGTCAGTGCGGCCAGTGCCCATACGCCATCAATATCGGCCTCGCGCTCGCTCTCACGCTCGCAATCAGGGGTGGACCGTGCGGAGGCGCAGATATGGCCGCCCACACCCACGCACACGCTCGATCTCCGCCCCGACATGGTGTTGTCCATCTCTCAGCCCAGCGAGAGTGAGAGTGGGAGTAGGCGGGAGGTGCGCGGTGAGACGGTCGTGCCACAGGAGGTGACTATGTCCAGCAGGGCGGATGCGAAGTGCCGGTGCCAGGGCGATGGCGATGGCGACGGCGTGGTGGTGGGTGCAGGAGATGGCAAAGGTGAGAGGGGCTGTGTATGAACGGTGCATGCGAGGGCCCCCGGTGCAGACGTGTGCTCGGAGAAAAGGTCGGATGGGTGAGTGGTACGTTCGTGGGTGTGTGAGCGCTCTCGTGTTCTTCTCGTTTTGCTTGTGCTTCTACTCTTGCTTTGCATGCAGCTATACGGATGATGTTGATTCAAGGTGTACACCAGGTCTTTGCAAGTAGGTATCTTACGCTATAATAATTGCGAAGCATCGTAAATGTTACAGATGGATTCCGACATACTGTAGATAGCGGGTTGGTGTATGTTTAGTGCTGTATATTTTTACCCCCATTACGAGTTCAATCCAAATTTCAAATTGACGAGCATAAAACGCGACTCACGTGACACGCGTTGCCGATTTTCTCCTTTCAGCGTTCTTTCACTAGCGTGACAATTTCTGTTTTCACGACGAATATGGACTCTGAGGATGAGAGACTGCTTGATGTACAGGAAAAGAAAAAGAAGCAGCCATTCTGGTATCGTACGCGGACTTGACCACCTGCCCTATCTTTTGACTAACCCGAAATTTCACCTCAGCCAGCGTACCAACTGTGTGTCTGAGACTTTACGAAGATGAAGAAGCACAGGCCGCACTGGAGATATGGCGAAGCGAATTCGGAAATCATCTTCAAAATGGTGGAATGGAACCAAGTTCACAATCCAAGCCTACCGATATCACCGGCCTGATCCGTGCCCGACGATTCTTCCACTCCTTGGAAGGATACCATACTGTATGTATCTTGTTGTATCACATCACCTACCTTCAGAATTTCCGATGCTGCTTGAGCAGGGCTCGCTCGATCTGACAGGTCGTAGCGAGGCTCGGTACCGCTCCCTGATTTCGCGGATGAAGAAGTTGCTAGAAGACCTCGCCAAAGTCAAAGCGTATTCCAAACGAATTGAGTCTGTGGATCACTTTGGAGAACATACATTTGTGTTCGTGGACTACGAAGTAACTCCTCCATCAGTTTTGCAAAACTTCCGAGCGAAGTGGAAGATGCCTTATTGCGACTTGGGAGAGATAATTTCGATGGCCGGTGAGTAAATTTTGCCTTGTTAGTACGTGATCTAACATTCTGCCCCAGTCCATCTTGAAAGAGTAATGGAAAAGCATCCGAAACCCATATTTCAGCAGCTTTTTCTTTTGGATCTGCCGCCTGAGCTGATCCACCACGTCATGGCATGCCATGATGTCCAAACCGCGCGTCTGCTTGGAGCCACATGTCGCCATCTCCATGAAATATCTGTTTCACACATTTACCAGGCATGTCTGTGCAGTCTCTGACATCTCTATCCTCACTCAGCAGGTCTTTACAGAGCCGTAGGATGGGCCTCTGGTACGATTATGCCTTATACGGTCAAATAGCCTCGTACACGGAGGAGGAGACGAACAAGTACTTTCGGGACTACTCGCTCGAGATGCATCGAAAATTCCTCAACGATGTCGACTTTCTTCTCTCCCGTCGCGACATCCTCCATCGTATCATTGACTTGTCCTTCATTACCGGATGGCGAGATGGCTCTCTCTCGCGTGCGGGCATAGAAAGAGGCTCGGATGCGTGGCGCACTTACATGACCCCGGTGTGGGACGGCTTTGCGAGCGCCTTACAGCACACTATACATTTGTCCACGCTCAAGCTTCTCTTCACTGTCGTGACACCGGCGATGGTAGACGCATTGGCAGCCATTCCTACTCTGCGTACTCTAGAGTGTCATGCATGCCCATGTGCCCTCGCACTCCAGGCCAACAGCCAGCCCTCACTCACGTCGGTGTGCAATGTCATCATCGACGTGGTCGAGGTGGACACTCACGCTGCTCTCAGTATTCTGAAGCATCTCCCGAACGTGCGCGTGCTCGGGGTGCATGGGGGGCAGGCGCAGGTGCTGGACTTCGATTCATTGGTTCACCACGGTTACATCTTGAACCCCTTTCTCACCTCAGAACGAATGATCGTGGAAAATGCCTCCGTCGAGACTGTGTTCTCCATAATTTTGCACGCATCCGCCATTGCAAGCATGCCTGGAGGCGGCCTACGCCTCACACACTTCAAGCTCGAGTCGCCGTTCGGTCTGCGTTCGAATAACGTGTTCGACATGATTGGTGCTCTACGCGGCGCTCCGCTACGGGTGCTCGCCCTGGAAGGCCTCGAATATGTTGAAGACGAGTTGTTTGACCTCATTGCAACTACCTTTCCGGACTTACGCATGCTGACGCTATTCAGACGGGAGAGTGAGCGGCAGCTCAGGAACAGGGCGAGTGCATGGCCTGGCACAACCTGGGAATATGCACAACGCCTTGCTCAGTTTCCTCACCTCGAGCATTTTGGGTGGAACTTCAGCATGAGACCCGAAATCTTCCCGACGACGTTCGACTTCGTCTTCATGGAGGAAGGCTACTCGGAATCTAATTGCGCGCGCCGGATGGAGATGGGCGAAGACGACCTGTACTTCTTGGATTGGGCGTGTCTCGCACGGTTGTTCGCGGCGTACTGTCCTTCGCTGCGGAGCCTTGCATTCCTGATCGAACATAACCTGTCGTCGCTGAGCTTCAGCATGTCGAGAGATTGCGAAGGCCGGCTTGTAGTGGCATCCGACGATTTCAGCGTCCCTCACCCTCACCGCCATCTATGGGCCAGCCCATCATTGCGCACAATCTGTTACAATCCATGGGTAATGGGGCAGCAATCATAACGGCTGTGAGATGTATCGTAACGTTATAAATGCGTGTAATCACAAATTGACGATGTGTAACAATACAGAGCACAAATAGCACGAGTGAGATTCACTAAGAAAAACGCAGTAAAATAGCTGACGGGAAGCAAGAATTGTACACATTACGCTGTACAGTTGTAGATTAGCAGGGATATCAGGGTAAGAAGATGGATATATGCCCCGGGTATGTCGTCCATGGACAGTTTTTGAATCAGTGCCAGAACAAGAACAACATGATGGAGGGGTATGCAGAGTATAGACAGACGTGTAAACTCGTTAGATGTGGTGCTTATGATTATGCAACAGCGAGTCATGTGGAAGGGACTGCAATCCTTCTTATCAAATTGTTGAATCATTGCAAGGAATAAAAATGCATACCGTAAGCAGACATTTCAATCAAATGTCACAAAATCTCCGAAACAGACTCCAGCAGAACCTTCGGCTTCAAGAGGAGGTTGCTAATCAGCGTGCCTTCCGTGCTTGCGCCATTCGATGTGGTGCTGCCATTTACACTGGGAATGCCATTGCCATTGGCGACCGGTTTCCGCTCGTGCGACATCACATGCGAGTCAACCTCGTTCCCATTGACGTTAGCGCTAGCCCACCCCACTCGTTGGACGCACAGCAGTCCGAATTCCACCGTGCACAGCACTTTGCAGCGCTCAGAACCGTGCCCCGCGTACACGTTGTCCATCGTTGGCCTGTCGAACCACCACTCGCCCTCCTTCCCGAGCCCGTTGCTCACTCCCTTACCGGTCACCCAGGTGACTTCGAAAACGCCACTCATGACGCCCTCCTTGACCGCGCCGGCTATTCGTTCCGCCCGCTCACCAATCCGCGCTAGCGCACCACCGAAACGCGTGCGTAAGGGGTCGCGGTGCACGCCACGCGAGTCTGTGCAGCCGGAGATTGCGAGAATGGCGAGCAGACCACGTAGATTTGTCTCATTTAGGGAGTGGAAAGATGAGGATGTGTCGGCTGATGGGGGGAGCGACGCACGCGCGTGCATATACGTGAGGGCGCGCCAACGAGATGTCGTCGGCTGCGGCTCTATCCACGTGCATGAGCAGTTGACTCTGCGAAGAATGACACTACTGACCTGCACGATGCATGCGACTGAACACACCAGCTAGGAACCGGTCCACTTCCTCAGGCAGCCCAAAGCAGAACGCGTCCAGCACCCGGCCTACGCAACACACCTCCCACGCCTGAATCGCGAACTGCACCAGCGTAGGGTCCCCCGCGTGGTCCCGCGTTTCAAGCAGGTTCGTCATAATTGGCCCAAGTGACTTCGTCACCAGCTCGTGGTCTGATAAGCGTGAGAGATTGACATGCCGGTCTAATGACGGTGCGAACTCCTCCGCCACGGAAGCCGCCAGCTGTACAATCTCCGCGTTCAAGTCATGTAGGGCCTGGAGCAGCTGAGCGCCCGACCACTCGTCGGTCTTGCTAAGGAACGACTTCATACTAGCGACTTCTTCATTGCGTTCCTGTAAGGTGCGGTGCATGACAGAGTACGAAGACATTAGCGAGTCATAAGAGGTGCGCAAGCTGACCAGGTCCGGATTTTGTGGATGATGTACCTGCTGCTGGATCAATTTCTCGGGAGAAGGAGGGATGGAGGAGGATAGTAGTGAAACTGTAGCGAGAGACTGTCGAGCGGACTGCAGGTCATGTTCGAGGGAGGAGATCCTCTGGTGAAGTGCGGCGTTGTCGCGCTCCAATGTCTGAATGCGCTGTGGATCCTTGTCGCGCTCGCGCTCCCGGTCGCGCTCGTATTCGCGATCGTGCTCCTGGGTCCAGTCCCGACGTTGACTCCGAGTTCTGGGCGGAGATGAAGCAGGAGATGAGAGATGAAGCACGGAATAACCGTCGTCGGACAACGCGTAGGGATCCTCCAGATCGTCAGATAATCGTACTGAGGGCAGAAACCAATCGAGGAAATTCCACAATGAGTTCATCAGAGTTTCAGCGGTATCTGCATTCGTCAGACGGTGGTGCAACGAGGCGCGCGCCAGCGAACTTGTGTCATAGACAGGCGAAGCGTGTCGAAAACTGGGTTCGTCTTCGTCTAAAGCTTGAAACTTAAAGGATAGCAGCAACAAGCTACCGCAAGAACTAGCGTCCGAAGATAATCAGAGCGATACGAGGAATGAGGGAGCGCACCCAAAGCTTGTTGCCTCACCGAAACGACGTTGTTGCAACGTGCTGCTGGGCGCTTACACTTGTTTCCTCCCACCCAACGGGGAACGCTCTCCAAGTCTCGCATCGGACCTACTTACTCGTGGTCCTTCGTTGATGTAACGGTTTTGAATTTCCTTTGGTTCAAGTGAACGTGGATAGATATCGATCCATCGATGCCTTACACCGAAGTTTTCGCAGGGTGAAGACTTAGTGCGAACTGCGAAGGTGAGTTTCAGAATATTTGCTCTGAAGAATGCTTCTGACCATTCACGACCTCACAGCGTAAATTGTGTGAGAGACTGGGGCAAGGTCAGTTTCTCGCCGTGAAGAGGACAGAATTGCTGTAGACGCTCGTGAAAGGTCAGTACCATCATACCCGAGCTTCACTCTTTCGCCGACATCGGTACGCAGGTCAGCTCTTCACACAAAATTGCACCATACGCTTCCATATTCAACTGCAACTCCATCAGAAGGTCTTTCCCCCACGGCGGAATTTGCTATCCCTCTCAGCTTCCAATACACGTCTTTCTTTTGCACATTTCCTCTCATCTTTTGCCACACTGCCTACTAACTGTTCCATGCGTCCGACTTGGCAGCTCGACCCATACTCCCCAAATTATCCAGCTCCATTGATTTTCCTGGTAACGGATGCCTGCTGGTAACCAGAACACGCCCTCGTCGAGACTGACCTCTACTTTTACCTTGCCGATCCCGGAACTGCGTATCCTTTGACATGAAGAGCGGCTGGTGCAGCCGAAGTGATATCCGCGATCGCGATGACAGAATTTAGCAGGTTGATCTCGAGGCCAGGTACTTTCGACCACCATGATTCAAACCCGGCCATCTCGTACGTCTTGCACTTTGAACTGCGAACGACTTTTCGTCTCGGGAAATTTTCTCGATAAAGCCAAATCTCGTCACTTTCTCTGGGAGCACGTTGTAGTCTCTGCGAGAAATAATTTTCCGACTCCCGTCCAGATGCGGCGATGTGGTCTACCCACTTCACCTAGTGCACACCAGAATATCCAGGTACTACGCTGCGGGACGGTATCTATGATCTGGCGAGAGAGGTAGGCCATTTAATCGTCTCATAAGCCTCTAACACGCCCCTATGTCTGTCTCAGTTTTCTCCAGCGGGGATGGATGCCTCGACCCACCGGTCATTATGGCAAGCCGTGATGTGGGATGTAAAGGAGAGGCGTAAGCCAAGCGTAGTTCTCGGCTCAGGTGCACAAGAACGCTGTAATAGTCCGTGCATGCGCACGCCACCTGACCGCGTGTTGCAGATCGCGCTCTCATCCCAGATTAAGCCTCTACATCCTCATGTTTCTTCGCTTGTTACCTGCGCACTGCAGCCCTTCCGGTGTGTATGGGTAGTCAATCAATCTGGTTCTGCATTCCATGGCCCTGTCTCCAGGACATTTAGCTTGTTGTGAACTTTGAAATCTGCAGAATGAGTGCTGATTGGTGAGGCCTTGAGGCTTTGACAGGGAGATTCGCACAGTTCGTTCAGCACTTGAGACGTTGTAGACACTCGTCTCGGCGTTCAACTTTCAGACGCTACAGATACAAAACACTTGTGCATAACAACAGAAAAATGCAAATAAAGATGCACATAACAGACGTGAATGGTCGTGAATGCGAGTATCAAACTCGATAACAGAATAATCAGCCACAAAACAAGGGGTATCATAATGCTGCAGTTCCCTAGAATCTGAAGAACCTCGACCACACCTGAACGGGTGTGGGGACACTGAAGCGGGCGACAGTGGCCTTGGCCTGGGCGGTCAAAGGCGCCTCCTTGCTCTGGTACTGCACCTTGACGTATTCGCCTGCCTGTAAGTTGGTGGCAGCGCACACGCCATCATTCGTCCAATCACCAGCAGCGCCTGAATAAACTCGTGAACATAACGCATTTTCCTTGGACTAGATGGCGCACCTCCAGGAATGTCGGCGTAGCTCCACCACTTCGCAGTCCATAAATCGCCACTGAAAACGGGATAGATCAATTCATGGAGTGCAGGGAGACCGAGTAAAGCGCTCACCCGTAGACAACTTGGTCGCCACCCACATACTAGAAAATCACGACGTCATAAGTCTACGAATAGTACAACGGACCGTATGTTACTCACGGCGACATTGGAGACCCACGTATTCACGCCTGTACAATCGACTGTTCCGCCAGAAGCTGTGGTGGTGCTGGCTGGTGGTGTGGTGGTAGTGGGTGACGTAGTCGGCGCTGGCGTAGTAGTCGGCGACGTTGTCGGTGCTGAAGTCGGAGATGTCGTGGGCGTTGAGGTCGGGGTGGTGGTCGCACCACCACTTTCTGTGATCGAGCTCTTTACCTGAGCGTCGTACCGATCGTTCCCTAGGTGCATGAAATAGCTGAGTTTCACTCAGCCAGAGTGGCCTCGTAGAACTCACCATAAGCCTGGGAAGCATCCCACAACATGACACCACCGAAGGAGGAGTACTGTTCACGCGTCTGGATCGCGATTTCTCCGAGGGTGGCGGCGTCTACGTAACCACTACCAGCTGCAGCAGACGCTGCAGGAGCTCCAATGTAGACCTTCACACTCGGATTCGGCGACGTGGTCTTCGCCCAGTTATCCCTATATGTTTTCGTGCATGACGTTATACTCATTCAGCCCAATGTTTGAGTAAGAACTCACCAAGTAGAGAAATCCCAATCGTTGGTATCGTTATACTCGGTCAACTCGCAGTAGTTGTTGTCTAGAGTATTGTCATTGTACAGATCAAGATATAACATTAGAAGGACGTACAAAATTGGACGTAGATAGCATCAAATGGCTCGGCGTCGATGATACTGTGCAAAAGCTCAGCGCGTTGGTCGCGACCAAATATGAAAAAGACTAACCTTCCCACATATGCGTCGGGGAAGGGGCACTGTGGGGCAGCCGTGATGTAGTATCTGAATATTTATGGCATCACTAAATGCTGAATAATGGGAGAAGATGTCTTACTGCTTGCTTCCCCCGTTCATGTAACCGCGAAGGGTGGATACGAAGTTGGTGAAATACGACGTGGAACCACCTTCAATGTCCAAGTCAATCCTGCACAACCGTTTGTCATTGAGCCCAGCGTGTCAAACCGAGAATGCATCACGAACCCATCCAAAACCGCGGCTCCGAAAGGTCGAACGTCGCTAGACCCTCCCAAGAAGACATTCCAGATAGTTTGTGCGAATTCTTCTGCCTGACTCTCGTTGCTGAAGCCTATTGCACCGGTTGCGCCGCCAAGACTGATCGTCACGATCTTGCCTGCTGATTGACAAGCCTCAATGTCCGAAGCGAGGAAACTACAATCCGGCATCTGCGTCCCATTGAACACTGGATCGTCAGCGGTGCTACAGGTCTATGATTTCGAAGAGGCCGTGAGGTAAAGCGTCACTGAATTATAACAGTGACTAACGTTGGCCAAATCAATTGACGGATAACCACCCTCGCCAAAGAAGACATTAAGGAACGCTATGGGGATCGCGTCGATCACATCGTCCTGTAATTTACCTTCTCAATGTATTGTCCTGCGACAGCATAGATCGTAAACCCACCTGGCAATAGTAGTTGATCGCCTGTTGGTAGTACGCAGTGTTACTGCTAGTCGCCCCGTAAGAATCCTGTCCCCAGTAGCTGTCCCGCTTGTGATGAGCGCTTCAACGCCGAGAACACATCCGCAGAAAAACTCACACCGCGAGCTGTTCCAGATATATTAGACATGCGCGACACACGGGACGACTGGAATACATACGTTGTCTTGTCTGGTGTTGTCGAAGCCATAGGCAAGTAACGCTCCATTGCTCAAGAGCGACAGGCCACGGGAAGCGACAGTAAACCAGTTCCGAGCCATGCTGTATGATGCTGGAGAGGAGGCCTGAGGGTGGTCAAGTAATCTGGAATGTCTCCATGCGCCTTTTATCCCTGCGTCGTGGTAGCGCAGGAGGGGATGTTACTTTGCTATGAGCACCCCGAATCCAGCGATGCTCCCGTGGACAAGATTGGGCATGTGGGGCACACATGGCACATCCCTTTGTGCCGAAAGAAAAAAGGAAATGCTAACAGGTTTGATAAGACGCGAATGGGATGGAAAGCTCCTGGAAGAACAGAAAGACCACAGACCAAAGCGCCGTAGGTGCAAGTTTTTGGTTTTTGGCACCGTTCCACTTAGACATCCGATGAAATTTTTGGATTGGCCGCAGAGAGGATGGGCGGCGCATTCCGCAGAATTCTGTCGCATCGACCACAATTTGCTATGAGATTGAGAGACGTGTCAATCACCTGAAGCGCAAGACATGGTATTCACAACGTTAGCATACACTGATCACAACTCATCGGAAATTATACACACGTTCCGTATCTATGAGCGAACAACGGAGGCCGAGGTCGTGGACATGGTAAGGGACAATCATAGAACACCACGAGCATGCACGGAAGTAGACGACCTCAAGAGGTCAATTCTGTACCCGACACCATATGGTCATCTTTGCTTCTTCGGGGTTTTGCCGTTCTTGAGAAGCAGAAATCGCAGAGATAGTACATATACGTGTGGATTCTTCAAGCCTGCTATGATAAGGCCATCGAACACAGGAACTCAGCCAGAACGCTATTGCAATTCGCCCGCAATATAGTCGTGTGCACCAAAGTTTGAGATAACAAGAATATATCATGTCACGGTCGCCTGAGTGTTGGATGGTGACAATGCGATGAAGCGCGAGCGCCATTTTAAAGTTTAAATTCCAGGCCGTGCACTGGCAGTGTGTACTATACACGAGGCATGGGAGGCAACATTTTCGAGGAGCATGTGTATCAGCCCAACTGCATCAAACAGATGCTGGTGTTCATCTCCGTGGTTAGAAGTCGAAGGTAATAAAGTGCTGTGTGATGTCCGTCTGCAGCTCGTAAGTGCAGAGTGGATCTGGTACCGGTGTCACGGTCGCTGTGCGGCATCATGATGGATTACACGCTTCCACCGTGACTGCGCTTGATTAAATCCTCACAGTTAGTACGACCATCAATTGCAGTACCACGATATTCTTCTCCCAGCACCTGCACTGAGACTGCGGATACCCCCGGGCCATCATTTCTTCAAGCTCGAGCCACCGTTATACAACAACACCACGAGTGAGCATTGTCAGAATTCGAAATATCTACGGATACCAGTGACTGAGTGAACTAAGCACGATATCATCCCACAGTCCACGCCTCAAACGTGCAGATAGATGGTCTCGTATCCGCACCAGTTCGGAGAGAAGCATGTTGATCATCCGCGTCCACGGAGTCACTTTTGAGAAATTCCACAGGAAGAGGATTGAACACACGACCAAGCGCGTCGTATAATAGCCCTGGTAACCGTATAAGCGCACTTCTGCATACTGAGTATCTCCCTCCAAGTCCGCAGGAGGAAACTTGGAGACTGTATTAGCAACGTTACAGAGCATATCAATAAGAGAGGACGGTAACCTCTGCCGCCCCTTGGGTGAGGAGCACCACAATGCCTCCTTAGCATGATATGTTCAGCTCACAACGAAGGTCATCATAAATTACTTACGCGACTTCTTGTCTAGGTTTCGAGATACTTGATCTGCAGATTAGCTTCTAAAAGCACCTCCCGACCAGAGGCTTCGACAGCCAGAAGGCGTGAATATTTTCCTTGGCATAGGTCACTGCACTTTAGAAGTCATGTCTGGAAAATGAACAAGGCTTGGCTACGAAATTGATCGGCAATTGGGACACCACGGTCATAAAAGGATTTGACTTACCCTGCAAGTAGAGCGCACAGTCCCATTGCCACTCTTGTCAAGTAACAGCACACAAGGTAAAGAAGTATCTAAGGGCCGAGATGATCGATCCTGTTCGTGGTGGAGCCGCTAACGAAAGAAAAGATAATAATCATGATTTTTGACAACCAACAGGAATGACTGAAATCGACTCAACGAAGTAGAAGGTAAACCAGCTTGGTGTCCGCGTCAAGTCCGATTTCGTTCACCGGCCACAAAGAAAAAGACATATGATTTCTGCGCATAATTCAGTAATCGTTCTGGGCTGTTCAGTCTGGTACAGCTGCTGGTGCATGATGCAACACTTAGGCGCGTATTGTGGACAAAGACACCGCGATGGATGCCACAAAGGGCTGGTGTCGTTCGTGATCATCTCTATCCCGGAGCTTATCTGACTTCCATGCATAACACTATCCACAGCTATTGTTGAGAGACAGCTTCTGACCCTGATCCTGACGGCCTGCGGATTCGGGGTACGGACAAAATTCGGGACTCGGGTTCATTGTCTGCTCATGTGTCAGATCTCAAGAAGACAATGTCGTAAGAGAACCATACACCGAAATAAGACCCAGTGCCTGTGATTTTCTTCTTCCCCCCTTTTCAACCCATTGGACTGAGGAGATCACCCGGACCTCCATAATTATGCATCCATGTCCTTGCGATACGAAGTGAAAGATCTAACTACTCAGTCACAATATCCTCCCTTGCTGAGCATTTGCACGATCAGAGGCTGTAAACTATCTGCTCATTGAGCAATTATGAGAACGGTATGAGCACTTCCCTGTCACTGTTGCACTGCTAGCAGCTAGCAGCGGCTCGGTACAATGATCCAGATCACTCAAAACTACTGGCAGTTGAGCTGCACTAACGTTGCAAGTCGGTCATGACATGCACAAATATTACTGCTGCTTGCACTATGCGGCCTATGATCTTTACGAAGGAGACATGGGAGTTGGTTTTCCATTTTTAGTAACCAGCGCCGTCGGTGCCATGGGTCGCGCGATCACGTGACACTGCCAGTTCCGGCGGAATTGCTCCGTATAGTACATTGTGAAAGTGTGACAATCCAGTATTTGTGCCGTCGTGAGTGTTGCGTCTCAGGCGAGTTTCCGATTCACGTCAAGTCTGAATTCATGGATGCCGAAAATCCAGCTATTCAAGTGAGTCTCAATTGATTTCTCAACGCAATTGCAAAGCTCGTTGACCAATTTGATGCGCCCACGAAGTGTTACAGAAGAGCGTATTCGCGGAAATTCTGCACTTATTCCTCCGGCCTGCCTTCATACGCGCCACATATCCGTGTTATCCCGGACGGTTTCAGGACCTTGCTGCGGTACTAGTATAGTAAGTAGTACTACCAGGACCAATGGATTTGAATAGTATGAGTAAGTCCGTACGTTCACCCCTTTCTCAAGCTCGGTACTGGTCCGGATAGATTCGCCTGTTCGTTTCAGATATCCTGCTAGAAGCAACATGCTGGCAGCAGTAGGGTCACACGACTATGACATATCCAGCTGTCTCGCCTTGGGTATTTTGCATGCTAGGACCTCCCCGACACTCCAGATTCGTCGTGGTGGCTCAGAATGACACTGTTCCACGCACTGTATACCTGGTAAGCCAGCAGAAGCTATAACACCGTGTACTGATTCTGACGGCCAGATGATGCGGCGCAGGGTCCGTTTGCGCCTTCTCAATATGCCAACGGTAACTATACATTGATATCCGATCTGAGAACGCACCGTTATGCGTGCCAATAGGAGAAAACAAGGCTGCAATCACATGTTGAATCCAGCTGATGCCAAGGGTTCTCGAACATCAGCCTGACGGCTATATATACTGAAGTCAGGCAGTCTCCTACGAGCCATTTGTCCTTCGCCATGTCCAAACGCTCAGACAGAACCCTGAACCCCGCTATTGGGGCGTCAACAGAATTCGTTCCCCCCAGCTTCGAGTCGAAGCTCCAAGAGAGAGAGTTCCTGAAATATCGTCTTGCGCAGGCTTTTCGAATTTTTGGTGAGCAGTCCCCACTACGTTCTCGATCGTCATTACCAATCACTACTGTAGGTCATGAAGGATATAACGAAGGCGTTGCAGGCCACATCACCCTTAGGGTAGGCTATTTTCTGTTTCCAACCTGTGCAAGCGCTATATTCTCTTTGTGGCAGGATCCCGTTCGGCCCGATTGTTTTTGGGTTAATCCCTTCGTGCGTGACATTAGAGCTCTCTTCTTTCATGTGAGCTTACATGCATCAGGGGTTGCACTTTTCTCTCATTCAGCCTTCCGATCTTCTTCTTGTCGATCACGACGGGAAATTTCAAGATGAATCCGGTCCGTTGCGGCTGCTGAACAGAGCAGCCTACATGATCCACTCGGCTGTCCATGCCGCTCGACCGGACGTCATCTGCGCTGCCCATACCCATTCTATCTATGGCCGGGCTTTCTCAACTCTAGGGAAGGAGCTCGATATCATCACTCAAGATAGCTGCGCATTCTACAATGTAACACGTGCTGATCTTACATTTTGTGCAACCGGCTGATGTGTTCACAGGACCATGTCCTCTATGATCGATTTGGTGGGGTTGTATTAGAAGAAGAGGAAGGAAAACGCATTGCAGAGTGTCTCGAGTCAAAGAAAGTGAGCTACGTTTGGCCTTATAGCAGCAGTAATTGCTGACGTACGGGCTAGGCAGCTATATTGCAGGTTCGTCAGATGGAGCCTGCACAGGTGGGCTTTGCTGACTCTTAATCTGAGCGTAGAACCATGGTCTGTTGGTGGCTTCGCCCACGATTGAAGCTACAGTCCACTTCTACATAGCCCTTGAAAAATCGTGCCAAGTCCAGCTGCTCGCTGATGCCGCAGCGAAAGCCACAGGAACAGTGAAAATACCGCTCGATGAGGCTGCCTACACTGCGCAGATCGTTGGCTCACCTAGGACAGGTTGGTTCAGCGGTTTGCCCCACTTCAAAGCATTGGAAGCCCGTGAGGGTGTGTCGTTTGAGGCCGGAAAATCTGCCTAGCTTCACGAGAGTGAAGGTTGCCGTGTTGCTGTAATAGCGTGATTGCTACGAGTCTACGAATCATTGATAGCACCCAATTGTACTTTTATCTGCGTTGCCGTGTAATATAAGAAACGTTAGCCAGTCTGCGCACAGAGCTCTTCATTCAATTGTCGAAGATCGCGCAAGGCATGTTCTACCTCAGTAATAGATCACGTGCGCGTGACATGCCGTTCGCATTCGCAGTGGCACTCCGGTCGCGCTGCACATACTTAGCTGAGGAGGTCTCACCTTTAGCCACCGTGCCCACTCTCTGATCTTTTTGCATAACTTCGTTTATCATCATCTAAACCCACTTGATTGTCACGCTTCAACCCACGTCCTCCCACTCCTTGTTCAATACATCTCCAGATCGGGATGGGCGGCCTCGGGAAATTATTCCATCTTGCGGTGGATGCTGTGTTAGTGTCCACTGTTGTTGCTGGTGTCAGAAGATCAAGTGGTTTCACGTGAGTTATGCTGTTTGCTGGAGTCAGGTTCTTGTGCTGATGTTATATATACGTGTTATGCAGGCCCGAGACTGCTGTTATCACCGAACCTACGTTGCGTTCAGTGGCGGAACGTTACCTGGGCATTGGAGAGACAGTATTTGACATGATACAAGGATCCGCGGTTACTAGCAAATACTTCAAGCGCGATAGATGATGCTGGGCGGGCGAGTAGGATACTTATTGGCTACGGCTTATCGCGTCGTTGGCAGAGAGTTGTAATCTAATTACTGTGTTTTATACTGTAAGGATATTCTTTCACCCTTAAAGCTGCTGTTACCATATGCTGCAAGGAAGAGTGGTACCGAGCTATGAACATGGAGCGTCGAAGTGAAGGTGGCGAGGCATTACGTAATCGCCTGCGTTGAGGTCTGCGCAGACTTACATAGACCGTTGAACGTAAAGTCCATCTTCCACCATGGGTGTCTTCTTCTCCGTACCACTTGCAGGTGTCTTTGGGACTGTCGCATCATCATGCCTAGCTGGACTAGCCTTCTGCTTCACTTCTACAGCGGGTGAGTACCTGACTCACTACTAGGTACGATTGTGGATCTCACTGTGGTTTCTCAGCGTCGATGTTCTGCAAGTCATGTAATTGCAATTCTTCAATTGCCACGCGTGTCGGGTTTGCTGTGAGTTTTACTCTGTGTGCTGTTGTGTATGAGTGCGCTGAGCGTAAACTGCAGATTATTTTCTGTCTGAACTCCATGTTGGCGTGGTTAATGAAGACTCGCTGGGCAATCGACTTGATTCAGAAGTGGAGTCACGGCTACCTGGAGATGGAATGTGCTGAAGGCAGATGTTACGGTGTTCTTGCAGTAAGTGTGCCTCTCTAAGCATGCGATCGTGTCTTCATTGGCCGCTAGGTCCATCGGATCTGTTTTGCATTGGCTCTGTTCCACGCAATCCTCGGTGCTGGTCTGATTGGCGTCAAAGACACGAAGGACAAACGTGCTTCCATACAGAATGGGTAGGCATGAAGCTGGTTGAATGTCACGATGTTACTGACCGCAAGTAGTTGGTGGGGACCGAAGGTCCTTCTCTGGCTAGTTCTCCTCGTTGCATCGTTCTTCATTCCGAACGGCTTCTTTATGTTCTGGGGCAACTATGTTGCATTGATCGGTGCCACTATATTTATCCTACTCGGACTGGTCCTTCTAGTCGACTTCGCACACTCGTGGTCCGAAACTTGTCTAGAGAATTGGGAAGCGTCCAACTCTAATCTCTGGCAATGGATTCTCATCGGATCCACAGCGAGTATGTATGCCGCTGCCATTACGCTAACGGGCATACTCTATGCGTTCTTCGCGCAATCGGGCTGCACCCTCAACCGGTTCTTCATCTCTTTCAATCTCGCGCTATGCGTTGTCATCACCGTCATGTGCATACACCCGACCGTGCAGGAGTACAACCCCCGCTCCGGACTTGCTCAGTCGAGCATGGTTGCGGTGTACTGCACATACCTCATCATGTCTGCTGTCGGCAACCATGAGCACGAGGCCTGCAATCCTCTGCGCCGCAACGGACCTGGCACGGTGGAAGGCGCCCGAACCACGACTGTCGTGCTTGGTGCGGTCTTCACCTTCCTGGCTGTAGCATACTCTACCACCCGTGCCGCGACGCAGAGTCGAGCGTTAGTAGGCAAGAACAAGAAAGGCGCGCTGCAGCTGCCGAGCGACGATGATGGCCATGCAGAGCTCGGGGTGGTGAGCAGCCAGCCGAGTCGCACCGAGTCGCCTCGGTATCAGGCATTATTGGCTGCAGTGGAAGCTGGGTGAGTAGAATCTCAGAAAAAATATTTCGAGAAATGTGCTTATTATCAACTTTCAGAGCAATTCCTGCATCTGCATTGGATGAAGATGAGGATGAGGACGATGACGAGGTGAATCCTGAGACGCGTGACGACGAACGGACAGGCACACGATACAATGTCCGTACCTCAGTTCCGTTAACTCTCAGATCATCATTACTCATCGTATCCGATCGCAGTACTCATGGTTCCATGTTATCTTTGCCATTGGTGCGATGTACGTGGCAATGCTCCTGACTGATTGGTGCGTGGTCTACCACCCCTTACTGTGGAATGTTCTAACAGCTGATGTTTCACCGCAGGAACGTCGTGAAAGCGTCCACAGGGCAAGATGATCCAGACCAGGATGTCTATATTGGCCGCTCGGAGGTGGCTATGTGGATGCGGGTTGTCTCGAGCTGGGTCTGCATGCTGTTGTACATGTGGAGCCTGCTCGCACCCGTCCTGATGCCTGATAGGTACGTCGTCTTTTGATCTTCTGTTCGCGTCGCGATGCTGAATGCAGTAATCACATCAGGTTCGGCGACCTTTGATTATTCCTGTACGCAGGGAATTTGAGTGTATTTCTGTGTAATATATGTCTTTCCTAGATTATTGTCTTGCAAAGTTGCAATCGGGTGGACATCGTTTGGACATTTCGAATTGCTTGGGACTGCCAGGGGGTATTGCTTGTGTAAGACAAAGCAGTAGCATGTGGATTCGATATTTAAGTGGAGGCTGGGTTGAACAGCTGACGGCGAGAGCGTTTAGTGCATGCGGTACACGTCTGCATGGCAGAGGGGCATTATGCAAGTCGATTTCTCTCCCTCACTCATCGCTCAACAAGACGCCACGGCGAATTTTGAACGAGCACCATGTTTTCGAACGCTGGAGACGGATGCAGTATTATGAGAAGGCAGTCCCTCAAACTAAGGCGAGCCCACCTTTGTCCTTGACCTGAAAACTTCTGCAACATGTGTGGTACATTCTTGCTCCGGATCATCGCCTTCTGATTCGCACTTGGCCAGCCAGAGAGTAGTCTCAGTGAGAAATGTGAAGGAAGGTCCCAAAGCCGGTTTTCGAGTTGTGGATAAGAATGCCGAGTCCGGATTCCAGGGAGATGACCCGGAAGATGTGTTAATCACCTGGAAACTGAAGTCAGTCCGCTACATTGTGGCTCGAATGCGGAGGCTTACGAGGATGGTAAGCGAGAACGCGTCCGCAAGGGCGCGCAGTTGCCGCATGAAGGTGGTCATAATGGCATGACCTTGCCCAATGCAGACGAGTGAGCCTCTCTGTTGAACAAACACAACATATCCCACCTTGGGAAGAGGTCGCACTCAACAAGGGGCTGAGAAGTGACGATATGGAGTCAATGACTACGCAGCGCATGACAGGGGAAGCATCACGGTCTGACTGTAAACCAACGTCTGTGAATGCGGCCAGACCTACAAGACGGAACGCACAAGAGACGATCGCAGAGTTTCCAAGACGTCCTCTGCTGCTTCGATGTCAAAGGTGAGTGCGACCTGCAGTCTATCCAGAACTGTGGAGACAGCCTAGAAGCATCACAGATCAGGTAGCTGAAGAGATGAAAATCGGCTGCAAGACATTTCCGGCACAGTGCTCTAGTAGGATGGGAACACTGTCAACAAGAAGTTCTCCTGTCGTATCGATCCACAATGCAGCAGAGTCATACACGTTTGAGAGATGCCTTAGCACCACTTGAAGAGCTAACGCCTTGGCGAAGCACCTTCGTCAAAGCATATCACCAATACAGTTTAAATGACTCTTACCGTCTTTCCGGCTGCCTTGTCTCCAGCAATTTCAATGATTCGAGATCCACCGAATCCGCCAACGAGTTCATCCAAAGATAAGACACCGCTGGACATACCGTCTCCGTGAAAGTGAGCTTCGAACCTTTTCTCTTCCAGGGTAAGAAGTGCATCTCCACGGATCGCAGGAGCTGATATTCGGGCAGCAACATGCGAGACTAACTCGGAGAACTCATGGGGACTAACAGATCCGGGAGGCAATATCTTGAAAATTTGGAGTGCACTGCCAGAAAAAAGAAGATCCATGTCCGTCTTGATCCCCACATTTTCCAAAGCGTCAACTAGATCCTGGGGCAGAGGGGGTACGAGTGTCTGGAGACGCATGATGACTCTCAGACTCAGTAATCGAAGCAAATGAAGATTGAACGCGTAAGCACTTTCACGTGACCGTTCCAACCAGTTTTTGGCACTCCTTTAAGGTCCTTAGCGTTCACCTACGTGCACTACACGATTTGTTCACATGGCCGATGTTCCTCAGACCGATGTATCGCGACCGTCGGCGCTCCCTACCGCCAAGCTCCTTCAACGCAGTAACCAAGCCCTTGTAGACCAAAATTCAAACGAATATTTAGACGCCATTGAAGAGGAATGGAACAAGAAGGTTGACGTGGAAATTGAGACACTCGTGGATGGCATGGTTGATCTTGTTGGGCTTGCTTCTGTAAGTTTTGAGCCATAGTTTATACGAAAGAATGTCAATGAAGGCCATCCTTATAGATCGAGGACAAGGATAAGTTCAAGGTGGCACAGGAAGCTTTCCAGGCGCAATGTCGTGCAGAATCCATGGTACATATCTTCTACACTCGGCCATTCGGTTGAAATAAATCGTATGCGTCGCGCAGATCAGGGCATCTCATTCATTGCTCTCAATCATCCATTCCATGAAACTGCTTTTACTCCTTTCAGACGAGACACAGATAGCAAACCGTCGTGACGTGGAATTGAAGAAGGTACAAGCAGAATCTGACGACACTCAGAAGAAGGTCGCCGCGCTGCTCGATGAACTGTTGCATCCATCCACCTCAGAGACAAGACAAGACGCAGCCATGGATACTTCGTGAATGTACTACTGGGTGGGTGACTGAATATGTACGTGATCAGCCCTTTTGTCCAATCACCCTGCGTTGACGATTAAGTCACTGCGGAAGACTGCATTCCATCGTTAGGGGCAGAGCCTCACAGGTTCCCAGGTCTATGAACAACACCAAGAGCATTGGGACTCTAGCTATAGTGGTAAGGGTCCGAAGAAATTAATTAAAATTAATTAAATTAATTCGAGAGAGGAGAAGAAGACATCTCTGTAGCATCATGCATTCAGAGTTTTGCTTAACCTCTTAGTTGATATGACTGCCCAAGCCCTCAGCTTGAATACACAGAACATTTTGCATCAATCTAACTGGAGACAGACAGGATCTATTCAAATGTTGTTGACTGCAGTTCTCAGGGACTTGCATCAGACATCAGACTCTGCACAGCTTATACTGCTGAGTAGAAATTTTCTATACACATAGACACATACTATAGACACAGTAATCAAAATTTTCTTCTCATCCTGTGGGTGAGGCCTGGAATATGTACTGTACATGCCAGTGCTGCATCATCAGCAATAAAGAGACAACTTCACACCATTGTATGCTCACCCATACTGCACCTCATCCTCAGGATATCCCCTTGGTAGACATGCAGTTCTTACATTGCATTGTGTATGATATACAGCTGATGGATAAGTGCCATAGTCAAGCAATCAGGCTGCAGCTGAATTTTGGGTGTCACGAGGTGCAGAGCATGGTGAACTGTTGCATCACCTTGTCTACTTCCAAAGCTTTCTCTGGTGTATACCATCAGTGTAAGCTCACCCGGAATTATATTTTACAGGATGCAAGTACACTGAGGCAGAAATAAATTGAGTAGAGTAGAATTCTTGCCAAGATGCACCAGTCTGCTTATGTCAGAGGTGCACCATATAAAGCACCCACCTTCCGAAGATAGTAGGTATTTCAAACTCCGCTAGGTCCAACTCCGCTAGGTCCTAGGTACACCGCCAAACTGACCTGAGCTACACCTGAGATTGAGGCCTAGACTCGGGGGAATCTCACCAAGGAGTATCCGACAGATCTGAAGAGAAGAGCGATAAGATAGCACCCGGCCAAACTCATCCTAAGAGCGCTGAGATATTCTACGAAGTGGCATCTGTCAGATCCATGCAGTCTGACTCCCAACTCTCAACAGCTCTTGGTCCTCTTGCAGCGCCGCAGGGACTTCGTTCTCAGTGTTGTTCTACAGCCCTTGCTACCGGGTGCCCAATTGCTGGATGGCCTTCTTTTGTATGGATCACATCAACATATTACGGACAAACACAGCATGCTCATGCACGAGTCGTCAGTACATTCTGTCGCAACATAAGTGTAAGACATGAAACATCCTCGACACTCATCCATCATGGCCCCCCCTCCCCCTCCCCTATTCACATCTTCATGTCGCTGTGGTAGAGGAACCTGGGACAGGAATCACTGCCCGTTGCGAGACGCCTGCAGGACCCGGACCATTCTTCTCCAGCTTGTTCTTCTCTTTGATCGCCTTCATCTTCGCGGCTGTAGCTGCCCATTTCAGTGGCCCAGTGATATGCAAGGTGGCAGCGATCTCATCGTGCTTCGCTCAGCGGTCGGCGAAATAGGGCTTCGGTGCGGTCAGGTGACGTGGGAGAGTCTCTCGAATAAGTGAGGCATTGTGTAGAGCATGCAGGTTAAGGAGAAAGCGGTCATCGTTGGTATGGTGCACGCACTGCTGCCGCTTCTGCGTTGCCTGACACTCTTGGACAACCGGGTCGGTGCTGTCCATAATTGCACAGTGACCGGCAAAACATTCATGTTGCGCGTTGAATATAAACAGCACATTCTGTTCATCAATGAATTAGTGCTTGAATAACAGTGAGGTTGTCCACAATACCTTTGGCTGAATGACATGGGCACGCTTTGTGCGCCGGAGGATCGGCATGTTGAGACGAGGCTCGTTGACGTCCAGAATGTCAAACTCCTCCACCACAACAACTGCACCTGGGCCGTCTGAGTTCTTCGAAATTGTGGTCAGAATCTTGAATATGTGGCCTGTCTGCGCATTGCGCTGTGTATCAAATTCCCAAATTAGTCAATGTCGGTGGTGAAAGTTGTGGTAGTTCACATACCTCGCCCGTCCAGAAGAAGATCCATGACCCCGCCTTACAGGCGTCGTGAGAGTGTGACACGACGTGCTTTGCATGTGCCCAATCTGCCTCACCGAGCGATTGAAATGCCTCCGAATCTGAAAGATTAGCCCACAGTTGATGTAAGAGTTGCTTCGCGGGTGCTTGCTTTCATTTCTTGTGTGACTCTGGATGGACTGAACCTTTTCTGACATCTGTGATTAGCTTTCGATGTGAGCTAGGGCAATAGTCATGCACCGGCTTTGAGAACGATGTGCTCGACCCAGCCCAGGCGGCGCTGCAGCTGTTTGTTGTCGGTCATGTACGAGCAAACACCGCTTCCTGCCCGAACAAACTCCCCCGCACTGTTCTTCCACCAGCCGCCGCTCACTTGATGCTTGAATTGTTCCATATCACCCAGCGTGATAGCAATGTCACGGCTCGGCGTGAGATGATTCGAAAGGATGCTGCACATACGGAAAATAGCATTCCAACACTCGAAGACTTCAGTGGAGAACATGATCATGGGGCGTGGCGTCGAATATCGTCCTTGAGATGGATGAGCGCATGCAGCTTCATCTTGATGATGATTCGACGAGGGTCAACCTGCGCCCACACGTCAAGCAGATTATCAATCAAGACCTGCAAGTCATTCTGATGCACATCAAATGGATGCAGGTAACCGCTGACTTGGACTGATGCTTACCAGATATGCATCGATGTTCTTGATCTCGGGATACCAAAGGAGAGCTCCCAACTCTCCGGTGGCCTTTCACAAATCAAGGTGGAGTCCGGAACACAGATCGTCATGCATATAAAATACTGTGAGCTGCTGGATGGCCTTGAAGTGCTTTCCGAGTAGAGAATTCTTGTATTGAACCATGTAGGCAGATCGCAAAGCTGGTAGTGTGAGGCCGTCAATGGAGGAGGATTGAAGCCGCACCGCGAACAATTCCTCTTTCTTCTTGTCCCAGATCTTGTTTGTGTCATACCAGATGTACTTATCATTGCCTAAAAGGTATGTGTGAAGAATCTTCAGCGTGTTGTCGCTGTGTGGGTTGATACCTGACAGGTGGAACACATCAGCATCACACTCCGACACCGTGCCAAACACAAAGCACATGCTGCCATACACACCATCTGCCTTGAGCAGTGGATTGAAGTGGTCACCAGGGCGCAAATGCGTCCGCCCGACTGTGAGAAGCTCAATCAACATATTTCGAAGACATCAGAACAACTCACTCACATCAGGTGGCAGAGAATTGTAGGAGGCTGCCAGTTGGCTGATAACCCAATCCATCAGCTCGGATTGAATCTCGCGCTTGATGTGGAGCTTGACTGCATCAAGCGCATCTCCAATAAGGTTGCGATTATTGAGCGCGGCATCCCGAGTTGCGCGAGAAGAGATACAGATGTGCTGCAGCTCTCGTGCTTTCGGTATGAGCTGCTCGATCCAGTATGTCGCAATCTTATCCTTGACCCCGGTAGAACTCTGCAGCTTGTCGACAGCATCTTGAACACCAAGGCATGCCACCTTGAACTGCTGCTTGATGACATTTCATGTGTCCTCGGCGGTGCACGGTTCTTCGGGCTATTGAATTCAGGCACTGTGAGCAGATAACACTCTCCCGAATGCATGGCAGCGGGGCTTGCCTGAAAGTGCACATGATAGCCATCATTTGTTTCCCGCTCAGCCTCAGTCCCTCCCATCTTATCATACTGACAGTTGTACTTTCCTTTGGAGGCAACAACTGAGGTCGATTCAGACTGTTGTTGGTTGTCTGCTGGCAGTACATGAGTGAGAATGCGGAATATGATCTCCTGCTCGAGCTGACAGTCATATGCCAGGTGCCACTTGTCCGATTTTCTGCAAGTAACTCATCAGTCCATACCACTGCTGGAGGGATGAATGTCTTACAGGTCTCGGAAGTGTGCTGTGAACAATTCGGATGCACAAGCATGTGGAGAGGTGGAAGAAAAACGGACAAAATACTCCTGTGCAATCTTGCAGTGAGACAAGCTCACGTTGGTGACATAGATGTTAGTGTGTGCATTGTACACCTTGGTGACATTGCCTGAAACATCGTCACCCCATGGCATGACACGAATCGTGAACATCGGCTTCCCCTTTGATATGGCCCGAAGAAAATGGGGCATTACTACTTTCCAAGTGTCTGAACCATCTGTTGATGTGTCAGAAAGCACCTGAGATACCTGAATAATGACAGATCAGCACACCTGAAAAGTGGATCTGCGTCAGCTGGTGTTGCAGATCCAAAAAATTATACTGCAGCTCCCGTGCCTTGATACGGTGCATTGCGAGCTCATTTACACTGAAATGGGCAGTCTGTAGCCATGCGCAAGGTCACTCAAACTGCAAAAATTCACGGCTTAAATCAACTCACTTGTGCGTCAAAGCTGGCATCGTAAACCTCCGCGTGAACGATTGTTTCAATTGTCACCCATCGGACAGGGATAACATACTCTCTCGTCTCCAGCTGGGCAAGCTCTTTGACATAGAAATGTCGGTGTGAATTTTTCTCCCAGTCCGCCCACATTGGAGACAAGTCATCATAATCAACTTCCTCCAGCCATTTTGCTGCTTGCCAAAATTCACCGATAACTTTTGAAGCTTCAGGATACACATGGATGAAGGGGCGAATGAGTGGATTTGCCCAGTCCTAAGAAGACGACAAAATAAGTGATTCTGCTGTGAATATTACAAGTCGGCACTCCACACTAACCAGTGCGAAAAGGGTTGATGGATGGTTCATGTAGAACTGATTACCCAAAGATGATGTGTGTGCTTCAGTTTTCAATGCCATGTCGCATGTCATTCTTGCCTGAGCTTTTCGAAGAGCAGAAAATGAGCACATATTTGGAGTACCACATTCACGCATAACCCATATTATGGCCCTCAACTGATCATCGGACAGTCGAAGATGAGGAAGGTTATCCAAAAGATCCAACATGAAGAGCTGTGTTTGATTCTGAAATGTTGAGATGACCATGAAAACATGGCTGGAAAGCGCACCATTTTGAAGCCATGTGGTGCCCAGTCACCATTATGTTCACACCTCTCATCGACTGACTCGCCATCCTCACTCTCACAGTCTGAATCAAGCACCCCTTTGACTCCTTAACATTTGGCAATTGTGTCATGCAGCGTAACAAACTCACCAGCATCTCGAAGTCTTGCAATGAACTCGGGCACAGAGGAATCACCTCCGTCATCTGCCACAGTTTCGTGTGTGTTGTCTTCACTTGTCCACACTCTTCCGAAGATCTCATGATCATAGTACTCGAGCTCTTTGAGCCCTGCACCAAGGTCCTGGCGAGTGATATCCGGAATGACCTGACCCGCTGAAAACAGGATTTGTTGGCCATGTGTGTCGAAAAACTCATGATCATACACCACAAGGTCATCAAGTGGATTATGCCCTGCTAAGGCTGGTTTCATTTCTTCATCTGAGCCTGACACCACAAATTGTGCAGCAATGGACAAGGAAGAGGGCAGAAGAGGAGCGTCGGGGGCATTCAAGAGACGGTGGTTGAAAGAGGAGCCCACACTGGCATAATACTGCGTGCATGCCACATTGTGCATTTTTGTCTTTCGGTGCCCAGAGATGTATGATTTCCAGGCAAGCATCGATTTACCCAAATGCGCAGAGCAGGGAAGGCATCTGACATGCTCGGGCTTGTCAAGAATGTCCTCAAAGTCTGTTCAGACATAGCGTATCAATAACTTTGAGCGGTCTTCAAGAACAAGCCAAGATCATACCCTCTGCAACCTCTTTTGAACGTGTTGTGGGCATCGGTGAGTCTCTGTGTCTGTTATGATTGCAGTGCTGATCTTGGTCTGATGGCTCCATGTGGCATGCCTAAAACCAATTTTCCCTGGTTTTGGCATTTTCGGATGCCTCCGTCATCCTGCCAGCTCACTTTTTTTTTTCTGTCTCCATTCGGGGTTTTTCTAATTTTTTTATCTTGTCTGCACATCCACACTCCTTCAATGTCGGAATCTATCAACCCGTTGTATGATGTTCCAAGTTCTCCACCCCCTCCATCACCTCGAAATAGCCCTGATCCTCCCATATTACCTTTGCTGCCTGCAGACCAACCCAACTCCGACACTGTGTTCGAATGGTTGTCTCCAACACCACGACAATCTCTGACTCCTGCAACCGGGAATTCATCACCGAGTGGGGCTTCTGCTCATAAGAGACCCGCTGAAGATATGACCCAGTTTGCTGAGGCTACTGCACACAACGTGAAGCTCTGTCCGGACAACTGCAGGGCTCTGTTGGACTTCTCAAAGGTGAGGCCACAGAACACAGCCTCTCATTATGTTGATCATCCGTTGCATGAGCTTAACGCAGCAGAGCAACTTATCACCTTGAGTGCGACACTCATGAAGATCTTGGAGTGCCAGAACGAGCTGGTCCCCGCTGAGGCGGTATACAACATTTCGGAGAATATCACGGTCAGGATCCCTTGTTGTCCTGTACAACTTGCTAAGTCTGACCAGCCATTGTAGAAGTACATTGACACCGAGACAACAACAATTCTTGCGCACCCTGACCTGGTGGCCTATGTCCATGACGATGCGCCTGTTATCATTCTTGAGGTATATTTTTCCGACCTCTGTGTTTGTCACACATAATGCTAATGTCTTGTTTGGTGTTAAAGGCTCAGCTGAAGGCAAAGAATAAGTGGAACCTCTCAGAACTGAAGGACGATCGTGTCAAATGGGAAGTGATCATCAAGTATTCACGCACGAAGTTCAATAACAAGCGGCACACTATTAAGAAGGCCGTACGTGTTTGCTGCCATTAGATTCGTACACCTGCTAACTGTCAACCCTTCTCAGCTTGGTGATTCACTTGGAGGAAGGGGCCCAAATGCAAAACCTGCTCAAGACATCATCGACCTGTGTATTGCGACCAACACCCAGCTCAATGGCGGCAAGCTTGCGAAGGCGGCAAAACCACGTGCACCCACTGTGGCAATGCTCGAGCGCGTCACTTTCCTGGTATGGATCGTTTGTTCTGTGCATCATTTTACATGTTTAACATTCTCACACAGTGATATTCTCTCGTTCAATTCAATGAAGCCAACCTGATGCCGAACTCGGAGACTAAGTCCTTTTGGGAGTACGTCGACAATGAGTTGTCGACCGTTCGAACCTTTCACAAGGACGATGCAAAGAAGATCTCAAAGTAAGTGTTCATTCTGTTGGATGATCATCGAGTTCTTATGCGCGGCATCACAGGATGTTTGCACAGATTCTGGAAAATGATTAGACAAATTACGGCCAAGTCAACATTGAGGAACGCACTGGTGCGGCGGGTGTGGCAGCATGAGTAAGGATTCCTAATTTGCACACCCTACTGTGTTAATGTCTCCTTGTCAGGTGCTTGCTGAACATCTTTCCCCAATGCTCTGCACCTCCGTCATTGCGACATGTCGTGGCAGACTGCCGCATCGAGGGTTCCTTGTCAAACATATAGCCCACTTTTAATCCAGCTCCTAATCCTTCCATGTCATGTACTTATAATCTACAATATCTATACAATCTGCAATATACATTTGTTTCTGCATTTTGCTGTGTGCGCGGTCGCTGGTACCACTGTCCCCTGCAGTGGCCACAAGCTCGAAGATGAATCAAGCAGATCAGATACTCACATCCTCTGGAGCTCGTTCAAGAGTGCGATGCAATCTGAAATTGAACTCAGTCTGAGAGGTACAGCTCGTCCTCTCCCCAATGTCCTGGAAAAAGCTCTGAGAGCTCTCTCTCTCAGAAAATACTCGGGGGATATGACGATCTCCTCTTCCCATGAGCTCTGCGACCGATGCGGTAATAGTCCGCAGGCACTCAGCGAATCTTAGGTGTGGGATCTTAGGTACAGCTCAAGTTTGTTTGGCGGTGTACCCTACCACTATAGCAAGAGTCCCAGAGCAGGGACTCTAGCTATAATGGTAGGGTCCGAAGAAATTAATTAAAATTAATTAAATTAATTCGAGAGAGGAGAAGAAGACATCTCTGTAGCATCATGCATTCAGAGTTTTGCTTAACCTCTTAGTTGATATGACTGCCCAAGCCCTCAGCTTGAATACACAGAACATTTTGCATCAATCTAACTGGAGACAGACAGGATCTATTCAAATGTTGTTGACTGCAGTTCTCAGGGACTTGCATCAGACATCAGACTCTGCACAGCTTATACTGCTGAGTAGAAATTTTCTATACACATAGACACATACTATAGACACAGTAATCAAAATTTTCTTCTCATCCTGTGGGTGAGGCCTGGAATATGTACTGTACATGCCAGTGCTGCATCATCAGCAATAAAGAGACAACTTCACACCATTGTATGCTCACCCATACTGCACCTCATCCTCAGGATATCCCCTTGGTAGACATGCAGTTCTTACATTGCATTGTGTATGATATACAGCTGATGGATAAGTGCCATAGTCAAGCAATCAGGCTGCAGCTGAATTTTGGGTGTCACGAGGTGCAGAGCATGGTGAACTGTTGCATCACCTTGTCTACTTCCAAAGCTTTCTCTGGTGTATACCATCAGTGTAAGCTCACCCGGAATTATATTTTACAGGATGCAAGTACACTGAGGCAGAAATAAATTGAGTAGAGTAGAATTCTTGCCAAGATGCACCAGTCTGCTTATGTCAGAGGTGCACCATATAAAGCACCCACCTTCCGAAGATAGTAGGTATTTCAAACTCCGCTAGGTCCAACCCTACCACTATAGCAAGAGTCCCAGAGCATTGATCATCCGGGCTTCTTTCCCGCGGTTGATTACGCAATCTCTGTGGATCACACGCGCTTGCCGTTGACCAAGGCTACCATAAAGTGAAAGATATTCAGACTTTATATGAGTGGTCGTGGAACGTATGCCATTCGCTTTACATCAATAAATAACTCTTCAACTCTTCCAGTGAGAAGTTACTGGATTCATAGATAGTTTACAACATCAGGTTGATGTCCTCGTTTTCAGCTGGCAGCCCGACGATGGCTGCACCTCGGGATTCTCGACGTATGCCTCAGCGTTCCGCACTTCTGCGCGATAAGCGCACAGCCTAGCAATACGTTGGCTCGTCTGGCACTTACAAGGCTCTGCTTAGGTTTGTGCCAAGTATTGCGGATATGCTTTTGCTGTCACTGGATGTGTAACAAACCTCGTCGAAAGGCTGGTGGTCGGTCCTCTCTGATGCTACGCGGACGCAGTTTTGATCCGGAGCGTCTAAATAGCGCCCGCCCTGCTCTTTGCGTTCACATCGTCTCTCGCAAACGTGCCCACTGCCCAGGGCTCTGGGCGTTGGACCATCTTTCCCTTCCTTCTATTATCAGACCTTCCCTCTTCCTTCCTTTTTTCGTGATTACGGGTGTTGAATTCACAACCACAATTGGCACCTCTAAGTCGACTTCGTTGCGCTGTTCTTGAGCAGCACTGTACCGCACGTCACTGACATGAATGACCTTCTGAGCGCATCCCATACCCATTAGTTGGTTTGTGTATCACGTTCAGTGTACTGACGAGTTCTCACAGACTCTGCGATAGCAAACCGGATCGATCATGGGTTGATTTCATGTAGTGTAAGGGCAAAGGGCGGGTTGATATGGTTGGTCTTGCCATTGGGGCATTCCGGCATGGGTATCATCAGGTCTGCTATCTTTTTCTTAGCCCACTGCACCATTAATAGATTATCCTCCCTCGCGTATAAATTGTCTGAAGACTAGGTGACTGCTTCGAAGTACCTACACCCACCCAACCACGTCCAAGAGGTCACAAAAATGGTGCACTGGAAGGATCTCGTTACGGAGAAGAGGCAGCGGCAACAAGATTCTATTCCCAAGGAATGGCTGATTTCAGTTCCTCCAGATTCGGTGCTCGACGTGAGGAACGTTCCCCAGGAGTGCGGTAGTCTCTCTGCACGAGAATTAGACATCACGAACACCGTGGATGTCGCCGTCCTTTTGAAGAAACTTGCCACCGCTGAATGGTCTTCGGTTGAGGTTACTACCGCTTTCTACAAGAGAGCCACCATCGCTCAACAACTAGTGTGTTTTGATTTGATTTATCCGTCGTGAAGTTCATGCACAAATCTCTTCTAGGTTAATTGCCTTACCGAAGTCTTTGTTGATCGGGCACTCGCTCGCGCGGCAGAGTTGGATGCGCATCTGAAGAGTACCGGGAAAGTCGTCGGTCCCCTTCATGGTCTGCCAATATCTCTCAAGGATCAGATATGCATCAAGGGTCTCGAAACTGTGATGGGTGAGTGGCATTTGTCTGCACAATTTTCTGTGTTCATTCCCGTTTTCCACAGGATACGCTTCTTGGATAGGAAAATATGCAGAGCGGGACGCAGTTCTCGTTGAAATTCTCTATGAGAACGGTGCCGTCTCGTTCGTCAGGACAAATGTTCCCCAAACACTGATGGTGAGTGTTGCAACGAAACGGCGAGAGCCTATATCTACAACGCAGACACCTAGTGGCCGGAAACCTTCAATAACGTCTTCGGCAGGACAGTCAACCCGGCAAACCGTTCTCTGACCTGTGGTGGTTCCTCTGGCGGTGAAGGTGCGCTCATAGCGATGAGAGGAAGTCCTCTCGGTGTCGGGTCTGATATCGGAGGGTTAGTAAAAATTGCTGTTGTCTCCGCGCAGGTGCTAACAATGTGTGACTTCTCAGCTCCATAAGAATTCCCTCCGTGTTCAATGGACTGTTTAGCCTTCGTCCTTCGTATGGGCGTATTCCGTACGAGGGATGCGTGAATTCCATGTTGGGCCAAGACTCTATCCCATCCGTGCTTGGTCCTTTGTCCAATAGCATCAGCGGGGTCAAAGTATTCATGCAAGCTGTCATCAACAGTCAGCCTTGGCTCAAAGATCCTCTTGCTGTGAGGAAGAAGTGGGATGAGGATGCTTATGCGCTTGCAGAACACGGCGGTGGGAAGGAACTGTGTTTTGGGATCATGTGGAATGACGGCACTGTCGTTCCACATCCCCCAATTATCCGAGCCTTGGAGATCACAAAGCAGGTGCTCCTGGCTGCTGGGCACAAGGGTACGTTGAAACAAAACGCTTCGCATGGTGTCAAGTCTAAATGATATGAATCACAGTCATTGATTGGGAACCGTACAAGCACTCGGAGTTAGGGGCCTGCATTGTCAGTTTTCTCCGTCAGTCGCCTTTCACGTATTTTTTGAGCCGTGATATTAGTCTGCAATTTGGAATGCCGGGGCGGCTGAGGATTATAAAGTCGTTACTGCACTTACAGGAGAGCCTGTCATCAGCTCCATGAGCCCTGATGAGGATGCAGGTCCTATTTCAGGTTCCTTCCGCCCGGCGGACGACGGGCTCTCTGCCTATCAGCTCTGGCAGGTTCAGAGCAGGAGGGCTATATTGCGCAAGGATCATCTCGACCACTGGGCCAAGACTGTGGAAAAAACAGGCACCGGAAGGCCAATGGATGCCATCATTTGTCCTGCCGCACCATACGCAGCTCCTCCGCACGGGAAAAAGCTGTACGTCTTTTCGATCATCATATGCAGTGGTACTCGATCTCAATATCGAATTTCAGAAGCGCCAGCTACACCAAGGTGTGGAACGCGTTGGACTACCCTGCATGCATTTTCCCTGTCACAAAGGTCGATCAAACGTTGGATGCGAAGAAACCTGCGCACGCATTCCTGAGCGAGGTGGATCAAACGAACTATGAATTTTGTACGTGCTTCGGCTTCTCCGTAAATGTTTGCCGTCGCGATATAGGTTAGCCATCTTAGACGATCCCTCAACATTCAAGAGCGCGCCGGTTGGTCTACAGCTTGTTGGACGTACACTGGAAGAAGAGGCTGTGATTGCGATGACCGAGATCGTGGACGCTGCACTTAAGTCTGCGTTAATAGTCTAGTTACGAAGGCACACTGCATCCATCAAGCAGTGTTAAGAGGACCGTATTCATGTTGATGTTCATTTCATCGCCTGGTTGGGGTTAGCATTGTACTTAGCAGACTGTGTGACGGAGTACGGTCACGTGATCTGTCGCGTCACTTCTTTAGTTGTCTACTTTATCTGACCACAGTACTGTACGTGCGTATACAGAATTCCAGCAAAATCGTAGTTGCGCTTCCGACAACGCGTCCAACTTTCACATTTACCGGTTATCATGCAGTCTCTGAACAATTACCTCCCCATTCGCTTATGGAGAGACGAGACTTCGGTGCCCCGGTGTAGTGGCCGAGCCCGAGGATAGGGCTGCACAGCGTTCACTCTGTTGCGTGGGCCTTATATTGAAGCGGAAGCTACGTTTGGTGAGCTTCCATATCCTCTTCAGTCTTCGTTACGCCATGTTAGAGACTCGATTTATTTTTCTCGCTTTCTGTTTCTTCTTGACAGCCAGTTATGCGTTGAGGATACCAATCCAACGTCGGGCTGGATATCCCATGAAGGTTGACGTCGATCCTGCTAACAAGAACAATCTCGGGTTCACGAACGCTTGGCCAATAAACGGACAGTATACCGCGACGATATACATACAGGGTCAACCGTTCCAGGTTCAGGTCGATAGCGGCAGTTCAGACTTATGGGTTAAGGTGAATAGTACAAACCTCCCCGCTTACTACGGTACAGGATATAACTCGAGTGACTCCTACGCGTGAGTGATGCGTGCATTCATATGGGGTTTCGTTTATCAAATGTTCTTACGCGCTCACGTGCAGGGGTGGAACTCACGTTGATGCACAAATAATGCTTGCTAACGTCTCACTTGGAGAGTTCACCGTGGAGGAACAAGCTTTCCGTAGGCAATCACCCAGCTCTTATTCGTTCTTATCCTGAAACTCTGCCATTTAGTCCCCGTTCTTGATGCAGGGGATTCTCTCGACGGTGGTTATACTGATGGAATTTTGGGTGTTGGACCGTGCGTACTTTATCAGGTTTTCTGGTTATTTCTTGGTCAGCTTATGGCTTCAACAGAATTCTGGGCTCACCGATCTTACTCACTCTGTATAACACATCGTACCAAGTGAACGGATTACCTTTGATTTTCAATGTGAGCAATTTTATGGGTCAGTTGCGGGTGATGGGACTATGTTCACTTGGCCACCAGATATTTGGCAACTACCTCGACGAACAATCTTTTATCACGATATTTCTCACACGGGAAGATTTTGGTATCACCCAGGGAGGTTTCTTGGGCATATGTGGGTGTCCAATCTGCCATTATTGGTTGTTATCCTGAAATCGTGTCTGTGAGCGTAGCAGAGATCATGGCTGAGAATGCGTCAATCATTGAGGCACCCAAGTTGCCTCTTACTTCGAACTCCAGTTGGTCCACACTCATGGATGGTATCTACGTCAATGGCGAATTTTTAACCGGCCATTCATTTGGGTGCGTGTGCAGATTCCGCTCTGACCTTTTTAGCTGCTGAGTCGCCACTCTTGGGCCATGTTTAGAACGAATAACTCAGGGTTGAGTGTTCAGCCCGGTGTCAATCAGACAGTAATTGGACCTGATTCCGGAACTACGTTGAGTGGGTGCACTGAATGAATGTATACCGAATGAGCAAGGCTGACCGTCTGTTTCGCAGTAAGCGCCCCACCATATTACGTGGATGCTGTATACAAAGGAATACCCGGCGCGATCTTCGACGAGGACCAAAAGACCTATCAAGTCCCATGTGAGACAAAACTCAACGTCAGCATGGTCTTTGGGTGGGTCCTCCTCTGTCCGTCCAGATACTAGAGCTTGATTTGTACTACTTTACTCCAACTAGCGAGACCGAATACCCCATGAATCCCCTTGATGTCATCTACCCCAGTTTCTCCAATGAATCCGCAGTATGCTACGGATCTATGTTTTACGGGAGGAACGATACTGGTGTTGGTGGGCACTATTCGTCCATCGTGCTGAATTCTGTCTTATAGGCGGGACTTGTCCGCAGATTTCCTCCTCGGCGATTCATTCATGATGAACGTGTATACCCTCTTCAACTATGGGTACTGGATCGATTCCAACAGAGGAGCGCCCTACATCCAGATGCTTTCGGTGGGCTCCTCTCCGTCGTGTAATAGACAACATGGCTGACCCTGCGTGACGACTTTCCACAGTTGACGGACCGCGACCAGGCATGGGCAGACTTCGACTTCAAGAACCTTATTCGACTCGGAAACTTCGCCGAGCAGCAGATCCAACAGAACGAGAACATCACATCGTCCTATGCGACCGCTCCCCCCATGACTACGACGTACCCAGTCGTCTCCGCCTTCCCTTCCGGCGTCCCGACACCCACAGCCAGCGCGCAGTCGAAGCTCGGCGCAGCTCTCGCGGAATCGCCGGCCTCGAGCGGCGCTTCGTCCACGGACGGTCTGAGCGGGCTCCAGCGCAACTCATACATCATCATTGGCCTCGTCGCCGGCGTGCTCGTGCTACTCCTCGGCGTCATGATCAAGCTCCTGAGCAATAGCCGCAGCCAGCAGTACCGCGCTGTTCCGAACATCGACCGGCCCCCGGTGCATTTCAGCGACAAGCCGTATGAGGCTGAGACCGAGGCTTTCCAGACACCGTACGACGACGAGGAACGGCGAACTTGAGCAGGCGGTAAGCGAAATTTCCTGCTTGTCCTCTGCAATCTCACGATCGCATGCAGGACTACTCGGGCTGGTTTTACATTTGTAGGTTAACTAAATGGTATAAAATATATATCGCTCCTCCTAAACATCGTTATCGACGTTGACCCGAAGCAACCATCAATTTCGCGCCTACCCTGGTGGCCGCGCTTGTCTTCGAGTTCGCCCAAGTCTGCCTTGGTTTGAACCACATACATATATGCTATCATACTCGCCACGCGCGTCACCACTCAAGAGTTGCATGCGCATCTGTGACACACACAGTATGCAATACTCTGAATGAACTCACATGTTTTGATACGGTACACATGGACTAACATTGACATTCAAAGTCTGCGCAATTATTGGCGACCTCCTTCGTCGCCATGTTTGTGTGCTTCGAAATAATGCTGAGAGTTCACCTCCAGGTATGCTCAAGGCAGTCAGGGCCAGGATGCGCCCTCGGGAGCCGCGTGCGCTCAGTCTAGAGGCTATCTTCAACTCAGGCTCTATAGCATTAATACCTGCAGTAGCTCAGTCGGGACTTCGGCGGTAATTATCGCACTGGAGCATAAAGTAATCGAGGGCGACACCTCGATACTCTTCGATTCCACGCTCGCGGTCCTGTCTGATGTCTGCGTCAACAAGGCCTGAGGCGCATCGCACGTATCGCGTCAACATTCTTTGCTAGAGACAGGTTCTTAAAAGGACCTACAAAGAAGTGAATCATGTGTTGTCGACGTCGTACCGTCCTCTAGAGTGCTAGACGTTAGGCCAATTATGGAAGTTGAAGAAGGTAACGATGGTGCATATGCGTAGGGCGGCCGCATTGGACCAGACTACGTTCGGTTCTTGATGCTTCTAGTTTGATGGTGAGGACGCAGCTCCCACCGCAGCAGGCGCAGCAGCATCGTGGCGCGTGTGCATTGCCTGGTAAATGCCGTAGGTATGGGGACCGTCTCCTGATGCGCGACGACGCAGAGAACGGCTTCGGGTGTTAGGCCTAGGCCGAGGTTGGGGAAAGTCGCGACGAATATCCAAAATATCCTTTCCGCGGTAACTTCTTCCTGGTCGGCAGGTAATGCACGGCGATGATCTGCAGTTGGTGAAGCTCCGAAGGGTTGTATCGAATGTGAATATGTGGGGTTAGGTTGGCGACTGAGACAATATTTACTATGTAGAGTGTACGAGCAATGCACGAGCGCCGCAACAGCACCCACTGGGGGTGCCTGCGATCGTCATCGCGGAGGATGTCGGTGTCTGCGGACGTCCGACGCTATGCAGTCGCAGCAGGAAGAGATCCATCTCAAACGGAAACCAAAAGGTGTCATGAGGCTCGAGGACTCGCTCATCCGGCAGTACTAAGCCTGAGCACGCGGACGATTGGCCAAGCCAGAATTAATGTCGATCCACATCGGGTGTTGGAATGTGGGACAGCGCGGTCGCGCTTGCATGGTTTGAAGACGAGAGTGGTGGATAGAGCGCAGGAGACGAGCAAAGCAGCCTGGCAGAGGACACCGACTCGGAGGCGGTCACGGAAGCGAAGGTCACAGAGACCGGGGGAAGGCCGAGGTGCACCGGAGGCGTAGCAGGGCCGCGGAGGCCGGGGACCGAATGGGGGGCCGGGCCGCCAATCGGTCGGGTCGGCCGGAGTGGGGCGGGGACAGCCGGGCACATTTAATCACGAGGGGGGAATGGAGTGCGGGGTAAATAAGGTGTCTCGCCCTCCCCGCTCGATGTCGCAGCACCTACTCACCGCCGCTGAGTCCCGCCTCTTCAACGGCTTCCTCGACCACCACGCCCACGACTCTGTCGAATGGCGCGGTTTCCACCCCGCCCTCGCCGACAAGATCCCCCACAAGCAGGGAAAGGAGGCTCTCGCCCGCGCGACCAAGGAGCTTCTTTCCTTCGGTGCTGCCAACGCCCCTCTTAGCAGCAAGGCGGCCACCGCTGCGGCCGGTGGGAGTAGTAGCGGGGGCGCCATTGCAAGTTTGAGCGCGAGTGCGAGTGCGAAGACAGGGGGGACGAGCCGCTCCGGCAGTGGTGTGTCGCATTGGCCGAGCTTTACCCCGGATGCCCATGACCCCGCACGGTCCAACCACGGCCGGTACGACCGCCACAGCCCCTACTCCTTCTCGTCATACCGTCCCCAGCAGCAGCAGCAGCACGATCAGCCAACATCGTCCTCGTCGGCGTTCACCCTAGCCTCACTGAACGTCTCTGCGCGCCCATCTGTACCGCCCTCGTCAGCCTCCACATCCAAGCGTGCGCTCCCACGGGACCACCAGGTCGGCGGCTCAATATCCAGTGCCGGCGACGGCACCGTCGCAAAACGAGCACGCCCCACCCCACCAGAGGATACCTCTGCTCCAATTCTTCCCGCCAATACTCCCTCCGCCGCCGCCGCCGCCCCAGCGAAAGCTCGGCGCCCATCGCAGTCCGCCCGAAGATCCGCAGTCCCTGCGGCACCGTCGAAGCCCGCGCTGCTCTCGCCGTCGCAGAAGCGCGCAAATCACATCCAGAGTGAGCAGAAGCGCCGTGCGAATATCCGCCGGGGGTACGAGGCGCTCTGCGATGCGGTCCCGGCACTGCGCGAAGCAATCCGGCTCGACGATGAGGCGAGCGCGGCGGATGCGAGCACGAATGCGAATGCCAGTTCGGCCTCGGGCGGCGGACGCGAGGACAAGGCGCGGAAGCGCAAGCGACGAGGCGAGGACGAGAAGACCGCCGATGGGCGTGCGGGACCGCGCAGCGAGAACGTCGTGCTGTCGAAGAGTGAGTCGCTTGCTGTCGTCGTTGCGCTGTGCGCCCTCTGACGGTGTTATCCCATCACCCGCCAGCGATTGAGTATATTAGGACACTGCTTAATGACCGCCAGGATCTCGTCACGCGCCTGACGTTCGCGCGGAGCGTCCTCGCGCCGGAGCACCCTGCACTCACAGTCTCGACGGCGCATGCGGACGAGGAGGGTATCCCGCTGTGGGAGCGCGAGTGGAAGGGCGGCAGCGGCGCGGCGGACGAGGACGAGGGAGAGGGGGGGAGCGAGGAAGACGAGTAGTTGCGAGCCTCGAGTGTTCATCTGTCTCTCGTGCTGTAGTATGAGCCTGAGCGTATGCACCGTCTATTATATCCGTGTAATAGCTTTCTCGTATTTCTCGCCTGAATTGCGTGAGCCTGCAGCGGTTGAGTGCGATATCACATGAGAGCGCGCTGGCGCTGCCCGCCGTGGTACGTACACCACATATCTACTCCTCTCTCTCCTCCCTTGCACCACTACCCCTCGTTCCCGGCCACACTCGCTTGCCCACCATGTCCGATCTCAAAGTAGAGGGGTTCAAGGTGCGAATGGTTAAACTAAGACAGGATACGACGAGCCGGAGCACTGATGGGCTCGGCCGCAGGCGTCCGACATCCTCGTCGCACTGAACGACGTGTTCGCGGCGTACAGCGACGAGGAGAAGAAGGCGCAGCTCAAAAAGGTGCGTCCCTTCCCCTTCATCCCCCTTCCTCGCCGGTACTGAGCGGCGCACACAGACGAACGGCATCTTCGAGCTGCACGTGAAGAACGACGCGGGCGCGGAGGCGACGTGGACGATCGACCTCAAGACGCTCGGCGCGGTGCACAAGGGCGCGGGCACGGCGAAGCCGAATGTCACCATCATGCTCTCGGACGAGACGTTCGAGCAGCTCGCGCTGGGCAAGGTGGGCTGCTGGATCTCCTACCCTTCGCATCGCTGCTGCGCTTTCCAATTTTCCCGTTTTTTTTGGCGTGAAGTTTTTCGCGATGTCGTGCACCTGGCCCCAACTGATCGCATCTGTGCGGGCTGATGGCTAACGGTCGATCTACAGCTCGACGGCCAGAAGGCGTTCATGACCGGCAAGCTGAAAACGAAGGGCAACATCATGTTTGCAACCAAGCTCGACGGCGTACTGAAGGTCGGTTCACCGTCCGTACTCTACAAACATTTTGCCCGCTCACACCGTTGCGCTCTCACAGGCATCGAGAGCAAAGGCGAAGCTATAGACTTTCCAGCATACATTGCATATCTCCCCTAATGATATTACCCACGACCGACGAGGATCCGAGTTCGGACAAGTACAGGAATATAATATGCCTGAACGGAAGGGAGGTATATTAAGCGAACAGTAACGATCGTACAACATTAATCCAATACAGCCGACCATCCCCATCCTGAGCGTAGCCACTTAAGTTTAATCGGAAGCAGTGTGAGCGTACTCGCATGCCTGAGAGGCAGGCCTATCAAGTGAACATCCCCCCGAAGAGCCCCCGCTGCCGCCGTGGTGCCTGCTGCACGTCCGGCCGGAGCGTCGCGAGGCTGTTGAGCTGCTTCATAACCTGCAAAATAGGTCGATGAGGAATAACAAGCGTGAAAGTAAGGACGCACCTCCTCGAGCTTGTCTTTCCGCTCCTGGAGGTCGAGATGCCGCCGGACGACCGGGTTCTCACGCGCGAACTCGACGATCTCCCGGCGGTCGAGGTCGTACAGCAGCCGCGAGTCGATCTCGCGGGGAAACTGCACCCAACAGTCAGTATCTGAGTCCTACGTGAGCGTGAATAGTGGAGAGAGCACCTGGTAGAAAAAGTGGTCGAGCAGCTCGATGTTAATGAACATTGCGGAGGTGTAAGCGAGTTTGTCCGCGACGGCGTTGAGGAAGATCTCGGGGCAGAGCACGTCGTTCTGCGGTCCCGCCTTGCACCGTTTGGACTTCAGCGCGCCGAGACGCAGCTTGAGGATGCTGATGCGGTCGCTGCAGAGCATCGCGGTCCGTGCTAGGTGTCATCCCACTATTTTAGAAGTGAGAGGCGTTGAGAGATGAGGGGAGACGTACCGTCGAGGATCTGCGCGGGAGGGTACCGGTAGTCGTCGCCGTTGGTTTCGCTGCTCGCTCCTGCGCTCTCCTCTTCCGTCGCGGTCAACCGCCGCTGCTTCTTCTCGCGCTCCTTCTCCTCCAAGCTCTGCACGTACGATACGAGGCTGCTGAGCCTGCGGCTCCCGCCAACCTTCTTCCTGATCTCAACCAGCTTGCCCTCGCACATCTTCATCTCGCGGTCGAAGAGTTCCACCGCCTGCGTGCGGCCTGTCTCCCACTCGCGCTCGTCGACATCGACCTCGTACTTGTACGGCTTGATGCAGTTCTCGACCTGGTCTGACGTGATGCCGATGCGGTCGCGCAAGATCTGGTGCGAGAACTGGATGAGGCGCTCCGCTGCGCGAGGGTGATACGTAAATGGCTCGCCCGCCGCGATAGAATCAATCAGCGCGCGCAGCCCATCCGCGACTAGCAGCGTCGCGTCGCGCCCGACGCCGGACTTGGTGAGGAGCGACGACGCCGCGTCGAGCTTGTACCGCCAGTACGGCTCTACGTCTTCTGGGCGCACCCGCGCGTCCACGGCGAGCGCGCTGAGCTCCGCCGCGCGCTTGTCGGACCAGTACAACTGCTCGAGCACATTGAGCACCTTCTCGTCCAGCATCGCCTTGAGACGCGCGCGCACGTGCGGCCTGCGGAACTGAGTGGTGAACCCCTTGAAGCGCGCTTTGAGCGCGTCTATCGTCTCCGCGACATACGACTCGGCGGTGATCCGCCGATCGTTGTACTGCACCTTGAATTGGTACTGCGCCTCCTCAAGCTCGAGTTGCACCGCGTTCGTGATCCCGTGCAGCGACGACGCCATGGAGGACTCGAGCACCTCCATCAGCCTTCGCCGCAGCGTGTCGGTGCCAACCATCAGCGAGGACGAGCTTCCGAATTGTTCGCGGTGCATGTGGAAATATTCACTCTCGGTCCGGTGCACGACGAGTGCTGTCGAATCGGCCCGCCGCTGCTTTGCCGATGGCTTGCAGACCACGCCGACATAACCAAGATGTAGCGGGTACCGGTTCCCCGATAGCACTGAGGCTCCCTGATCCGGCGGCACGAGATCCATCTTCGTCACCACACCGATGGTCCGCAGGCCGAGAGGGTCGACCTTCCGGCTTGCTCGCAGCGCTGGTGAGTTTGCAAGATCGACGTCGGCGGCACACACGGCAAGGATGATGTTGGGCTCCCGAATGTATTTCTCGCAGAGGCCTGCGATCTTCTCCTTCAGTGAATCTGGCTGGTCCAAGGAAGCGATCTGAATATAACCAGGCAGGTCAATGAGAGTAAGATCGGGCACGCGGGAACTGTATATTCGAAGGTCAATGGGTTCGTTGGAAACAGCGTCGGAAGCAGGCACGGCGAGGTTGAGGTCAGTAAGGGTACGTTGAATATTTGAGAAGTCCGAAATCTTTCCAAGGCCGAGGCCAGGGAATTCGCCATACTCCTCTGGCTCCTTTCCGTTCACTGCGGGAGTATTGATCAACGTAAGCTCGATAGGTCGACGTGTCACCATGTTGTTGCCCCTTTCATAATCGATAAGTCAAGTACAACGGATAAGGTAATAATAAACGCACTTTGGTAAGAATTCGTGTCCAACGATGGCTTCAAGCACTGAACTCTTCCCGGAGCTTTGACTCCCGATGACGACGATGCTAGGTAATTTAAGCGCATCACTCTGATCTATGCTGAGCAACATGGTCCTGATTTCGATGAGCTTCCTCGTCAAATGCATCAGGCCGTTTTGACGTGCATCTGCGGTCAACCCGTTGCCGTCTATCGCAGTCGAGTCTGAAGGAGACAATGTCGCAGCCGCCATCATCATGGCCAGAGCTGCAGCTTCGTCCCCATCTGGCTGTCCCCTCCCTGAACCACTAGAACTGCCGCCATCATGATCTCCGTCACTCCGCTGTCCTCTGTGCTCCAGAGACGAGATGAAGGCCTTCAAGAACTGGGGAGCTGTAAAAGTGGGCAGCTTCACGTCAGAGACACGCGACGAGACGGACTTGACTGCTTCCGAGGCAGAGTCTATGATGTCTGAAGCAGTGTCCTGTACAGATGAGATCCAGTCCTCTGACTTCTTGCGGAACTCTGTTGCACAGTACAGAGGTCATTCATATCTGCAACCTCGCACGAAACGCAACACTCACCCTCGAATCGGTAATTAGCATACGTGAATCCCCCTGCACCTACTGCGCCTGCGGCAATCGGTACACGGAACGCCCTGAGCACGAATCTCGGAATGGACGTGTAGGAAATGGCGCGTATGTGAATGCGTCGTAGTGCAGCCAGGGACGAGGCAGTGCGACGGTTCAACCGGAGGCTGCGGGATGTCAGAAAGGTATTGAACTGCCTGTGGACGGGCCGCAAGACCACCGCTCGCCGACGAGCTGTGTTCAAGCCATACGCCAGGGCCTTTTTTAGCGGGAAAGCGGATGCGATGCGTCGGAGTGCAGAGTACATCAGCGGCGGTGGTCCCTGTGTTCAATACGATGAAGTTGCTCCCGGAAAATGATCAGACCCAATCCTCTAGGTCGTCTGTCCGTATAACCTGAGTGAGCGTAACAGACAAAGTCCCTGCAAAAACATCAGTCTGACCACAGAGGACCTGCCCAGTCCGGCTTACGTTGTAGCGACGGCAAGAGGAAACAAAGTTTCTTACTGGCACTACACAGAGTATAATCCTCGGACTATCTGAGTTTGAATGATGTAAAAAGGGATCATAAGCAGGTAAGTAACTTTTCTTACTGTGGTTTATCCCATCTTCTCGTGCATCGACGACAAAAGTTGTCCTTGTCATCAGCTTTGACGGAAATCTTTACAGCATTCGTCGGGATGCCGGTATCGCAGGCCTTCGTACCTTTTTTCAAGCTGGCTCTGGTAAGGGGTTCAACCCCAAGAATCTGGCGAACATCCAAGTGGTGGCGCGTCGGACCGTCGCTATCAGGTCACATACACGCACGGGCGAAGTATCGTCCACGGCCTGTCTCATGATCCTCCACTTCACAGATCCACCATCCCAGCGGAATCCCTACGGGCTTGCCGCCGGAGTATGTCCGCGAGCTCACCATATCGCGATTCGCGCGAGATAGCGATAAAACCGTATGACTCGAAGTTAGACCCTCCCCCTCAGACATGACCAACAGCGTCCCACCTCCCTCTGGTGTTTACGTCCCCGCAGTCCTGTTTTTCGACGAGAATGAGGAACTGGACATTCCTCCTATCAAGTCGCACGTTCTACGACTTGCTCAGGCATGCGCTATTAATTGCTCGGCTGTGCCGTGCTCACCAATCTCGTTTGTCTGGGATGTTGTAGGGTGGGGTAACGGGGATCCTCGTTCAGGGAAGCAACGGCGAGGCACAGCACCTGTCTCATGATGAAAGAAAGGAGACGATCCGGGTTACTAGGCAGACTCTTGATGAGAACGGTTTCTCGCAAGTCGTCATTATTGCTGGGACCGGGGGTCAATCTACGCGCGAGACGAAGAAATTATGCAAGGATGCTGCTGAGGCAGGCGCTGCTTTCTGTCTCGTTCTGACGCCTGGGTTATGGCCTCCCCAGATGACGCCAGAGAGAATTCTGCAATTCCATCGGGAGGTGCGGTCCATTTCTCTGGCCGATAAGCACATGTTTATTTATTTATTTTAAACATAACAGGTTGCTGATGCGTCTCCAATCCCGACCATGGTGTACAACTTTCCAGTTGTCACCGCCGGCCTCAACCTGGACTCTGACATCATTGGCGCTCTCGCACAGCATCCCAACATCGTCGGTACAAAGCTCTCCTGTGGCATGATCGGCAAATTACAGCGTCTGACGTCCTCCGTTCCCGCCTCGAAATTCGCCACCTTCCCCGGAGTATCCGACGTCTTCCTACCCGGCCTCGTCTGCGGCAGCGCAGGGCTCATTGGCGCCCTTCCCAACATCGCGCCAAAAGCTCATACAGAACTGTACCGCCTGTATAAGGCGGGGAAGCTGGAGGAGGCGCAGAAGATCCAGGCGCTGCTGAGCAACGCCGACTGGGAGCTTGGGAAGCTGGGCAGCATTGGGGGTATCAAGGCGATGGTTGCGAAGCATTTCGGGTATGGGAATACGCTTGTTCGCGGTCCGCTTGCTAGTGCGGACGTGCAGAATACGAGCATCGGCAAGCTGGAGGAGTTGATCGCATTCGAGAAGTCACTGTAAATTCTTATTGGTCCGTACTGATAGACGTTGTGACGCCTAACAGGATATCACACTGTTAATGTCTGATATGACATGTAGACGTCTTACTGGCGCACGTTCATGTACCGGAACATTGCTGCGAGGTGGGTATCCGAACAGAGGTCGAGACACCATGCGGCAAGAGCAGCAGCCCATTAGAAAATAGTAACAGCACTAAATGATGCCGTTTAACGAAGAACCCGAGCGCCAGCGAGAAGATGAAGTCATGCTCGCGAGGTTAGTCATTGTCCGTACTCCGAAGGCACGTACCACTGCTCCGCGAACTGGATCTGCCCGTAGAGCGTTCAATCTCGTTGTCGCCGTCGTCGCACAAGGTGTCATCGATGTTGAGAAGTCCCTCGCCAATCCGCTTGGAATACTGGAGCGCATGCGGCGTTCCTGAATGGGACCAATGCCGGTTACCTACCTACCTACCTACCTACCATGACGTCATGCCCACCCCTGACCGTGACGGTGCAGCAGAGTAGTAGTACTTCATTCCACCTAGGACAATAGTCTGGTTCAATTTGAAGTTCACCCCTAGGCTTGGCCATGACAGAATACATCAATCCACCAACATATCCCCAGTCTGTCGCCGATAATCGGGGCCCGACCTCCCGTACGTACTGTGGGTGCACTTGCCACACCAATCAGCCCGAAACGTGGCTTTTCCCCTACAAGTAGGTGATTAGCCCATCGCACTGCGATAGCTCATTCCCGATGTGTCGCAGGTATGTCACCGTCCGCATGTACGACTACGGGCCACTACCAGGCTCCGGCTTCTCCCAGGCTATTATGCAACTTGATGGGGAGGGTTCTCTGGATCTGGTGAAGTGTGCGGAAATTTGGAGTGTTGCAAAGGTGACAGTGCGTGCAATTTTACAAAGCTTCCGGACTTTTTCGAAATACCTCACATGTAGCCTCGCCGAAAGCTTGAGCTCTTGCATGATGGTATCCTCCCAGCGGATCTGATAGAGTCCTGTGCAGAAGTGTCACATGGTGTACCAGCTATAGCTCTGGCGGGTTTGTTTATCATGTCTGTCTCTGCATTTGGAGGTTTGCTCAACCCTTTGTCAGAATATGCTCCCCTTAGCCGGTATGACATAAGGTCGAATATCTTCCACACACCACAGATGGTCCGTGTGCGCTGGTATGCTGATGCGGAATGGACCACTACATATGAGGAGTTCTTTGCACCACTTGACAGCACATGCGGCCTCTCCATTGCACAGATTGCACGCAATCGTGGTGTGCCACTCGGAAAAGCCTGCGTGTTTGATGCCACTGAATATAAGAAGCGGTACTGCACTTTCCGCACGCGGTACTTGTACGCGGGCGAATTGCCTGCCGTGATGGATCATCGCGGGTTCCTTGCTCTCACAAGTGTGGAAGTTGGTGTTGATCTGGATGTGAAGCTGCCACGCAGTGGGCGTCACTACTGGTTTAATATCTTCAATGCATGGATGTCGATGCCTCCTGAGCAGAGGATGGACTGGAGCCACCCAATTGCATCCATGTATGTGTCTCTTTGACATAGTTTGATATCTTTCTCACATAATTCCAGTTTCATGGTACCGTATCTTGCTCAAGAAAACAGGATCTGCCGTCATACAGTTATTTCCATTTGAAACTGTAAACACAACCATGATATCCTTTATTTACAGTCTTTGAGCTTAATGGTGAACAGCCAAATATTGAATGAGTCTCTTTTATTTTGTGCATGTCTCACTGAAGTCACTTGCGCTGTGATGCCTTCAGCCATTTGGGGTGCATTACCATGTGTAACACAAGTATGACCACCAAGTAGGGGGGTACTTCAACTCAACAGTTGGGCATAGTATGAGCGAGCAAATGCACCAACTCATTGCACATTGATACTATCATGACAGGTTCCTTGTGGCAGATATACATGGTGCAGCTCTCTGGATGTCACACACACATCCACCAGCCTGGCTCAGCTTTCCACCCATGAAGATGGTTGAGTATTAAACAGATCACCAGAGAAGAAAAAAGGGGGAGGGGGAGGGTCAGCAATGAGAGGAGAAGAAATGAAGAAGAGGATGCGCTAGGAACACCATCAGGTGCAGATGCCACACCGAGGGCACATACCACTCCTCTCATCGGGGAATTCGCCTGGATTTTGTTTGAGCTTGCAGCGCTGACAAGCGTGACCAAGTGTGACGCGAGTTTGTAACCGCGTGTAAGAGCTTACAATTGACGTGTCGTGCTGGTACATATCTTGTGGGTCTTCGTCGCTATGGTATAACTATGCCCAGAGCATGCGCACGGGCCATTGCTATTCTGTTTCGATCTCCGGAGTTACTCTGCATTCTACACGTCTTGTAACACCTTCCCGGCCGCAGCCCAGCTTGATGTTCGGCTTGCAACATCTTGTCAGAGTGTTCCCACCTTGACTCCTCTGAACAAGAGATAGCCGATAACGCGACGCGCCGTGCCTTTCCCCTGTACCCTACATCAGGGAATTTGCATCTTTCTGGCGTAGGTCTTGTGAGCGATTGTAGGTTGTTATAAGGTATAAAATATATGGCAGATGTATAAGGCTTGTAGTCGGCAATACAACCACAGATAAGACTATGTGACCTTTGCCAAGAACAGTAATAATTGTGAGAACCGGAAAGTCTCTGGGTGTCTTGTAGCCTTTCACAAGTGTAGAAGCTCTTGCAAGCTCTTCACGGTGTTGTGAGCTGGTAGTGCAAATGTCTTCGCATGTAAGACTATGCAGCGATGGGCAAGGCCCATCGAAATTGGCACAGACTGCCAAGGTGTCACAGATCTGGCTGTTTACTATTGTGCTACCATAGGTGATCATCCTTGTCAACGTCAGCCAGATCTCAGACATTGGTTCGGAATGAATAAATAAATTCCATTTATAGCAATACGGGGCTACTGGGTATATAATCATAAAAATATCGAGATACCGAGATCTTACAGTTCCAGTTAGGCGGCAATGGCATGCGCAGTCTTCGCAGCATGCATACATGCCATTTGATGGCTGCCCTTCATCGTGGTGGCAGGAGCCTGGTAAAGAGCGGGAAAGATCTGGCTGAAAGGCAGTCATGGTCATTAGCCTTGTAAACATGACACAACCAAAGTGCATCTCACCGGTTCCACCAGTCCAGAAGATCCTGAGCCTCATCAGCCCATTCGGAATCATAGAAGAAACCCTTAATGCTCCGATAAAAGCCCACCAAATCTACATCCACATTAAACTTGTTGAAAACGCAGCTCGAGGATAGGGCAAAGAGAAGCTAGAATATCAGTCAGATAAGAGTGATCTAGAATCTACCGAGTAGACATACATGCGTGGCGATGTAGGCAATGGACGCCGGTGTGACCACGGTCATCCTGTGAAGTGCAGCATTGCCGGATCGAGTACCTCGCCCTTCGCCGCTCTCGTAGTTCGCAGCTGTCGGGCTCAGGAACACATGTTTGAAGCCCTAGGTACGGCCAGTGGTTAACATAATAGAGGGGGAACTGTCACGGTGTCAACACTGACCTTGAGAAGTAATGAGCCACGTAGCATCCCGACCCATGGCATCTGAGGGTTGTATTCACTGTAGAGGAATGCAGGCCAATCTGAAGAGTTGATGAGATGATCTTCAATGTAGGCGCAGCCCTCCTTGAGTTCCAACTGCATGCTAAAATCAAAAATAAGGAACACTAATTTTTCGAATCTGTTTGAAAGACCTACTCGGGGTTACTCCAGTCCAAAACGACCGGGCAAAGGAGCTTTCCAGTGACCGGATGATTAAATCCTCTCCCCAGTTTTGTGGTGAGATTGATTGGGATCCCTGACTTTGTGATGTCTTCAGCAAGCCATTCAATGACGGCCTTCTTCAAGCTGCTGGTATCATCTGAGCGCACCGCTCGGACACCATGCTGGACCTACCAGGGTTTGCAAGGCACTGAGCATTTGTAGTATGCCTCAGAATCTAGTATAATGCTTACCGCAGCAGCAGCATCATGGATGGGCACATTGCCATGGAATACAGCATCAACCAAACCCGGCATCATTGTGTCAAGCTGCAGATATGACTGATAATTCTTGTCTTGCCTGTAAGGTTGTCAGCGCATGTTCACAACAGTATAAAAATATAAGCTTGCTCCTCTGAATAGATTAGTTCGGCACCGGCCGCCTGCTCGCAGGCAACACCCTCATTGATAATGATCGTGATGAGGGTGAACATTTCCACAGTGCGACCAAAGTGGTGCCCCTCATAGACCAGAGGATTCTTCTTGGATGCCTTCTTGCATCCGGAGTCGGTGAGCTCGATATCAATAAGGGCGCGCTTGGGGCCACGGGTGTTGGTGCATTCGGCAGTCGAAGTGATGTCGCTAGTCTGGGCGACATCAGTGACAGTGAGTGAGGAAGCGGTCGGATGAGTGGTGGATATCGGACCAAGCTGCCCTGTGTGGGAGATGGGGGTGGGCTGGGTGATGCTCATGGGGGAGAAGAAGGGCAGTGACACTGCGGAATGAGTGATAACTCACCGGACCAGATGATAAGGGGTTTTATATCCACCCGTTGTTGAAACCGATTTAACAAAATAAGGTTTGGTCGTGCTGTTGACACGTTCATCACATGGGCATGGCGCAGGGCATAGGAAAATCGAACATACCAGATGGGGCACGTTCATCACAGCACTAGTTTGATCTCCAGTAGCATTGGCACAGATTGCGAGGCAGCATGTGGTCCAGATGGCAGCACAGCATGCCGCACCTCCGAGGAATAGGCTTATCGCTCTGAGAATGGTTCGTAATTCAGGCTGAGCTACAAGTTACCGTAATCATCCTCCACATCAACATCCATATCGGCATCGGCACCCTCGTCATCATCTTCCAGTTCCATCTCATCATCATGGTCCTCTGCATGCTCTTCAGCAACTCCGGATATTGCAGCATCACTCCTGAGGTCTGCTACATCACTGTCCACAGGTGGTGGGGTACCCATCGGAAAATCAGTGGGTGCAGATTTATGAATGGGTGCATGACCGATAGCTTCACCGATATATCGCATGAGCATGTCACGGTCCACAAACCTGCATGATGAAACGGTCAAGCTGTCTGATGCAGATATTATATAGCACACCCACCGATTGACGTAGAAATGTTCCCAGTCATCAGACTCTGCTTCCCGTCGTGCTATGCGGGATGTCATCAATAGACTACATGTGTGCCCTTCAGCAAAGGCAGGAATGAGGTGACATGCACGCAGAACATGAGCAGGACTGATGAAACCAAAGGCATCATCATCAGTTACAGGAACAAACCCAATACAATCCAACCACCTAGCTGCCCATCCTCCAGACCAGTCAGAATCAATGCCAAACCACCGCACAAATAGGAACTCGACATGCTGCGAGACAGCTTGAGAATCGGGTGAGAGGTCGACGGCATTGACGTGATATATACCAAGCACCCGGGCATACCAAAATGGATGAGCATGTGGGTCGTCATCATTTGCGAGCATCATCACATCTCGGCGATCTGTGGATGGATTGATTGTGTCTTGCTCATGTCGCACATCGTATGTCGTGTAGTTGAGTTGTAGTGTCCTATGGTCATACATCCGATCATCTTTGATCGTGACTCGTGCACGATCAGCATCGGTCCATAATGGCAAACAAGTACCCTCTTGATGATACATGATGTCTAGCAGGAAATCCTTGAGATGTCGCATGAAAAACTACAAAATTTTCAGTACGACATGCCCAGTGCCAGTACTGTGGATACTCACATGGGTGGCAGGGTCACCCAGATGACGGCGCAACCATGTCGGTATGTGAGAAGGATCCTTTTGCGAGGCTGCAATGCGATAGTGAACATCTGTGGGTATTGACACCACTTCCTGATCCATTCCTTCCACCACATCACGAGCATATCGTGGTGTGCTGATACGCTCGCCCATGTCTTGCAACCTGGACTGTCGTCATTCAATGGCCACCAGTTGCTTTATGTAGTCCTTCTTGCTCGTGCGCTCAAACCTCTGCTTCGCCTTGCAGTGCTCAAGTTCACCCTACACCTTCCAGCATCAGATCTGCAACTCGGTTCAGAGAATATGATTCACGTACAATCTGCGTAGTGTATGAATCGGTGGTGCCATGCTCACGAATTGTCCTTGGGTAGTCACCAAGAGAATGACACTTATATGTGTCCATATTGAACTCCTTTCTCTGTGGCCTGGTGATGTCAATAGCATTGACATTTGATGTTGCTGGGTGAGCAACTGTAGAAGCAGTACCAGCGGTTGGTCTGCGCTCGCGGGCTTGCTGACGTAGATGTGCAGCTTTCTCCTTAGGCAGCTCGACAGTATCAAATGCGGTGCATGTCGTCACTTTGAATCGGCAGAGGAGCTGAGCAAAATCCGTGGTCACTTGCTCAGTGATGGTTAGCGTGTGTTCTGTGTGGATGCGCAACTTGTGCAGACCATGCAGCTGTGCAGTCACAAAGAGCAGATCTTGTATTTGACCATCATAAGGCTGTGGGAGAAGACCCTCGAATACCGGAATGATGCACTAAAAAGAGGTCAAACACATGGAACACAGACCAGCGAGTCGCAGAACTCACCTGAAGAATGTCCTCGAAGTTCCTTGCAGCAAGCTTCTTCATTTCTGAGACATTCGCACTGAATTTGCGAATGGTGTCCTGCCCGAAAATAGGGACTTGACGGAAGTGAGCATCAAACTCCTGCACTTTACCACCCTTGACCGCATGGAGGATGCGGATCAGGTGTATAAGGATCTGCTTCCATACTCCCAGCTCCCACTCGTGCCAAAAATCGGGCACGAAAAGTGTTCGAAAAATTTTGTCAAAAATTCGGCCAGTCGTGCCGCAAATGCATTCTAACCATAACGTAGTCAATGTACATCTCTAGAACTCTGCATGCACGATGTACTCACCTCAGTAGGCACCAATGACTCTGCCTTCAAGATCTCATCTACTACTGTACTATTCACAATGTAGCCAAGCTCGTAAATGAACTTTCGGGCTTGCTGGACCTTGGAGTGATGCCCGTCATCATCTACACGAGCAGTGTCATGACGACAGCGCATATCAGTCACGGTGGCGAGTTGGTGGATATCCTTCTTTGCAATCAGACATCTTGGACATGGACATCCACTCATGTCACGAATTGTTGCCAGAAGTACCCTGAAAACCACAGTGAGCCTCAATGAGCTATGTCCAACACTCTGATCACCGTGCTTACTTCTCCGGATAGTCTGCTGAATAAGTGAAAAAATGCGGATACAGCCGGCGTATGATGCCGTTGCCACACCTCACCACAATCTCATGGCAGCAGGCCTCCTCGAAGTGATCCCCCAACAACAGCTTCCAGATGGCATGCATCAGCTTATGGCGACAATGCGCCAACATCTGCGCTGTGGCCTCCTTCCCGTTGTGCTCACGGATGAAGTCTTGAATATTGTCTGGTAACTGTTTTTATCCTTCAGCTCCCGGTACAACTCCAGTTGGCAGCAGCGACATACCTTTGGTATATATGCAACATGATGGCATGCTTTGGCACTCGGCTTTCCACACTCGTACTTCGACTGGTTGCCAAAAGAGAGATAAACTGGCCACAGTGAGGCATTGCCGAACTCAGCGAGATGAGTGGAATCTGACCAAACCATACAAGCTACCACGGCACGGGGTAAACCACATTGTGGTTCAGGTGGACTGGCCTGCAAATCTGCGTGTGCCTGGCAGAATGCTGATGATGAGTACATCTCTCCATACACCTCCTGAGGGGCTGTTTCACTGCCGAGACACTGCCACAGGAGCCTATAAGGCTTGAAATGAAACTCTTTGCTCCTCTCACTCGCAAATACCGTCGAGATCACCTCCTCCAGGGGTCGATGGAAAATCCCCGATATTATAAAGTCTGCTCCCTGGACCCCCTTCTTGCCAGACGGAATTCGAATCTTCACTGAACCTTCACGCCAGCCATCTGCTGTGCTAAAGATGGATTTAGGTCCATCATCCCCAAGCTGCCGATCTATCGTGTCCCATTTTGTGTCTTTAATATCGGCAGGCACGAACTCAGGATCCTGGAGAATATTGCACAGCTCCTTGAAGTCAGACTTGGATTTCGTCGTGCTCCCATTGCAGTAATAATCCCCAAGCAAGTATGACGAGCGGTTGGGATAAGGTGAATATGGGGTAATGGAGGGATTGCTGACAGAGGGATTGACACCATGAGATGCGCCAACCGGACTGTAAGCTCCATCCATAAGATTCTCCGCTGAGATGCCATCTTCGGGATCGTGCAGGGGCCGACGCGCATACTCGCGTATGAGACCAAATGAATTAGGGGTGGTACAAACCGTCTGAAAAGACGGCAGTAGTGGCACCTCTGGAATGACACTCTCGCTCACAAGTGCAGGTCCTGAGATATCAGAGATGGCTTCTTCTTCAGATTCCACCGAAAGAGGTGCCGGACCCTCCAGGACCCAGTCTCTATAGCATACAGGTAGGCGGCTACGGTTTGACCGAATGGGTCAGCCGTCAGGAGTGTAGAACGTAGGTATGGGTGCCGTGGGCTCAATAGCCGTCAGATCGGAGGACATGGAAGGGACGACATCCATGTCAAGGTGCATTGAAAAATCGGATATCTGTCTAGATGTCAAACAGAGCCCGAGAAGGTGGAGCATGAGGACTTACCGGTGAGACGTCGTCCACAGAAGGTACGCCACCAGTCGCACTGGGACCTGCAACAGACACCATCCGAGTCTGCACAGGCAGTTCTAGCCCTGTAGGCAGCGCGATGCATCACCGCTTAGGCTCCCGCAAGGCCCGAGATGCCTGTGCGCACTGCAGCATAGTGGCTTGATACTGCTGGTAAGGCACACAGGCCCTCAGATGTCTCTGTAAGCCGCTCTCGGTTGAAAAAGCTCTGCGGCAGGCAGGACAAGGAAATATTTGTGGTGTTGACATGGTCAAGGGTGGACTCGGAGGTGGTGGAAGTGAGAAATGCAGCCAGCCTAAATGCTAGTGACCGCTGCGTCGAGTTAGGCTCCATTTGTGAGCAGAATGAGAAACCGGGTGCGATAGGATGCCGATCGTGCACTGCGGGAAAAATCAAAATATGGCCACTCCTCCTGTTCTCAGAATATCGAAAACTTACTGCTGCAGAAACTTCGCCATAGACTATTGAAAATCTGAATTGCTGTTGATACATTTTACCTACAACGACGGCAGAACAACCGTACAACCATCACGGAGTGGCTACCATTGCCAGCTAAGCGCAGCACTCTTGCTAGCTCAGCGACCTCAACATTCAAATGTGAGACCTTACATTCAGTGCAGAATGCCCGAACCAGGCCGAAGACAGGTCGTCGCTAGCCCTCAATGAAAACTTGAAGCCGGAAGATTGAGGAGCAGCAGATACCCGCACCTAAGATACAGACAAGGAGGCCGAGCCGGCGATAACAGGTGGTAAGACAGCGACCAGTGGGGTGGGATCATGTAAGACGAGGACCAGACCAACGGCGGGCTGACAAAGCGGGGTCATGGTGATGCGGCCTTGCAGGCTGGCGCCATCCTTACCCTCTATTGGAAGGTCATATATACAAGTACAAACACTTGCCGTTCTTCTCATGCCTTGTCATCGCCGCAAGGTCATACCAGTTTCAGGCGAATTCCCCGATGTATCATAGCTATCATACGAGTTCCTGCTGCTGGCCCTAAAGTGATCGGTACACATGTTGAACTTTCGGCGCATCCGTCCTTCTGTGTATCGTCTCTCTTCTTCTCCACTCACCACCTCCTGCATGTTGTGATGTGACTCCCGAGCTGTATGGTGCTCCACAGACATGTTTGTCTGTGTCAATGTGTTAGAAATCGCACCTTAGTTCCCAAATAGAAAGGTAGTGATGGCGGGTCAAGATGCATCGGGGCACGTGATTTCACGTCCTAAAATAGATTTCTGTATATATACAGTTCTAGACGCTCCACTTTATATAAGCAAATTTCCTTCTTTGTCCATCGAGGAATTTGCATCTTTCTGGTACGGGTCTTATCAGCAATTGTAAGTCATTACAAGGTGTAAAATATATGGAAGGTGTAGAAGGCTTGTAGCCCTGAGTATAACCGCAGATAAGACTATGCAGCTTCTGCCAAGAATAATAAGAATTGTGAACATCCGGAATTCTCGTGCAACTCAAGCAGAATGATAGCTCTTATGTTTCTGGTAAGACCTTACATTTCACTGTTAGATGCAACAGCACCCATTCTATGCACAAAATCTCGGCTATACTGCTAACCCCAGTGCTCACCACTACACTGGACATGAGATACCTAGTCAACAAATATATTGGACCAAACCAAAGCCAACTCCCAAATATACGTGCCTACGTGGCATGGAATCACCCCAATCCAGACAAACATGCAATGAGGGCGGCAAGACTACCAATGACCATCAAATATTGGTGCACGCACCCTTGGTATCCTGGAACCACAGCCACCCATGACATATTGCAACTGAAGTTCACAGAAGATTTGTGTAGGATGAGGTGTGAGTGTGAATATAATGGTCAAATGGTGTGGACACCATCCATCCCCTGCACACAACAACGTGGGCAGTACCCACAGAGCTTCTCAGCTTGAGGATCAGGAATGTAGGCACACAAATATCTCCCCATACAATGACACAGACAAACATGTCTGCAGAGCACGATACAGCTTGGGAGTCACGTCACTTCATGCGAGAGGTGGTGGGTGGAGCAGAAGAGAGACAATACAAAGAAAGATGCATGCGCCGAAAGTTCAACATGCTGATCACTTTAGGGCCAGCCGTAGGAACTCGTACGATAGCTAGGGCAAAGGGGAAGGCACGGCACGTCGCGTTATCGGTTATCTCTTGTCCAGAGGAGTCAAGCTGAGGAGAGTCTGACATGATGTTGCAAGCTGAACATCAGGCTTGGCTGCAGTCGGGAAGGTGTTACAAGATGTATAGGATACAGAGTACTAGCTCTGGAGATCAAAACGGAACAGCGATGGCCGGTGCACATGCTCTGTACGAAGACCCACAAGCTGTGTATCAGCATGACACGTCGATTGTAAGCTCTTACTTGCGGTTACAAACTCGCGTCACACTTGGTTACACTTGTCAGCGCTGCAAGCTCAAACAAGATTCAGGCGAATTCCCCGATGTCTTTCTTTGTAATCATGCCCTCGGCTTGTCTGCCCTTGGGCGCTCCCCAATTTCTGGAGCTTCAGAAATTTGGGCGCTACTTTCCAACACTCCCCCTCAAGCCGATGAGCATTCCGAGCTTCTTTGTGAGCTTCTCGTGCCTTGGCTTAGGGAGTGACTTTGTTAGGATATCCGCTATCATGTCCTCTGTGAGACAGTAATGGATATCAATATATTTATCCCTCAATTTCTCGTGCACATAATGATGCTTTACATCAAAATGTTTTGATCTCATGTGGAATTGGGGATCACGTGTGGTTGAGATCGCCGCCATATTATCCTCGAATAAAATCATAGGATCTTGTTGCTCGAAACCTATTTCTTTGAATAGTGTTCGGAGCCACACAGCTTCTTTTGCCACTTCGGCGGATGCCATGTATTCGGCTTCCGTGGTGGATGATGCGACCGTGGTTTGCTTCTTTGAGCTCCACGTGATCGTGCCATTTCCTAATTTGAATAAATATCCCAAGATTGATTTGCGAACTTGGATATCGTTCGCATAGTCTGCATCTGAGTAGCCCACAAATATGGATTGATCTTTGGGCTTGACATCTACAATTGGCCCGTAGATTATTCCAAGTTCTCGCATTCCAGATAGATAGCGGAGGATGCATTTAGCAGCAGTCCAATGAGCCATGCCGGGATTGGCAGTAAATGAGCTAAGCCGTTGCACGGCATGAGCAATGTCTGGTCTTGTGGCAATTGCCACGTACATCAGTGATCCGACGAGCGATGCATATTCGTTGTCTCGGTTGCATTCATCATCAGTTTTGGGTTCTTCTTTTTCAAGCACTGTATTTGGATCAAGAGGCATCCCGACCGTGTTGGCGTTCGTAAGCCCATTCTTGTGTAGGATAGACTCAATATATTTTGTCTCAGAGATTTTGGTTGTCCACTTTGAACGGTCTCTCTCAATTTATATCCCCACAATTTTCCGGGGTTCACCAAGGTCGGTAACTTCGAACATATTTCGGAGTTCACTCTTCAATTGGTTCATTAGTGCGCAATCATTGGTGAATATTAATAGGTCGTCTATCCAAACAGTGACGATTTCTATCTTATCACCTTTGATCTGAATGTATGCACATGGATCCGAGAATAGGTGCTTGAATCCCACATCTAGTAACTTGCGGTTCAGCACAATATTCCATTCTCGGCCAGACGGCTTTAGCCCGTAGAGGGTTTTCTTTAATTTACATACGCGATATGTTCTATCGCTGTATCCTTTGGGTTGCCGCATGTACACTTCTTCTTTGAGAGTTCCATTAAGATAGGCGCCTTTCACGTCCATCTGTCCGATCTCCCAATCTAAGATTGTGGCTAGCCCGAGGATAGCTCGAATGGTTTCGAGGTGGACTACGGGCGTGAATGTCTCGGTATAGTCCATACCTGGGATTTGAGAATATCCCTTCGCAACCAGGCGGGCTTTGTATTTAATTATTTCACCCTCTTTGTTTGTTTTCTTGACTAGAACCCATTTATTTCCTATGGGTTTTCGATCTTTGGGAGGTTCCACTAACTTCCAAGTCTCCATACCCTGTAGTTGATTGAGTTCCGTCTGGACTGCCTGTTCCCATTTGGGCCACTCGAGTGATCTCTTGGCATCACTGAGCGTCTTTGGCTCGTCTGCGTCTGCATTTCCGTGGGCGCTCATCACAATATAGACTAATTCGGCATTTGATTTATCTGGATCATTATCCAGATCTTCGTCTGCCTCTGGGTCGTGCATTAGACGGTAATCATGCCGAACTGTCTTTCTTCTGGTTCATCTGGGCTGGCTTGGTGCATCCATCCCACTTTTCTCATGTTGATCAGGATCATCATCCCGTCTGCACTTTCGCAGATTTTTGGCAGGTGACTGTGGTGCGGAAGTTCCTAACTCCCCCTCGCGCTGCACGTCTGTGGTCGTTGTGAGGTTTGGGACTTCAGGTCTCCTTTCCGCATGCAGCACGTCTGACGCATTGCTAGGTAAAGTGCCCGGAAATATATTTTGCTCCCCCTCACACTGTGCTGTGAGGATAGGTACGTCGGATCCTATTTGCTCTTGTGGCATGTGAGGCGCGTTGCCAGGCAAATGGTCCGGGAAATTCGAAGAAAATTGGAAATTACGCGAGATTTTAATCTGGCGCGTGTGCGCATCATAATATTTGATGGCTTTGGGTCCGTCCATGTATCCAACAAAAATATACTTGTTGGCACGGGGTGCTAGCTTTGATAGTGTTGCGTCCTCCGTGAGGACCCATACGGGGGAACCGAATTCTTGTAGGTACGAGATATTTGGTTTCGTCCCATTCCATTTTTCTTCAGGAGTTGCCCCATTTAACGCCTGGGTAGGCGATCTATTTTTAATATAGACTGTGTGAGCAATCGCTTCAGCCCAAAGATAACGAGGTAAATCTCTCGCATAGATCATCGCGCGCGCTAGTCCAAGCAGTGTGCGATTCAATCTCTCAGAGACTCCGTTCTGAGATGGTGAGTACGGCGCAGTCGGACCCATCTCGATCCCTTTCATTTGACACCAGTTAATTAATTCGGTGTTCATGTATTCTCGACCGTTGTCGAGCCTGAGTCGCAAGGGTTTGTTTCCAAACTTGCGCTCGATATAGGTAATATAATTCTTTACCTTTTCAGTTACTTCATCTTTATGCCTCATAAATAGTACTGTACTTCGACGACTGTAATCATCGGTAAATGTAATAAAATATTTCCACCCTTGTAGAGCGGCTGTCTGTGCAGGTCTGCAGGTCCCCACACATCTGTGTGTGTTAATTCTCCGGGTACCTTGCTGCATTCATCCGTCTCTTTGGGAAATGGCTTCCGCATCGCCTTTGCTTGAATGCACGCCTCGCAATTAATTTCATCTGGGCTTGGCGAGATTTCTAGGCCATCTACAAGCCCTTCGCGATATAATCACGTAAGTGCTGGTTTCCCGATATGGCCATAGATCTTGTGCCACTCTTCCCAGGTATGCGGGTCGTATTCCTTGGCAGTATAGGTTCGCGCAGGTTGCGGAACTATTGGACACAATTTCAATGGAATATAGTCGTCCATTTTTCTTGCCTATAGCAAGGGTGTGTTTATTTTTATCTATTAGTATTGCGCGACTATTTCCCATAAGTACTCTTCCTCCCGCGTCATCTAAACGCGTGATGGAGAGGAGGCTATTGGGTGCTGTCGGCGCATACAGTACACCGTGGAGACGGAATTTCACTTTCTGGTCTCCTACTTCACTTTTGACATTGACCGTACCGCGGTCCAATGCCTGCGTTGGTTGCGGTCCGATGCCCGTGATCACATGATCTTCAAGCACCTGATAGGTCACAAAGACTTCATGACAATTTGTAATATGCGAAGTTGTCCCGGAGTCGGCAAACCACTCATAGAAAGAAGTGATTTCACCATCAGATCCGAGAGATACAGTGTCACTATCATTATCGTAGGCTATTTTTGCCTCATTCTCTTTCAGTTCGACCTCGCGTGCTTCGTAAGCACGTTCCGTCTTTTGCCGCTTCATCGGCGGGCCCTGTCCAGCTTTGCTGCCGCCTTTGGCCCAACAATCTGTGGCCTTATGCCCGAATTTTCCGCAATTCATACATTTGACCTTGTCGCGGTGCCGACACTCATTACCAAGATGTCCCGGCTTTCTGCAGATTGAACATTTTTTGTATTCCCCGAAGGGGTGCTTCTTTCCTTTGGCAACCATGGCTTGGTCCGAGGATTGACCGCGCTCGCCACGCTTGTGCCTTCACCTATTTTCATCAAGAATGATGGCAATCAATTCTTGTGATGTAAGCTGAGGGTGCACATTGTCAGCGCCTTCAGCGCCAACGTTGCTGCCCACGGCGCCAAAGTAAGAGCTGAGGAAAGAATCCCAGCTCTCCGGTAATGAAGTGGCCAGGATGAGCTGAAAATCCTCATCAGAAACAATCTTCCCCATTAGGTGGAGTTGTTCCTGGATCTGTCGCAACTGTGTGATATGATTGGAGATATTGTCTTCTTCCTTGGCTTGCATCCGGTAAAAATGCCGGCACAGCGCGAGAATTCCATGCTGTCCACGCTGTTCCTTGACTGTGCGGAGCTGCTCCCACATGGCCCGTGCCGTCTTGGCTCCAGCGATGTGCACCATCTGGGAATCTCCCAGCGATAGCACAATTACGTTCTGGGCCTTGAGGTCCTTCTCTCCCCAGGCGCTCATCTCTGCCTCTCTCGCTGCCTTATTGGCCGGGTCATTACTCGGCTGCGGCTTTGGTGTCTTTCTGGTCACATACTCCTGGAGACCCTTATCATTAAGGATGACCTCGACGTGGTGCTTCCACGGGAGCCAATTGTCTTCCTTCAGGAGCGGGATCCAGTAAGCATTGCTATTGCTCGTATTATCAGCGCTGGTCGACATTATTTGTTCTCGTACTAGTAAGGGGGTAACAATTTTTGTAGCCACAATAGGGGCTGTTGTTATCCGAGTATTTATTGGCTAGAGCCGGGGCTCATAACCTGTTAGAAATCGCGCCTTAGTTCCCAAATAGGAAGGTAGTGATGGCGGGTCAAGATGCATCGGGGTGCGTGATTTCGTGTCCTAAAATAGATTTCTGTATATATACAGTTCTAGACACTCCACTTTATATAAGCAAATTTCCTTCTTTGTCTTTCTTTGTAATCATGCCCTCAGCTTGTCTGCCCTTGGGCGCTCCCCAATTTCTGGAGCTCCAGAAATTTGGGCGCTACTTTCCAACACAATGTATGGGGAGATATTTGTGTGCCTATATTCATCATCCTTGAGCTGAGAAGCTCCGTGGGTACTCCCATGTTGTTGTGTGAAGGGGATGGATGCCGTGTTTGACTACCATATTCACATCTCATTCTCCACAGATTTTAATGGTCACTCACAGTGTCTGCGGACATGCGCAACAATTTCCTCCTTCATCGCCCATATTTGGCCACGACCCATCATGGCTTTCAGCGAATCCGGTGCCAGGGTATCCCTAGTGCATGTGCGCACGAATATTCGATGGTCATTGGTGGCACTGGTGGTCTGGCAGTTTTTGCGATGGATTGGGGTGATTCAGTGTATGTGCGCATATTTGGAACAGTTGGCATTGGTATAGTTGAATATATTTGTTGACTTGGGTATCTCATGTCCGATATGATGGTGAGTACAGGGGCTAGTGATATGACTGTGATTTGCTGCACTCGAATGGATGCTGTCACACCTGGTGGTGAAATGTAAGATCTTACAGGACACACAAGAGCTATCATCCTGCCTGAGTCCTGGAAGAACTCCGACCTTTGGCAATTCTTATTGTTCTTGGCAAAGGCTGCATAGTCTTACCTGTGATTATACTCGTGACTACAAGCCTTCTACACCTTCTATATATGTTATACCTTGTAATGACTTACAATCGCTCATAAGACCCATACCAGAAAGATGCAAATTCCCCGATGCTGCGAATTGGATCTTTGCGTGCGGCTTGCTGCCCGTAGAGCGCTCAGTCTTGTCGTTATCATTGTCGTGCAAGGTCTCATCGATATTGTTCCCCAATCCGCTTGCCATCTACGCAGTGCTCGAGCTTGTTGATGTCCCACACGAGCGTGCTGCCTTCGCCAGCACATGCACAAAGCGCGCTTTGGGTAGGATGGCGATCGGACCACTGTGACCGTCGCTCCGTAGAGTATGCACAAGTTCGCCCTACCACAGTCCTGTTGGCCGGTGTGTCGTGCCGTAAAGAAGAGCCATTCCGTTGTGGGCATTGACGTCATATTCATGCAGAACATCAATGCGCAGTAGTCTCGTAACCAGCCGCTCTGAGATTCAACCCTTTTTAGGATCTGTGTGGAGGGTCGTCATAACGTCTGGTGACTTTCATATAGAAGGGGGGGGGGTATGTCACACGGGCGTGACCTCAGCCAAAACTCGAGACATGCGAACTCGAACGCGGCACATTCATGGGCCATTGATGGCTAGAATAGGGTTCGGGGTGCATATATGGTTGCATACATGAACAATATTTATCAGCAGGAGGCAGGAGATGTGCAGGTACATGCGGGATGACCAGCGTGACACGCGCTGTGCGGGAGCTACAGCCAGGAGGGCGTTACATACCCCCCCCCTCTATACGACTTTCACCAGACGTTCTGCTGTGCGACCCTCTCTTTCTGTCCGTTTTCGGTAAGTCGCACGTGAACGTCTGGTCACGAGACTAAATGCGCAGCTCGAGCATCTCGAGCGCTCGTACTTCACGTTCGTCCGGGGGGTGGCACGAAGCACTTGAAGTCTTCCAAGGGTGCAAAGGCCATGTCAAGCACGCTTCAATCCCGACACCGGGGGAATTCGTCGCAGACAGGCACAACAGGAGCCCATGGTAGCGGACAGTCAAGATCAGAAACGGAAACTGAGTGATCTCATCTATACCTGCAACATCGTCACCATATGGAACGTGCTACGCTCGGCTGCAGAAGTGAGTGTCCAATAGACCGCATGTCGATTCCCGGTAAATGCTGGCACCGCAGCACGGCATCAGACGCGTTCCTTCAGTGTGATCTCCCTCGTCTATACCCTCGGCCGACAGCTCGAATATCTCCCGTTAGAGTCGTAGACGAAGACCACCCCAGCCGCCGTACCGCCTGTTCAAAATGTAACGGCCGCATCCGCCACCTCCGGTCTTCTCGCGTCTCATGCAGCCGTTGCATCGCAGGATCTATAAATCCAGGGGGACACAATCGCACAGCATTACCCGTTCATGTGTGTCGCGGGCCTGCGCCTCACCTGGGCCGTACCCAACCGCAGCATCGTGTTGCAAGAATGACCCGTGGGGGTACGTCCAAGAGGAAGCTGAGGCGGACATGTTTGCTTTCGGTGGCGGACGGTGCTAAAGGAGATATGTGGGTTCCATGTTCTGATTAACGAGGTGAAGACGATCACTTCCGGGAATGGATTCTCTGATTTCTCAAAGGCGGAGCAATTGCCAGGGTGGAGACACAGGATTCCAGGGGAGTAACTTGCAACCGGTCATCCGACGATGCTTTGTTCTCTGTTCCGAGTAGCAGCTGACCGCATTTTGTGAGGAAACTTCACACCAGCACCCTATACCAAGTAGTCAGATGTACCATGTGATTCACGAAGGATGTAGGAATGTTTGTAACTGTGGAGTTGTCAGGAAAGTATCGCACTGAGATTGACCGTAACATGCTCACGTATTCTTCATAATGATGCAGTACCTCCCGCAACTGCTTCCTCGAGATCTCTGCTCTGAACAGAATTTCGTCATCCGTGCATTTCCCGTCGAAATATTGGTTGATCCTTACGATATACACCACGTACCATCAGTAAGTAACCTGCATTATTAAAAGAGAATAAGCACCCACTGTTCGAACCGCCGCGCGATATCCGTATCCTTCCCATCTGACATGGCTGCCAGCCACCGCCGCTCCAACGGCGTCGCCCGTGCAGGATCATAAATCATCGACGCATGCGGGTTCCGCCCCTCTCCGTGAAACCAGTCCTCCCACTTAAGATCCTCTGTCCCGGACGACACAAACTCGTCCTCATCCTCCTCGCGGGTTCTCTTCTCCTCACGCGCAGCTTCGCGCCGTAGGGACCGGCTCTGCTCTTCCTTCGCGCTCGCAGACGCCGTCCCAGACAGCCTCCGAGACACTCTGCGCGCACTCCTTGGTGAGAGGGAGAACCAGTTCGCGACGGGGCTAGACTCGGGTACCTTCGCGAGCTCGCCCTGTTCGACGTGCGGCTCGCGTTCCTTCGCGAGTTTCTCGCGCTCGCGCCGTGCACGTGCGAGCTCCCACTCCATCCGCACGCGCTCCTTCAGCGCCTCCGTCGCAACGATGCGGATGCGTAGGTGCAGCGTCAATAGCAAGTCCCGCTTGAGCAGCCAGACCACAACGTCATGGTACAGCGGTATTAAACTCTTCGACCGCACGATTGTTGCGAAGAAGTGGTTCGCGCCTTGACGGTGTTCTGCCATTGAGACCATCGAGAGCAGTTTTGGGAGAGGGGGCACACTGGCTTGAGAGAAAGTATTGCTGAAGTCAGATGTGAGTTTTGACAACCTGAAGAAGAACCGCATTCCGCCGGGGTAAGAACAGGTATTGAGCATAGGTAGCTCACTCACGGAGCACTGAAATTTTGCGGGACCGCAAAGATCGTCTTCAGTCCCGGATGCACGATGTCCACCAACTTGGCCCTCCGGTGGTGTACGAGCCAACGCACAATGGGATATACCTGTGATTCAAGGTCCCAGTCCAGTAAACTTGCCATGTCAGCCAGCCTAGGCGTAAGTTAGCATCACTGAAGGCGACCCAGCTCCATGGCAACAAAAAAGCATACGAAAGAGTGATTGAGGCTAAGTCCAGAAATCTGATCAGCTGTTCCGCAACCTCTCTGTCCTCCATCGTGAGCTGCGGTGCTCTCAGCCTCATGTATAGCTCGTAGGCCTGTTCGTCGTCGTCATCGACAAGGAGCAGACTCTTCCATGGCGTAAGGGCAGGCAACCTCTGCGCAAAGCTCATGTCGGGGCTCCACGCGTTCGGTATGCTATACTCGTCCTCCTGTTCCACATCATCCAGGCTGGTGTCGTCGTCAGCATGGAGAAGAGAGTCGAGATAAGGAGGCAGCTGCAGCTCAAGCGGAATGTCGTGGATCGTCACACGAGCTATCGAGCCTTCCTTGATGGCTTCGTATAGCGTCTTCATTGCTGGCGCAAGAGATGAGCATTGGAGAGCCTCGGCCATGTAATTTGAAAATGTCTCTCCTACAGTATCCTTCAGCGCGCAGTAATATAACACGATGAACTGGACGCGTAAAACAGACCTCTCGTGATGAAATCATCCTTCAGAGCACCAAGCGTGTCGCATTCCGTCTCGACAAAGTTATGCAGGATCTGCTCTTGATAGAGAATGGCAGTTATGGTGAATGCAATTTGTTCATAGACGGTGTCATAGTACTTCCACAGACTTCCAGATGCAGCGGAGGAAGGATCGGGTCTATCTAGGATGAGAACGAAGTGGAAAGTCTGAAGCCAAGCGGTGTCCGGTACGGGGCGTCTCCCTTCGTTCGTTTCAGGCGTAAGCGACTTCTCCAAAGACGTCTGTGATTCTCCCTTCTTCGACACTCTCCCTCGCGGGGCCATCTTCACCTTGTCGGCTTTGAACCGCCATGCACCATCAGGCTCGGCACAGACAGGATGGCCGATAAACGCAAGATCATCTACAAGCAACTCGAATTTTTGATGGCACATAGAGCTCTGCGGGCATAGCAGCCCAGCAAGGAACTCAGCATTGTATCCAAGCAACTTGTCGTACCCATCATCGGGCGAGGTACCTTTAGAGACATCCAGTGAATATCCGTCGTTCGCCTCCTTTGATGGCGACGCCTTCCTGGAGGAAGGGTCAGAGCGGGAATGCGAGAAAGATAACGACCGGTCTCGGTTGATATTGGGTCGCTTCCAGATGTACTCTTCGTCCTCTCCGCAATATATGGTGTCTGGACAAACACAAACGGGAACATCGTCAGATGGAGCGTCAGAGGCGTTGCTGGCTCGCCAAGGATTATCCCCTTGAGCGCACGTCACGTCGTGAACGGGCCGAGGACGTGCAAGCCTAGGTGGCGATTCGGGAGATGGGGGCCAGCGGTACACGAGACTGGAGCCCTTGGCTGAGGATGTGACGAACACTATCGCCAACAGTGTTTCACTCATCGGTCAAAAAGCTGGTCGAGAACGTCAGCAGGGTGAAACCTCTCCCGGTGTTCTGCAATGATGAACTCGGAGAGCACGAGCTGACCAATTGGAAACTACGAGCCCATTTATCCACAGAGATCTTACTTGTAAGAGAGAACGAAGTGGCAAGAAACAAGCGCCCACATTTCTCGGTCACGTGCCTATCTCAGGCTACAGGCATCAGCAACTTGCCACTTGTCATGATTCGTGCCTCCGACACATTGCGCTGGTACGACGCTCTGCAGAGAGTTTCTGGAGTCATCAGCGGACCCGCGCCGAGAACCGATTTCTTCTTTGTTAGAATTGAACAGAGTTGTGTGCGCTCGCATCATACCACGGTCCAGTGAACATGAATTATAACGTATTTCCTCTTGGATAGTACTACTAATACTCCGGACATGGTGTGTGAATCTGTATTTGGCGTCACTGATTTATTGTCAAATCCCGCATTCAAGCTATGCGTGTATACGCATTCGTGTGTCATCTGCTCTGTCTAGATCCTCCGCGAAGTATCCACGTCGGCTCTTCAGTGCCAAAATGTGTATTTTCTGCAAGTAGCAATTGCCACCGCCGTCGCAGAAAATGGAGATGAAGAAACGTTGCCAGTCTCCCCACAGGGTCGAGCGCAACACTCACAGTCGCCAGAACAGAAGCCTAAAACAAAAAATGGCGTCGCCCGTTGACCGTGAGCGAGTGGTGTGAAAGAACACTGTTGACAGCATCTAAAGAAGGTGGCACGAGTGTCAGCCACAGGCTCGCAGAGGAACTCAGTCGGGCAGAAATAGAGATGGCAACGTTGTATCAGACTCACGGTTCCTTTACTGCAGAGGTGAAGAGGAACCATGTGAGAAGGCGAGACTTTGAAGAAAAATTGCCAGATGTAAGGTGCGAGATAGCTTCCCCCGCTGTCAGGAAGCAACGAGGTACTTATCCCGAAGAAAACGTAACGGTCCGGACAGTGTGCATTGCAAGCACTGCCCATCCTCGGGGGAAAATGGGCTCACCTCGAGGAACTTGTCATTGCGCCCCGTTCCATGCCGAATACGGGGGTCATCTCGCGATTCTGCGTTTGATCAGTGTGGAGGAGGCAGCACGTTTCCCAACTCAAACCGAGGGAATGCTCACGAAAGAAAAGAATCACCGATTCGCAGTCTTAGATAGAACGTGCCCTCGCATCTCGACGAAAGCGGACGAATGCCGCAGATACTCGCGGGAACTCGACAGAAAGAATGCTCGCCACCCAAATAAAATAAAAGGATTCATCACTGGGCACGGCGTAATGTCGGACTTGTGGTATCGTTCCGAGGGAAATCAAACGAAACGGATTATGATATCATGTTGATCACAACGCTCACGGAATGTAACAGTAACCAGAGCTAGACAGCCAAGAAAAGTTGTAAAAGAGCCAGATATTACAGACGATTTACGATAAAGCAAAGCATCGCGCAACCTCAGATGCACGCTGATTCCCATCCGGCCTTCGATGCTGCTGCATCGAAGACAAATGGTAATCAGCGTGGACAAGAGGCTGCTACAGAGGTAAGCATAATCGATATCGGCGCGCTGGGAGGCCGAGGCACTCGCACACATTTAGCGACAAAACTCTGACAAAACCAAGTAAAGCGAGAGACACAGGGCGACGGGGGTGTGGACAAAAGGCGGCAAGAGTGGAGGAAAGGCCGAGGTATATCGGTCGAGATAGCTCGTCCTCTCTGCCTACCCAATACCACCCAACGTGTCGACATCGTCCGGCGGGCTGCGCGGGGAGAAAGCGACGAGGAAATGAGAGCATGCAGGAAGAATTTTCTGCGCGATCGTCCGCAATCAATGGCAATCGTTCTCCGTAGCTGTGTTGAGACGGTTCTGAGAGCACAGTACGTACGATCACCTCCGGCATCGCTTGATCCTTACGTCGTAGCCCTCGTGGCGTGCAACCGTCTTGACCCGTCACCGTCTGCGATGTGTCGAGCAGCGATCACTCGGATGTCCCGAGCTGTGCTCTCCAAGGCGGGGGTATCTTCAGCCGACTGCACATGCACGGCGCCGGCACTGTGCTCTCTTCTATCTTCTCTTCTTGTGGAGTGTTGTCAGACGCGAAGCCTGCGGCCCTCTTCTCAGCAGACCCTGCCGCATCCATGGAAGAAATCCGCATACGGGCCGCTGCCAGCGTGTAGGGTGCACGCTCCGAGACGATGGCATACAAGAGGGTAAGTACTGTCAAGAGTGAAAGCGGGCCAATTATGGAGAAGCAGGGAGGGGTAGAAGCTGCCAAGGATGGATAGCCTTTATGCATGGGCTTCGCAGCACGTCTGGAAGGCCAGACTGAAGGGTGAAGCTCACGCGAAAGGGGGATCATCGATCAGGTGCGAGTGGGCACAGATAACTCGGGGGACTGGACAGGGCGAGAGGGCAGCAGCGACCAGGGATGAGGCTTACGTGGAGAAGCAGGTGCACTTGCGGTTGCGTCAGCGGAGTAGGAAAAAAGGTTCAGTAGAGGGTTGTACGTACGGATAACTTGGCCGATAGCAATCCCGGGGTGATGATGTCGAGTGAGAGCAAGCAGGGGAGATAACGTAGGACGTGTGGCTACAAGCGCGCGCAGATCGCTGTACGAATGCGGAGGTGGGGAGGGGGACCGGCATTGGTGGGCCGGGAGAGGCAGTCTCGGGCCAGCGATGGGACGGGCGATACGGCCGGTGATTCGTCGGCGACGTTCTCGGCGGGGCGATCGTCGGCCAATGTTTGTGGGCGGGCCGGGAAGAGTCGGAGGAGGAGCCAGAAATGGAAGGACGATCGCCTTACTGGGCTTGCGACGTCATCGATGGGCCGGTACAAGATGGACCTCCTAACCCTAACGGACGCCATGGCTCTGCCCCGCCCATCCATGTCCGCCCTGCCCACCTCCCCCGTCCTCGACCTCGACGCCGCCGGGCATCTCATCGTCGTCTCCAATCGCCTCCCGGTCACCATCAGCAAGGATGCCGGCGGCGAGTACCACTTCAAGATGTCCTCCGGCGGCCTCGTCTCCGCCCTCTCCGGCTGCAAGAAGACGATGTCCTTCACCTGGATAGGCTGGCCCGGCTTCTTTATTCCGCCCAAGGACAGACCGATCGTCGACCGCCGTCTCATGGACGAGTACTCCTGCCAGGCCGTCTACCTCGACGACGACGTCGCCGACCGCCACTACAACGGCTTCTCCAACTCCATCCTCTGGCCGCTCTTCCACTACCACCCCGGCGAGATGAACTTTGACGAGGAGAACTGGCTCGCCTACCGACAGGCCAACATGGCCTTTGCCCAGGTTATCCTCAAACAGCTCATCCCCGGCTCCATGGTCTGGGTCCAGGACTACCACCTCATGCTCCTCCCCATGCTCCTCCGCACCCTCATCGACCACGTCAACGTCTCAGACCTCGACCGCATACTCGACGGCATCGAACTCAATGATGTCCACCGCACCCGCATCCACAACGTCAAGATCGGCTTCTTCCTCCATACTCCCTTTCCCTCCAGCGAAATCTACAGGTGTGTGCCCATTTACATCCTCTATGGGGCGTGTCCTCCCTGTCCGAGTGGGTTGGGTTAGGGACCGCGTAACTTTCTCGCATCTGCTGGGCGCCTTCTCGTGATGCTATATGCAGACGCGCCTGGAACGTGCAACCGTGCCGACTTCGCTCGGTCCATCCGCGTTCACCATCTTACGCCGTATGTCACGTCAGACATCCCCCCGGCGCGTCGTCCATACGTTCTATCGCGTCCGACGATGCCCACGAGCGCCTTGCCTATTCCGATCGCGGACCGAGCGGAACTTTCTCGCATGCAGTAGTGCTCTTCTCCACCGTGTACTGACACAGCCAACCCAGAATTCTCCCAGTCCGGCGCGAGATCCTGCTCGGAATCCTCTACTCGGATCTCATCGGCTTCCACACCTACGACTACGCGCGGCACTTTCTCTCCTCATGCACGCGCATCCTCGGCCTGCCGACGATGCCGAACGGCGTCGAGTTCGAGGGACGGCTCGCGCACGTCGGGACGTTCCCCATCGGCATCGACCCGTCCTCGTTCATCGACACCCTGAAAAAGGAGAGCGTGCAGAAGCGCATACGGCAGCTCGAGAGGCGCTTCGACGGCGTCAAGGTCATCGTCGGCGTCGACCGCCTCGACTATATCAAGGGCGTGCCCCAGAAGCTCCACGCGCTCGAGCTCTTCCTCACGCAGCACCCCGAGTGGATCGGCAAGGTGCGCATCGCACCCGTGTTCGTCTGCGCTCACCGCTGACGCTGGTACAGATCGTGCTCGCGCAGCTTGCGGTGCCGTCGCGGCAGGACGTCGAAGAGTACCAAAACCTGCGCGCGACCGTGAACGAGCTCGTGGGCCGCATCAACGGCCGCTTCGGCACGGTCGACTTCATGCCGATCCACTTTATGCACAAGAGCCTGCCCTTTGACGAGCTCTGTGCGCTGTATGCCGTCAGCGACGTGTGTCTCGTCAGCAGCACGCGCGACGGCATGAATCTCGTGAGTCCCCGCCCCTCGCGGCCCTACGCAGCAGATCCTGACGAGACCTCGGCGATGTAGGTCTCGTATGAGTATATCGCGTGCCAGCAGCAGCGGCAGGGCGTGATGATCCTGTCCGAGTTTGCGGGCGCGGCGCAGAGCCTGAACGGGAGCATCGTCGTGAACCCGTGGGACTCGCAGCAGGTCGCGGACGCGATCTTCGAGGCGGTCACCATGGACGCGGAGACGCGCGCGGAGAACCACCGGAAGCTGTTCAAGGTGCGTTTTGCCAGCCCGTCCTCGCTCGCTGTACGTCCCTGATCTGCGGTGCAGTACGTGAACAAGTACTCGGCGGCGTTCTGGGGGACGTCGTTCGTGCGCGAGATGACGAAGCTGCGGACGGAGGACGCGGAGGGCCCGCCGCCGCCGTCGCCGCAGGCGCTCAAGAGCGGGCAGGCGGAGCTGCATATCAAGCGGGAGGACGTGCGCGGGAGCACGATCGTGGACGGGAACGTGCCGCTCACCCCGCCCGTGAACGCGCTTGCGCCCGCGAACGCCGCGTAGCGCCTGAAATCCGGGGGTATTGTTATTGCTGTGTATGTGTTTTTTGAGTGTACAGCTAGGGGGAAGGGAAGGAATTGTGTAGCGAGCTTCTCTGGTCTGGTCTGTTTTGTTTCTGTTGTTGTCGGCTGCGCTCATATCCCGCGCCGTTACTGAAGTACTATTCGATACTCATTTACTACTTATGCGCAATTGTCCTGTAGGTCGTTCGAATTAGCAATGTGTTTTAGCATTGTGTGGTCGAGTGTGTGGCTAGCTTGCGCTTGTCTGTGGTGGTGGTGCTTTGCTCGGCGACTTGAGCTACGGAGATGTCATTGGCGCCCGACGCGGACGGTCACGGTGTGACGTACGCGTTTCATCTCCCACCACCACCACCACCCTCACCATCCGTACTGTGCTTCCGTATTCCATCTTCGTTTCCAGACACTGTCAATTTAGATAATATATCCGAGACATATATATATGTCGCTCTGGGTAGACAAGGTCCGCCGCTCTCCCCCGCGTATGCAGTGTCCGCGCTCGCTCACTCATGCCACCTCGCCGCAGCACCGCCCACGCTCGCTCGACGAGCTGCACTACCATCCCGATCTGGGGAAGCGGCTGCGCGCGCTTGTGAGCCGGTGACTTTTGGTTTTGGTGATGTAGGGTTTGCTCATTTGGCGCGTTGGTGTGGCTCCCTCGTGAACAGGCTGCGTCGGGCGACTTTCCGCACATGCTGTTCTATGGGCCCTCGGGCGCGGGGAAGAAGACGCGCATCGCGTGCACGCTGCGCGAGCTCTTTGGGAGGGGCGTCGAGAAGGTGTGCCGTTTTTTCCTTTTCCGTTTGACTCCTCTCTCCCCCCTGCCTGCTCCACTTTCTGCGCCTTCTCGTCCGCGGCCGCTGATGCGCGAGTGCAGCTCAAGATCGACCAGCGGGTGTTCATGACCCCCGCGCGGCGGAAGCTCGACGTGAACATCGTGCAGAGCAATTACCACATCGAGATCACGCCCAGGTGCGTCCCGCTGCCGTCGTAAACTTCTCGAGGGGCATGTGTCGGTGCTGACGTGCTGTGTGCGTGAACTAGCGAAGTGGGGAACTACGATCGGGTGGTGATCCAGGAGCTCATCAAGGAGATCGCGCAGACGCAGCAGGTGGACCTGAGCGCGCGGCAGCGGTTCAAGGGTGCGTCCAGACTCTGACTCTGATTTTTGACCCTAGTCTGATCGGGCGTTTCGGCGCGGTGCAGTGGTGGTGATCAACGAGGCGGACGCGCTCACGCGCGACGCACAGGCGGCGCTGCGGCGCACGATGGAGAAGTACACGTCCAACATGCGCCTCGTGCTCTGCGCGAACTCGACCAGCCGCCTCATCGCGCCCATCAAGAGCCGGTGCCTCCTCGTGCGCGTCGCCGCGCCCAGCTCCGACGAGGCGCGTCCTTACCCACCTCCACCCTCCCCTGCTCACTGTTTTTTTTTGTTTTTGGTGCAGATGGTGGAGGTCTTGCAGTATGTCGCGAAGCAGGAGGCGTTCGACCTCCCGCCCGAGACCGCGCTCGCCATCGCGGAGGACGCGGGCGGGAACATGCGCAAAGCCGTGCTCGTGCTCGAGGCGCTCAAAATGCAGTCGTCAGTCCTCCCTCCCCTCCTGCCTGCTGCTGCCACTGCGTCACTGACGGACCGCGGTGCAGGACGGACCTGTCGAAGCCGTTGGACATCGCGAAGCCGGACTGGGAGACGTACTGCGCCAAGGTCGCGGACATGATCGTGCAGGAGCAGTCGCCTGCGCGTGTGATGGAGGTGCGCGCGAAGCTGTACGAGCTGCTCAGCCACTGCATCCCGCCGACGGTCGTGCTGAAGGTGCGTTCCCGCCTGGTTGCTGGAAAGGGCTGGTCTCACGCTTTACCCGTCTGTCGGCGGTAGACGATCGCGGACCGCGTCGTGGACCGCGTGGACGAGAGCTTGAAGGCGGACATCATGCACTGGGCGGCGATATACGTGCGTGCTTTTCCCCGCCAGCCTTCTGGAGGTTGGGGTCCTGTACTGATTGGGCCTCGGGCGTGCCCGCAGGAGGTGCGCATGCGCATCGGCAACAAAAAGATCTTCCACCTCGAGGCGTGGGTCGTCAAGGTCATGAGCCTCTACAAGGTGCGCGCGCTGCTGGGACCGCTTTTTCGCTCGGTTCTTACTCACTCGTCTGATAGCATTTCTTCTATGGCATCGACATGGGTGCCTTCGATGATATGTAGTGGGCCCTTTGGGTGGCAGCCGGTGTATGTAGCGCGGCAGGACGATGTATCTGTATCCTTGTATCTTACTAGTGAACTTGGACTTGTTTGTTGCAGGAGGCCTGGGGATTCCCAGAGATCGGAATGTTGGTGCATCCCCGAGCTGCTTCACAACTCTCTGATATTGGGTATTTATCATGGGATGCTATATACACACTGTGAATTGATCCTGCGAGACGGTTCAGCAACAACAGGCAATATACTACGTCTCTGCGTTCAGCCAATCAAGCTTCATGATTCATGAACAATGTCTACAAAGGTGTAGTGTCAAAAATAAATGCATGAGGTTACGCGGTAACGGTCGTCTGTACAGGTCATGAATTCACTGGCCTTGAGCTTGAACGTTGACGCTCCTCAGGAAATTGTCTCCTGGCTTTCCCCAGCCGACGCTCTTCGTCTGGGCGGAACATGCACGGACAGCCGATACCTTGCACTCCGACGTGCGTTGTCCCACGTGAAGTTACTTCAAATGAAGATGGTGGAGAACTTCTGCGATTATCTCTTGAACTATGCCCGGGCCCTCCCCTGAGCGCTCTGGATATGCAGCTTGAGATTCCTCTCTCCGGCATTGGCTATGGGTCTACTAAACGGTCCCGGCATGGATGAGTTAGCAAAACATGCCCCAGATTCCTCCCTGTCCTATATTCTTGGTCTTCTTGCAGATGTCTTGGCAGATACCACACAGCTTACCCACCTATCCATGTCTATGGCACAGGGAAAACTCTGAAGATGTTACAGCCCCTCAAGAGCAGTTCTTGCAGACGGGTGATGTTGTGCATCAGGAAAACCTAACTTTTACTTAGAGGTGTCCTTATGTGACTTAAATGCACTTATGGGCCTTAAATAAGGTAAAAAAGGACAAAAAGTCTATAAGTCATATTTCCTTAGAGGCTTAAAAGTCGACTTTAGGAAACTTATAGGCCTTAAATAAGGTAAAAAAGTACAAAAAGTCGGACTAAGTGCCATAAGTAAAAGTCGGGTTTTCCTGGTGCCATACGCGCTGTACAGTGCCCTCTTCACCTGGTCGTACTTACAGTGCTGGCGCACAGGCAATAGGTGTAGTACTAGTGTACCCAGACATAACTGAGTTTGAATTGATATACTGCATTTAGATGGAGGACTTACTTGATATGGTGGTGGTGTAACACAACCAAACAAAGCTGTAAGTTGAGGAACCAGCTTGAATGTATTGCAACTCAAATTGCGGCTCTCGTGCTCTTTCTTCACACCTGTTTGCCACCTGATAGGCAATTCCAGTGTACAAGCTTAGTGAATATACTGTTTTCTTCTTTTTCTTCTTATAATTCACTCCCAAATTTGTGCAGCAACCAGTTTGGAAAATTTCCATGAATTTATTCAACTCCTTGCCTATAGACTGCTCATTGGACCTTTTGACTACTTGTAACTTGCTTAGTATAATATGTAGAAGTGTGGTGTACAGTATGCAGATTTTTTTCTGAGTGATTTACCTGCAGAATTGAATATTGATTCTTATACATGGACTGCAATCTCTGCATTTCTTGTGGGTATACAATGATTGTCTTGCCCACAGGGCAAGGAAGAAAATAATTGTGCACATTACCACTATAATTTTTAGTGTAGGGAGGATTGTGCACAGGGCATCATCAGAGACTGAGTTGAGTAACAGTTTTGACATATGGAGAATTTGCATGTTCAGCTGTGGAGAATTAATTTTATGACTCAATTCCTATGCAATGTTCTCTGATGTAGTAGTGCAGACATACTGACAGACACTCACAGTATCACTGGACAGCCTAAGTTCATAATAGCATGCACTGTTTGGTGAGTTTTCCTCTTCATTTGAATTAATTTGAATTAATTTAATTAATTTCCAGAAGACTGCTACATCTATGGCCTGATGGAACCCTGCTAGGGTTTGGGACCCCTAAGCAGAGAACATGAATGGTGACTCTTAGTCAATCTGAGACGTAAATTAGATGGGACTGTATTCATCGAAGTCCGAGCGCTGAAGGGAGATACGTAGCGTACGCGGATCTATCTCGATAACAGAGGAGGAGCGGGAGCAAAGTGTAGAGGTGGTGATGATGGTGCGGAAGTAAGTTGAACCGATGGCGCGATAACAGATATGACAAACATTGTGACAATATGCGTAAACAAGAATGTGGCGTCGTAAGCTGCACGCTTACACCCTTTCGGCGACTAAATCAAAAAGTAAGTAAGAAGGAAAATGGAGAAACAACATCAACCGGGCGCCGACATCGGGTGCATTAAAAAACCCAGTGGGAAAAAGCTACCGTGTGGTTGGCCCATCCCCACCCGATGCTATCCAATGATCCACCACTTTGCATTCATCGAGTTCGGATGCCGCAATCCAATAATCGTGTTCAGGGCCATAGCCAGACCAACGAACGAGATATTGCCAACTGCGACCACGATGTCTTGAGTCGATGATGGAGTCAACGAAGTATTCCTTAAGCCCATCGGGGGTGACGAGTGGGCCGGGGGGTATCAGTTTGCGGGATGGGAACAGCGACACATCATTCTCGTGGTATGGCTTGAGTTTGGAGGAGTGGAAAGTGGGGAAAATGTTGGGGTCATTTGGCATGTCGAGAGTGAAATTTGATGTCTCGGGATGAATGTTAGTAATAGTGTACGGTCTGTCGAAATGAGGAAAGAACTTAGCGGCGCATCGCTCGCCCTTTTTCTTATAGGTGGATCTCCTATGAAGGATTGACAGCATGACGCAGTCGCCTAGTTTGAAATTATGCTCCGACGCGCAGTGTAGGTTAGCGAAATGTGCCTGATGGAGCTTAGTGGCCAGGAGATTGTCCTTGGCTTCAGCGACGTCGAGTTGTATACGCTCGATGATTTCGCGAGCATCAGTTTTGGCTGGAGACAGGTCAGAGCAGTGTGCCGGGACCAAGGGAGGGATGATTCTCGGTGATCGACCGAGCCGCAATTGAAAGCCAAAGAAACCGGTCGAAGCGTGAACAGAGTTCATAATATCAAAATGAACGCGAGGGAGTGCACGGACCCAACCCTTCTGGTTACGACGGACGTGATATCAGATGAGTTGGTTGACCATTTTGTTAGAATGTTTACTTATGCCGTCGGTCTGTGGATGATATGCAGTGGAAAGCTTGAGGGTGACTCCCGTCAACTTGTGAAGCGCGTCCCAGAATCGAGAGATAAACAGCTTGTCGCAGTCAGAGACAAGGTCTAGGGGTAAACCATTTTCGCAGTACCAATTATTGAAGAAAAGAACTGCCAATTGCTGTGCTGTGATCGTGGTGTTTGTCGGTATGATACGCATGTCAGAGTGTAGACGGTCTGTAATGGTCAAAATGCAATCATAGCCTTCATCGAGAGGTAGTGGACTAATGAAATCAAGCGCAATGCTGTCACCGTGATCATCGGGGATAGGCAGTGGATGGAGAGGCCCGGTGGGATGCGACATCCTTGACTTGTTGCGCTGACAGTCAGAGCAGGAGAGAATGTATGCGGTCTTGAGGTCGCGCCGCATATTCAGCCAGTAGTAAGCATCTCGGAGGAGGGCATATGATTTATCTGCGCCAAAATGTCCGGACACATCATGCGCAAGGCGGAACAAATTCTCGTGCAGGTCGCTGACATGATGGATGACTAGCTGGTCACCGATATACCAAAGTCCATTGGCTTCCTGTACGCCGAGGGATTGAGGTGCACTGTTTATTAGTTTGATGCAAAATTCGTCAGTGGTGTATCCGAGGCAGATTTCATCAAGCACCGTGGTGTCCGTTGTGATCGAAAGAACAGCATTTACAGAAGTAGCATTCCAAACTTCATGTGTTGGCAAGTTGGAGCGTTCATCAGGGAAGATATCTGGAGGCAAGTGAGACAGAGCATCCGCGACCGTGTTGTCTTCTCCATGGATGTAGACAATGGTGAGATCGTATTGCGCCATGAACTCCTGCCAACATAGTTGGCGCCTGGAGAGGTCTCTTTGAGAATCGAAGTTTTCTAGCATACGATGATTAGTGTAGACATAGACCAGCATACCCATGAGATCTGCACGCCACTTCTTAAGTGCGCGGATCACCGCGAGCAGCTCCTTCTCATGGATTGGGTAATTCTTTTCTGGACCTTTGAGCTGCATGGAATCAAATGCTACGAGACGGGCTTGTTCCCAGGTAGGACCAAAGGACAATGTTGCTCCGGTCTGCCAGTCGCTAGCATCACAGGTGATGTAGACATTGTTGTTTCCCGGATTGTTGTGATCGATGACGGTGAGGCATTCACGACTCACGATAAGGGCCTTGATTGAATCGAACACAGATTGGTGAGCCTCCATCCAGTCAGGGAAGGAGCATTTCGCATCTTTTGTGGTCAGCGGCATTAGCACACAGGTGTGATCTGCGAGCTTTGGCAAAAAGGCAGCAATGTAGCAAATGAGGCCGAGAAACGAGCGAACATCCAATGCAGATTTCGGACGTGGCCACACAAGAATCTTATCCACTTTGAAAGTTTGCGCTTCAATGCCATTTGCCGATATGCGATGACCGAGGAAATCGAGCTGTAATACGAAAAACTTGCATTTCTTCGGGTTACAGTAGAGACTCGCAGCACGGAGTGCACTGAGGATAAGACATACGTGCTCGGCATGTTTATCAACAGAATTTGACCAAATAATTATATCATTGAGGTAAATGTGGCAAAACTTGCCAAGGTACGTGCGGAGTGCAGAAGTCATCCGCTGTTGGTGTATTGGAGGAGAGTTACGCAGGCTCATAGACATCGCGAGCCATTCGTAGAGTCTCAGAGTTGTTGTGACAGTGGTCAAGTGTACGTCGTCTGGGTGAACTCTGGTTTGGAAAAAGGAGTTAGTCATGTCCATCTTACTCCAGATTTTTCCTTTGGTGCAATCTGAAAGGATGTCCTCGACCTGTGGTAATGGGTGACTGTCAAGTACAGTGTTAGCGTTTAGGGCACAGTAATCATTAACCCACTGTGGTAAGGCAGTTGGGTCTGCCTTGGGTACCAGAAAGGCAGGTGATGCGAACGGGGAATTTGATGGACGTATGCGACCAGCCTCAAGATGTTCATGTATCAGAGTGGACCATGCTTCCTTATACTTGTGCGGTGTGCTGTATGAGCATGTGGTGAGGGTGTGTGAGGTGTCCTTTAATTTAATACAGCAGTAAACATTCGTAGGTAGCACGTCAATATGTGGAATGGGGGAGAAAATGTCAGAGAATTCAGCGACGATTTCCTGCCCAAGGTTAGCAAGACATTGCGATGTGGATAAAACCTTGAGTCTTTGTCGCACAGCAGCGACAATGTGTGGGGTGGGTGTTATTGTGTGCTGCTCACGGTCATCTCTATGTGTCGCACAAGTAGTCTTTAACTCAGCTGAGATGGCCTTGCGGGTTTTGCATACATTAATGAATTGTTCTTTCAACGTAGTGCGACGAGGAGGTGGTGGTACAGGGGGAGCTGGGTGTAACAGGTCAAAGCCGGAGTCTTTACAAATTGCAGTACGAAACTCGTGGTCCACAATGATGTGGTTGTGATGCAGAAAAGGGAGACCAAGGATGACAGGGGAACAAAGACCGGGTGCAATAATAGCGCAGATGACACGCGATGACCAAAGAGAAGACAGATCATGTAATGATAGCTTTACCCATTCACGTAATTCGACGATGACTTTCTTTCCTCCATTCTTCATTGCAAGTTCGACATGTTCAGGTACTGGCAGTCTGCGACGACGCAGCCCTAGCGACGTGACATAATCATCACGAATCAAGACTGTGTGAGAACCATTGTCAATAAGTGCATCAATAGGGAGAGGAACAGAGACGGCAGGTCCTGTGGCGATGCATGACCAGCGAAGGTGCGGGATATGGAATGGAGCAAGATCATTGTTTACAATCGGAGCAGACACAGAGGTGCACACGCCACGATGGGTGGAAATGATGTTGCATGTGGTGCTTACTGATCGTGAATCATCTGATCCTTCGTCCTTGAGGACGTTGGACACATTGGAGGATGGTCCGGAGAAGTTGAAATGTGAAGATCCCATTACTGCGGTGACAGGGTGCACAGCGGGAACAGGACTAGCTGACTGTTCACACGATGACAAGGTGGAGGCGACGACGGCAACGGTGTGTGTGTGAGATGTCTTGGCCATGTTGACGTCTTTCTGCGTGAGTTCGGTATAGCCGACGGGGCTAGGAAAGTCGTTGGGGCAATTATTGGCACGGTGGCCTGCGAAGAACTTGCAGCAGTGAAGGCACCCATCGTTATCGAAAAGTAGTGCACGTTCCTTTGCTGTAAGTTTCAGAGCACGTTTGAGCTCCGACTGCGCGATGTTGGCAGTGGAGGCTGTGTTTCCACGGCGGGAAGGCTCTCCAAGGGGTTGTACCCGACGAGTTTGGTCACGTCTAGACCCTGCGATACATTCGAATTCTTTGATGTCCTCGTGATAGGCTTTGTCGACGTGTTTGACTTCACTGAGCCACTTGGGGAAATCGATGACAGCATTGACCTTTTCTGCATTGCAACGCTTGGCAAGATGCTCTGTCATTCCGGCCTCGATCTGGTGGCGCAGCTTCTTCTCATCAAGGTGAGAATCAGTTCCGCTGAGTAGAGAGTTCTTCGCCTGGACTTTAACTGCAAAATCCCAGAAAGTACTGCTGCTCTGTGATATGCCAAGGAGTTCGCGACACGTGGTCTCTTCCCAATGTTCTTCAAGGTAGTTGGTGCGAAACTTGGTCATAAATTCCTTGAATGTGAGTGACTGTATGCACGCGTGGTCAGCGGCAATCCAATCGTGAACGTGAGAGTCCTTCAAGCCCACGATGATCTTGCGGACTTGGACATTGTCCTCGATCGACTTGTGGTCGAAGTACCCAAGGCAAGCGTGTTCATACTCTCTCATGACATCGGGGGTAATGTCACCCGGTAAGAGAATGGGAACCTTGGTTGGGGCGAGGTGATCAATGGAGGCTGCATTCAGCATGTTCATTGTCGGGTGCGTGTTGTTATAGCGCGATGTCAGTGAGGAGTCAGATTCGGAGGACAATGATGATACGATGGAATTACAATCTGGTGCTGATGGCGGTGCACTGTGTGCATCGATCATCGGAGATGGAGTTCGTTGTTCTGAGATGGAGGACAGTGGAGAGGACGGCGTAGGTAGTAGTGACCCGCGAGACTTGTTTGGCGCTCGGGCGACACTACAGCTCCGCGTCTGCAGTGGGGTTGATGAGGACGGTGTGCGGCGCGACAGTTTGTCTGTTCAGTGCGTTTCCGTAGTAGGGCAGTGATGTCTTTGGATGTCTCGTCGTGCGCGCCGACTTGACTACAGTAACAGTGGTCTGTGTCAGTATGCACACAGTGTGTGCCAGAAACGGTGTAGCATACAGTCACATGGAAATTTAAAAAAACTGGAACCCTGCTAGGGTTTGGGACCCCTAAGCAGAGAACATGAACGGCGACTCTTAGTCAATCTGAGACGTAAATTAGATGGGACTGTATTCATTGAAGTCCGAGCGCTGAAGGGAGATACGTAGCGTATGCAGATCTATCTCGATAACAGAGGAGGAGCGGGAGCAAAGTGTAGAGGTGGTGATGATGGTGTGGAAGTAAGTTGAACCGATGGCGCGATAACAAATATGACGAACATTGTGACAACATGCGTAAACAAGAATGTGGTGTCGTAAGCTGCAGGCTTACACCTGAGTGCCACAGTGCTTTGCACATGAAACTGCATTCTTGATTCTGTAAAAGTTGTTTATTATAGCCAAATAGTCACAGCATGTCACACCAAAATTATTTTGTTTTGTACCATCAGGATTACATCATCCATCATGACACTGCACTCTGAGAGGTAGACAGGCTGTGAAGACTGTGCCTAGGAATGGCTCGAGATGAGCTAGCATTCAAATTGGATGTTTTTACAGTATGTACTAGGGCTATGGGTGCAACAAACAACCAAGTACTATAAAGACCTGACTGTTCTCTTTATACATTTGCTCCCAGGTCCATGCACAGTATGTTGTTTGGTCATGTCTGACCTCAAACAGAGAGATCTGGAGTTGCATAGCTACACACACAGACTGAGGCTCACAGGCTAGCAGATAGTTATGATTTTGAGATCAACTAAATAGATTGGGCAGAGGGTCAGTAGGAATTTCTGTTCAACAGCTATAGTCCTCATATACACAAGCTCAGGAGCTCTAGGTAAATGTCAGATTCAAATAGTACTGTGCAGTACATCACGAAAGGGATGCTAGCAGTAAGTGGTTGAGCAGTTGAGGAGGTGCTTAGTAGCTTACATGGTGTGTGCTGGTAGTTTGAATAGGTTAGAGTTTGTTACATATTTGGCTGAAACAAACAACTTTTACGAAATCGGGAACACAGTTTTATGTGCAAAGCACTGTAGTCTGCTTCAATTGGACAGGGTCAGACCACAGTATATGAATTCAGGATCTTCCAAAAAGTTGATCTCAGAAATGGGTACATAAATCTGGCATCTATGACATGTTGCACGTAGAGAAGTTGTCCGACACTTCAGAGTATCTCCCAACTCTGCCTCTTAGGTTGAACTTAATCACTAAAGGGTTGTACCTAAGAGGCTCTTTTGGCACGGTCTCCCAGGTCCTTTTTTTAGAGTCCTGTTCTAACCTTGAGAGAGTCCTAGACCTGGCTTGTCCCAGGACTGGGAAGTATATTTTGAAACTTGGAAACAGAAAATGGACCAGTTCTGTCCCATAGTTTTCTCTTATCCTATGAGCTTCCCTGTATATTGTCACATGTCACACAGTGCTAGGTCCTAACATAGGACATCTCAGTGTGGGGACATTATATCTTAGCTTTATTTTTGATAATTATAACATCAATATATAGCTCTCTTTCAGACATGAATATACTAATAGATCACTTATAAATTTTATAATAAAGAGACATTTTACATTTTTTAATGATATATCTATGAAAGGTCCCAGTATAATGGTGACATTCCAACTTTGGAATGTCTTATAAATTCACTCTATGTTCTATCTCTAGTATTTCATTCTAACACCTTTTAAGTATGAGACTATAGAGAAGATAGCATGCAGATTCAGAATATATCATTCAATCTTACATTGAAGTTTCATATTGTCTTATTTAAAATGTATTTTGTATTTTATCAAAAGACATTCAGTAGTGAGCCTTCAGTATTGACACAGCAAATGGACAATATGCTCACCCACATTCTTTATTATGAGTGTCTTTGACCCTTATGCTTTCATGTTTTATAGCTTTGAGAGGTCCCAACTATGGATCATCTCAAAGTTAAGATGGGATGGTCCAATGTTCTCAGGAAATGATCTCTTTAGATAAATGGTTTATTATACTATTTATCTAAAAGGTTTTAGAATGAAACACTAGAGATAGAACATAGAGTGAATTTATGGAACATCCCAAAGTTGGACTGTCACCATTATACTGAGACCTTTCATAGATATATTATAGAGGTTGAGTTGGGAGGTATACTGAAGTGAGTTTCTCACTTACTTTTTTAAAAAGCTAGCATTTGACTAGGTCACTTTTAAAAAAGAAGATCAGATATTTTATATAAGGTTTACAACTTGCAAGGCTCGATGATCTAGTGGTCTAAAGCATGAGTTGAAAATATATCATGTAACTTACAATGAGGTTGAGAGTTCAATCCTAACTAGTGTTAATCATTAAATTGTGTTTTGTAAATGATCTTCAGATGATGTTTGAAATTATCTCAGGATGATCTGAAGAATTATCTCTACTTCTTAAACATAATTCTTATCTCTGCTTATTAGTCATGATTCTTATCTAAAATCACTATTTATGACCACAAAGAATATCTTTACTAACTGACATCAATATAAAAAGGGTGTATTTCGAAGTTTTGAGTATGGAAAATGAAAGAGAATGAGTGCTCGCATTCAACAGAAAAAAGTAATTTCAAAATTAAATCAGAGATTGCATTAGCAGATAAAAATAGTGAAGTATTAATCAAGGTTTGAACTTTTCCCTGAAAGCTAGAAGATAATTGAGGTTCACTGTAATTATTAGTTAAAGAAATGGATGTAGGAGGTAATGTAAAAGTGGGTAGAGAGAGATAGGAGATAATATAGAGAAGAAATTTATTAGCAGGAATGATAGTCTCTTGCGATTATGAGCAATTCTCATCAAGTTCTTGGTTTTCTTTTCCTTAATTATCAGGGCCATCAGCTCTAGAAGGTTAGGCCCTGCTGAGCTGCTAGAGTCTGATCTGGACTAGATCACAAATGTATCTTTGTTAGCTGCACCTGTGGGAGTAATAAAGCTGGTCATAGTAAGAGATCTAGAAGATTGGAGGGTAGAAAAAAGCAAGACCAAAATGAGGGCATATAACATGTGGAGAGAAATGAGATGTGATGAGGTGTTCACACTTCTTACTTAGAGAAAGTGTACATAGTATCTAGCATGGGTATTTTATGAGTCTGACAAAATATACCCACACCCATACCCATCACATGGGTATGGATTTTCCATGAGTTGGGTATGAGTTAGCTATAGGTCAGTATGGGTCTCGACCCATCATGGGTATTCCATGGGTTGCAGTGTGGGAGTCATAGTACAATAGCAGTATGCAAGTCTTTGTGCCATTACCTGCCATGCTTTTGGAGTGATGAAATGGATCTTCTGAGCTGTGTGTGATACCAGATTTGAATTATCTAATAGAGGTACTGTACAGTTATGCTACCACCACATTTCTGGAACCCTATGTCTATAATAAATCTGTAAGATGGCCTATGAGTTTCCATGAGTTACTCACTGCTGACTCACACCCATACCCATGGAGATCCATACTTACAACCCATGTGGGTTGGCAATACTCATGTCATACACTAAGTGCACATAAACCTTATAAATAAAACATACATGTTGCCTACCTTTTAGTGGACATTGCACTTATAAAGCCTGTACCTAATCAATATTGTACTCACAGGCTCACAGATGCTAATGGAGCATTCATCTGCATAGTCAAATATGTACACTCAATATCTGAGACAGAGACTTATATATCATGTGTTAAGTCTCACAGAGGCTCACAATATATCAGAGTTAGGTGAAACTTTTTTAATCAATAAAGATCCATCAGGAAACACACTTTTGCTCTAGATTACTCTGAGTATGAACTTTCTCAAAGTAGCTCAGAGCAGCTCAGAGTATCTCAGAGTACTTTAGCACAGCCTGAGCTATTTTTAGAATTTGAGCTTTTTCTAGAGCACCTTACTGAGTTCTGCATATCTCACAGATTATTCATCTGGAAAAACACTATTGTTTTAGATTCTATATACTTTCTCAGAGTGTCTCAGAGCATCTTAAAGTATCTGAAAGCAGTTTGGGCAATTCTAGAAATTTCAGACTTTCTCAGAATATCTCAGCAGCACTCTGAATGACTTTGAGATACACATAAAATTTACAGTATCTATAAAATGTTCTGAGAAATAATCTGTTGCATTTATAAGGCTGTTATATTTCACCCTTTACTTTATATGATAGTTTGCATCATAACATATTTTGCTTCTGCTATTTAGCTATTATATTATTTTTAACTCTTTGAGTTTATAAGTGAGAGTATTTGCACTTGTGTCTTTTTGTGAAAGATGAGATTATAATATTGTTGAATTGTAAAGTATGTACTGAAGATGTGATTACATCAGGAAAAACACCTTTAATGACATGTTACTCTAAGAGCATCCTAAAGCACTCAAAGCACTTAAAGCACTCAGAGCACTTAGAGTGCTCTCAAAGAAAGGTCTTTTAGGCAAATTTCCCAGGTATTCCTAGAGTGCTCTTAAAGTACATCTAGGATACTCCTAGAAAGCACTCAGAATTCTCTTAAGTTGTTCTTATATTCTTTTAAATCATTCTTAAGGAACTCTCAAGTATAGATATTAGAAAAATAAATAAATAATCATTACACTACCTAGATTAGCAGTGGGTACCAAGAATCATCTGAGTTTGAAAGTTAATTCTTCAACTTGTGACAGACGAGAATGGTGTCTTGGATAAAACACAAACCAAAACAAAATCCTCCTGAGGTCACCGGACTTGAACAAAGTCGGGAAA